CTTGTTCACATTCTTAGCTCGCGCTTGCCCCGCGTCACCACGTGCCTGGGACGCTTGCGCGAGCTGCCATGAATAACCCTACAAGTTAGGCGCATGTAATAGCGTCTTCGACATCTCACATCTACCTTTGAGCATTGTTAGGTAGCGCAAACATTTCCAATCCCCAGAAATTAGCATCCAACATGCCGCCATGGTAGCCCACTCGAGGTTCGTCCAACAATAGCCGCTTCCAAGGATGAGATGTTTTGCGACTCTTGTAGTTCTTCCGGATGGCTCCAGCGAGTACCAGCATGAGCTTCCTGAAGCCCTAGAATTCCAGAATGGATGAGCTTCGGATGGCTGCTGTTATGGCTTGTATATCAATCTGCTAACAATCGTCATCCTCCAGAAAACAGCAACCACTGACTACAGTCAACCACTAGATTACACTGAGAACAACTTCCTTTAGTGTTACATTCGCGATTTCTAAAAGCTCTCCAGAATGCCGGACATCAAGTCTTCACAGCCACTGCCCACAGCTTCCGTCCTTCAAAGTTTTACCCCTACCATGCGCTACTACGACACTACGATAAACAGTTTTCAACGCCATCTCGCGATTGAACAAGATAGAGTGGCAATGTTGCCAACAGAGCATGCAAGTAAGGTTGCATATGAACAAAAGATGGCCGTACTGGATATAGCCAAAGCAAAGCTACGAGAGCTGGTCGACATCAGTACTGAGATTATGGAGAAGCAGATTGAGAAGCCAAATACAGCGTTGGGCCTATCGGCCGAGAGGTCAAATGAGCAGATACAAGACGGACTGAAAGAAGTGGAAGATGCGACGGCTGAAGTGCGACGTCTGATGTGGGGCACGTGATTTGTAAAGAGGAGGGTAAGTACATTTCCAAGACTTCATGGAACCGACATCGGACGAAGGTTGGCACATTGGTACGTGGTGATGTCCAATTCTTTTCTTCTATGCACAAAGTATGCAAGGGAAGAAGAAACGAATCAAAAAAGACATGCATCTTAAGAGTCTAATCACAAGCTATGTTGACCATTATTGAACCGCTCACTCAGAGAAGCGTGCGACTCCAGAAACTCGCTATACGCTAACAAGTCACCGGGCACGACGCAAACATTCTAGCTTACGTTCCTGCGAGATCTGCTTGGCGATAACTGATTAGCTTACTTGCGGCAGGACAAACGCTTGTTCTACTGTGTGGATACTCTAGAAGGTATTCCCATAGTTATTCATCACCTACTTGCATCATCATATATCTGTTGTGGTAATGACGGATGATGAATCGGTGAAGGCTTCAGCCACTGAGCTATCTCGCCACAAAACTTCTCTTTACGCCACACAAGCTATGGTAAATCTCAGCGATTTAGCTCGAGAAGATGCGCTAGGACTACATAAGAACGGGAACATTTCATTTGTTCGTTTGACAAGTCGGAGAGACCCAATTGATTCCCTCGTAGATAAAATCCCTCTCGAATAGCCAGCATGATCACAGTAAGACTTTTGACAGCCACTTTCAGCTCGTTCATAGCATCCTCTACATTTGGTGTTCAAAGATCCTCCTTCAACGTGACCATAGCATCCATCACACATGTCCAATCACTCAACTCCTTACTCGCGTCCTTGATTGAAGCAGTGAATGCGTGTATAGCTGGAACAAGCACGAACTTTTCGAGCATTGCTCTTACTTTTTCGATATCTCTCCTCTTCTTCCTCCCAAGGTCCTTCGTCCAAGGTTCTTTGCCATTCCAGTATTCTGTTGTGGAGGGAGACGATATCTTGGACAGTGCGGGTGTTGGTGTGAATGCTCGCGGTAGGGCGTGTTCCAGCCATAGCGTGAATTGTGATGAGACTGAGTCAAAGGAGATATTACTACAGATGCAGTGTGTTTGCTGTTCCCGCTTGCTGTATCGGAGTACTCATTTTACGGAGGTCAGTTTTTAGGGTACACAGTGAGCATGGCAAACCCGACGAGGTCAATGAAGGTAGTTACTCAACTCCTAGAATCGTGATTGCCTTGAAAGTGGAGATCCAATGTATGTACTCCGGAATGACTTTTCCTACCCAAAGCTAGCTCCAGGGAGACGTTCCTGACCACTTCTGTACACAAAAGCAGGGTCGGAGGATATCGCCCGTACAGTCCAAATCTGGCTCGCAAAGAATACTTCCAGATGCAAACCAAATTTGCTATTCTAGCATTCGAAACCCTTATGGATGACGCCGGCATGCTTTTACCTTTCCAAACCAACGAGTTGGATGCTATAGTCTCCATAGTTTAGAGCAACACTTCTCTCCTCTCTCGTTAAGGACTCGGATCACCTAACGCTTTTCTTGCTTCCCTCATCTTTCGCTCAAGTCGTTCTACCTCCGCCTCTAGTACGTTCGTTCTCTTCTCAGCTTGTTCACAACGCAACTGGCTTTGTCGGAGTTGCTCGCGGAGACTCTCTCCGTCGTCGAGCGCGTTGGCGTGCTGCGTCTTTAGTTCATCGTATCGAGCTTGAATGCCGCGATATGCATTTTGGCCATACGAGTATTCGTCCTTGATTTGACTCACTTCAGCTTTGAGGCTGGTGATTTGTTCTTGAAGCTGGTGATTTGTTTGAACTCTTGCCTGGTTAACTTCCAGCGGTCTGGTCTGAGTAGCAATCGCAGCCTTTAGCAAATCGTTTTCTGCCTTACTGGTTCTAGGCTGGGCCTCCATACGTTTTGTCATGACCGGATTCTCCGGGCTAGGCGATCTAGAGATGATGATGGGTCGTTGTATCTAGAGGTAAGGTCAGCTTAGACTTGAAGCAAGCCATGGCCAGTACTTACTGTGTGACCGTAGTCGCGGCGCTTGATGTTGGCTAAGATAAATTAGTTCTAGTTCCTAGAGATAAGGAAGATCCTGTAACTTACGTGGTGCCGAGTCAGATCTTTCGTCACCTTTGCGCTTATTGGATGCGACATCTTCAGATGTCGAAACAACCGCATTTGGGACTGGAATCAGCGCTGCGTCCAAAGCCGGTCGACTGTCTCTTCTCTGTACGTCCATCTGCAGCTTTGGTGGACTCCCCTTATTCGCAATCCACGCGCACGACTTTGTAAAATCCTGCCAGAAATCTCTGTAGTGGCCAAACCCCCTTAGATGCCCAGCTTCTGAGAAATAATAAAGAATTATGGCCCGTAGTCTGTTGCAAACTGTTTGGTGGCCACCAGTTTGGTCTCCAAGATCACAAAAGGGTTCCATGAAATCGATGTTCTGAAGACGGGCGTGTGGTATCCGATACACTCTCGAGTCCTGCATGATGAGGAAAAATCCAACTAGATTATGCTTCGATCCATGTACGAAGGCGTACACAGTCTGCCTCATGTATAGGAGATTGCTGTCAAAGGTGCCGATGGCAAGTACCATTGGTGAAGCCTCTTGTGGCAAGTTGGCGAGGACCGTTGGGCCAAGAATCTCGCAGTGGCTGAACTCGAGTGTCTCGGATTTTGGTATCTTCTCAAATTGATCAGGTATACTTGAGAGTACCTTCCTGGTGATCACTTGCTTATACCAGCTGGATTCGCTCTCATTGTCGATGGTGATGGGGGTTTTGGCGCTGGTACTGTCCATGATGGCGGAGTAGATGCCTTAATACGCAGCAATTTGGGAAATATTCGAATTCCTAGGAGACTAGATTACGTTAGTATTGTTCTGGTTCCCAATATGTTGTGTTATACATACTGAAAGTATCGTAGATGCAAGACCAAGGTAAGAGGTATTCCTTCGGTCACGTTCGCTAAAGACAGTGAGGCTGCTGAAGTTAAGGAAATACTGTGACTGTGGTAGGATATGTGCCACTATAGATTGTAGGTGATTCGATATGTAAAAAGGTGATTGAGTGAGGTGGACGTATGAACAGAATTATGAAGCAAAGAGTGCCTGTCGGTTACGTGTTATCTGAACAAGCTGGTTATATACTCTGAAGGGCGGAAGACCGTAGGTATAGTGAAGGAGGCTGCCAAATCATAGCCATATATGGTGATAGAAGACGGGATAGAATATCGGCGAGGAATGCTGCCATGCAGACCCTGCGTTTGAATACCCAGGTAAGATAGAATGATGCTACGAGCGCTGAGCAGCCAAAGTACAATACAGAGTTTGTCTAATGGAAGTGAGATTGGTTTAATCTTCATTGAAGCTGCTGGTGAGTCTGTAAAGCGACATCGTCACAACCTGGATAGTTGTCGGGCGCCTTCTACGCTTCATGGCCCATGGCTAATTGCGGTACTGGCGTGTTTGTGATAATAAAGGCCGTGTAAGTGATGTGATTGACAGCTTGCAGCATCTAAGCACCCTTTAAGTTCATTTTTCGCAAATGGTCGGATACGAAGGGGATAGTTAATGGCATTGGAGTTGTTCCTGGACGTCCCTGAGCCATGTTCCTTCCTGCTAGAAACCTGTTATCATCACCTCACTCATCGTCACCGAGAAAATGGATGCTGCCTTCGGAGCTGCTGCGGCCTGAGGTTTGGGATTTAGGGTACGGTGTGATCATAATAGCTTTAGTTATGTTTCGCTAGGAAGCCTAAGCCATCGTTGTCACTAACGTCAACATTATCACACATAGTCTCGCACGAGAATCGAGTATGCACCGCTCTCGTCCACGCGTCCGTGATGATCAAGATGCGCTACTATCGGTTGTTTTTCGGTTCGGCGGATTTACTGAACCAATTGACGCCGATCACCTTCCAAACCCCGCCATTCCTCCCCACATTCAGCCAGCAAAGCTTGAGCCGCCCTCCGCACGCTTGACTGGTCTTGTGTCCTCGCCCAGCTTTTAGGCTGAAGTACGGTACGACCATCCGACCTCGTCGCGCGTTCTCGGTGGGAGATATCACGACAATTGCTGCCGTAAGCATATTAGTGACGTCTTGATCATTCATCATAAAGAAAATATGGCGGTCTATAAAGTACCCTGAGAAGGGCGCTGTCTAGTTGGATGACTGACTACTACCCGTGAGGTCTATCATGCAGCTAGCACTTACAACACTACTCTGCGCTGTTGGCGTTGCTGTCGCTGAAGACGGCTCAAAAGGCTGGCTTCGCTACGCGCCAATACCAGACGGGCCAGCAGCGCAGTCAGTACCCTCCACGATCATCGCCCTGAACAGCACGAGAGTGAGCCCCGTATTCACTGCTGGCCAAGAGCTTCAAAAAGGTGTTGATGGCATCACTGGAAAGAAACTCAATGTGAGTGCGGTCGCAGACCAGAGTCACTCTGCCATCATTGTCGGAACTAAAGACGCGTTCACGGCGGCATTCGGTAACATTGATGAATGCGAGAATCTGGACGCCGATGGCTTTTTCCTCAGCACGACTACCCCAGGCAAAGTCATCATTGTAGGACAGAATGAACGTGGCGCTCTCTACGGCGCGTTCGAATATCTTTCTCAGCTCGCGCAAAACAATGTCACGTCCGGCTCCACAGTATTCAACCCACAGGTACCCATTCGATGGACGAATGAATGGGACAACATGGATGGCAGCATCGAGCGCGGTTACGCTGGCCCCTCACTGTTTTTCCGAGACGGTTTCGTGGTAGACAACACTACGCGAGTCGCTGAATATGCCCGCCTACTTGCATCAATCCGCGTCAATGGCGCAATCATCAATAACGTCAACGCGAACGCCACGTTGCTCAATGACCGCAACGTAGAGGGTCTTGGTAGGCTTGCTGATGCGATGAGACCATATGGTAAGTTGTGACCACACGAAGTGCATGGCAGACATTAACTAACTTGATACTTCCACACCTGCAGGAGTACAACTTGGCATATCGCTCAACTTCGCCTCTCCAAACGCTACACTAGGGTCATTCGACCCGCTAGACCCCCGTGTGGACGCATGGTGGGCGAACATCACTAACCAGATCTATTCCAAAGTTCCGGACATGGCAGGTTACCTCGTCAAAGCCAACAGTGAGGGTCAACCGGGACCCTTGACGTACAATCGAACACTCGCGGATGGCGCCAACATGTTCGCAAGAGCAGCGAAGCCGCATGGTGGCGTGGTTATGTTCCGTGCTTTTGTATATGACAACCACATCAACGAAACAAACTGGTACAACGACAGGGCGAATGCTCAGCTGGAATTCTTTCAACATCTCGACGGAAAGTTTGATGACAACGTCGTTGTTCAGATTAAATTCGGGCCCGTATGTTCACAGGCACGCTCTTCACGAAAGACGTAGACTAACGCACGCCTACTTTGTAGATTGATTTCCAGGTCCGCGAACCAGCATCGCCATTGTTCGGATCTCTGCGCCAAACGAGCACTGCCATCGAACTCCAGATCACACCCGAATACCTTGGTCAGAATTGTCATCTGGTTTACCTAGCACCACAATGGAAAGAGATACTAGAGTTTGACATGAGGTCTGAGAACCAGTCATCCAAGGTCAAAGACATCATCACCGGCGAGCGTTTCAGGCGGCCTTTGGGAGGCTACGCAGGCGTGACTGGAGTGGGATCAAACGCGACGTGGCTGGGCTCACATCTAGCCATGTCTAACTTGTATGCTTACGGACGACTAGCCTGGGACGCCTCGGTGGACTCAGAGACGATCCTCCAAGACTGGATCAGACTGACGTTTGGCTTCGATGAGGATGTTCTTGACACTCTCACAGACATGTCCATGAGGTCGTGGCCCGCGTACGAAAACTACAGCGGCAACCTCGGAATCCAGACGCTGACAGACATCCTGTACACACACTTTGGTCCCAATCCTGCCTCGCAGGATGGCAACGGATGGGGCCAATGGACGCGCGCCGATGCATTCAGTATCGGCATGGACAGAACTGTAAAGAATGGCACTGGTAACGCTGGACAATACCCGCCGGAGGTCGCCCAGATCTATGAGAATATAGAGTCGACGCCAGATAACTTGCTGCTCTGGTTCCACCACGTACCATATACACAGCGATTGAAGTCTAATAAGACTGTCATTCAACATTTCTACGATGCGCATTATGAAGGTGCTGCTACCGCACAAGAATTTGTCGGACAGTGGGAATCCTTGAAGGGTAAAATCGACGATGAGCGATACGAACACGTGCTGTTCAGGCAGATCTTCCAGGCTGGTCATTCCATCGTGTGGCGCGATGCAATCAACGAGTTCTACCACAATCTTTCGCAAATACCGGATGAGACCAAGCGTGTTGGCAACCATCCATACCGGATTGAGGCGGAAGATATGATGCTTGACGGTTTCAAGACATATGCCGTAAGCCCCTTTGAGACGGCTTCCGGTTACACGGCTGTCGTCACCACGTCAAACTCGACGACGGGCATCGCGACAGCCAACGTCACGTTCGCATCGGGAACATACGACGTCGCTGTCAACTATTATGATTTGATTGGGGGTAAAGCAAAATACGAACTGAAACTTGGCGATCGTACTGTGGGAGCGTGGACAGGGGATCTCGAAGATAAACTGGGGCACGCGCCATCTATTTACTTAGACGGGCACTCAGCGACACGCATAACGTTCAGAGATGTCGAGGTTCGGCAAGGGGATCAAGTGCGGCTCACAGGCCAAGCGGATGGCATCGAGCCCGCACCGATCGATTACCTCTCTTTCTTGCCACCTGGCATCATCGATTGAATCATTGTGGGTAGAGAAAGTATGTACAAAAAAGCAAAGCGATGCGAAATTGATGTTCTCGCATTCGGAGGCGCGACAATCTAACGTTCCACTGCCCAGTCGGCTTCATTTCCACGGCAATCCACAGCCGGGATCCCCTGCAGGTCTCCCGCAGTGTCTAATCCACATTAGTCAATTGTCTCCTTTTCTGCCAGCCATGGCAACACACCACAGTTCAACCGTTGGTGGCTTTCAGACGGGAAATCTTATACTACGTTCCCGCAATTTGAGATTCGTCTCTTGCATTAGCCACTGATCTGGGGATGCAAAGCCCAGCGACACCCAGCTCTTTCTCGAACGATGTGCTGCGTACTTCCTTCGTGAATTGATCGTGATTTGTGTCTTCACCCCTTTCTCGTCCAACGTCGTGGACCACCAAGTAACCGGTGGGCACGCAAGAGCTTGAGATCCGTGCCGTACGCCAGTACTTCACGATGTGACAAGCTTGTCAGCCTCGACCAACCCAGCACACCTTTCAAAAATCGCCGACAGGCACCGCCATCTCCAAAACAAACACGCCAGCGACGACAGCCCGGCAACGCCATCCACGTCTTCTTCAAAGTGCATATTAGCATCAACGTTGTTATCGCGCGCCCAAACTAATGTCGCGTCCTAGTACAGTCGCCGCACGATGCGCTGCGCTAGGGACTTCGATCGCGCAGGTGAGCAGAGCCGCTCCAGATGTTCGACTTTGCAGCTCCAGACGCTAACGCCCAAAAGGTTATTCCGGACATCAGCAGCTTCGCACGCAAATTCCGCGATGCGCGTCACGACTTGAACACCATTAATAGTGATCTGCTGGTGATCAAAACCGGGCTCGGTATTGCGCAAGACGACTTTTCGGCCAAGTGGTCCGAATTACCGGCGTCCCTCGTTGATGCTGTATCACGAGTGCTAGATTCATGCGATGACACCAGTGAGCGATTACATAAAGCCTTTCTCAAGCTTTCTTGTAGCAGCAAACCAAAGGATGATTGGCGTGCGCTCAAGGACGGACCTTTGGTAAACCTGCGGCATGATCTTGATGCATCGAAGGTCGTACTTGAGTTGAGTCTGGACTACGTCGCATTGTAAGTTGTACATGATGTATGTTATTTGGGCATAGCACGGGACTTACTTTTCTTAGATTTTGTCAACAAGATACCCTGGATTCCTTACTGCAAAACTATGTCAGCGATCTCATTACGCAGAGCGATGAGCTACTAAAAAGGACGGACACAGACGAGATCTACGTGAACCAAACAGCGCGAGATAGACTATCTTCGCTACTACAGGCTGTTCGTCTGCTTCGCTCATGTATTACAGCCATATCTCGCGAAGGCGCGCCATCATCATCACAACTAGCAAAGAGGACAACCCTTCCACGACCAGACTCCCTGGAGCCCGCCCTTGGCGAGACGCCCAGAAGCGGGAGGAAGAGCCCCAATGAACAAACCTCAACCCGAGCCAGCGCAAACGATGGGATCGGCACATGGCTCGCTAATGTTCCGTCCTTTGAAGACGCGCAGCCTCTCTCATATTCCGCAATCGAACAGACTACTATTCCAAGACGACTTCTGATACCGCCATCGCGGAACGACATGACGCCATCGCGCGGTACGTTCTACACTGACGATGGTGCCGCATCCAGCCCTACCCTGGTACCACCGGAATCACGACTCAAAAAGTCCTACAGCTGGTGTACTGACCTCTCGGGAAAGGCAAGCACTCGATTACAACTTGCGTCTAGACACGCGTCGAAACAAGTGTCGAAGTATACATCAACGATGTCTAGCTCAGACGTCTCTATCTTTCAGAAACAGATCACTTCAGACAGGATCGCTGTGACGAAAGGTAAGAGGAAAGAGTTGGAACCAAATCAGAGGGCTGCTGTAGATCGTATTCTAGCAAACATACCATCAGAAGCGACGGCTTCTGAGGTAGAAAGAGTTATCTGGGAAGGCGCAAACCCAATGGCTACACATCCAGAGTTTGGATACTTTTTCATCCGCGCAGCATACGAGATGTCGCCTGATGTCCTCACTCTCCTTATGGATTTCGGCGCAGACATCACCCGCAATAATCCTCCACCATCATCATATTACTCCGCCATGCACGCTGCAACCCTAGGACGACAGCTCGACACCGTCCGCTACCTTGCTGCTCTAGGCCACTCCATCGACAACCCCGACTATAGCGGAGAGACACCTCTCCATCTTGCTTGCAGGACGCCCGGTGCGTCTGCAATTGCAAAGTACTTCATCGAAGCCGGCGTCGACGTGAATTCTGAAGCGAAGAACGGAAGAACACCTCTGCAGTCCGCTCTCAAAGCGGCAAGGTTAGAGGGCAAGGAGAGAAGCATGTTAATCGAGCTTTTGCTCGCGCATGGGGCGGAGGGCGAAGTTAAGAGAGATCTGGATTGTGGGAGAGGTAATGAGAAGGGCAGACATGTACTTGGTCTAACATGAGGGTAATTCATTATGAGAGTCCGCTCTGTACCCACTATAGAAGTTTACTCATGCGCCGTTACGGCCAGTTGTCACAAGCGGGCATCACGAGATAGAACGATGTGCCCAAAAATATTGTATTGTAATAATCGATGATGTCGAAATCCTTCACTGAACACTAATAATGCTCGACACGAGGATCGGCATGCCATGAATTTGGAAGGTGATCTGGACGTCAAGACGCGAGGTGGTCTCTGGCCAGGTAAGCGGCCGCTAACTTATCGCGATCCACTCTTTATCGGCCAACTCCGCAACCACCGATTCTCTCATCTAAAGTCCCCATCCTCTGTTTGCTTTTGTGTCACACGATTGACCGTTACGACGTATAACATTGCTATCATGGACAACGTATACAAGATGTGGGCAGAAGGGAAAGAGGCGGAAGGTGGAGCGGAGCAGTCAGTTAGCGGAGCCCCTCATTTGTGACCCACCACAATTATTAACAGCATCGTAGACTCGCGATTGAAGACCCTGCGACTGGAGAAGTGTTTGCACAATGCCATGCGGCATCCGCTGGCGACGTAGACAGTGTTGTTAAGACTGCACATAAGGTCTTCAAATCTGGCGTCTGGTCGAAAGCGCCCCGCCATGTTCGTGCGGACACGTTGGATCGTATCGCCGAACTCCTTACGAAAAGCCTCCCGCGACTTATCGAGCTGGAAGTGCGGCAAACGGGACGCGCCATCCGCGAGATGAATGCGCAGGTCCCTACTCTTACGAAGTGGTTCAAATACTATGCCGCCTTGATACGAACCGAGGAGCGCTCAGTCTTGCCTACCGTCGGTAAATTGCACAATTGGATCGATCGTAAGCCACTCGGTGTTGTTGCGCAAATTACACCGTTCAACCACCCCATGTTGATTGCTGTCAAGAAAATTGCACCTGCCTTAGCCGCTGGTAACTCGATTGTGCTGAAACCCAGTGAACTCACGCCACTCACCAGCATCGAGCTTGGCAAACTCATGAAGGAAGCCGGCCTACCCGACGGCGTGTTCAATGTGTTGCCAGGCGACGGTATGACAACTGGAAAAGCGCTCGTAGAACATTCGCTCATCAAGAAGGTGGATGTAACTGGCGGTACACCGGCTGGGCGCGCCATTGGCGCCATCGCAGGACGTAATCTCGCACATTACACCGCCGAGCTTGGTGGCAAGGCTCCTCTCATTGTCTTTGAACAAGCACATGTTGATCTCGCAGTGAATGGCATCGTCTTCGCTAGCTTTATTGCCAGCGGTCAGACATGTGTGGCAGCGACGCGCATTATTGTGCAGAACAAGATTCTCGATCAGGTAGTAGAAAAGCTGAAGGCCAAGGTGCAAAGCATTGAAAGGCGGATGGGCTCACCAAAGAATGTGGAGTCCATGATGGGTCCTCTCATATCCGCAAAGCAGCTCGGTAACGTTGAGACGCTAGTCAACGATGCAAAAGACGCAGGTGTGACGGTCGTAACTGGTGGTCAAAGGATGAACAGCAAGTCTTCGCTGGACGACACCGACTTCTCGAAAGGCTACTTCTACCCGCCAACGATATTGGTGGATAGCGTTTCGAAGAAGATTGTTGACACACGCATATGGAAGGAAGAGGCTTTCGGCCCTGTCATCGTTGTTGTGGGCTTCGATACTGAAGAGGAGGCGCTGGATCTAGCAAACGATAGCGAGTTTGGACTAGGCGCAGCTATCTGGACACAAGATCTTTCTCAAGCTTTCCGAGTGTCAGAGAATATTGAGAGTGGTATCTGTTGGGTCAACACGCATCACCGTAACGATCCAAGCTCACCGTGGGGTGGCATCAAGAGCTCAGGAGTGGGCAGTGAAAACGGCATCGACGCTTATAATGCGTATACGACCTCGAAGAGCACAATCATCAACTACGCCACTGCACAAGAAGGTCTAGGGAGCGACGATTGGTTTAGGGAGGGTGCTGGTGAGGTTAGGTATGGATGAGGTGCGTTACGTACGATAAAAAATGCGAGAATTTAGCCTCCGTGCTGCAACTCGCCGTCGATGACATATGGTCCACGCTCCATTTTAGACTGTACCAGATCTGGGGTAGGACACATCAAGACAATGTTGTAGAACAGATTATCCTACGTAGTCCACCAAGCGCCTTGAGAGTGAGGCACTGCGAGGCTAGATGATAAATCATCAATTCGATACCAAGGCCAAGAGGAAATGTGGTGCCTAATGGACACAACGCGGGATAAAGACAGAATTGTAGTGCAGCTATGACCCCTTCATCTTCGAGTAGGAGAGATGGTGCGAACGAGGAAGGATAGCTGAAGTGAGTTAGGCGCGTTGCAGCGATGGCGTCATAGTTCTCGGCAGAACTCTACGACGCGTCTGTTACGATCGTCGCATGCAACAGCACCACTCAGCTGCGCCTTCGAAACCACGACTTCTGTAAACGTATCGTATCGAACTCGCAGTAATGCTAATCAACGCAGACTAGCCTCTCTGGTGCATGATCATTGAATCACCAACAAACCATCCTCCCAAACTCCTGAACTCGCCTCGATTGAAGGACGTCGGCTTCCGTACCACTCATCATCAAGACCGAATTCGTCGTCGTCAGGGATATTCAAATCCCACCGCAGCCTCCTACTTTCAGCGCGACGCTTGTGCTCGGCACCCAACTCACGGTCACCAGTTCTGCCTGGATAGTCCGGTGCCAGGAGCTTGTCGAACAATACGCGCTCACAAACCGCTATTTCGTCGTCCGCCTTGACCCGAGACGAAGCACGCTGCTCTTCGTCAGTAACTCTGTCGGCAATGAACCCAATGGGGGCATATAGGGCCTAAATTGACGGATATATTTGCTAGTCTAATGTCCAATGCGGTAAGACTTGCTGCGGAACCGCTTGTTCTCAGGGCTGGGAGCCTTCGCGCAGAGGTCACATTCTATCGTCTCCCTGACTGGGCACACATTGGCGTCATGCACATTAGTCTGCTCGTAATACTAATCCAATTGGGCGGGACAGCGAGGGTCCTCATGCACGTTGTGTCGGTACCGGCCTGAGTATCAGAGAGTTGTCAAGACTTCTTTGTCTAGAACAACAGCATTTCCAGTTTGGAATGGACGCATTCGATGGCTGGTTCAATCACGACAGTATGTTCTTCTAGTACGTGTACAGTGGTTCATTGTGAGCAAATGTCAAGTTGGATGAGTCTTTGTTAGATATGCTATGAGGTCGTTTTTATTCGCTGAAGCACCACTGTTCCAAACGGACTGACACCTTGGAAGCGACACTAACACGCTTGAACACCGAAGACGGCTTCTGGACTATCTGTGTACTATGTGTACTATGTGTAGCTTATTTTAGGGTCTATATGACTACTCTCGTTCTCTCCTCGGTTGCCTTTCCACTTTCTCTTTTGTCCCTCCCACCCTAAACTACGGCTCCACTAGCTTTTCAAACACCTCGTCCATGATCCTATCCGCCTTGTTCATCTTATCTGCGTCGTCCTCACCAGGAAGCTGCCACACAAGGCTTGCCTGCAACCCGGCCCAGAGCTCCAGATAGTCTCTCATTGGCTGATCTAGTACGGCATCGAATTCATCCTCCGGAGTGTCGGCATTCAATCTTCGAAGCTCTGCTTCTAATTCAATGAGGAGCCGAACCATCTGTTGTGCGTGTATGTCAATCATGATGGGTGGTACGGCGAGAAGTTTTGGCGTTGTCTTGTGCCGCATACCAATACGATCAGGATCGAGCGATAGCTCCTGCTCCTTAAGGATGTAATCTTTGGTCAGGCTGAGCTTGTCGCGAACCATGCTCAGATATTTCGTCTCTTCCTCTGGATTGAAGTCGGCAAAGTTTGGCGCATCAATAGCCTTAGTGCTGATCAACGGCATTTCTGTGAGCTTGAGATGATCAAAGCCGTTGTTCTTTCGATTGAAGGCGACTTTCGGATGAGCATTGCGTAGACTTAGTCCGTCGGCAGAGACCCAGTGACGACGGAAGTCGTCCTCTGAGAGACTGAGAGCGCTCTCATCCTTTTCGTTAATGCGAGGTTTGCGAGTGCGTGCTAGCATGCTAGACGTAGCTCTTGGCCGATATCTGGGGTCGCGGTGGAGAATAGAGCTTTTAATGATAGAGTGACGGAGTAACGGTACGGACTCGAAATAAACTGTCGAGATGACTCGACAGGCAGTGAGAGAGATTATCAAAGCCGCACCAAGTGAAGGTAAGATAATGTTGGTTGCAAAGTTAAACTTGTAAGCACGGATCACAATTCTCACTCACCAACATATTGCTAGGACGTACTGCTTAAAGAGAAGGCGGATACTGCAAATAGTAACAACTACTTCGAAACTTCAGAATAGGGATTCACTTCACTCTGTCCTGACCCATAATGCCCCATTCGCCCTGAAGGTATACACAGCGATGAGCGTAAGCACCACAAAGTTCATGATCTAGGTCTGCCCGAATCAACAAGCGCGTTGTTTAATCCGACCTGGCCTTCTCCGGGTTGCTCAGGGATCCAAGACGAACCTCTACACTTCCAGAATTCTGATCCGCATCTAAGAGCCTTTCCAGATCCTTCAAGATGGATCGGGTTGCATCGCTCAAATACCAGGGTACACTTTCCAACGCAATCACCTCCATCTGATCCACGTTGTATTGCCAATTGCGACAGTGTTTGAGTTCGCTCTTACGAAGGTGCTTCACCAGACCAATCAGTGCCATTGTCTCTCCTTCGACGATCATCTGAAGCTTTGGAGTGGTATAAAGACGGATGTGATACCGGAAGCTTTCCTCTCCAGTTTCGCCTGCTAATATCAGTCTTTCGCTCTCTCCATCTTCAGCCTCCTCCGGGTCTTTGAAGTACATGCTACTATCCTCGTTGCAGCCATATGCAAGGTACTTGAGCTCTTTCATGATTAGGTGCATGCCGTTGATGCTGATGCATCTGTCGAGGTCAGACCGTGAAATAGCGGGAAACGCCGGCGGTTGAAGAACAATGCGAGAAGTTTCCAGTGGTGCAGAATATTGGCTGGATGAGGCTGACGCTTGGAACCGACGGAGCCTTCTCGCCGCTCTAGAGTCTCGAAAGATGTCACGACATATTCGCCGCTTTACTATGTCGAAAGCTTGCTCTTCAAAGGCCCCCCTAACTTCTTCCGGTGTCATCACCCGCATGAGTTTATCATGACTGCAGCATATGCATGGTCGTTCGGTAAGATCCCTGGCCTTTGTTTCGTTATAGGAGTTGTGAAGTGCCTTCTGTGGGCTCAGCTCGGACCATTCAGGCTGGTAGTCATCATCATGAGAGTGTTTACGCTTTGTGCTTATGAGCGGCGCCGTGACCCACAGCCATCGCTCCATCTTCATACGCTCAACTTCTGGAACCTCTTGTGGTACTACCCTGGATAGCAGAGCCTCTAGAGCTATCTTAGATCTTTCTTCAGACATCCTGCGTTCTCTGTTCGCGATAGTAGCAGTCACATGGTTACCAAGGCTGTCCCCTTGAGCTGATTCCGATGCTTCTTTATCAGTAGCTGAGGACAATGGAGTGGCTTGAGCGACCACGTCAAATTCAAGGTTGACTTTATCCATCTTTCGTATCTTGATGTGATCTATTAGGGCGGTTATGATCGTGTCAGCGGATATCTTCTTGCCCTTCGTGTCCAATAGAGGTGCAATGTCGTACCCGTCGTCTTTTAGCAGTTTCAGTCTCTGGAAGTTGCTGGCTTTCTGCCTCCACGTCTTGCGGTCCCAGACCTTGTCCAAACTTAATCCTTTGCGAATAATGTCCTGCTTTGCGAGGTGTTCCCACTCCTCGCAGTCTGGCAGAGGTTGCAAACTTTGAGAAGATTGTGGGATGATGGGACGTGTGTTCGATGGGCCGGGCTGTGCTATGAATAAGTCGCCAGCGGACTCGTCAAGCTGCGAAGACAATAACGTCGAAGATTTGGGCGATTTAGATGGTGCAGAGTGCTGTGCTGCTTGGCTCGAAAGAAAGGTATGCTCCTCGCGCATGTTTTCAATCAAATCATCGTCCGGATGTTGATAATTCATCAAATTGATGTTTGCAAGCGCTTGCGCTTGACTGAGCTGTTCGGGAGTGAGTTCTTGGGGTTGACGAACTCTAGAATTCTGCATGCGCTTGTTGTATCTTCCTGAGTCATAGAAAGTACGAGCCTCATGAGAGGTAGACTTGTGAGATTCCGTAATTCTCCACTTTCTAATGTGAGACATCTTATGCGTTGGGCGTCTTGCTATTATGATAAGTGTTTCGTAAGGATTGCAAGGATGGTATGATATATCTGTGTGCTATGCAGGTGCAGTTGAGCAGTTTCACTTTAAAGTACCTGCGTTTGAACCGGAGAATTCTTCTGTGTACGAGAGGGTACCAATCTGAAACAAGGAGTAAACGGTCGTGGAAAGAGCGAGAGATCAACGAAGAGTATGAACTGTTCCTATTTGTATGGGAGGGAAACTTGGTTTGTGGCGCAGATGACTCTCGTTCCGCAACGCGTGACATGATCTCTGGCACATGAAAGCGATACCCAATAGCTTTCATCAGGTAACCTTCACCAGGTTGTTGGTGAAGAAAGGTATCAAAAGCAAGGAAGGGAATTCAGATAGATCGTACCCACGAGCCATCTGTTGGTTAGTGTGAATCATGAATTATATAGTCGCCTGTATGGGTAATGTAAGTACGATTTCCTGTAATGACGTTGATGGAAAGTATGGTTCAAGAAATCTTAGAAGAAATAAGGGTACAATGGGGTTTTCGGGAAAAGCCGACCAACTGAATGATCTTTGGGCCAACATTAGGTATGAGACTTTCTGTCACATAAGCCGTTTTTTCTGAGTTCATCGCGACGTACAAACCGCAACGACCCGAGATCGTCAACCTGCAAAGCAAACCTCTTGTTGTGGTTGAGCTGATCGGTAATTTGACTCTTGTAAAAACGGTTCTTTGTGACATATGAAAGGAGCAATCGAGCCACTGCTTCTTGAGATTAGAGTGTCGAGTTGCCTAAGTGTCTGATGTGATCTGCGCGGGTCCTGTTCGAGCCATGGGCTGGCGCGCTGTCGAAAACGGGACCCTGGCTGGCTGCGGGATGTGACGACTCGCACTACGAGGGTATTACGAATCCTTTGCAGGAGGTGTTTCTTCTTAAGGATGGCGTCGATGGTGTAGGTAGTCAACGCCAGTGGTTGTGGAAGACGCGTCGCGACGAACCTCCGGGAAGCGAGCGCGTGGAGAACGTGACACGCTAACATCAAGTTACGTCATTGGATCAACATCTAGCATTTTCGACCTCCTGATAACTTCTGTCATCTGTCCTGCTAATGCCGGATCGTCTTGAAGTGGTCTCGTTTTAAAATTCGATGTTGAAAATACAGCTCACGTCGCTCAATAAGCTCACAATGCACTTTCACCAGGCTAACGCCTTCCATCGCGACGACGCGTGACCTTTACATTGGAATTCTGAGAAGTCGATCCCATGAAGCAGCATCCTTACTCACCAAATCAGCGTTAGAATGTTCAACACCGTCTCGGTTCCGCGCGGGGCACTCGAAGACCAGGCTTTCTCCTTCACCTTCACCATTATCTTGCTCACATCCTCGTTGTTTCCCTCGCTTTCTCAACGGCATGCATGTATGCACCTCGGTTCCTAACTTTTTGGTCGAAGCATTCCGGTTCTGATTTTGCTCTCGCATCCACGCATACGCGCTGACATGCACCTCGATGCTCCCATCCGTTTGTTGCACAACGTCACGTGAAAGGGTGCTTGCTGCCTGGCTGTTTGTCATCGGACATGCGTACTAGCGGCGATAATACAACCACTTCTATCCACACAACAAGCTGATCCGACCAACAACCACATCGCCGACACCGATCCCATTCTCGACCTCGCTGCGGCGAACTGTGTTCGCCATGACTGCGCCCGGCCACAACCGTTATGCAATGTTCGCTAGCACAGATGGTAGTGCAACTCAAGTGCCTAGTGCTGCTGCGGATCCTGCTCAGAATCCGTTCCTCAACCAGGTCGCCGATGACTCCATACCATGGCAAGAGGTGAAGAAGCGTGGCCCTTCAGCAATGCAACCGGCACCACCAGTTCGCCCTCCGCGAGTTGTGAAGGACCGCACTAGAGCTATTCTCAACCACCCACTGGCTCACCGAGAGCGAGACAGGGCCATATCAGGCTCAACAGACAATGACAGCGAGAAGGCATACGATCCGCACGAGAATTGGTGTGGTGTCTGCTCGCGAAAGTTCCTCAACAAGGCCGCATTGCTCAGTCATATCAAGCAGAACAATGGTCACGAAAACTACTGCAATCTTTGCAAACGCGTGTTTGTGGACCGCAATGGTCTCAAGAACCATGTTGACCATGCGTGGAATCACGAGATTCACTGCAACCTCTGTCTTTCCGCCTTCAAAGACGATTGGGGTCTCAAAAACCACTTCGAGAACAACTACAGTGTTGGACATGAGTTCGTGTGTCTCACCTGTCTACTTGGTTTCAGAACCCGCCAAGAGATGGAGCGCCACCTTCAGACCGCTCCGAAGCATACATGGTGCGGAACATGCCAGCGCCGCTTCCGCAACCAGGATGAGCGCGATGAGCATTGGCAACAGACGAACAGTAGGTACACAAAGTGTTTTCTTCATTGCTTGAGCCCATTCGCATGCTTTGTTCGAATGTTTAGTGAAGTTTTACTTCAGCCCACTGTGTCATACAGACATAGCTGACCAAGGTAAGAGCATAGGCATTGCTTACAACCAGGCTGTGACTTCGATGGCCCGGATCAGGCCGCTCTCACACAGCACCTCAAACGCGATCACTTCCAGTGCGAAGGCTGCAAGCGCGTACTTCCGAGCCTGACCAAACTCAATCAACACTACGAGAGCTGTTCTTTCGCACTAGCCTGCCCTCAATGTGGCGAGCACCATGCTGGGAAGGCCCAACTGGCTCTTCATCTCGAGCGCTGCTTTCTCTGCAATGATTGTGGCTATCATACGCACCACGAGGGCAACTACCACATCGTAAGTGGTTTGCCACGCTACTGGCTCGCGACTGCCATGCTAACAACACGCTAGCACATGACAAAACACAGCTCCACCAGTATCGGTTGTTGGGGCTGCGACGCACCGATGCGCACCTACTCCAGTCTCATCAACCATCTGGAGTCAGGCAAGTGCCCGAAATTTTCTGAACCGGCGCTTCTCATGCGCTGTCTTGGCAAGTGGTGGTACTCACCACTTTATATGGATCTCGACATGCACGCATCTATTCGGACTGGCCGCGTTGACATCGACGAGGTACAGCATTGGTCAATTGCTGGTATCATACACCCGTTCGTGTGCCGTGAAGAAGGCTGTGGGAAGGTCTTTGGTCATCTAAGCTCGTTGGTGTTGCATTGTGAGAGCCAGGCATGTGGCTGGGGTGTTGACCGCTTGAACATGCCTGGGCTAGAGAAGGAATTCAAGCTGGTGTGTCTTCGGAGGGACAGCGCTATTGCGTAGGCACTGCTCAAAGCTGTGGTATGATCATAAGGATACCCAGGAATATGGATGTAACCCAGTATACATCGAACTCCTTCTTTTGCCTAAGTCATTATTTCAACTATGTCGGGACATCCCCAGCTGACTTTCGAGACCTGGTCACGTAGCTGTCCGTTTATTCTTGCAGCAATGTCACTTCATCACCATGAGCAACAGTATGTAAGCAGGGAGATCGGGCCCGGGAGCCCTCAAGGACGAAGCGGTCGCCTCATAATCCTATAGAAGCTCAGAACCACAGTACGATGGCGAACATATCATATTTTCATCAATTGTAAGATCTTTGCGGAGGGTGCAAAGACGAGGAGATCATCTTATCGGCTGAAGTGACGTTCTTGAGAACTTTCAGAGCCCTGACCAGCGGCTCGACAGTGTGTCAGATGGCTGCGCGGGCTTGTGGTAGGTTTTACATGCAAATAGTGCTCTCGCGCAGATGCACACAAAGCAGACGTAGAATCGGAGAAGTATACACACGACCACTACATGAGAAAGACGTTTAGGATATGATGGGATTCTCTTTACCTGAAGACCCTTCAAAGACACGCTCCTTACCTCGAACATGAGCAGAGGTTGGCATAAATAGGATCAGTGTAACATAGAAGAGTCGAGAAAATGCAGGCAAGCACCTTACAAACGACCAGCGACGAGAGCACCCATCTTGTCATCGCTGCAACATAACAGTCGCATTCTACCGTCCTCACTGCCTGGTGGTCCTACCTCCGCTTACTCTTCTCGCAATCCTTGCCTTCGAGACGTCCCGTAATCTTCTTCTCGAATTCATCAGGATGCAGTGTCCTACCGGTCTTGTCCCTGAAGCGCCAGCTAACCCTATTCCAGACCATAGAGCAATCCTGTTGTAGGATTCGAGCCACGAGACGTAAGTCATCTGCAGAGAAGGTGTCGTCGGGTTTGACTTCGAGTTCGAGGGGACGGGTGGTGATGGGCTGGGCGTTGTTGTTGCTGCTGGCTTTGTGTTGAGAGCCAGTTTGTGAAGGAGTTTGCTTCGGAGAGTTCTGTACTGGAGCAGTCGGATTCCATGGATCTGCTATGCTAGCACCGTCTTTTTTCTTGTCCTGATCGTTGTTCGAGGCTGTATTCCAGTTTCCTCCACTGTTGGAATCCCATTTCACAGCAGCAGCATCAGCACCGTCTCGACCACCTGTCATGTTACCAGAGCCCCATCCACCCTTCGTGTCCCATTCACTAGTACCGGCCCCTGTAGTACCTTCTTTAAGGTCATCCCACGAAGTGTCCTTGTTGCCAGAGTCGTCTTTGTTGTTGTCCGTGTCTCCACCAAATAAACCAGGAAAGACATCACCATTTCCTCCCGGCATATCCCAAGCTTCAGCAACCCATGATGTCTCATCTTTCTTCTCTTCCTCTTTGTTGCCATTGTTCTTCGCATCCTTCTTGTTACCTCCTTTGCTCTGGTTCTGATCATGATTCTGCCTTTTCTCCTTCCCCTTCTTACCTTCGCCCCCTTGTTTGGCTGCATTAGGCTTGATTGCCTTGAAGCGCTTTCTGCAATCTTCTTCAGTTTTCCCGAATTCCTGACTGATCTTATTCCAGGCCACGTTTACGTTTTCAGCTTTCATATGCATCAGTTTCTCATCTTGTTCCTTTGTCCAAGCATTTTTGTTCTCGTCTTTCTTGTCTCCCTCGCTTCCCCGAACGGGATTGTCGTGCGCTTCCGGACCGGTTTGGGCGTTGGTCGGAGTGTCCCAAGCTGATGTAGTCTCATCCTTCTTCTCGTCTGTCTTGTCATCGCCACCCGCAGCATTTCCGGCGTTTCCCCAAGAATTCGCGAGCGGATCATTGCTCTCGTTGCCTGTGTTATCCAAGGGTCCCTCATTTCCTTTCTTTGAGTCTGAATCCTTGTTTCCATCCTTGACAGAAGTTTTGGCCCAATCGGTGTTGGTAACCCACCCGTCACCTCCATCGACAGCAGGTTTGGTCGCAGTTGCTTTCTTCGACGTACTCTTTACACTAAGCGCTTCCTTTGTCGACCGCTTGTCGGATGGCACCTTCGCAAGACTGGCTGCAGTGAGTCGCGGCTTGCCTGCGCCTGTAAGTTTGCCTTTACGCCCGTCGCTAGCGGTCCACTCCATGATATGACCGGGAGTAGGAATCTGGCAATAGTTAGTTTGACTAAACTCTCCGTAGTGTCTGATGAAAGTGCCCACTATGCTGACCGGCTGACTGGGCTTTCTAGCTTGCGGCGGAGGGGGAGGTATAGGCAACCTTACTTCCTTGTACGGCTTGTTGCTGAAACCTAAAATATAGGCCATGGAGACCCTGCGAGGAACGCCGTTCGCATCGGCCATCGTGACGGCTTGGATGTGCAGGCGTTGTGTCTGAATGGCGACTGTTGGCGTGTAGTATGGCGGACGTTGTAATCTACGGTTGACAAAGATCGAAAAGTGAAGTTCGAAGACAAGCAATAGATCGCGATCACACTGCGATGAGCTTCATTTGACTGTGCGAGACAGAAGCGCTGGTGTTGCGGGAAACATATGTGAGCGTGCGGCCTGGCGGTTGGCTTGGCGAGCAGACCTATTCAGGGTCTGCAGACTCTGTTCTAAAACTTGCAACAAACGACGACAGAGGAAGGGTGTTTTTCTAGAGGGATTGACGTAAAATCTAACGATGGGTCGCATAAAATGAAAACAGTGACAGCGGCAGAATTAGGAGATATGAAAGCTGCATTGGCGTTACCTTCCGCCACGTCTGGCGGACGAGAAGACCCTTTGAACTAAACTTTTGGTTGGAGGGCTTATAAGAGAACCTTCAAAGTCCTCAGATACCATTATCACATCCTACATAGCACACAGTCGTGATGGTGGAAGGCCTTTGATGGCAGCGGATGTCAGCGCATGCAGAGGCAGTGTATTGCACGGCTAGTCCTAAGACTGCAGCCTCTGCGGTCGGTGTCATAGAAACAGACCTAACATCTTATCCAGTTGTTACTAGATGGGGCATGTGTCGTATCGGTCGACGACATCATCGTGGGTGTATGAACGAGAAAGACGCTGTTCGGAGGAAGTTGAGATGGAGCGCTGGCTGACTAAGCTATACTATAGCGTTCTGGCCCTTGCATTGCGGGCAAGCTGGCATCTCCGTGTATGCAGCTTGGCGCTCCACGAAACATACGATTCGAACACACAACCAGAGCAGCATCACCCCACCTCCACCATGCTGTTCCCGTCCTTTGCCATTCTTGCTGCGGCAAGCAGCCTGCTGTCATTTGCGACAGCGCACAACATCCAAATGAAGGCTCATCAGCGCGAATGCTTCCACGAATCTCTCCACAAAGATGACAAGATGACGGTCACCTTCCAAGTCGGCGACCGGGAGTTTGGAGGCAGTGGAAACCTTGAAATCGACTTCTGGGTGCGTCAATTGTATCTCAATCATCACCTCTAAGTCGCATAGCTGACTTGCTATGCACAGATCGAGACGCCCTCTCGAAGTTACCAGGTCCACGAACGCGGCGTATCCTCTGGCGACCACTCCTTCGATGCGAAAGAGGATGGCAAATACACGTACTGCTTCAACAACGAGCACTGGGGCGCGAACACAAAAGAGGTCTCATTCAATGTGCACGGCATTGTCTACGTTCCCGAATCCGAGGCGCCACAAGATCCTTTGGAGAAAGAGGGTGAGGACACACCTTAGGTCGGCTTGAGAGGACCATGCTGACAGAACATAGTGCGAACCATGTCGGAACTCGTCGCGCAAGTCAAGGACGAGCAGGGCTACATCATCGTGCGCGAGCGCGTACACAGGAACACTGCCGAGAGCACCAATGCGCGCATCAAGTGGTGGAGCATCTTCCAGCTCATGGTACTGGTTGGCCAGGGTTTCTTCCAAGTGTGGTGGCTGAAACGTTTCTTTGAGGTAACCAGCGCCTGCGCATTCCAGTCTACCACCTCCAAGTGCTCAACTAACATGATAAACAGGTCAAGCGTGTTGTTTAGTCTTGCAATCCCTCTCACGGATCGCGCGCGACACAGCATGTCTCGCTTCGGTCTCTGTTTCAAGCTTTTATGTCTGACCTTCCGGCGTTGAAGTGCAAGCTTGAATAAACAAGCACAGGAAAGAGATGGATGTATTAGGGATCCTTCATACGACTCATCAGCGAGATACTGGGTAAGACTACCTTCGTGTATGCATTTTTCATTCAGTTTGCCCTGAGTTCCACAACAAACCATGGATCTTGCTTTTGCCTGCAGGCTTGGCACATATCGAGCCGTCTAGTGATTCGCCCAGATCAGCTGCTTCGGGCCAGTCTGGCGCTCTTGTAGAGACATGTATGTAAGTGGCTGTCAAAAGACAAGTGTTGTGAATGTCTGCATATTCAGCTTGCATTAGGCGTTCCCGATGTGTTCACCTAAACCCATTCTCATCTGCAACGTCTATATATAAGCTTTCTATGTTACACTGCCTCTCTTCAAAAGTCTCGATTCTATCCTTCGCGATCACAGTTGCGTTTGCCATTGCAATCTCCCAATTTGTCTTATTACGTCAACATCAGGACAGCCAGGCAGCGACAATACAGTCACAACGTGGCGATTGACCGGTTCCTACACGCAATCATTGGGTGAAGGCAGGAGACACGTCGTGACTTCTTTTGTCGGTGTGCTATAGTCTGTTGTTGGGTAGCGCACCTTCTATCACTCATCGTTGGCGCCTTCCACGCGTCGGTCACCACGAGCAACAGCAGTATAAATAGTCAGCAACCCTCGCTCGCCTCTTCCATCATCAAATATGAGCCACTCGACTCGACCTGCTGCAAGTACCTCCGATGGACCCTTCTCAATACGGCGCGCCTGCTGGCTGGCCTCGGGATATGGCTTTGGATGACCTGTATAACACTACTACCATGCGCAAGAACCTCATTGGCGCTGCCTTTGGCAACCACTTGCAATACAAGACTTCCGCCAGTGGTTCCATCCCAACTCCCCTTTCTCTTGATTCGGAAACCATCCACCGGCCGCAGCATAGATACAACGTGCCCATGCCGCGTTGGACGGACGGGGAGCGACCGCCTACTCCGCCTTTTCACCACCAAAACGATTTCCCCCAATACCATGGCCAATGGAATACCTCACTGTCTATGCGAAGTCCTCCAGATCACTCTCCGCTACCGGAGACCCAGGCAAACTACACGTCCCCGTATGGCATATACACACCAGCACATGATCGACTCACAGGACGACCCGATTTCCAAAGTGCCTCACCACGCCAGCACAATATCCAACCTCCCCACCTACATCCATCCGCGAACCTGTTACACTCTTCACCCCAACAACAGATCACTTACCTGAAGCCGACTCTTAAAGCGCCCTCTATTCAGCAGTGGCCAACTCACAACCTGGCATCCCACAATTCAAAGGTCGATGCAGCAACAAAGAAGAAGCAGGACGAATACAGGCGAAAGGGCGAAGCAGCGAGGAGGAAGACGATATCATCCCAAAATTCAGCGCCGCAGTATGCTCCAATCCCTGAACTTGCATCAACCACCCGTCGTAAACGTAAAGTCGGGATCCTCGATGATCTGGTCACGCCTACCCCAGCTCCGCATCATCGCTCTCTGCATCCGTCGTACGGTCAACAGCAGCAGAGTAACACTTCCGGCGATGTAATAATTATCACTCGACCCCCCAAGAGCCTCTGTCCTACAGCATGGACTGGATCGGGCAGGAGCAGTATCACACATCAATCCCATCATCTCATCACCCGCATTCTGCGGGCGTATTTGATGCACAACTCCCTCTGTATCCGTCTCAGCATCCACCACATACACCCACGCCACTTTCGCCGTCATCCCTCGACATTATCGACCTTGAGACTATACCTCAACACATCACTCGTAACTACGATGAGTACAGATGGCCAGTCAAGCTCTACCAACTGCAAGCCGAAAGAGACTTTGATTTTGCTGAGTGCTTCTTAGAAAACCACTTCCAGAAAAACATCTACGATTCGGATGAGCATAAGTGGCACGCTCATACAACTAAGGGTTTCATCAAGGATGGTGATAGACTGTCTATTCTGGTCCTACATAATGCAGCAAATCCGTTCGAGTGGGGCATGTCACCAGTATCGACTACCAGTATCGGTGTATATGGATTGTATGCCCATGAGCATAACGAGATCCATTGGACCACTATCACGCCCAGTATTCCGGAATGGTTCGACTTATGCTCAGATCATGGCTGCCTCACTGTCAAGCAAAAATGGCATCCCGACATGAAGGCTTCGGAGAAACGCTTCCATCGCGCATATTGGCTCGCAGCTAACATGTTGCCGCTTAACCGCATATTGAACAACAGCCTGGTGCCCGAAAGGCCACACGGCTTACTCGAAGACGACGAAGGCGACAGCTTCGTAGTTACAGAGGAGGACCTACAATACAAGTGGACTGAAGGAACAGTAACAGTAGAGAATTCAGAGAAGATCTGGCAGAAGCTTGTCGATGAAGTGGATGCGCTGAGTTTGGAATCGCTCGACTTTGAGCATCTTGCTACTGGTGGATCTGAGAGGGCCTTTGTGGTTGATTGAGATTTCGAGGAGGCACGTCGTCAATACAAGACGGCTATGGACTCCCATGATGAAAAGAAGGGTATTCGAGAAAGGAAATAGCCAAAGCTGAAGACACCAAAGTCTCATTGCAGACAAAAAGCAAATTAAAATATGAAAACACCTCTGACGGTCTGTTACAATCTGCGAGCATTACGAAGCAGGACGTTTTTCCAGGCTATACACGAAGCACTAAATCCCCTGTAAAGGGTCTTTGCTGTATTGCCAGGTGGGATTACAATACATTACACTAACAGTGAAGAAAAGAACGAACTTGCTCGTACTGCTCTGTTTCTTAAATGTATCAAGCCGAAGCCCTGGATGGCACTAAAAATAATCTAGCTTATCTGCCAGTCGTCACGATACAGATGTCTCTCTCTATCAACCATACCTGCCACTACTCATCAATGTCTTCCTCCTGCACACTCAACGCATCGACACTATCCGCAAGGCTCAAACCCGTTCCACCTGCCCTCAACGATGGTTTCTTCCCTTTTCCCTTTGTCCTCTTCTTGTTCTTCGCTCCACTGCTTTCACCCACCGGCGGCGCGTCCCTAACCCAGCGCGAGATGGCTTCCGCCCTCTCCGTACTGATGGGATACTCGCGACCGTTGTCCTGCGCCCAGCGCTTGGGTGGTGTGGGTTGCGGCGACACTGGATTCCCATCTGCATCGCTAGGAGGAGATTGCTGTCTCTTCTTCTCAGCTTCCTCATCTTCTCTGTTTCGGCGTTCTCGTGCGCGGACTGCACGTTGGAAGCTTTCCTCGTCAACGACGCGTTCGTCGGCTAGGGCTTCGAGTATGGCCTCGTGCTTTTGACGTTCGCGACGTTGAGCGTCAGTTTCGACGCCGCTGGAACCGTTCATGCCATTCTTTCCTGCCAGGTCCGTAGAGCTGTTCTTGCCACTGCCGCCGTGGCCAGGTAGAGGTGCCGGGCGGCAGAGATTCTCCCAGGACGTGGATAAGCCGATCCAGTTTCCAGCTCGTCGGAGGACTTCGATCCAGTCTGCACGTGCAGGAGATCGCGCAGCGAGGAAGATAGGGTAGCCGTCGCAGACACGGGCCAGGCGAGCGGCATTGTGGGCATGTCGGAGGTGTTCTTTGGGGGGTGTTTGAATGAGTGCATGGCAGAGGAGAAGACTGTGCAGGGCGTCTGTAATGAGGGGATGGTAAGTTATGCTCTCGTGACTATCAGCAAAAGCGGTGGCTGCTGCTGAGGCCGGGGTTTCGGAGGAGTTGCGGGGTGGTGGGTAAGGGGGTAAGGAGGTTGGAGGGGCAGCGTCGAAGAGCTGGGAGACTTTGAAGATGTCAGGTGGAGGGAGTTTAGGCCATGATGCGCGGTCTGAAGAGGACTTGGCAGGACCACGATGGGGCACGAGGGCTTCGGATATGGGTGACGAAGCGCCATTTGTCTGCTCTATTAGGCGATTCATATTTGGTTTGATCTTGTCATTCGGATAACCGTTCGCATTGCTGTTGGCCGAATTGCCTAACCTACGCAGGAACTCTTCAGCAAGCTCGGCAGAGATGCCAGGGGTATAGTCGAAGTGAGAGAGGAAGGCGACGTAGTCTCGAAGAGCGCGCTTGGCGTTCTGGCGGACTTGCTTGCGGGCTTCTAGACGCAGGTGATTGCCGTGCGCTTCTTCTGGTGTCACCGGATCTGGTTCTTTGCCTTCAGCGATCTGAGCATCACGCCAAGCCTTTGCCTCTTCGGCTGCCTGTAGGCCATCTAATGCAGCATTGACATGGCCGCATGCTATGGTAAAGTATACGCCAGCGCGATGGAACAGTAACTGTGTCTCAAGCGAACTAGGGTGGTCTTCGTCAGGGATCTTAACCTCCTGTCTCCAATCTCTCCCGTACTGTTCCTGAAGTGTCTTTGCTAGCACCAGCTGGTCCTTGCCCGCTCGATGCTGCGCCATGATATAGCGTGCGGTACTCAAAGCCTCACTCAGATCCTTGGCCGAGTTCACATAGTCCTCCTTGAAGATTCTTGTCAATGCGCGTGTTCGCAGGGGGCTCCCGTCGTTGGGTCGCTCGCTGATGATTTCATTCAAAGTATCCAAAGGTGTACATTGTGCCATCATGCGGCTGGGAATCTTCTCGTGGAAGAAGTGGACGTACTTGGCGTCGATATTGTTGGGCTCGCGCTGCAGCACCAGGTGCGCGACGTCTTCCAGCGTGCTTGCGCTCTGCATGGTAGCTACACTGGCGGCAATCTCGTCGAGATGGTATGCCTGGCTCAGCTTGTTCGTCGCCAGCTCGCGCATGCGGTGTTTCCGCTCTCTACTCAGCTTCGAAGTCCCGCCTCCCCCGTAGCCTATCCCCAGCGCCGCCGCGTTCCCAAGCATACTGTTCCCATTATTGAGGCTGTTGCTGAGGGCGGCCGACGTCAAGCCCGACGTGGCGCGCACAGCAAGGTTGGTGGCCTCGTCAACCGCCTTGCGGATCTTGACAAGGTCGTAGAAGACGGCAGGGTCAATGGGGTGCGGGCGCGGGGAGAGGTAGTTGCTATGGGCGAGCGACTCGAGGACCTCAGGGGGAAGCTGGAGCCAGGGGCCGTGGAACGAAGAGATGTAGCGCCAATGCCTATAGTGCCGCTATTAGGGTATTGTCTCTCTGCATCAAGACGGCAGTACCCGCCCAAACTCACTTGTTGCGACAGATGATGAGGGCAGACGTCGAGGGCTCGCTGGCCGCCTTCTTCGCTGCGGCTGCCCCGTTGCTGGCGGGCGGCGGCGTCGACGAGGCGCTGCCGCTGGGCGCCGCATCGGCCTGCGCGCTCTTCTTCTTGCGCGCCATGTTCCAATCTTCTGGATATGCAACTCTGACCGGGGACGTCTGCTCTGCACTGGCCTCAGAGATGCCCTATCGATAATAAATTTCGTCTTGGCGTTAGCGCGGAGACGGAGCTTGCGTCGCTGTCTCCGACACGGCACTCTTCACCACCACCTCTCACCTCCGCCGCCCTCGTCGCCATCCTCCATCACCTTGCGCCTTCTTTCCATCGACGTGCGGCGTCCTCCTACCACCGTGACCATGGTTACAGACCGCGGCTGCCACGGCCGCCCTTCGCCTTGATGCTTGGCAAGGGGGAAGTAACGGCTTCCTGCAGCGCTTCTTCTCTAGCGCCTACCCCACTGGTTCTTTGCAGGAGCGTTTGCGACAACGACGACGCTCTCATGCTGTCATGCTCTCACCCTTCCTATATCCAAATATCTTTCCTTAGCCGAGACATCTGATCGCCCATTACAACCACCAGCGTCGCCGCCACATGCCAGGCCACCATGCACAACCCCTCTTTCGGTACACATCCTACTCCGCCAGCCAATCATCCACTTCTTCACCCATCATAGTGCTGTCGACACATGGTCCAGCCTTCGATTTTCTCACGGCTTTCCGACATATCGCCGTCATTGGCGGGACTAAGTCGCTGGACGGGCTTCTGTCCGGAATATATGCGAGAGTCGCTGCATGGTGGCTTTGCCATCTCCCACACCAACTAATACGCCGGCGATATGTGCCGTTCCTGACTGCATCGATGGATCGACGCACGACCTTGACCTGGTTTGCTTACTGTTTAGGCGATGCGATTAGCAGAGGCAGTCCCGCCTTGGCCATGGCTAGACTACTCAGTATACCGTCTCTTGGCTTCGACAAGCACGCTGGTTCCGCCTTAACCATCAGCCAAGCCAACGAGTGCGGGGAACGCTGTAGAGGCAACGGTACTGATGTTGAACTCATACTGACAACCTCAATCTCAAGCTCTTCTTCTTATCAGCGGACGACCTTCTGCATACGGAAAGACATGATATCGCAAACAAATTTTGTAACGGACATGGCCCATGCAATCAAATTATCGCATCCACATCCTACACCATCATGGAAGTCGTTGGGAGGTTGTTTCGACCTCTACCTTCCGGAACGGCTTAGCGAGAGCCGTCTTGCAGCAACATGGAGACCGTCCTCATTGGCCCAAATCCTGTTGGTCACACTGCATGCATCTATCGTTTGCGCCAACTCATCCCGCTCGGCACGTGCATGTGCTGATGCACTTTCACTCAGATCAAGTTTGCTGTTCATCGTTGACATGTAAGAGATGGCTGCTACACTAAATCATGTGCAGTGTGCATCAGCGCGACATAGTGGTCCGATTATGAGCTTCGTAGCATGCCCTTACAGATTGGAATTGGAACATTCAGTTCGGTCGCGGATGGAACTGAACCGCGATGTAACTACAATTGCGTATGTTGCTGACGAATGCCTTGCCGTTGAAAATTGCCAAGTTGCTTTCGCGTGGCGCTGGTCGTCTCGGTCTCGGTCTCATGAGTACAGCAACTCCATGCACGCCACTGAGGCTGATTGGCGCTCCATAACAGGTGTGATGCTTCAGTAAGGGCACCACAGTCCAGTATGTCTAGGTCGTGCCGCTACCAGTTGAGGGGTAAGAACAATCGGTCTTCATGCCGAACTTGAAACATCTGCGTGTCATGATTTCGGCGAGTTGCACAACGTTTCTACATCCTAGCGGTCATCGAAACAACTGCCGACTTGTGCAGGTTGAGGCTGAGGGATCACCGCTGTTGCGGACGTTTCGTCCCAACTTTCGATCACCCGCTGCACTGACACGGCACACGCTCCGTCCGGGAGATACTCGACAAGGATTCTTGGCCATCTATTCGTGGAGCTTGACACAAAGCTTAATTCAATGCGCTAGCGTCCGACTTCAACCAGGCCTGCGCGGGGTGGCTGACGGAAGCTAGTTCAGCGTTGATGAAGTGTATTGCGGGGTAATTCGACTCCCAAAGATCTCGTCTCTTGCAGACAGTCACCTCAGAATGCAATGAGGGTTAACTGGCATCGTCTTATCAAGTTGAATCCAAGCAGTTTGCGCTGTTTCATGGTATTTCAGATGGGCTCAGGGAAAATGTCAAATGTGACCGAACCCTGGGTTTCCTATGCTTAGACATTTCGGCAGCATGACAAGCGCTTGTCTAATCTCTTAGTGCCCCCTGCTGCTATCGGCAGCGTGACTATGTCTTTGCGCCTCAGTGGTGTATTACGACAATATCATCGAATCGCTACTACGTCAATTCTCCACTCGTCCTACAGCTTGCGCCTCGGTCCCTCAACACGGAAGGTCGAGATTTGAACAGGGTATCACGTATGCCAGTTGCAGTTCCCTTCCTTGATTGGATATCACTAGACCCGCACGCCGATGTCCATTTGCCATGATTGGTAGTACCCCGATGCGAGAGCACCTGGACGTTCTCAGCATGTTTCCATGCGAGTAAGCGGGTAGAAGTGGGTGTGTTGGCAGGCCATCTAGTAGGTTCAGCTCCTGCGCTATGGCTTCAGGACCCGGTTGCATCGATATGAGGCTACCTTGCCGTTGATAACGCCGTTTTCCAGGATGCGTGGAGTATATCTTTGCCGCAAAGTACACTGTGTTGCCCCTCAGTTAGCCTCCTCGACTGCTCAACCTTTTTTGATTCCCCATATCTTGATTGTTCATTGTTCGGTTGCTATTTGTTTGCTTCACGTCAATTCATCATGGAGTTCTTCAGAAAGCAGGCCAAACGGAGTCGAGAAGCGATAGCCACCGACACTACCCTTCAGCGTACAGTACGGTATGGTAACAAGGCTGTTCGTGCCGCTCCTTCGATTGCGGGCCAATACCTGCTTCAAAAGGCGCCCATCATCCAATGGTTGCCAAAGTACAATCCACGATGGCTTCTCAACGACACGCTGGCCGGTATTACTGTCGGCGTGCTCCTCATCCCTCAGTCTCTGGCATATGCCAAGATCGCGACAATACCTGGACAATATGGACTCATGTCAAGCTGGCTGCCAAACTTTCTCTACCTTGTCATGGGAACATCTAAAGGTAAGCCATCCAACTGGGGCCGAGATTGACCGCTAACACCGATGCCAGACCTGTCCACTGGTCCGACTTCGCTTATGGGTCTGTTGACGGCAGAAATCATTGCAGATGTTACTCAAGACGGATACTCACCACAAGCAATCGCTTCCGCCGTTGCCATGTCCGTCGGTATCTACTCTATGGCGCTAGGCTTGCTCAAGCTTGGTTTCCTACTAGAGTTTATTTCCGTGCCCGTTTTGAGCGGCTTCATCTCCGCCGCCGCCATCGTCATCATGCTCGGCCAGATCCCTTCGCTGTTCGGCATCTCTGTCGGGTCTGGTACGGCCAACATCATCCATGACCTCTTCGCCAAGATACCCCAGTACGACGGTCCGACATGCGGAGTCGGTCTTGGTGGTTTGCTGATGCTATATCTCATGCAGAAGATGGGACAGCGCTGGGGCAAGAAGAACAAGGCTATATGGCTGTTGGCGCTTGGTCGCAGTGCTGTGGTACTCGTCCTCTTCGCTGGCATATCGTACGGAGTCAACAAGGACATCGACCTCGAGAACGATGACCCTGTCTGGGCACTGAGCAAAGTCAAATCTGATGGCATCGCAACACCTCGGATGCCCGACTCAGCTCTTATCGGAAAGGTGTTTGCTAGAAGTATTGCGCCCTTCATTGCTGCAGCACTTGAGCACTTGGCTATTGCCAAAGCCTTTGGCCGCAAGAATGGATACGTCACTGATGCCGCACAAGAGCTGGTCTACCTTGGGTTTACCAACTTCTTCAACTCCTTCTTCTCATCCATGGCAGTAGGGGGCGCCATGTCACGTACCGCTGTCAACTCAGAGTCTGGCGTCAAGTCTCCGGCATACGGTCTGATTGCTGGTGGCGTCGTCATCCTTAGTATCTTCAAGCTCTCGCCAGCACTATACTGGATCCCCAAAGCCACACTTGCCGCTATCATCGTTACAGCAGTCTGGCACATTGTAGTTCCCCTCAAAGTGTTTTACGGATACTGGCGAACCTCGCTGGTCGACTTCACTACCTCAATGCTAGCCTTCTGGCTTACTCTCTTTGTCTCATCAGAAGTCGGCATTGGCACGGCTGTTGGGTTCAACATTGTCTACCACCTTCTCTTCATGGCATTCCACCGCGTCCACCGCCTCACTTCTGTCGAGGTAACCTCTCACGGCCGCCAGTCTGGCATGCATGCCACCCCTCTTGATACCCAAGTTTTCCGCATTCACCAATCCATGCTTTTCTATAATGCTTACCACATTAAAACTCAATGCCTTGACGCAGTCCAGACTTTCAATTCTGGTGATGTGGCTACCCTCGAGGCTGCCCACGCAAACCGCAACTGGAGCGTTGCAGGAAAAGATCGTGCCTTGCGTCTACGCACCAAAGCCGAGATTTTGGAAGAACCTGTTCAGATCCGTAGTGTGGTGCTGGACATGTACGCGATGCACAACATAGATACGACTGGTCTTACCCATCTCAAGGATCTCAAGGCAGATATTGAAGCGTATGGCGGAAAGAACACACAGTTCAGACTTGTGGGCTTGAACGATCGCGTCCGTGAGCGCTTTGCGAGGTTCGGATGGCAACTCCGAGGCGCGACTGAGATGAACAAGAAAGGCACGGTAGTGTATGACACTGTTGAAGAAGCTGTCTTCCGTCGCTCTAGGACGTTTTCGTCGGATGAGATTGAGGTGGAACCTACTGAGGTGTTTGTCGTTGGGAATGAGAAGAGCAAAGTGTAGATGAAATGTTTGTGATACGCATGCTGGATGTGCAACGTCTCTTCTTCATTATTCTCTCACTATGCAAGTGTAGTTACACAATCCTATGGCAATCTCTCTGTTATTCTTCTTACTGAGTTGTGGCATTGAACTTTTATACACAAGTCATGATTCGCAACCGAGCGATGAAACATCTCGTCTTCGTCTAAACATACCAAACTCTCGTCACTCTCTGCCTTTCGTCTTCTCATTCCTGTGCATTATCAGTTATTTCAGCAAGACTACCAATCATCTCTCTACAGTACATCGTGTTACCCATCTTCTACTCCGCCTCGCCCCGTAATGAGTTCACGGTGCTGGATGTTTGATTCTTATCCAAGTGAGATAGTACCACGCGAACCGTATGTGTAAGTCTAAAGATGATCTCTTTGTTGAGTTGGTCAAGATTCAGAAACATTTCTAGCCACGAAGTTGGAGCAGGGTGACTCTGGGAATACATATGGCTTTGTACCCTCAAAAGAGTTGTGTCAGGACATGATGACAGGACACAAAGCTGACGGTAGCGCCTTGGGAAGGCGTACTGGCCTGCCCTCATCTCGGTAGTAGGTTTCAAAGCTATCTTTTTCTTGGCTGTACAAGAGTATATTTCCCAGAAGTTCGTTTCCGAGCGGAAGACGAAAGCGAAGCAAGCGGATCGTCTAGCTCTTCTTGTGAACAAGTAAATGTGACATCTAGAGTTTTGTGTATTGATCGTGGGAGTGTACAATTCTTCTCGCGACTAAGTGAGTATGCGGTCTGAAGAACTAGGCCTCCATTGTGGGAGCGATATCACTTTCGCTGTTAACTCAGACTTTAAGGGTCTAGGTATCCTCGAGAGCGATCGCTTGGTGTCTTCTTTCAGATTTGGGGAAGAAGTTAGTAATGTCGGCGGGTCGTTATCAAGCTCAAAACAGCTGTTCGGACGAGCAGGTGCCCAGGTGGTGTTAGTGCTCTAGGAAGCACATCAAGGCCCCTTTGGACTTCGTTGGGTTTCTCATTTCCTAGAAACGTCGTAGCAAGCGAGATCGAGAACGTTATTTGACTCTGTGGCTCATGGCTGGAAAACCCACTGTGATCGTATCGTCAACTAGCGAGTTAGTCTTCGTCCTGTAGGCAGTGAGTGCAGAGACAACAGATACAGGCTTAGTTGGCGACTTGGTTTTCCATCCTGGAGGAGTATACTACGAACAGATTCAACATCACTTTCTCCGCTACTTCGATCCGGTGAGCATAACGTGAGATAAGGCTGTTTTGTCTCTCCTGTGCCACCTTAGACAGACGACAGTCGTTCTGGAAGGCATGTGGGTGCCAGATCGTATCATAAACATCCGTAACACGTCCCAGCACTGATTGAATTTCACAACGGCTCTGGTTCCGGACTTGAGATACAGCCATCGGTAACATATCGTGGAATCGGATTGTCCGGCACGTATGAATCCCTCGAACAGCTGGTGGTAGGCGAGTCGAAGATTGAATGTTGCCATCTTTCTACACGTTGTGAGCAGATTCAAGAAGATGTACACGAAACAGTGCCCGCCTCGTCCTGATCTCTATCTTCGTCCATATCACTTTGCATCACTGCATTTGATACTTTTAAGAATCAGGTGCCGAATTTGGCCTCATAGTAATTTCCCATCTCCCGAAAGGCGCTACCTCCTTCTTATCTGGTCATACACTCCTAATGCGACGAGTGACCGGCTGTGCATGTTGGCTTGAACACCTTTTGATGTTGACAAGTGGAACTAATAATTGCCTTGACGATGCCGAGTAACTTGCAAGGTTTGCTGCCTGACTCTGGTATCATTTTAGCTTTCGATGATTGACTTTTGGTCAGCATACTGAAAGCTTCTTTTGTGCTTTGAGGTAAGTGTGCCCAATTGAGGAGGCACTTCATGTTGGAACCAGTGCATAAGTGTCGCTATCTTGAGCGCCCTGCAGTGATCCAGAGAATACAATTATTGTGAAGGGGGAATTTGCCTTGTTCCGCAAGTATCGGCGTTCCTTCCGCGGAACTCAGAAATTATTGGACAAAGGCGAGCTCAAAGGGCGTCCCCCCTCCGGAGAGGTGTCGGAAGAGAGCCTGAAGTGATAAACGCAAAGAAAAAGAAACCAACCGCATGATGCAGAATCAGCGCGTAACAAGCGTGACAAGAAACGAAATGGTGTTGCGGTTGGACAGAGCCGACGACAACGGCAAACCTCTGGAGAATGTTGGGAAAGAATATCTACGTCATCGGCTGCGGACTAGTGGAAACAGGAATAGCGCAGGAGCGATCGGTGTGAGCTTGTCTGGGCAGAATTGTGAACATGATTTTCTGTTTGCATGAATGTATTGCTTTCTATAGCATGGGGTATCGATGAATCTCTTTAACGGCATAGATAAAAGCCAACTTTTAGTGAATCGTAATCTTCCGCTTACTTAGAACATTTGTCTGTTCTTCATCTCCACAGGCAAGAAGCACATCAACAGTGCAGACAGCCAGATACCACCAGCACCTAGCCAAAGGATACCGGAACTATTGTCAGCAAGAAGCTGAGCACCCGCGTATGGTGCGACAATTCCTGCAATACGACCTAAGCACGAAAGCATGCCGCTCACACTGCCGCGGTAGACGGTGTCGAAGAGTTCCGGAGCGGACGCATATAAGACGGCATTGAAATACTAAACTTCTATTAGTATTAAAAGTAGTGACGTTTGGAGACCGCACTTACAGTTTGCATGATATATTCCAAGGCGTTCAAACCCACATAAGCCGCAGTGTTAGACACCTGGGTGTACATGGCCATGGAAACACCCTGGCAGAGAGCGGAGAAGACCAGAGACCATTTTCGGCCAACAAGAGGCAACTGGATAGACGCAAGTGCGAGGATAGCACCGATAATTCCTGGGAAGTAGATGATGAGGTACTGCTCATATGTGTCGCTCACGGTTCCCCGACCCTCGTCGACATTGTTGCGTAACAGGATAAGTGGAAGGAAGCTACCCGCGAGGTTGAAGGACCAGTAGTCGCCCTATCCATTGTTAGCAAATATCAGAATTTCTGCGAGTGATGATGCTCACCATGTATGTGATCGCAAGTAAGACGAAAATAAAGGCGGATAGTTTGTTAGTAAAGATACCCTTGAGGCGAGTCAATTCTTTTCCAAATCCGCTAACGACCTTCTTGGCAGTGGTCTTGGTGTCTTGAGGGCCTTCGTCTGACACTCGTACGCTTGATGTAGCATTGGAAGAAGCATCATCTATGGCAGCGAACATCTCCATGGTCAACGTCGGGGCCGGTTGCTTGTTGAACTTTGCAATCTTGTGCAGGACATCGAGAGCCTGCTGCTCTTTTCCTCTCGCAAGCAAGAACTTAGGCGACTCATGGAAAGTGAAGACGAAGTAGCGGAGGAAGAACACTGCCAACGTCATGCATCCAAGAACGATGACAGTGTAGCGCCATCCCATGTTGCTGTCAACTGTGCAGCAGGCTTCTCCAGAATTGACGCTGGGGCAAGCTGGCAAATCGGGATCACAGCGCCATTTGGCTTGACCGGTGGTACCGTAGGCAATGCAAGATGCAATCGCAACACCGATTGGTTGCCACATGGAGAGAAGGGCGACGAGGAAACGTCGGTTATGAGGTAGAAACTCGAGTGCTATGGTTGCATCAATCGGGATGTTGCCTCCGAGACCAAGGGACGCAAGGAAGTAGATAGCACATATCGCACCATAATTGTACTTGGGGGCAGCCTGGTTACTGGTCAGTTTTTGATTGCAGAAAAGGCGATTTTTGTTCGCGTACCAGCAACAGCCCAAATATTGAAGTGATAAGGCAAGTGAGGTTAAAAGCCCATTTACGACCGATAATATCGACGGCAAGGCCAAAGCCAAGCGCACCAACAGCCAGTCCTGCGTTGGCAATTGCAAAGATATCTCCAGTGTGTGCATCAGAGACTCCCATCTGTGGATACTTTAGCACGCGTTACCTGCTTGAGGTTGCGCAACTCACCTCCTGATAGATGGCTGAGGCAATCAGACCAACACCTTGTGACCATGCGAGATCAAGAAAGTATCCAAAGCCACAGAGGAACCAGATGCATATTTGGTACCTTCCCATTCCGAACTTATCGAGTTCAACATTGATTAAAGCGGCCTTCTTCTCGAAGGTATTGAGCGGGTTTGCGGCAGTGCCTTTGAGAATTGCAGCAAAGGACAAGTCGGTTTGGTCGACACGCTCTACGTCGTTGTAGATTGGAATCTCGACTTGAGGGCGCGCTTTCTCTGGGTGCTCGACAGGTATCTTCTCGGTCTCGGGAACCTCGACTGGTATTTTCTCATCATCGCTGAGGTGCGCTTTGCTGCGCTCCGACAGATTGGCGTCCATCTCGGTGGCGAGTGAGCGAGCAGTGATGTGCAGGGTATTGTCAGGTGACCTCACGTAGATTGAGTAAAGAGTGGTCGCCTCGTGGTAATGGCAGGTTACAGGACCGGTACAGTGGGACGAGGTATTATACATATGCGCGGGGAACACCCAGCCCTCTCACGCTACCACCAAGTACTCGCGAAAACGGATCTAAGCGATAGAGGCGCTACCATCTAATCGCTGATCTGAGCCTTGTCCGTTCAACGGCCCCCGTCTCCAAGACGGCTGAGGTGCAGCTGATAGGATCTAATTGGTTGCCACCAACTGATGACGACATCGCAAGCGGCCCCGTCGCACGACCTTGTCTGGCCTTGTCTCTTGCATGGAGCTGTAACTTCGGCATGGCCGTGTAGCTACAAACTCTGAACAGAGCTAACGAGATGCACTAACAGCGTAGGTACGCCAAACACCTGATAGGTTTACGTCTCCGTGGTAATGCGGTTGTAAGACCCAGGCGGCGACACCAAACCATATGCACTATGCAGTGCTCAGACCAACGTATCCGCTCAAGGCTGAAGGTTACGCAGTCAGCTCAGCTGCCGCGTCAATTTCCAGCACGCTTGTTGCTAATTCTTCTCCACTCTCCTTCACTCCACTTTCACTTATTGCCGTGGAGCTTCAATACTAGTTTTAACACCGAGATCTCGCTTTTCGCCATAGTCTAGCCTCCCATTTTTCCAAGATCTTGAGTTCATGATCAGAGGTCTATGCCAGACATGGTCTAGCGTCAAGCCAGACAACGCCACCAAGCAGTACTTGCGTAGCCCGCTTCGGCTATCTGGCAACCGTCTTCACGTCACGATCAATGTGTTTTTTCATCGTATCCACTACTAGGGAAGCGAACTTGACACAGCTGTCTCAAAGCAGAACGTACGCCTACTTAGACGTTGTTGCATTGATACAAGCTACTACAAAGATAGGGACCATGAAGGTAGGAGAATCTGGTTAAAGAACATTATCTCACGTGCTATTTACTGAGATTCCATCTCCCATGTATGTGCCTGTCTACCTTCCCAGTCCTATTATTCGACCACCTCAACGATGTTGTCCCTCTTTGGCAGAGGAATGCAAGCGTCCCTTTGCACAACAAGTCCCGATCTGCCGGTTGAGGTGCCAGTCAACGCCTTCCGCAACTGGTTCAAAATCGTAAACTCGGTACGGAGCTTTACAGCATACACAGCAACCTTGTAGAAGCCTTGAAGGTTAAAGTACCCACTGAAACACAACCCCATAACGCTGCAATCGAGTATGATTATAAGAACATTGACAGCGATGAGATTCCGAAGATTGGTACGCGTGGTATGGCGACAGTTGCCAAGAAGTTCCATGTTTTTGAGGTATTTGGCAGTTTCGCAGATGTAGAGAATGTTGATAAGGGTCTGCAAATGTGAAAACACCAAGTCAGTGCGTGTCTTACATGCATTTTGGTGCAGGCACAACTTACCTCTTGGACGAAGAACGCGGAGACTTGCACTTTGTCCCAGGTAACATTGGCGTGGTGAAGTCGTGCTGTGAATTTTGGGTGACGCTATGATCGATTAGTATGGCACAGTGGCTTGCGACGAATGACGTGCAGCAATCATTCCGAGCAAAACTGTAGTGAGGCCAAATATGAACGAGTCAATAAGGATCATGTAGAGGACATAGCGTCCGATTTGCGTGTTCCTTAGTACGAGGTTGAGGCGAGAGTAAAGGACAAGTGACTGAGTGACCACGTATGTCAACCACGCCAGCTCAACCACGACAATAGACGAATACGCTTCCCATATGTGGAAGTTGAGTAAGAGGATCTCGATGCCGTGAACGATAAGACCCCAGCTGCACAGTAGGCAGCTCCAGACGTACAAGCTGCGGCTTGTGGTCCTGGTGAGCAGGCGAACGTTGAGCTCGATGCAGAGGTACAATGCGACTCCCAAAAACGCTGCTGCGGTCATGGAAGACGGAAGGCCGCCAAATTCGGTTACTGCCGCGTGGATAACGTCTTCTGAGGTTGTGGACATGATGGCGAGCTTGAAGAAGATGCGCGTGGATTATGTCTGCAATATGTACCACAGAGTCGAGTTTGCTGATCTGAGCGAGGTAAACGAGAGTTGATGGAAGGGTGGACTGGCATAAAGAAAAATTTGAGTCGACGAACGAGGTTTCGCGGACCGTGCCTTCCTCAATCACCTTCATCTTCACCGTGACTACCACTTTGGACTTGACACCAACGAGGCGATGGTGCATGCGAGCACGTCGTACCTACCGAGCAGTCTGTTCTACCTAGGTTCTCTCTTATAGCACGGCAGAATGTTATGGATGTGTGCTGCTATCCGGCAAGCAGGATGGTGAAGTAACCATAGTCGAAAAGTAGAAATATTCAATGGGATGATAACTTTTAAGATCTACCTGTTCTCTAGGTGTAACGGGTGACAGATCATGGTATCAGCCACCATTATGCTGTGAAGATCATGTGTTCTCGTGTTTCATGCCTGAACGGCTCACTTCCCCGCATGTGTGTTGATCCCAGCGACGTTCTCCTGTCTGCTCAAGATCTTCTTAGGTCCCCAAGTACCAGCTCTACCACCAGTGTCAACACGATCCTTCTTGGGACTTATCCTCTCACCACCTCCAATGCCTCCACCGATCTCGTTGACGTTCTTGGGAGCAGTAGCCATCTTGAGGGTGGACAGAGAATTCAATGGTATCGCGGGAGTGCTTGCAGAGCCACTACCACCGCCGCTTCTCTTGCTCTTGGGCTTCCTTCCAACTGAAGTCTCAATCCAAGCACCTCCCTCCTTCTTGGCCCTGCGCTCAGCCTCTTCTTTCTCGCGCTTCATACGCTGCTCTGCCTCTCGCTCTCTTGCCGCCCTATCGCGTGCCTCACGTCGAACGCGTTCCTCCTTGGCCCGCAGTTCTGCTGCCTGTTTCTCTCTCATGGCACGCTCGCGAGTTTCGTAGGCTTTGGCAAACTCGTGCTGCTCGAATCGGATCTGAGCTTCGGCCTCGATGCGGGCCTCAAGCTTGATGCAGGGGTAGCAAGGGAAGTGCGACGGACGGGGCTTGTCGTCTTCGCTGATGTCTGGGCACACTGTGTTGGAGAGAAAGCCTGTGCGGCACATTTCGATGTATGGGCGGTCAGAGAGGTGGTTGCATGTGTGCAGCTTCTTCCAGTAGAGGCACATGTTAGATAGACCTAGGTACAGTCAGCAACTAGTGGTAGATACGAGTTTAGATGCACTCACGTCGCCAAAGCGTAAACTCAGATTGAGACGAGTCGGTGCTGGTACCTCTGAGGGATACTGGAAGAAGGGAAAGCAGATAAGGGCGTAATAGTTGTCACTGTAGACCTCAAGACGGTTGGCAAGTCACATCAGTGAGGTGAGAGAAGGTGGCTTGTCGCATGTGACTGGCAAGAGCGCCCAAGATAGGTGAGAGACGATGGCATGCGAGGGAGGAGCGGTCCTGCCTCAACTGGGAAGGCAATGACAGAGCTCAGGCACTAAACGGCAACTAGACAAGGACGAGTTCTGGTGCATGGCTAAGGCCAGCGGTACGAGATACTGAAACTTTAAAGGGTATATCCATCGCATTATGCGGACCGCCAGCAATTTGGTGTGCATCTGTACACACGCCTAGCGTATCCTACCTACCCTGAAACATGCGCAAGACAGCATGTCGCATCCAAGCGATGCCGCCAAAAACGGACCTGAAAGTACACGGAGAGTGGCGGGGAAGGACGCAAAGACATCTACGCCTTCATCTTTCGTCGCATCTCAGGGCGGGCGCCACGGTGCTCGACCTCGGTGATGCGGCTACCGCCTATCTCCTTGATCTTGGCCACAAGGGTATCGGTCTGATCAAGCTCTTCAATATCGTCGCCACCTCCAATGCTCTTGCCCATCAGTAGAATGTTGGGCACTGTCCGCCGACCTGTAGACTTGTGTAGGAATGCTTGTAGTTGTTGGCCTATTGGGCTTTGATCGAGCTCAACGACGTAGGGTTCGGGTTTAATGTTGTATTTTTCGATGAGAATGTGTTTCGCTTTCTTCGAGTAAGGGCAGTAGGATTTAGAGAAGATGATCACTATGGTTGGTTAGTGACTACGCGTGAGACAGGGGTAATGCAGGAGTAGCGTACTTGGGCTCTTCTTCAAGATGGCATTGAGCTCCATCTCAACTTCATGGTCTTCGAGTGTCTCATTCTCCTTCATCGCTGCTTGGTCGTGCGGTCTACCGCCCTGTTGCGCGACGCCAGGAACCTTGTCGCCATCCATCTTGACTCTGCCCGCAACGCTCTTCTGATCTTGACCCTCAACCTGGACCTTGTGGTCTGCGTATTTGTTCTCGGCGTTCTTCTTAGCCTGATCCTCAGCAGCTTTGAGTCGCGATCCGACGCTCTCCGCGTCGCGTTGCTTGGCCGCTTCTGCGTATTCTTTCTCTTGTAAGGCTTGTTGCGTTTTTGTATAGAAATCCGATGATTGTGTTTGGTGTGCTGCTCTTGACATGTAGAAGAGGACAACAATTGTGGTGACGATGAGGATGCCAAAGAACTTCGTGCGACGTTGTGAGGGCATGATGGCGACGTGTGTACGGGTTGGATATGTGTCGTTTGGTGAGCGGGCTCGTTCGTGCTCAGAACTTGCTAAGCTAATGTATGGCTCGAATGCTGCCAAGTACCAATGGCGCCGATAGTATGTAGTCTCGGGTATATGGGTTGATGAGGTGGTGCTGGTAGAATCCGAGGCTCGAAACAGTTTCCCAGGCTGCAAGTGTCGCACGAGCAGCGGATTAGCGAGCGCGGGCGTACAGACGCGTGCTATCGATTGGACGTTTATGATGCGTGTGGCATAATCCTGGGAGAAGACGTGTACAGAAAAGAGGTACACTATAACGGCTATTGTCGTTGAGGCAGTGCGATGGTTTAGAGTGTGTTGGAGGGTTGGTGGGCCCTTTGGAAACAATGTGGAGAGATGGTGGCCCTGGCTCCTGCTTTGGTTCGCGTCATGCCGCTTTCCGCACGTCTACTCAACACCATCCTTGTCACCTGCCCGCCTGCCAACGCTGTGATTCGCGACTCTACGCCACGGTGCCTGCCTAAATCCTTCCTTAGTCACGACGTGCCCTGGTTGCGACAGGGTCGCGTTGGCTTCTTCTTTGTTCGTGCACTGCCATATGGGCCTCATGTCCGCCTGGAACGCATTACATAAGGTTGCGTCGACATGTCAAAGTATCGCATCGCGTCAGGACAACTTGAATAAGTCCCTTGTTGAAGGCCCTCATATTAGCTTCACAGGCGCACCACTACAGAAGGCTCAAATGTTGTACTGTGCCCCCTCTGACCATCCATCCCTGACCGGTTGCGCTATCCAAGTGCGCCCGATGCCCCGTCGGAGCGTGACAGCGCGTTGAACTCAGAGGCCTCAGGGTTCGAGACCACAAAAGTCGGATCTTCTACTCCATGAAAGCACACACCTATTGCTTGCCGACTTGGTCTAAGAGCTATCTTATGCTCTACCAGATCTTACTCGAGGTATAGAGTAAGCTCCCCGCATCGTGGGTCTCACGAGGACATGCAGGCTGCGGCCAGGTTCTCCACAAACACGGCTGCAGTGCTGTACTGAGTTTAGCGCCCACCCATACCGCTTTCGTACATTCCGCTATTCACTCGAGAGTGGGATGCTTATAACAGATAAATTCGACAAGTAGTTGCGTTGCCTACTCTAGCATCGAGTACATCAGCAGATCACGCTTTCCCTAACAGCTCCACGCCTTTGATCGTTGCGTCATCTGCCAGTCCATTATGTCTCTGCCGACTCCGCACCTCTCATCAACGCCCATATCCATTGTGCCCTCTGCGTCCGAAGTAAAGGGTGGGAGGCTCGACCAACGCAACCTTGAGATCGCAATCAGAGCGCTCTCTAGAGATGGACTTGTAGTGCTGGAAGACATAGTTGATCATGCAGTCTTAGACCGACTCAACAAGAAAATGGTCCAAGATGCACTCGAACTGCAGGCAAGGAAGGACAGTCCCTTCAACTACAATAAAGGCAATATTCAGCAAGACCCTCCTATGACCAATGAGTGGTTCAGTGATGAAATCTACATCAGTAAGTGTTCAGTTCAGCTAGATTTTCGACCATCCAAACGCATACTAATGACAGATCACAGACCCGATTGTCACACAAGTCACTTCAACCACACTCGGTCCCGGACCTTCGTTGCGCTTCATGTCCGGAAACACTGCCCTGCCACCTACTGCTTCATCACCGCCAGCTTCTCAACCGACCCACAATGACGCAGATTTCGATCACCCCTCAATTCCTTTCGCTCTCGTGGTAAATGTCCCTCTCGTAACAATGACACCAGAGAATGGGTCGACGGAAATCTGGCTCGGCACACATCAAGGAACCACTATTGCCGACCAAGAGGGTGAACACGGCGATCGTGCTAGCGGAAGGATCAAGCAGCATCTCCTTGACGCTCGCCGCGAAGTCCGACCACCATCTCAGCCTGTTGTCAAGAAAGGCAGTATTGTCGTTCGCGACCTTCGGCTTTGGCATGGAGGAAAGCCCAACCTTGGTCAAGACCCGAGAGTTATGCTGGCAATGAGTAAGTCAACGCTGCCATTGTGTCTTCTACATACCTGAACTTTTGCAGTACACTTCGCTCCATGGTACAGGAACTCGATGCAAGTTGAGTTTGCTAAAGAGCTTGCCGACCGGTTGTCCTATGAAAAGACTGGTTTGCAGATCGCTGCCACTTACGTGTCTAGTGAGAATCTGCTTAAGAGTTACCTAAACAGGCCTTACGGCAACGCGTACGATTTCGATCAGACCGAGAAAATTGAGGGCATATTCTGAGATGAGTTTGATCACTTCTGATCACTATCTCTACGTCTGTTCAGTCACCAGGATTGCAACGTACTATCGTCACTATCTAAATATAGCAATACTCACACTCCGCTCCGCTCACTTGGCATTATAAATTCACATATATGATACCCCATATTTTTGCAGGATACCACTCGTGCAGTTAGAGGTGTGTCAGCACCACCGCCAAGAAACTACATGCGCGCATAGCTGGAGTCATTTTCCCATTGGCAGGGCGGCCTACGCGAAGTGCTCAGTAAGCTTCCATGGCACGTCAATCAAAGCACATGCTAAAGCTTGGCGACCGCTGAGCGAACATCAGCATCAGCATCAGATCATTCCACTCTGTATTCTCTTTCTCTAGTCTTGATTTCTTGTTCGTTCTCCTATTGATACTTCACCTTGTTTCCGCGGTTGTAGACCAATCTGATCGAATTCATCCTTAGTTACTGCAAAGCCCCGTCAATCACACTCGACCATGTACGTCTTACCGGACATCCAGGATATTCATGTCACAATGACACAGCCGATCGTCGAAATAAATGCCGGGGATGCCACCAGAGGTTTCAAAACAGCATTGGCAGTGGAGGTACCTTTGGTGGTCTTGGCTTTGAGCACCGTCATCCTGAGAGTGTACTCAAGACTAGCGATTAAGAGGAAGATCGCACCTGATGATGTTCTAATTATGTTGGGCACGGTACGTGGGGGACTAAACTAGCCCGTCGCTTTGTACAGCTCATGCCTGACCGAAGCTGACCACGACTAGGCAGCGGCTGTCGCACGTACCGTGATATCTTGTATGAGTGCGGACGACAATTGGGGCTACGACCGAAAAGGGTACGCATGGGGTGCATCGAATGATAGGATTTGTGCTGATCATTATGCTAGTCCCGATAAAACATCAGAAATCCCATTTTATCAAGTGAGTCATTCCCCTGGTGCATCGTAACATACTAACCTATGTTAGCACATCTTCGAGCGCCGTGTTGCGTACATCTTCGCTGTCACGTTCACACGGTTCTCGGTTTTGGCTTACTACCTTCGGATCTTCCCACTGGGAATGGCATCGCTCCGAACATGCTGTTACGTTCTTCTCTTCCTGGCGCTTGCGCATTTCATCGAAGTACTCACCGTCCTTATAGTCTTATGCGAAGACATTAGCAAGCTATGGACCAGGAACTGGCTCGACTTCACTGGATCACAGTGCTTCAGCTCCGCGATATATAGCTACTCTGCAGCCATTGGTGATAGTATAGTTGATAGCTTGATCTTCGCACTCCCGATTCCTTACGTGTGGCAGCTCTCCAAACTAAGGATCCGACAACGGCTTGGCCTCGTACTCATCTTCGGTCTGGGATTTGTCGTTTGTATTGTCGCCCTTCTCCAGATTCCATTCATCAAGCGTCGTGAAGGCAATATGCGGTATTTTGGCAGCGCTGTCAACATTTTGGTTGCCATTCAAATTTCATTTGCCATAATCGCAGCGTCGCTGCCAGATCTGCGCGCGTTGATTGCACGCAGCTTCTCGAAATTCTCGCCACTTCACCACCGCAGTCTCGCCACAGTTTCTAGCAGTGATGGAGAAAGACACCGAGGTGGTCGGAGTGACGTCGAGCAAGGATTTCCAAATCCGGACGCAGCTGAAGGCCTTTGTGCAGCGTCTGAGAGCAAGAAGCTGTTCAGAAAACCAGATTGGCTGAGGAATAGCATACCGGGGAGTTTGATGTCGACGGTGATTACACACAACGAGGTTAACAGACTCTCAACTGAGGACGTTTCGAGTCTCCCTCAGAGGCCAGAGAAAGCAGCAAACTGAAAGAAATTTGTGATTTATGAGCGGCCGTGCAGTTTGTGAAGGGAGGCTAGATAAAGATTGATGTTGCGTGATAGCAGTTTCTTCTTCTCTCAGATCTACATTTTGAACTAGAGGGGTGCGTTAGTGGTACGTTTATGTCCGAAACCCCCTTTCATCAGATGGAGGTGGTGCTAACGGCATGCAGCCGAGACTTACAGAACGCGCATGGCAACCCAAGATGTCGAGTCGTCAGCTAATGATAAGCCGTAACTAAGTACCCTCAGCTGCGGCATGATAGACAGATGTGATTCCAGCACGCTTGCTTGTCTGCGTCTTTCACCAGATGACTAAAGTCGTCAAGCTTTGCTCGGTAGACCAGATGTACTGTGTCTTGGACCTGTGTTAAGACAACGTTGCGAGATTTCTGATGTCAAGATAAGCCGTGTCTGAGAATTTGGAATACCGGATGTAGCTACTTCGTCAGCTGAGATGATTGCTACCACGTCTTGCAACATACCTAGGTACTCATGATGACGATTGGGTTTTCCGGCGGAAAGTGCTTCATTACCAGAGTCGACTGGACCAGTCAGTAAATACTCTTCATCGTGATATGCAACATTGCTTTCTTTCCGGACTGTCTATCACCCTATTGCGTCCGGTATATAAGTTGTACTTTGTGACACAGTGTTGTTAAAGACGGAATTGGAGACTTCCGAGGTTGCTAAGATGACAAAATCCTTGACTTGATCAACAATATGAGCTATACAATTTAGGCAGGCACTTCCAGCTTCAATGTGGTAAGTCTCCTAAATGGCTGCTTACACATCCCTCCATCACTCAGCTGGAAGCCGCTAAGTTAGCTTACATGCACGCGTCAAGAACCAGATGCGGCTAGACTGTCCGGATGTTGCTACCTCGTACGTTCTTCCAAATGCTCGGGACCAACCAAGCCACTAAGCATGTGAGAAGGCTTCCCGACGGCAGCGCTCTCCATGTCCTGTGCCTCGATATCGTCGGTGCATGAATTTGGAATTCAGGGTGGGTGCTATTTGCATCCAGCAATGGGAGATATAAGATAGTGCAACCGCGAAGATTTCGAGTCTGCATCCTATTTACCAACTACTTAGTTGTATCGCGCACCTGAACCCTGAGAATGGCACCCAAGTACGATTTCGTGATCGTTGGCGGTTCGTTCCCGTAGTCCTCCTATGCATCCTTCAACACTAATGGTTCTATCCTCAGGTGGAACATCAGGCTGTCTCCTCGCCCACCGACTCTCCCATTCGCTACGTAAACCCTCTGTTCTCCTCCTTGAAGCAGGCACCACCCCCTCTGGTGACTACCTCCGTGCGCCCTACCACCGTTACTACGCCCAAGCTCTCCGTCCAGATCTTGACCATGGCTACGTCTCCGAACCCGAGCCCGCTTTGAACAGCAGAAACATACCGTATACAAGAGGCAAGGGTCTGGGCGGGAGTTCCATCTTGAACTTCGCCGTTTATCTGTACGGCAGTGGCGAAGATTATAATCGCTGGAGCGATCTAGTGGGCGACGAGAGCTGGAAATGGGAGTCGGTCAAGAAATCTTTCCAAGCTATCGAGAACTACGACTTCTCGGGTTCAGAAGACTACAAACATCTTGCTGATCCTAGCACTAATTCCCATGGTACGAAGGGGCAGTTGAAGGTTGGTCTCCCGCCTGTACTCGAACAAGGCGTGGTGCCGCAGATGGAGGCACTGGCTGCTATGGGAGAAAAGATCAACCTTGATCTCAATTCGGGCGACCCGATAGGAATTGCAGTCTTCCCGCATAGCTATAGTAAGGAGGGTAGGAGTACTAGTGCGATCGCGCATTTGGTGGACCCGCCGAGCAACCTTGAGGTGTGGACAGATGCGAAAGCGGAAAAGTTCGTGTGGGAGGGGAAGAAGGTCGTTGGTGTTGTCACGGAAGACGGACGAGAAGGTACAGCCTTGGACTAATATTGATCAGAGAAATTACAAGCACTGACGAGATACCAGCAATGGCAAACAACGAAGTCATCGTTTGTGGCGGCTCGATCGACACGCCAAAGCTCCTCCTTCTAAACGGCGTCGGACCGCAATCCGAGCTCGAGGCAATCGGTATCGACGTCAAAATCGACTTGCCTGGGGTCGGGAAGCACCTTAAAGATCACGTCCTCACCTTCATGACAGTCGAAGTCTCGGGCTCAATCAACTCCAAATACGCCTTTGACAACAACCCCGCCCTTGTCGCTGAAGCTCAAGAATCCTGGACCAAAGACCATACTGGCGCCTTCGCCCTTCAGAATTCCTCACTTTGGGGTGGCTTCCTCAAACTAACGGATTTGGAATCGTACGAAGAGTATTCGGCGCTTCCACTTGATGTCCAGGAATTTCTGTCCAGAGATCAAGTTCCGACATACGAGTTTATCAACAACTCCATACTCTGGCCACCAGGCACACAGCTCGAGGAAGGGAACACATATATGACTTTCCTTGCTTTCCTCATGAACCCTCAGTCCAGTGGTTCCGTCACACTCCGGTCAGCAAACGCGTCTGACAAACCAGTCATCGCGCTGAATTACCTCACGCACCCCTTCGACGTCCGCGTTTTTCGCGAAGCTATCCGCAACACGTGGCAGAAAATAACAGGAAATCCTGTCGTTGCTCCGCATATTGTGCGTACCATTCTTGGGCCAAAGTCTATGAGCGATGCGGATTTGGATGATTTTGCAAAGGAGAACGCCGGTACAGTTTGGCATGCTTGCGGTACTTGTAAGATGGGAAGGGACGACGATGCAGAAGCGGTTGTGAGCAAGGAGTTCAAGGTTAGAGGAGCGGAGGGGTTGAGGGTTGTGGATATGAGCGTCGCACCTCTTACAACCAATAATCACACGCAGGCTACGGCGTATCTCATTGCGCAAAAAGCGGCGGAGAAGATGGTTGTGGAGTATGGACTCGATAGGGTGAGCTGAAGAGTCACACATTTGTGTGGTGGGTATGGTGGAAACACGCTTTCCTGTCCTAAGAGCGAGATGTGAGTCAATATGAAATGTGAAACTATGCGGAGAAAGCCTTGATAACAGAAACTTGACCTTCCTTTTCGGTGACGTTGACAGCTTGCTGCGTACTTGTCATCGACTTACGGTGTAGTGGTTGGCATGTGCAAAACGGAAGGGCCAGTTGCCAGCACAGCAGGCGGCCCACAACATCACACGAGCCCTGCAGGTACACGGCGGAAGATATTTATAGCCGGCCGGAAATCTGGAGTCTGGATCTTGACAACGAGCAGGACAAGTCAACGGCTTTTCGGAGGCAGCGGAAAGAAGTATAGCGATACCAAGAGGCTATGCGCGACTAAGGCAAACCACTGCACCAGCTTGCAGGCTGCATGCGCAGAACCACGGGACTCCGCGAGGCAGAGTGTTTGAGGAACTACTGCCCGAAGCCAAGACAGGAATCTGACTTTGACCAACACGGGCCGGGCACATCCTTCTGGGGGAAATTGCTATGACGGATGGTGGAATTGAACGTGCGCTGAGACGAAGAGGGTGCCTAGGTGATGCCGCGACGGTGGTTGCTGGGTGAACCGAAGGCGGAGCGAGCGCTCAGCGTCACTGTAAACGACACCCCCTCTGATAGAGTCGTGAGGCAGCACACATCTTCTCACGGAACGCGAACTCACTTGATTGACATCACGAAAACGACACGACGTACTGTTCCCACTACTGGACTCTAGCCAAGTTTCAAAAATCCCGCAAGCGCATAACCCCGGTGTTGCTGGAGTTGGTGAGGAAAGGTCCCCCAACCACCCCCAACCTCTCCCGCGGTTTCCAACCACACGATTATTCCAAGTGTACCCTTTTCTTTGCGCACCTCCTCCTGCACGATTACACACATCCTACCACCCTTTCTTCTCTCCATAATTCAAGTTGAAAATAATAGCTGACTTTTTGTGGTTCCAAACTTGCACCACCAGCGGAACCAGTCACCCACGCCAGCAGACACACGAAAGACACGCTAGCCAACGGATCGACCCCGCAGCACCGATATCCACCCATTCACCGCTCCCACGCCGACTGCGCGATATCTACGAATTGCAGAGCGCTTCTTCTTTCGCTTCTCCCCCCGTTTCCTGCAAACGGTCCTATCTATTCCAATCGCAGTAACCTCGTTCTTACTGCGTTTGGTCCTTCAATCGCTCATCTCTAATCATGTGGCTTTTCAATGCTCCCCCAGCCGTACTCGGCTTGGTCGCATTGGCACACCTGCCCTCAGCTCTCGCAAAGCCATACCCCGTCCACATTGAAGAGTTCCAAGAACTGCACAACGCGTCGCAGATTGTCAAGAAGGCCGACTGCGACAACCCTTGTGGTTACGGAGGCTGGCTATGCTGTCCCTCGGGTTCCACTTGCTACACCGACGCAAGTAACCAGGCGCAATGCGGCTCTGGTGGAGCGACCACAGAAGCAGCAGGCGGCTACTGGCAATACCATACCACCACGTACGTCGAGACAGTCGGTCTCCTCACAAAGACCGAAGTCTACAGCACATATGTCCCTGCCGTCGCAACGCAGACATGTAGCCAGTCGCAAAACCCCTGCGGTTCTACTTGCTGCGACTCAGGCTTCTACTGTCTGTCTTCCAGCGCCGGCACTTGCGCGCTGATCGCTGGTGGCAGCTCCGGAGGTATATCACCATCTGCTCCTCTGCGACCAACTAGCTCAGGCGTAGTAGTCATCACCTATACCGGAACCCCCACCGCGACTGTTCCCTTCCAGACACCCATCCCCACCGGCGCAGCAGGCGGCGGCCTCGTCCCAACCGAAGAGAGCAACAGCGGTCTCAGCGGCGGTGCCATCGCTGGTATCGTCATCGGTGTTATCTTGGGCATATTGCTACTCCTCCTTCTCTGCCTCTTCTGCTGCGCTCGCGCTCTCTTCGACACTCTCCTTGCCATCTTCGGCATCGGCAAGAAGCGCAAGCACACGCACGAAGAAACCTACATCGAAGAGCACCACCACAGCGGTGGCGCTGCTGCCGGAGGTCGCTGGTACGGAGCCGGTCGTCCTTCTCGCCCATCGCGCGCTGGTTCTGAGAAGCACAGCGGTGCGAAGAAGGGTCTGGGCCTTGCGGCTGGACTTGGTGGTCTCGCGCTCGCTTTGGGCCTGAAGAGGAGACATGACGCCAAGGTTGACGATAAGAGTACCACTGTCAGTGGAACATCATACATGTACAGTGATTACACAAGTTCGAGTAAGTAAATCCACGGCCTTGGAATTACCAGCACTTTACTAACAATTATACAGGCAGCGCAAGTTCATCAGACCGCCACACACGCCGAACACGCCACTCATCGAGAAGATAAACGTTCCACCAAACGGAATCTCTCTCGCAACTTTTCAAAACTGTACAAAGTCTTTTTTTTTTTTGCTTTCTCCTTGTGTCTAGCTCCGTGCTGATACCTTATGGCATGGGTGGGTTTTATCGTGGGTACACGGGGCTTCGACAATGTTGACCCTGTTGGCGTTACTTGGGCGTTTTCAGCGGAGTTCGCTCACGACTGCAAAGCGACGACTGTGTTATGTTTTGATTTTGGTTTACTTTTCTTACTCTCTCGACGTATGCGATTAATGAGGAAATGCGTATGCGAGGATATGAGACACGGGATGGAAGAGAGATGTATATGAAAGCAATGGAATGAAAATGGAATCAAAGATGACTGTGAAATCAAGGCTTGGTCTATAACACTTTATTAAACTGCATACTTGTGTGTATTACTGCGTTCCGCTCGCCGGGCCCGATGGCAGAGGAGGCATCGTTGCTCTTTGACTTTCGTCGTAACCGGCCCACGGAAAGGGTTGTAACTCATTCTATGGAACCTTGTACAGAGATATTCCCATCGTAGACGATGGAAGGTGAACGGGACGGGGTGGATCAGGCGTGCAAGCGAATTTGCACGGCGGAAGTAATCGCAAGTCGTTTACCACCAAGTCGAATCTTATATCCAAAGAATGTGGTGAGAGTCCCGTGTTGCCTACGGTATGAAGTCTGACGCTGACCGTATCTGTGGACAGGAGATGGCAGAAGTAGAAATGTAAATTGATGGTTGGTTGCGGACCCAACAACAAAGGATTCTTGATCCAACTCTCGATCAGGATTTGCGCGATAGTCCCACCTACCACCATTGCACGTTGCTGATAAGGAATGCTCGTCAGTGGTTTGCACGATGCTTGTAGAACCCAATGCGTGTTTGATAGAAATCCTAGAAGTTCTAGATCACACGATCCGTACTTGTACTTGAGTGTAGCATACTCATATCGTAATCTTGCGTGGACGTATGCATAATTGGTCTGGCTCACAAGAGGTCCAGAAGGTGGATATACGATAGCTAGTCGAGGTGTAGTGGGAGGACCTTCGGTGCTCTGGCGAGGCGTCGTGGGAGAGCTATTGTTATCCATGTTAACGTCATGAGCATTCGCAAGAGAAGACATTGGATCTATGCCTGGTGACTCAACCTCAGAAATTGTCGAGTAGCTGACAGCGGAAGGGGTTGCTGCTCTTCGTTAACACCTGTCAATTGACACACGCGTCCAAGTAACTGACATTTAGTAGGGCTTGGAGCATATATCATGCTTTCACGAAGTTCGTGTTTTCTCATCCATCTCTCAATCTTCTGGGGTTCGACTTCTCGACCTCTTACACGGAATTTGAGACTACCCTTGTCTGTGTCGATAAGGTTTCTCTGTTGGCGATGTCTTACGATGGCCTTCATTTCTTCTGGTTTGATGTTCTTGTCGAGCTTCCATTGGGTCAGACGAGATCTGTATTGGCGAATCCTGTGCTGCTTGTCAGCTCGGTTACGACAGAACAGCATGGTTCCCAACATACTCAGCAGTGAAGCCGAACTCTTGTTCCACTGTGGTCTTGACTTCTGTAAGGGGTCGCTTCTCTGTGAGGTGTAGCTGTATAATCCTGTCTTTGTATGGCTCCCAATCACTTTCGCGAAGGGTCCGGGCCTTCTTCTTTCGTGCCCGAGTATCTGGAATGGCGATTGAGGACGCAGGTGGGGGTTGCGATGCCGTAGCGTTGTCAGCAATTGAGTCTGAACACGGGTCGAAATTCATGTCTAGTAGGCCTTCGAGAAGCTGTAAGGGTATGTTTATCGTCCGAATGATATGATCGAATGACAAAAAATGGAGCTGAAGAGTTCTTGACTAATTTCCTTTGGTATGCAAAGAGAAGAAAGGCATCGTTACTCTCAATATCGCAATTTGAAGGTGGAATCTCAGGGTGGTTTATATGCAAGCTAGGCTATGCCACGAGGCTGAACCACATCTGAATACCATTGGTCAGCGGACAGAAGTACAATTCATGCGAGACACCCCGGTCGCCTAGATGCATAGGAAGTACGCCACCTGCACGCTATAGGCATGAGCGGTGGCACACTGAGCCAGTCAAATCAACGTTAGCAAAAGTACAATTTTGAATGTTTGGCACTGAAACCACGTCACGTACAGAAGTACAAAGCGGCCTGCTGCTTCGCAAATGGCATACTGGTTCGATGTTAGATCCAGACGCTATGTCTTCGCGGAACGTTCAACAATTGAGCATGCAAAAGTACAATGTCGAAAGATATAGAGAAGGGCAATGAGCCGTCCTGTCTTCTTATCAAAAGACATCTCTACGCGTCGTTGTTCGAAGTAGATCGTGGGTTAGCCGTATACGTCAATGCCTTTCGACGGTCAGTCCATGGAATCCATTGCAGCCATCGTGTTTGGCCTGCTTCAACTTGCTGTTGGCCTAGTTTCTCTATGGCAACAGAGGCAACTACGTCTAGCATACCGTCAGTGTGTTGACGAGTCACGCAAAGACCGTCTGGACTGACAAGCTTGTAGAGCAAGGAAGCGACCGGAGGAGATATACAATCTGAGATGCGACGGATGCAAAAATGTAAGTACTGCTACACCTCGGTCAGGACCGTATGAAGCAGAGCTGACTCAAACAAGCCTGAGAGCGCGAATCAAGAGTCAATTCGAACTGGGTCAAGGAAGAGCGAATCTTTGCAATCTCTCAGGTGATTTGACGAAGCATGAATTTCTTTGCATGGAGCTGTGCGTGGTGGTCAGAGTCGTGATTGCTTGACAAATGCGTAAATGTGGTACAGTGGCGACATTGGATGCATTTCACGGGCCAGTGGGGATTGACAAGAAAGTTTGCAGGGTCTGTAAGAGAGAGTACGCAGTCGTGTCGCGAAGCCTATAGCAGGCACCAGTGGTGATGTTGTGGATTCGAGGGCTGGCTGGAAGCGCAAACTCCAGGCGGAAGTGACGACTGCGCCAAGATTAAAGTGGGATGGCGCTAGGGTGGAGCTCCAGCACCTTCGCCGTGACAAGTACTCACGTAATAACCTCCTGCCCTGCTGCGCCTTCAGCCTTTGCCTTCCTTACGTTTACACCCTCTATACTCAACCAAACCAGCGACGAACTTGTTGATCTTGTTTGTCCGTCTTCACAACTCCAAACAGCAGCACTACCCCGCGACTCGAACCCAGGCGCCCGCGACCGCCACACCTGATAGCGTCTAGGCTTCACGACAGTCGGCAAACTGGGGAAGCGGAAAGCCGTTGGCGAGGACATTCGTCCCAGCAAGAAAGAGAAAGCCATGACAGTAAGTTGGCCCGGCGATTAGTAAGGAGTGCTTTGTTAGGTTGCGCCTCCGCATCTGCAACTCATGTACTCGACATCTCCTACACTCTCTGCACTGCAGTACCTTTTGCACTATCTGGTCTTCATCTAACATATCCAAGGAAAACATGCAAGTCGACAGCCCTGCCACCGCTGTCGAACAGCTCAAGGAAGCCTCTGGTAGTAACGGCGACATCGATGAATCCCTCTACAGCAGGCAGCTGTACGTGCTGGGCCATGAGGCCATGAAGCGCATGGGCTCTTCCAACGTCCTCGTTGCTGGTCTACGAGGTCTCGGTGTCGAGATTGCGAAGAACATCGCCCTGGCCGGTGTTAAGTCGCTGACACTCTACGACCCCAAGCCCGCTGCTCTCGCCGATCTATCGTCGCAGTTCTTCCTTACTCCCGCCGATGTGGGGAAGCCGCGCGCCTCCGTCACCGTGCCTCGCGTCTCCGAGCTCAACCCATACACACCTGTGCAGGAATTCAGTGGAAAGGATCTGACGTCAGACCTGTCGCAGTTGAAGCAGTTCCAGGTCATTGTCCTTACCGACACGCTGCTCGACGACCAAATCAAGATCGCAGACTACTGCCACGACAACGGTATCTACGTTGTCATTACTGACACATACGGTCTGTTCGGCACCATCTTCACTGACTTCGGCAAGAACTTCACCATCGGCGACCCCACCGGCGAGAACGTCAACAACGGCATCATCGCCGGCATCGATGAGGACGGTATCGTGTCAGCACTAGACGAGACAAGACACGGTCTCGAAGATGGTGACTGGGTCACATTCTCCGAAGTTGAGGGTATGGAGGGCCTGAACGGCTGTGCGCCTCGCAAGATTGAGGTCAAGGGACCATATACTTTCTCCATCGGCGATGTTTCTGGCCTAGGAGAGTACAAGAAGGGGGGACAGTTCATTCAAGTCAAGATGCCGAAGATCATCAACTTTGAGCCTTTCAGCAAGCAGCTCAAGAAGCCTGAGCTTCTCATCTCCGACTTCGCCAAGTTTGACCGACCGCAACAGCTGCACGTCGGTATCCAGGCCATTCACAAATTCGCGAACCTCCACAAGGGCGAGTTCCCACGTCCTCACCACGAAGCCGATGCGGATGAGCTTTTCAAGATCGCACAAGAGATCGCAGGCCAAGGGGAGGACAAGGTTGAGCTGGACGAGAAACTCATCAAGGAACTCAGTTACCAAGCGCGCGGTGACCTCAGCCCCGTCGCTGCGTTCTTCGGTGGCATGGCCGCTCAGGAAGTTCTCAAGTCCGTGTCTGGAAAATTCCACCCCATTGTTCAGTTCCTCTACTTCGATTCGTTGGAGTCAATTCCCACCTCCACAACCCGTTCGGAAGAGCAGTGCGCTCCGATTGGCTCGCGCTACGATGGTCAGATCGCCGTTCTGGGTCAGGAATACCAGAAGAAGCTCAGCAATGTCAAGCAGTTCCTCGTTGGTGCAGGTGCCATCGGCTGCGAGATGCTCAAGAACTGGGCTATGATGGGTCTCGGTACTGGTCCCGAGGGCAAGATTACCGTAACCGACAATGACCAGATCGAAAAGAGCAACTTGAACCGACAGTTCTTGTTCCGACCAGCAGATGTTGGAAAGCTAAAGAGTGACGCTGCAGCAAAGGCTGTTCAGGTCATGAACCCTGATCTCAGTGGAAAGATTGTGACACTTCAAGACAAGGTCGGCCCGGAGACTGAGCATATCTTCAACGAGGAGTTCTGGAATTCTCTGGACGGCGTAACAAACGCGCTGGATAACGTAGAAGCGCGCACGTACGTTGACCGACGGTGTGTGTTCTTCCGCAAGCCTCTGCTTGACAGTGGTACTCTCGGCACCAAGGGCAACACCCAGGTTGTTCTGCCATTTATTACAGAGTCTTACTCTTCATCACAAGATCCCCCCGAGAAGTCCTTCCCTATGTGCACACTCAGGAGTTTCCCCAACCGGATTGAGCACACTATCGCCTGGGCGCGAGAGTCATTCGATTCGCTATTCGTCAAGGGTCCGGAGATCGTTAATCTGTACTTGACGCAGCCCGACTACCTTGGTGCATCGCTGAAGCAGTCTGGTAACGAGAAGCAAACTTTGGAGACTTTGCGGGATTTCCTGGTCACCGAGAAGCCGCTGTCTTTTGACGACTGCATTATTTGGGCCCGTCATCAATTCGAGAAGAACTACAACCACGCAATAGCGCAGTTGCTGTACAACTTCCCCAAGGATTCCAAGACCGGCTCCGGTCAGCCATTCTGGTCAGGACCCAAGCGTGCGCCAGACCCATCAAAGTTTGACTCTTCAAACCCAACACACTTTACCTATGTGGAAGCTGCTGCCACTTTACATGCGTTCAACTACGGTATCAAGCCGAATGCGTCGAAGGAGCACTACGTTGAAGTTCTTAACGACATGATCGTCCCTGACTTCCAGCCCGATCCTACTGTGAAGATCCAGGCCGACGAGAAGGAGCCAGACCCGAACGCTAACCAGGCTGGTAGTGATGATAATGAGTCGCTTGATAGCATTATCAAGCAACTTCCAGCACCAAAGTCTCTCGCCGGATTCAAGCTTGAGCCTGTCGAGTTCGAGAAGGATGATGACTCCAACCACCACATTGACTTCATCACTGCGGCCAGTAATCTCCGTGCTGAGAACTACAAGATTGAGCAAGCGGACCGTCATAAGACCAAGTTCATTGCTGGAAAGATTATTCCGGCCATTGCTACCACTACCGCCTTGGTGACTGGTCTCGTCAACCTTGAATTGTACAAGATCATTGACGGCAAGACGGACATCGAGCAATACAAGAACGGCTTCATCAACTTGGCGCTGCCATTCTTCGGTTTCAGTGAGCCGATTGCAAGCCCGAAGGGTACATACCAAGGGCACGATGGCGAAGTAACGATCGACAAGCTATGGGATCGTTTTGAGGTGGATGATATCCCCCTCAAGGACTTTGTGGACCACTTTGAGAAGAAGGGTCTATCAATCCAGATGATCAGCTCTGGTGTTAGTTTGCTCTACGCATCATTCTACCCTCCAGCCAAATTGAAGGACAGGATGCCTCTCACGTAAGTCTCTGCAACTCCCCTCTTGTACGCAGACACTAACAAAAGATAGTATGAGCAAGCTTGTTGAGCACGTCAGCAAGAAGCCAGTACCCGAGCACCAGAAGAACGTCATCTTCGAGATTACGGCTGAGGATCAGAAGGAGGAGGATGTTGAGATCCCGTATGTGATGGTCAAGTTGAAATAGATGTTTCGCGACTTGGACAGTGGATAGTTTCCCAGCAAACGGGGATGGTCATGACGTGAATTAGACGAGCATAGCTTGCATGAATAGACACCTTACTTCAAATGTCAAACGCGCCCAAGCATTCAGCTAGTGATGATGTCGTTTTGTTCTAAACAGCTGGCTCCCGAATAGAAACAATGAACAACTGAAAGCAGTGGGTCGAGTGTCATGGGAGATCTGCTCGTGCCAGTGAAGATCAGGCTGGCCGGTGGACCCGCACGGAATGCACGCTTTTGGTTGTAGGTGCCGAAAGTCGGACGAGACTCGTGGGGCAAAACGCCAAGCATTACAGCCCTATCACCAATGTTGATTATCAAGCCTCTAGGACTTTCCCTCAGTATGCAACAATGTAGTCTTCACACCCATCCCAATCACATTCACACACATCATGGCGCCCTCCCTAGAAGAGCCAGTACAGGTCGATTTTGAAGCGCCACTCAAGGCTGCGCCGAAACTCGTTGCGCCTGAGCCAGGTATGTTTGCCCCGCCTCTGTTCGCAACTCGGCCAAAGTACAATACTAACATAGTTGCGACAGAACACTGTCCTGGTCCCGAGTCCCTCACAGCCGGTCAAGCAGATTCATGCGCAGGATGTCCCAACCAGTCAATATGCGCCTCCGCACCCAAGGGCCCTGATCCCGACATACCCATCATAACCGCACGGCTGTCCTCGGTGAAGCACAAGATCCTCGTCCTCTCCGGCAAAGGCGGCGTCGGAAAGTCGACCTTCAGCACAATGCTATCACATGGCTTCGCATCGAATCCGTCATCGACCGTCGGGCTCATGGACACAGACATCTGCGGACCCAGCATACCAAAGATGATGGGTGTGGAAGAAGAGACAATACACGTTAGCGGAGAAGGATGGGAACCCGTATGGGTCAGCGAGAACCTCGGAGTCATGAGCGTACAGTTCATGCTACCAAACCGCGACGATGCAGTAATATGGCGAGGCGCAAAAAAGAACGGTCTGATCAAGAAATTTCTCATGGACGTAACTTGGGGGGAACTGGACTTTTTGATCGTCGACACACCACCGGGCACATCCGACGAACATCTCTCTGTAAACTCGTTCCTTAAAGCCAGTGGCGTCGATGGCGCGGTCCTCGTTTCCACACCCCAAGAAGTCTCGCTCCTCGATGTTAGGAAGGAGATTGATTTCTGCCGGAAAGCCGGCATACCTATACTGGGAATCGTGGAGAATATGAGCGGGTTTGTTTGCCCAGGTTGCAAACATGAGTCTCAGATATTTAGAGCAAGTACGGGTGGTGCAGCAAGGCTGGCTAAGGATCAGAATATACCCTTCTTGGGCAAGGTACCACTGGACCCGAGGATAGGCATGGCATGTGATTTTGGGGAGAGTTTCTTAACAGCGTACCCAGACAGTCCGGCATGTGCTGCTATCAAAGAGGTTGTCAGGAGAGTTGGGGAGGAGATCGGGCTGAGTAGGGAAGAGGTGTTGCCTGTGGATGAAGAGGAAGTCTGATATTGTCAAACACTAATGAGGTTCGTTTATGAGTGGGGACTGTTGATATTGCAAATTGAGCAGCATAAATGGCGTTATACATCAGCATGTGCTCGTGGACGAATCCGCTTGTCGCCAATAGCACACACGATCACATGATACAGAGTCCATCAGTTGGCCCGTGGCAGAAACGTAAAAACTTACGAAGACGGTTGACGCAAGCATCGCAGATCACCACAATGGACTCACTGGAACATGGCATACAAAAGAACACAAGAGATGGAGTGATACCAATCAGGGGTATCTTCTCGTTTTGTGTCTTCATGAGGCGACGCCAATACAGACTTGCGGTGCTGTAATGCTACCTGATGGAAACCACACTCGTGAACAAGCATAGCCACTTGACCCCTCTTGTCACCGTCATCCACTGCCACAATGGCGCCGCCCCGTTGGATCTTCGTGTGGCAGATTATCGTGTGGAAATTGGAGTGGACTAGCAGCCACACCACAGCCATTGATCATCGTCATATGCAATGCTTGGCAAGGATAGCGGGTGCTTGGCGCATGCATCGAAAGCTTGGTTGGGTAGCTTGTGGCGCGGGAGGCAGATAATGAGCTCATAGACTTTTCGAGGTTGAATGCAAGAGACCGAAAATAGGTTTCGTGAGAGAACTGACATATGGGGTGGATAGGATTGGAGACGGCGTGTCAGACCATGCAGAAGATCGCGATAGGCCCCGTGTGTGAGGGATGGACTGCAGCGCGGAAGCGTCGAGGATGTCATGGCCCACCCGGCTAGCGGCAACTATCCCTGCCGTCCCTTGTGCCATCAATCATAGGCACAACAACTTTCAAGACTTTGAGGCTAGAGGCGCTTTCATTTTGGCCCCAGCCTTTCCTGACATTCTTACTCTCCCCCACCTGATATCGTTTCCATACTACCCGCGCTCTCCATAGGCGTGCAATTGCTTCAATTGCGACAGGAACGCGACTTATACTAGCGGCGCGCATCGTATCTGCGCCTGAGCTCAACTCTTGGACCCTGAGCGCATCGCCATTGTAGGTTGCCGCGTGGTCTAGTTGACTCAACAGGCTGACCGGAGTGTAGACTTGTAGACATATTCGACGCGTCTGCTTATATACCTGCGCTTTTCTCTCACTTTTCAACATCGCTCGCGATCGGCTACTACCATGGCCGCCGAATACCAACAACATGAGGACCCCAGTGGCGTGACAGGCATTGGGGCTGGGCCTCAGGTCATCAGCACCTCGGGCGTGGTGGACGTCATCATGGGACCGCTCCTCAACTACAGACGCACCAGCAACCAGCAGGCCGGGCAGCCCGTCTGGCATGGCAGTGTTCTGATTGTTACTACGCCTGGCCAACAGAACCCGAACGAGGCACAGCCGAACCCCCAGCTTGTGCTCTCACCAGCTGGTCCCGTCGACAGGAATATTGGCGATGTGAGGTTCAGCGTAGATGCGCGCACTTTCCACGGCGAGAAGCTGTATGAAGACAGCAAGAGGGCCTTCTGGCGCTTCCGTGTCGATGCGCCCATGCAGCCATTCGAGTCGAGATGGCGTTACGATATTCAGAACCTCAAGTACACTGACGCCCAGAAGGAGGAGAAGCCGCAGAACTTCGTCATACCTTCAATTACCCAGTCGATGCGCATCATGTTCCACTCCTGCAATGGCTTCAGTGTAGGCACTGATATGGACGTGTGGTGTGGACCTGTGCTGTGGAACGACGTCCTACGCATGCACGACCAGCGACCCTTCCATGTCATGATTGGAGGAGGCGACCAGATCTACAACGATGGAGTGCGAGTAGACGGCCCGCTCAAGCCTTGGACCGATATCCACAGCCCCCACAAGCGACGAGAATTCCCCTTCGGACAGCAAATGCGCGCCGACTGTGACGAATACTACTACAACAACTACGTCAGGTGGTACAGCCACGCGCCCTTTTCTACCGCCAACAGCCAAATTCCTCAGGTAAACATTTGGGATGACCACGACATCATCGATGGTTTTGGCTCATACACTGACCACTTCATGAACTGCGCCGTATTTCGCGGTATTGGTGGTGTTGCACACAAGTACTACCTCCTGTTCCAGCATCACCTTGCTCCTCCAAAGAGCACTTTCACGACCGATGCGCCGCAGACGACCGATGTAAGCGGTCAGGGAGAAGGAACAACGCCCGCCGATCCTGCCCAAGTGCAAAACACTTTCGTCATGACCAACGACGAGGGTGACCCATCATACCTCATAGGCTCAAAGCCTGGCCCATACGTCGAGGAACGTAGCCGCAGTATCTTCTGTCAGCTAGGTGCGCGCATTGCCTTTGCTGGTATTGATGCTCGAACAGAGCGTACTAGGCATCAGGTCAACTACCCCGAGACTTACAAGATGCTCTTCGACCGTCTGGATGCTGAGTTCACTGCAAACCCAGAGCTCAAGCACATGATTCTGCTGCTTGGTGTCCCAATCGCTTACCCCCGTCTGATCTGGCTCGAGAACATCTTGCAGTCACCCTTGATCGCACCTATCAAATTCTTGAACAAGCGCTTCGGCTTTGCTGGAGGTTTTTTCAACCAGTTCGACGGCAAAGTCGATTTGCTCGACGACTTGGATGATCACTACACTGCGCGCCAACACAAGGAGGAGCGTCGTAACCTGATGCACAGTCTGCAGGCCTTCTCTAAGAAGTTTTCCGTGCGTGTCACCATTCTCGGTGGAGATGTACATCTAGGAGCCATTGGGCGTTTTTACACCAACCCCAAGACACACCAGATCCCTGCCGAAGCAGACCACCGCTATATGCCCAACATCATTAGCTCTGCCATCACCAACAAGCCTCCACCACAAGCCGTCGCAAACCTGCTCGCCCGCCGAAACAAGATCCACCACCTTGACAAGGAAACTGACGAGACGCTTCTCGAGATCTTCGACCGCGATCCGGCCCTGCCCGACGGCGTCAACGCGACAAACGGTACTTCTACCGCCCAGATCAATGGCGATGGCAAGGACGGAAAGATCGAACCCAAGACTTCCGCCGCCAACCATGCCACAATGCCCTCCCGCAACTACGCCATCATCTGCGAATCCAATATTCCCACTCCCTCAACCCTCGGTGTACCTCCCGGCTCCGCCCCCTCCATACATACCAACAACACCGCCGCTTCCAAGGTCTCTGCTGCTCCCGGCAAGAAGGACAACATGCGTTTGGGCTTCCATATCGGTGAAGAGAAGGCTGGCACTCAGCATCCCGCTGCTAACGGTATCGTACCCTCTGGCCTGTGTGGACCGTATGGGTTGGACGTCACACTTAGAGTGGAGATTAGCAACCAAGATCGGGAGGGAAGGACGGATGGGTATGGGTTCAGCATTCCGGCGCTGGATTGCTCAGCTTATGCTGATCGGGATGCGAAGTGGTAGAATCGTTTATTATGAGAGGGAGATGTTGGATGGTGAACAGAAGGGGATTGGAGGGGTAGATGAAGAGGCGCCACGGTGGAGGTCACTGGATGATGATACTTTGCTTTCTTGTTTTGGTTTATACCCTCTCGAAAGTCGCTTGGCTTAACGCCATGATGTGTAGTAGTTAATAAGTGTTTAGTCTGTAATGTTACCCCTTAATTGGGTTGGTGAAGCAGAAGTTTTGTTCCTTGCGTTCTTACCGAGCACAATGATGTATATGTATGCAAAAAGAGCTCAGTGCTATCATGTACCATCTCAAAACACATTGGATATCTACCTATAGGATAGTTAGTAGAATAATCTCCCTCTTCGCGGTTTTGCAGGTTGAAATCCATAAAGTTAGTTCTGTCTCGACAAGGTATTTACTGCCGGCATGCGCAGCCCCACATGGTGTCTTGAGGTGTTTAGATGCGTGGGACTTTCGCCTAGAAATCAATTTCATGGCCTGTCAATTGTACTCAGCACTAAACCCTTCTGCAATTAGCGGGATGCCTGATAGATACTACCTAGTGATAATACTGTCTGGACCCATTCTCTTCGAGGACACCATAGGCCAGATCGTATATCCATCCGCGGAGTGAAGAGAGGACCCTGCATACCGTGCGAATGCGGGCTCGAGAATTTCCTTTTCCCGTAAGCATGGTGCGAGGCTGAAGAGAACACAATGTAGCCCGCACACGTGGTAAAGAAGGAAGGTCCGAAGAGCCGTAAACATTCTTCGTGTCTCAAGATGCGGAATCGAGGGTCCATCGGAATACTAGTCCCGGTACGTGTTTACCCGCCCGCCCGTTGGCGTTCTAGACGAACATTTCCCCTGCTATTCTCTTTCGTCCGACTGGTGCAAGGCGTAAAAATGCTACAGCTCACCCTCTTGCCGTTGTGCCCATGTCGAGCAATCCTGTACCCAAGGATTTGGTGAACGGTTTTTCGCCTCAATGAGTACATTGCCCGCTGCATGCTGCACGCTTGGGCTGAGATCCTATACAAACTGAATATGTATAAATGCGCTTATGGGCCACAAAGAGCATGACAGTCAGGGACCGTCCTGTCACTCATTGCCTTTTAGACTTCCCATCAGTCCGGAATGCTGGCCAGATCCTTCACTGTTTCTTTGGCCTGTGCTGCCCTCGCGTTCGCACAGAGCGATTCGCTTGCTGTCCCACCTGCTGCAGAGACGCTCGCTGCCAAGATCACGCCTGCAGAACTTCCTCTTTTCGATGGCGAGGCCATACAACTGACAGACGATGTCGTAGCTGCGCTCCAACAAAATCCTGATCTTGCAGAGTATGCGCCACTGTACGAGTTCGAGGACAGCTCGAATTCTACGCTTTCGGTGCGTGCACGCCGCACTCGTAGAGCTCTTCGTTGCAAGACGATGCCTGGGGATGAATCGTATCCGAGCAAAGCGGCGTGGAGTGTTTTCGACACCCTAGTTGGCGGTGCTCTGGAGAAGATTGTTCCTATAGGCTCGTCCTGCTACAAGAAATCCGAGTACGACAACTGTAAGTGTGCTTGTACAGACCGCATGTGAAACATACACTGACTTCGTACACCAACATCTAGATGACGCCGCAAAGTGCGCGAACCTGGTGAAGAACTTCGATCAAGAAGAGATTTAGTTAGTAGCGATACTTGGCAGCGAACCGACACAGCCACTAACAGCAGCAGCTATGTTGATAACGGTGCACTGATGAACCCTCTGTGGTATGGAATGACCTGTCCCATCCCCGCTTCAGGCAACTCCTCCAACGGCACTTGCACCCAAGGTGGCTATTCGGAGTATGCTGTAAAGATCAGCAACGTTGCGCAGATTCAGTTGGCAGTGAACCTCGCACGCAACCTCAACCTTCGCCTAGTCGTTCGCAACACTGGTCATGGTAAGCGTCTCTATACGAACTGCATGTAATATATACACTGACTTCGTACGCTTTTATTTAGACTACAACGGTCGCTCGGTAGGGAAAGGTGCACTGAGTATCTGGACGCATGGCCTCAAGGAGATCAAGTATGTCAAAAACTACAAGAGTTCAATGTACAATGGACCGGTCTTCAAAGTTGGAGCGGGCGTCCAAGGTTTCGAGCTCTACCAAGCTGCCGACAAATACGGCGTCTCCGCTATCGCTGGTATCTGCCCTACCGTGGGTGTGTTTGGAGGCTACTCTACAGGCGGCGGCCACAGTCCTCTAATGCAGTTATTCGGCGTGGGGTCCGATCAAATCGTCGCTCTCGAAGTCGTCCTTGCTAGTGGCCGTTTCGTTACTGTTACCCCAGAGGTCAACAGTGATCTTTACTGGGCCATGTTAGGCGGTGGAGGCGGTACCTTCGGCGTGATCACATCTGCTGTAGTCAAGGTCCACCGCAAGGTCCCGGTCACTCAGTCTTCCTGGACCATCATGACGTCCGAGGCCGTCACAGTCGAAAAGTTCTGGGAAGCTTTCAAGTTCTTTTTCGACAACATTCCCGTTTACAACCGAGCGAAAACCTACTCCTATTTCTCCCTGATGAAGCTCGCACCAGGAACTTACATGTGGTCGATGGGCCCATTCTTTGCCACGGACAAGACAGTCGATGAATATGAGGCTCTAATCAAGCCTTTCTACGAGAAGTGTGCCTCGCTTGGTATTGAGCTCAGTCCCAATACAACCCACCACGACAGTTTCTACCCAGCCTACCAGGCGACATTTGGCACCTTCAACTATTACATTGGTGGCGCCACAGGTATTGCGGCCAACCGTCTGTTGACATCGGAAAACTGGGAAAACTCTGAGATTCGCAACCAAACAGTGGCCGCTATTCGGCAGATTGTGGAAAATGCTATGATGATAAATATGTACCACCAGCGCCCTATCGACCCAGTACAAAAGGGTGTCAACTCTGTCAACCCTGCTTTCCGCAACGAAGAGAGCCAGATGGTCGTCATCAACAATGTCCCCGAAGAATCCGCTGCGGGGTGGCAAGCTACCGTCGAAAAGATCACCACTGAGGTCATGGCTCCTCTACGTGAGATATCACCCGCTGGCGGCGCGTACGGTAATGAGGCCGACATCGCCGAGCCGGATTGGCAACAGTCTTTCTGGGGCTCCAACTACCCCAGGCTCCAGCAGATCAAGAAGAAGTATGATCCTGGTATGCTCTTCTATGTGCATCATGGTGTTGGCACCGAAGGCTGGGCCATTGATGACAACGGCATTATCGGCGCGGGTGTTCAGTCGACGAACGGCCCATTGTGTCGCGTGTAGTCGTGTTAAAGCGATGCGCTCGGTCGTGTAGATATTTCAATGCAAATGCGATATTTTCAATGGCATCTTTCTCGATGAACTCCCAGACAATGACACGCGTCACCGAGGCGGCACGGCGCTTACAGTGTTCATGGACGCGTATCGTAGTGGGCGTCCCGTCTGCCAAGACATTGATGCGACGATATAGAAACGTTGTTTTGAGTTATCGGCAGTTGTAATCTGCCTGGGCAGGCGTCGATGCGATAAAACGGGCGGACTGATGAGGTCGGGCTGTCCCACGATCGACTCTCTGTCACAAGCTGAGAAGCCATACGTGCTCTTCTATAATTTTCCGGTGGTGCTTCACAATGCGATGTGACTGAAGAGCGGAAAAATCGCCGTGGATTCCGCTCTTTTACGCGTCGAAGGATTTGCCGGTGGGAGCTTTTTGGGGGGCTGTGCGACACTTATGCTGCAGACGCGGAGTGCGGCCGCCTCCCCGTCCCTTAGCCCTGTCATCTGCAAGACGTTGTTCTAGAAGATCTGAAAGCGGAGGGAAAGTCGATGCGACATGCATGACCATGTCTCGTCGCACGTCCGCGCCTATGAGGAGTCGAGACGTGCAAGGAGCCTGGTTGTTGCGTCGCAGGTCATGGTGAGGGCCAGATTGTCAGGAAAGTGTATCGAGCGCGAAGCACCAGGGCAGGTACACCCGATTAGTCAACTTTCAACAGTCTGTCACTACTACAGGCAACGGGATGTAAAACAAACAGAGATCTCGTCCTCCGCCATGGCTTCCTTTCTCACGCCTCCGTCTTGTGATCGTCAGCTGCTTATTCTACAAATCTGCGCTCAAATCTTCGGAAGACTCAGTATCCGACGCGGAATCTTCAACATCGGTCTCCAGCATGTGCCCCTTCAGTAAGCTTGGCAACTATATCGCTCTTTGATATCGCTAATTAAAAAAAAGCTTCGTTGCCTTCTGGTGAGGGTCCAGCTCGCTTCTCCCCCAGCGCTGTCAAGGACTGGCAGCCCAGGCGAAAGTCTGTCTCGAACGCTTGTGAGCGATGTCGACGGAGGAAGATTCGATGCGACGGCGAGACGCCCTGTTCGACGTGTAAACGTTTTGCAATACAATGCGTGAGAACACAGAAACCAAAAGAAGTTGTGGCATCGTGAGTGCTAGCATCAAGACGCGTCAACGCGCAGTCACATGACCCATGTTCTAATGAATCTGAAGCGAACATCGTGAAGCATTAGAAGGACGAATACACCAGCTCGAAGCACAGTTGGCCAGACACGTCAATGCGCCTATGCATGGTATGGAATCCATCGACCACAACCTCATGGCCGGCACGCCAACATCCTTCGACTGGCAAGCGACGCCTTCGCACCTCAACCTCGACACCACAATACCCGCCACATTCACCGCCGATGACTTGGATATGGGTTCTTTCTCAGCCAGAAGCGGGAGCATGCCTTCCATCGCCATAGATGAATGTGAGCCTTTCCCCAACTTCTCCACGCCGTCTTCACCAGTACCTTCATTATGGTTAGGTACCACGCGTGCCTCGTCGCCCGATTCGATGCCACCTGGATCCGCACTACCGCAGTTCGGAACGGCATACCCACCCATGAGCAAACCCATGCCATCGTCGATCGAACCGCACACGGCGCCATCTTGGGAGTTCATGGCTCAAGCAAGCTCCAGTCAGTTACAACCAGGTACTAGCAGTCGAGGTCATTCTCGGAAGACTTCAACCTCTTCCCTGTCTCAGGCTAGTAATGAGCAGGCCATGTCGCCAATTCCTGAAGTCGAGGATGACATCCTCCCTCTGGCTCCAGCACCACGACTACCCCGTCAAGGCATATTCGCTGCTCGTCATACGGAGAGCCCTGGCCCAGGCTCTTCCCGATCAAGTTTCACCGATCGCAGTCGTGCTCTGGCAACCACTCCACTTCCCAGTCGCTTCGAAGCAGAGACCTTGACAACGGAGTTCGTCCAACATCTCGAGTCCCTGGACTATAGAGCTTACTCCATCACCCCCTCACTCTTCTCTCGGTTCTGCGAATCTGTTTACCCCAACTCTCAGCGACCTGCTGTTGAAATCTCTGCCTCCATGCCAATGGCACGCTTCCATGTCTTCCTAGCAATGGCCATTGCGATGAAGGTGAGGATCAAGGATGCGCCAGAAAATACAAACGCGCTCCTTGATACTTGCTACGAGCTTGCCATGCAGCAAGCTTGTTCTTCCACATTCTGGCAAGAGACAGGCGGGATGGAAGCAGCTCAACTGTTGGCGCTTTTTGCCTCGCTTCGCAAACCTGCTAGCGAAGAGCCGCGCGGTCTTCAGCACTCCTTCTCTTGGTGAACAGTAGAGTCCCAAGATTTCTTTCTTTTTGTACTCATGACTGTATGTCTTCTCTTTCCTTTCTGTTTATCCTTGATCTTTCCGAAAAGTCGCGACCATTCCCGTGTCATCTTGTACATATATAGCATACCTTTACGAACGGCAGCCTTCTTGCAAGCGCAATAGATACCATCCTATCCATGCTGAGAACCTGTGTCCTCTTGAATCCCGTATCTTGCTCTTCTTCCGAGTCGCAACAGGAGAATGCTACGGGTATCATCTATGCTACTGCAGTATACATGTAAGGTATCAGACGCGCATTCGGTCTCATGAGTGGCTAATTGCCCTTGAGCTGATGACCTATCAAAAACCAGTCATGAGTCGCAAAGATAACGCAGTGTGAAATTTTGGGACTTGGGGCAATCGCACCAGATGCAAAGTTCCACATCTAGTAGTCTTACATGGCTCGGGTGCTCCTATGTGACTGGAGAAGAAAGAAGAGGGAACACTGGCGAGGTACTGCTTTGCCTCCGTGACAGCATTCGGTCGCAGCTTACCCGCTGGCAGTGCCGGCTTTAATTCCGAAACATGGGGCGCGGTATACCCGATTTGGCGATTCCCCCTCAAATACCTTACCGGTGGTTCGCAGAGCCATAAGACGGGACCTCCACTGACACAAGGTGCCGCAGAGAGCTTGAATGATGTCGCAGATTGACGGAGCTGAAGTAGCGAAGCACCACAGCAAGAAGGACTGCTGGATAGTGCTAGATTCCAAGGCATACAATGTGACAAACTTCCTGTCCGAGCACCCAGGTGGCGCACCGATTATCCTCAAGAATGCCGGGTCGGTGAGTAGTATTGCAGTATTGGCGCAACTTAACATTGACGTTGACCAGGATGCGACGGAAGAGTTCAAGAAATACCACCCGTTGAGTTATCTGGACGATTATCTGCCCAAAGATGCGTTCCTCGGACCTGTGGACCCCAACACATTCGGCCAGCTACGCCAGATCAAGAGCGAAGAATCGGCAAAGCCATCCGAAACCGACCCGAATTCTGACGAAATTCCACATGTAAGCCTCTGTGTCTCGACCACCGACTTTGAAGCAGCGGCCAAAGCAGTCTTACCTCATAAGTCGTACGTTTACGCTTCTGGATCCGCCAACACAGGTGCATCGCTCAAAGGCAACCTCGATGACTGGGGTCGTATCAATTTCCGGCCGCGTGTAATGCGAAACGTAGGCGATGTAGACACACGTCGCAAGATCTTCGGGCATAGCTCACCGTACCCATTCTACATTTGCCCTATGGGAACGATGGGCGCCATCCATGAAGCTGCTGAGCCAGAAATGATCCGAGGAGCAGTACGGAAGGGGATCCACAAAGTCGTCAGTACTGCGAGCTCCAAGAGCAGCGAGCAGATCATGCATAGCTATCAAGATGAGCAAAAACGACTTGGTAATGGCAGTCCGACGCAACTATTCTACCAATACTATATGCCCGTCGACCGCAATAAGGCTATCGAGCTCATGCGCATCGTCAAACGCTGCGGGTACAGGGGCCTGTGGATCACAGTCGATACGCCTGTTCTTGGTAAGCGAACGGCGGATCGATATCTTCAGGCCGAAGAGGCACTAGCAGTTGGTCTTGCAGAAGAGAGTACTGCAGAGTGGGAGACAGGCGGCGATAACGCTTTCGCACCTGCCATGGGTGGACGGCCGGTCCAAGGCCAATTGAGTCCGCATACCACATGGGAAGATCTAGAGTGGATCCGCAAGGAATGGGATGGACCGATTGTGCTGAAGGGAGTGCAATGCGCGGATGATGCGAAGCTAGCAATGAAGCACGGTTGTGATGGAATCTTGCTCAGTAACCATGGGGGCAGGCAGTTGCACACCGCACCGAGTGCGCTCATGACGTTGTTGGAGATTCGAACGTATTGTCCAGAAGTCCTGGAGAAGCTGGAAGTCTTCCTCGATGGTGGTCTGAGAGATGGGAACGACGTGCTGAAGGCGCTGTGCCTGGGTGCGACAGCTGTGGGCGTAGGAAGACCCTTCCTATATGCGCTTGGAGCTTATGGGTCGAAGGGTGTTGAGAGATGTGTTGACAGTAAGGACCATCACGGTTTGAGAGTCAAACAAATGTGCTGACATGTGACAGTTCTTGCAGATGAGCTGCAAACGGGCATGCGCTTGTTAGGCATCACATCACTGGACCAGTGCAGGCCCGAAATGGTTAATGCAACGAGACTGCTGAATGAGATGTGGCGACCGGACCAGTTGAGCTTGAAGAGTAAGCTGTAACAATTCGACTACCAGTCATTCGCGGATATATGCCTGAGAAAGTCCAAGTATTGCATGTCAATGTGAAGGAAGTCTGCTAAAGGCACATTTTGCGGTACCCTCCACTTACCCTGGAGATTTGCACTTCCAGAACCGATAGGTAAAGGCTCAGCCCGCACTAGACTGATGCCGCCGCTGTCGCCGATACCGCCGAAAGCTACTGTCTCGAATTCTTCTACCCCTCAACCCCGCTTTTCACCCCACCGTGCGTGTACCCGCAATCCTCCAATGAGCATATAAACATCACATCCAAAACTTCTTTTCATAAAATCTTCCTTAGGTGAGATGGCCGAGTTGGTTATGGCGCCAGGTTAAGGTTATCTTAACACATATTCCTGGTCACGAAAGTGGCGTGGGTTCGAGTCCCACTCTCATCAGCATTCGTCTGCTACAGCAGATAATCCAGGACTTTTTTTTGCCTTTATCATGCTTGGATGGCTGTGCCTTTGCGCTTTTGCCATGTCTGCACCTAGTTTTCTATTTTGTTTCTGGAATGCTATTCAGCATCCTACCTCTAGCCTGCTTACATCTTAATTTAGAGAAGCTCCGTGTTGGGCTGTTTCAGAGATCGTTATGTTACTACACATACCCTTTGATAAGAGAGCAAGTTGGGTAATGAAGACATGTTTGAAGAAAGCGTGTCCCAATCACGTAACATTGTTAAAGAACCTGAGTGTACTGCTTAGTTGTGGTTCGTGCATTCTCTCAGTTACTTCCTAGCGACAGCAACATGCGCTACACATTTGAACCCCTCTACTTCGATTACATCCGCGTCATCTTTTCCATTCAAAGGCCTCTGAATCTTCACGGCAGCTTTTTTCCCGGCAATGTTCAATTGCTTTCTGAATTCTTCGTTCTCTTCGTCTGTCCACTTTGGACCCATATGCTTCCACATGCCGAACAAATAGCCGCAAGTCTCTTCTGAGCTCCTTGAAGCATAGTACACTGCCTTCTCGTGCAACTCAACATCTTTGAATCCTGCACCTTCCAGCGTCTTCTTGAGATGCGAAGCCTCGAACCAATCGTCCGAAACAGGCCAGCGAAACAAGGGCTCTTCTGGCTTGACCGCTTTCTGTGCTTCGTGTACAACAGTCATGTGGCCTACAGACTTCCAGCTAGTAACAATCGCTGTTCCTGCTGGCTTGAGCGTACGATGGATTTGCGCTGCACCCTTTTCCGCGTCGGGGAAGAAAAAGATGCCCATGTTGGTTATGGAGTGCGTAAACGTCTCATCGGGGTATGTCAGGTCGACACCGTCCATGACATCAAAGGACAAAGTCGCCGAAGACTTCGTAGCTGGAAGGGTGTGCCGCGCTAGATCAACCATCGATTTCGCATTGTCAACACAGGTGATCTTGATCGGAGCATCTGGGTATTTGAATAGAATTTCTTGCGCGACAATACCATTTCCGCATGCGTTGTCTAGAACGACGGAGTCGGAGTCGATTGGGGGCAGTATGTCGACGAGATGCATGGCAGTTTCGCGAGTGCAGCCACCAGTAGAGGCCTCATAGCTTGATGCGAGCGTGTCGAACATTTCGCTGGCGGTTACGCTGGGTTTAATCATGATGGCCGGCTGTTTGCTGTTTTGTTTCGAGCGGTACAATGTATATGCCGAGAGAAAACAAGGCGAGGTTAGTGAGGTACTTATAGGCGGCCTGGGGCTTACGAGAGACCAACACAGCTGACATGCGTGGTGGCTGATGTGAAGCAAACGAACGCGTGTGATACGCGGGAGGCATCAACAAAACTCATACTTCATCGGAAGAGTTTCGCCCTTGTTTTGACGATAGAAGTGGATTGGTAAGTCTCCGGATTTCTTTCTAGCCGGGAGTTCGGATACTTTCGCCTTCTAAAGTACCCGAGCTTAGAAATCGATTGTGTATTCTTCATGACAATCGAGAGTCAGTCGTACGTACTTTTAAAAATTATATTAAAAGTGAACTGGTGTATCCTCCTCTATGCAATTCTCAAGTTACCCAAGCGGTACTTCATGCATTTGGTAGCGAAACTCTCTAGCATTTACATCCCTATCTTGCCGTTTATAGCAACGCACACCTCTTCAATGCTAGTTTGATCTAACTTTAGGGAAGAAACAGTTCGCCTGCGTGCACGCCTTAGTAGTCAATGGGACTCCAGAAGGCCCACAAGGCCTTTTTATTTAGAGCTTCGCATCCTTCTTGAACCTGATCAGCCCATCTTGGAAGGTTGTCGCAATATGTACTCCACGTTTATAGTCCCACATACGACTGGTATGAAGTGCTCTCCCGCCTGCAGCTCTAGTGAGCCAGGCCTCTTGCACAAACCATTTTCGCCCGTCTTTGTCACCATCCTTGTGCTCTTCTAGGTTGCAGAGTGGTAGCGACCCGTCTTCCCACAAGGTCGGATCGGCGTTTGGATGATCGATCCGTGGCTCAGAGGTCATGAGAAGATCTTTGATACCGACATGAAAGATGACGCTGTGAGATAGGGATGCCATGCGGGTGTAGTCTCGCGGCCGACCGAGATGGTTTGGGACGATGAAGAGGGAGTTGCGATCCGATGCATACAAATGTGCGCAGGCATGCATGTTGGCCTCTCGTGTTAAAGCAATCTTTTGATCTGAGTCTGAGACAGGCGGATATGGTGCGGTAGGTAATGGCAGTGAACCGCGGAGGGTGTAAAAGGTCAGTTGTTTTCGATCGAGCGGATGGCGGCTACGGTTGTAACTCGTCATATCAGCCTTACGTATGTGCAATCCAGCTACGGGGTTGAAGTGTTCTGGATGCGCTGGAAGGTCTAAGCGTGGATTCACCCAGTTAGTCTATATCTCACATATAGTTCGTACGGGGTCGCTTACATGTTTCCCGGAAATGTTCAGAATCATTGCTTGGAGCCGCTGAATGCTCCATTGGTTCATCGGCTTTGTCTTCGAGTGCATCCTTGTATAAGTCCCTCAAATCCACGTCCTCTTGGACATCGAAGGGCGAGGTCTCTTCCCTTTTGAAAGAGCAGGTGCATACAAACATATACCCATGAGCGGCAACCTGGCTCACGGTCACGTCTCGGATGCAATAGTTGTAGCCATCTCGGATTTTTCGAACGCGGTACGTGTAGTGTTCATTTGGCTTACCGCCTAAGATGAACCATCCGGTGATGTTCTATCATATTAGGTAGCTGCTGTAATAGTACGACACTGGTAGCTTACATGTACTAAAAACCCTTCTTCGACAGTTTGCGCTGCAGCCCATGCAGCTTGGGCAAACACATGCCCGCCGTATGTTCCATTCTCGCCGCCAGTTGGTGAATACGCTTTTACGATCGAGCGGAATGTCCTATGATCGATACGTTCAAGTTCGATTACTTTTTCGAAAGGAAGTACACGTTTATCGTCGGTGAAGTACGGACGTACAACCATGACGACAATGGAAGCTTCACAGATGGTACAGATTGATTAGTCCGTCTTCTCGAGGGATTTACTTGAGCTGAGTCGATGTTGGTATTTACAGCTGGTGCAGACGCGACGCTAAAAAGTTACCTCGGAACACGCGGGGTTCGGTTGGATGACGGGACAAGACAGCCCCCACTAGTGTCACTGGAGCCGTATAGATAGTCATGGCACGATATGATGACCCAGGCTGTGCGATGCCTCTGAGACCGAAAGAGTTGTAATTTTCCATATGCTCAATGTTTACTTCAGTCCGATCTTCCAGACCTCTTCTTCAGGAACCATAGCCTGACAAAGTAAAACACAAGACCACAAAGCCAAATCCCTACGAGGATCGTTGCCTGTATAGGCGCGAATACAGCGCCTCTAACAACGACAAAGCCGCTGATCAGAGCAAAAAGTATAGGGATAAGAATGAGAGGCTTCACGGGTCGGGGTAGATCGGGCTCTCGGAAGCGTAAGATGATTGCTCCAAGCACGGTGAGAAAGAAGAAAGCATATTCAGCCAGCCCGTTGAGAGTTAACAGGATGCGCATGTTTCCGAGCAGAACATATATGCCAGAAAGGATAGTGTTGAGAATCAAAGCATTGCTAGCGGTCGTCAGAGAGTGATTGTCAAAGAAAACTCGGATATATACGTACATCGGAGACTCTCCATTGTCCATGGCCATATCCGCTGGCTCATCTGAATCGGCAATTTTGCTTACTCTGAGGGTACCAACATATCCGACTGTGCCAAAAACACGCGGGAACCAATTGTTGTTCGCTGCTGCCACAGTCATCCTTCCAGCGACGAAAGAGTTACCAAGGGCGGAGCCCGCAATTACAAGACAGATGAGCGCTGTAGCAAAGTAAGCTACACCCTTGCCAAGGAAATGGGTAACAGCCGTCTGGTGTATGTCAGTACGCAAGATTGTGGCACCTAAGTTTGCAAAACTTACTACAGCGGCAGCATCCGTTGTTGATACAACCCCCCAGGGGAGTAGAATATAGTAGACCGCGTTAGCTGCGACATAACAGAGTATGATTGTAGGTATAGCGGTGTTGATCGACAGTGGAAGCTGACGGCTGGGATTTCGCAACTCAGCTGCAACATAATTGGCTTTGTCCCAACCAGAGTATGCCCATAGAGCTCCATAAAGAGCTGTTGAATAGAAGCCAAGTGACTCCCATGTAGTCACCTTTGTCCAGTCGAACCTTGATCCGTCGGGTAATATCGTGTCTCTTGGAGAGAACCAATTGTTTTGATGCCAATCATGACCTCCTAGGTCCTTGCTCTTTCCGACAAAGACAAAGACCACGACTAGCCCAGATATGATAAGCAAGGAAATGGTAAGCAGTTTTATGGCAACGAAGAAGCTAGATAACCGAGTGCTCGTCTTGGTGCTGATGGAGTTTAGAGTTGTGACACACACTAGGACAAGCAGAGACAGCAATTTATGCGTGATAGGCGGATCTGGTTCATTCACACCCAAGCTGGAGTAGATGGACTCCACAAATACGATGCTGAGAATCGCAAGTGTAGCTGGCATAGTCGCAACAACCCAAGACCAAGCCGCCATGTATCCAAAGACATCTCCATAAATGTAAGTGAGATATGGTTGGATGCCGCCTTCTCCAGGAAACGCCGTACCGAGCTCAGCCATGGTCAGAGCGCCACTCCATGCTAGAATACCGCCAACTAGCCATACAAGTAGCCCGGCGCCAGGTGATGGAACATTCGCATCGATGGGTCCTGGCGATGAAAATACTCCGGATCCGATGACGATGCTTATCAGGAGCGCGAAGCCATCGAGCGCACCCAGGTTGCGGGCAAAAGTACTTCTCGCGGCGGTAGTTTCATCGTACTCCTCATCTGGAGCGTATGACGTTGTCGATTCCTGGCGGAGTAGAGGTGTTGTCTCTGAGGATGCCATTTGTCGCGTTCTTGAAGTGCACAGAGGCTTGACAAGGTAATCGTCGTTGTTTTGCCGAGGTGATTGCGCGCCACACGCGTCAACGCGGTGTAACTTGGAGAGCTACGTGTCTTCTCCAAGCTTCAGAGATGTCGCAAGCATATATCTTTTGATATTGCTAAGTCAAAGGAACCAATCCTCAATGTGGTGGTAGGAGAGGACAGGAAGGCTGGATTGGCGTGTGTCGCGCGATACTATCGCGTCAGGATGAGCCCGAGTTACGTCATCCCGATTACCCACCACATGCCGCGACATCAGAGTATGAAACTTCATTCACTAATACCCTTACAGACGTACACTCGTATATTTTAGAGGGACCGCTGAGCCGAATCATCTGCAGATTCATTTTTTGTTCAGTACGACGTCATCCTGCAGACCTTAACTTGACATCTTTCCCTTCCAACAACATAGAGCTTGGAACCCTATGGCCAAGTATCCGCTATCGCCAAGACGCACATGCATCTATTGGAACACATACCGTAGAAGATTAGCACTATGTTGCCTCAGAACCTAGAGAGACCAGATTACAACAACTCGGTTGTTGGGATGGACCCTTAATGTCCAATGAGATACATGTCGCCCAGCGACAGGCTAGTCGGGCTTAAGTCAGGGAGTGACTGTAGTCTAGAATTGAGGCGTTCCCAAGGCTTTCTACCCCACGAGTCATCCCAACAAGGAAGAACGATACAGCAAAGAAGAAATCATAAGTAGAGACGCGACATAAGACGTTGGAACACCATAGATAAACTTCTTGAAGGTGTAAAGAAGGTCTTGCGCAAGCGGTATATATCCGGATGCAACTTTGGTACTAGGACTATAGCTAGATTTATCATCTCTCATCTATACAACCATGACAAGCGAAGGCATAAATACCAACATCCTCTGACTTGTGGACCACATATGATCTATCTTTTGGTCGCAGTGCTGGGATGGCCAGAAACCTGTTCGCTAGCGTACCTTCACATGGGAAACTGCGGGGAGGTTAAGCTTAAATCTTTAGTGCAATGACAGACCAATGACGCTGGGTGGGAATCATCGGCCCTTGCAGAGTTAGTGTGCTGTATACGGCTTAGTGATGCCCATCATCATGGCGACGTCATTTCTTGTGAGCTCACGGTTTGCTCGCAGCTGCTTAAAGGTCTGGGTCCCTGGTCGAACTTCTATTCATCACACATTGCCTTTTTTCAACATACCCAAGTCTTTCTCAACTTTTCACCAATCTCTTCCTCCATTCAATTCACCGAGAAGAACACACATACCAACACCACCATGTTCTCGAGACAAGCAAGCCAGAATGCGCGGTTTGCAGCCCGTTGTGCCCGTCGTCCAGCTTCGCGGGTAGCCAACCCCCAGTTCCGCGCCCAACAACCCCGCTTCCAGTCTACCGAGTCAGCAACATCCGGCAACGCGGGTGCCGGCTCACATGCCGCAATCGGTGCCGCATCTGGTGCCCTTGCAGCCATCACAGTCGGCTACATCTTCTACAGACAATCGGGTGCTCGTGATGTTGTAGTAGCTTCCAAGACTGCAAAGGGCTACGTCAACTCAGCTACACAGAAGATCAAGGAGCAAACACCAGAACCCAACGAGGCGCTGCAATGGCTGCGAAATGCTGCGCAGAGCTACGCTGCTTTCATCCCCGGTGCCAAAGGCTATGTTGACTCCGCCTTCGATGACCTCGATGCTATCCGTGCAAAGCACGGCAAGGAGGTTGACCAGATCGTGACCGAGGCATACGACGAGATGCGCCAGGTTCTCGGTAACGGTGATATGAGCCTCGTCACCGCACACAAGACTTGGGACGTTATTACCAAGCACATGAGTCGTATCGCAGATCTTGCTGGCGACGCATCACAACAGATCATGGACAACCACCCTCAGCTCAAGGAGAAGGTTGGCGGTAACATTGATAAACTCAAGGAGTACGGCGACAAGTATGGTCCCGAGGCCAAGAAGGAGGTCGACAGGACATGGAAGCAGATCAGTGACGTGGTCAAGACTGGCGTAAGTGCGTCGAACATTGAGAAAATCAGGAGCATCGTGCAAGAAAAGGTGGAGAAACTCAAGAAGATGGGCGATGAGGCTTGGGATAAGGGTATGGAGCAGGCAAAGCCCTACCTTGACAAGAACCCTCAGGTCAAGAAGATTGTCGAAGAGAACGCGGATGCACTCAAGGGCGGAAATGTCCAAGAGCTGTACGAGCGCGTCAAGTCTGCCGTCGAGAAGGGTGATACTGGCGACCTTGAGTCATACGTCAAGAGCGCCGCCAACAAGGCCAAGGAGTCTGGTTTCGGTGATATCGAGCAGTACTTCAAGCAGATCCCTGGCGGCGACCAGATCATGCCCAAGCTAAGCCAGCTTCAGGACGTTGCCCAGAAGCACGGCGACGAAGCACAGAAGCTTTTCAAGGACACCATCTCGGAGATCTCTAGCCTCCTCCAGAAGAAGGGTGAAGAGGCATCCAAGTTGGCCGATAAGGCAAAGGAGGACTCTAAGAAATAGGACACGACAGAAATGTTGTCCTAGCATGATGAGGAGTGTAACGACTACTTTACCTGTACGATTATGTGCATCATCGGCGTTGATCAAGTCCAGCGAATAATATCTTAGCATCTGTAAACAATTTTGAAAGCAACTTCAATCTGACTACTATCTGCTGTCGCCTTCTCTAGCCTCTGTGATGTCCCACATGGGTTCGTCGTACAGTCGGCTAGAGATGATTGCATCAAGGTATTGTGCGGGGGATGCATGTCCATGACTGCCTGCATGCAGGAACTACTCACTGTGCACACCGCACACCGTGTTGACGTCTTCTGGAATCCTCTATGCGGGGCGACTGTCGGTGTAATATGTACATGTACGTCTTATAGGCTGCACACAGGAGTTGCCGCCAAAGTAACCCCGCGATCGGCTAAGGAGGTGAGTGGGTCTGTGGTGAAAGAAAGTGGTGAGAGAAGGCGATGGCGGCGTTCGTGCGCCCAATGGACCGGACACGCTCCACTGGGGCAGCCAATGACGTAAATGCGCCTCCCCTCCCCCCGGCTGCGCCGCCCTTCTCTGACACCTGGCAAGCGCTGCTACTCTATTTACTTGTCCCTCAACAAATTCCCAGCTCTCTACATCTTCTCACTCCAATTTCCCACTTGTCTCTACCAAACTCTTCCTCTACACGTCGATCGACACTACTCCTACCGCCCACCTAACCCAGACACACTACACAACCGCAACCATGGGCAAGGTAAGCATCGGCGTGCTCACATGTACCCCGCTGGTACCCCGCTAACACGTGCATAGGCGAAGTACATCATGCTTGACTGCGACAACACGCTCGTCCAGTCTGAGCGTTTTGCGTTCGAGGCCTGCGCCGACCTCACCAACCAGCTCATGGAGAGGCACAACATCGATGCCCGCTACACAGCCGAGTCATTGCTCGAGGATTTTGTCGGCCACAACTTCCGCGGCATGCTAAAGGGCCTGCAGGAGAAGCACAAGTTCAAGATGCCCGACGACGAGATGGAGGACTTTGTCGCACAAGAACTCGGCGCCGTCACTCTCAAGCTCAGCCAGAAGGCTGTCGAGTGCCCTGGCGTGACTGAGCAGCTCACCAAGCTCAAGGAGGAGGGCTACCCTATGTCTGTTGTCTCTACTTCCGCCAAGAGCCGCGTCGTCGCTTCCATCGAGAAGGCCGGCATCGCCCACTTCTTCCCTCCTGAGCACGTCTACTCTGCTGCCACCTCACTCAACCCTCCCTCTTCCAAGCCCGACCCCAAGATCTACCTATACGCCGCCGAGCAACTAGGCGTCAAGCCTTCCGAGGCCATCACCGTCGAGGACAGCAAGAGCGGTGCCACTGCTGCCATGCGCGCCGGTATCCCCTGCATCGGCTACGTTGGCATCTACGGCATTGAGGAGGGCAAGGATAAGATGGACCAGATGGCTAAGCTTCTCACCGAGGAAACCAAGTGTGCTGCCATCATGTACGATTGGAAGGACTTCCCAGAGTGCTTGAAGAAGGTCGAGGCCAAGTTGTAAGTCCTTACTTCGACACTTGTGTAGGCGCTGAGGAAGATGAACATTTGATGAACTCGACCCGCCATTGTGGGAGAGCTTACGATTACATTCACGACATCAATGATTGAATAGATTCAGTAATGAACAGTTAGCGGACATGGTCCCATTCACATTTACATTCACATTCATATCCACGACAACCATCTTTGCTGTTCCTTTGTTCTACCGTGTTTACTATTTTGTTTGGTGACGCAATGGTGGGACCCGCGCCGTTCGTGGGCAGGCACAGCGTTCCAGGCTCGGGTGACGGCCCAACGCTGCCCCGCTCCCCACTTGGTACCTGCAAACTTCAACGCGAAACATCCCGAACATCGAACTTTTGCCTTTACCATCCCAGATCCCTAGTGCCAGCTTTTCGTCGCGTCAATTTCTGCTGCTCATGCGTCCTGCAATGAGCAGTCTGAGCCGCCGTGCCCATGTCGACGGTCCGATCCATTAATGTGCTGATCCTCACTCCGACCTCAGCGCTAGCTGGCTCCTGATTCTTGGACTGAAGAGCCTATAGCTTCGGCCAGTGAAGGGACCTCTGCTTTGCCAAATCAACGCTCACGTGATTACAGGAAAATCAGCTGATCATCACCGTGCCAAGCGAATGTGCCTCGGTAAGAACAGGGCCTCAATATTACGCAAAGTCGTGCTCTACCACACTCTTTGCGCAAGGCCCAACAATCCCTTGTCCGCCGGGTCTTTCCACAACGCAGAATCAACACTGGCCACTGAACAGCTGGATCTGACATGCGCAAATCCTAGCACAGAGTTTAACGACAGCACCTCATCCTGTCGTTATCTTCGCTCAACAGATCTGCATCTTGGCATTCTGGCGGCCAAGACATGACCAAGACATGCTTGATAAAGCCTCCTTCCTATCCTGTCGACAGCTCCTTGCTCGAAGCTTTTGCTTCATCTAACACCACCAATGTCATACCCTGTACGGCATTGGACTTCATATACACGTTGCTTATGATCTTTGCCGACTGCCAATCGTGGATCTACACCACCTCGTGTGATGGGTCACCACATGTATAGTAGCATCGAAAGGGGCAGGTATTGTGGCTACCTGCCGGGTTAGCCATAGGCAGTGCAGAATGGATACTGGCATTTGGAGTACCTCTGTGTCGGAGAGCACGCATTTAAGAGTACGTGAGAAGCCTGCTATGATGATCCATCGGCACCTGTCGCATCGTTCATATCACAATCAACATGTATCTACGCACAGCCCTTCTATCTTTGTCCGCCCTTGCGGCAGCAAAGGAAATGCCAAAGGACGAGTTGAGAGCCGCACAGCTTTATGACTCTGGCATCAGGCACGAAAACAACGTTGCCCTCAAGAAGGTCACAAACACATTCCTTTCCTGCGAATTTACACTAAGCCTTAACAGGAGTCATGGGCACGTCAGGAAGCTGCAGGCATGTACAACTCTGCTCAGTATGCTGAGATCAAAGACAAAGTAGAGTGTCTGAACGGTACTGCGGTTACTGGAAATGACGTTTTCCAATGCAAGAATGTCAGTTCATCCACCACGTATCGAGACTCTCAACCATTAACACATTCAACCAGATTGACTTGCTCCATTTCTTGTCCCATGCTGAGCTGGGTAGCACTCGTGGTGTCGGATCTTCGTCATGGGGCTGGACATCCGAGGACGGTCGCGAGTTTGTTGCTATCGGACAACAAGACGGCGCCGCATTCGCCGAAATCACTGCTGAAGGCAAGCTCTCATATCTGGGTCGTCTGCCAGCCTACTCTACGCCTAGTACATGGCGCGAGATCCGTGGCCAGAATAACCTCATGATCATCGGCAGCGAGGCAGTCGGCCATGGAATTCAGATCTTCGACATGAAGAAGCTAATCGACATTGACCCTGCGTCTCCCGTGACTTTCAGCAACAACGGCGATTTGACTGGTCACTTCAAGGGCCTCCCTAACGGCAGAACTCACAACGTCGTGACAAACCCTGAGACCAACTTCATCTATGCCGTTGGTGCGCAGCCAAGGACGGACAAGTGCAAATCTGGAATCATCTTCATCGACATAACTGATCCTTCCAAGCCAACAAGCCCAGGCTGGTAAGTGTGACTTTATGTTAGAGATGAGATCACCGCTGACCAAGGATAGTGCATCGGAAGACGGATATGTACACGATGCCCAATGTCTTATCTACCGCGGACCAGATTCCGAATTTGAAGGCCATGAGATTTGCTACGGCTACAATGAAGATTCTCTTACGATATACGACGTGACCGACAAGAAAGCCCCAGTCATTCTGTCCAATTCTTCCTACGAGGGTGCGGCATACACCCACCAGGGCAACGTTCTAGACCCCATGAACCAACAGTTCCTCCTGCTCGACGATGAGTACGATGAATACGACAAAGTCGGCCCTGCTATCCCTGGTCATCCCATCACGTACATCTGGGACATCTCATCACTCCGCGCGCCTAAACAGACTGGACTGTATAAGAGCGGAGCAAAGGGTATCGATCACAACCAGTATGTCGCGAACGGCTTCGCATATCAATCGAACTACGGCACCGGATTCCGTGTTCTTGATGTCCGCAGCATTCCCGATGACCCGACGGGTGCTGGTGTGAAGGAAGTTGGCTTTTTCGGTATGTAAAAACGAACGTCTTAGTCTTAGTATACCTTTACTTACATCTACCTAGACGTATACCCTGAGGACGATAACATGCCTGGAGGTGGTACTGTCGACTTCGTCGGCACGTGGTCGAGCTATGCGCTGTTCAAGAGTGGCCACATCTTGATCAACACTATGGAACGTGGTGTTTTCATCGTCAAGATGCAGGAGGGATTCGACAAATAGACGGATAGAGCATATTCATTTTGAAATTACTCGTGGCAAAAATAAGTTTAGGGTTTATTGTCAACGTCGATCCCGGCTGTATCCCGTCGGTATCAGTGCGGGTTTCTATCAGACGATTGGTCCATGATGAACCTTCGGCGCAATATTGCGCATGTTTGGAACTTGTAGATTGGAGCCATCAAAGTCGGAATTCAAGCAATCAAAGTCCTGCCATGGTCTGGCCTTAGCATCTAGCGGCGTCGGTGTCACCGTTGTTCATTGTCTTTTCTTTTTTGTCCATGTCCGCTTGCCACGAAACCGCGTCTAGCCGCCAAGCTTGCATCCCTCCGCGCAGGATCTAGTGGCGGAGCAACACTATCGCCTCTTGCTGTTTCCTTCGTTATGATTGTGGCGTAGGCGCGCCAAGAAGAAGCTGCGGGGATTTGGGCTTGGCCCCATTTCTAGAGGTCCTTCCTTCCCAATCAAGTTGCGCCCGGCCGTGAGCTAGATGTCTCCGCCGAGAGAAGCGGCTATTCTCCTTCCTCATGCAACACAGCATTGCGCAGCCAAGCAGACCTTCATCAACCGTGTCGCCTTCGCCCCAGCTCCTCGCCCGGCTACCCGTTTTCATGGGCCCACTGCACGTCCTGACTTATCAAATTGCGGTGCCTGAATGACAATGGAGCGGCGATTGATACAGCAGCTGCCTGTATCGGTTAGTTCTGCAAGCACACAATGGCTCAAGTCCGCTTCCTGGACCAGGTATATGGATACGAGGTATAGTATATAGAGCCAGTCTATACCTGTGACAGGTCCCAAGGCAGCTTCCTCTTCTCCTGGCTCATCTGTCATTATCCTTTCTCAAGATGAGGTTCGTCCCCTTCGTTGCGCTTGCTGCGCCTGTTCTCGCACAATACGATGCGAAGCCAAAGCCTACCGCAAAGCCTGGAAAGCCGCATCCATCCGGTCCTCCTAGGAAGCTCGTCTCCCCCAAAGAGCTAATCAAGGAGATCAAGCTCGAGGACTTACTTGAGGGTTCCCAGCAACTTCAAACCTTTGCCGATGAGGCTGGTGGCAACCGCGCCTTTGGTAGCACTGGACATAACGCTACGACCGAGTGGCTCTACCAAACGCTCAAGGCTACCGGGTACTACGATGTGTACAAGCAGCCTTTCGTCGAGCTCTTCACTGCCGCTACGACCAAGTTCACGGTTGCCGGCGAAGAGATCCCCGTGTCTTACATGACTTTCGGTCCCTCTGGTGATGTCACCGCAAACCTTGTCAAGGTTAACAACCTCGGATGCGCTGTTGATGACTTCCCTGCCGAAGTTTCTGGCCAAATTGCACTCATCTCGCGAGGCACTTGTCCTTTCGCTGATAAGGCTGCTAACGCCTTGACAGCCGGTGCAGTCGGTGCAGCGATCTACAACAACGAACCCAACACACCTCTGTCTGGTACTCTCGGTGGCGAAGGCGACTACGCCCCCGTCGTCGGTATGACTAAGGAAGCCGGCGACAGCCTTCTAGCCAAGCTCGGCAATGGCACAGTTGAAGCTACTCTTTTCATCGATGCCATCCGCGAGAACCGCACCAACTACAACGTCATTGCCGAGACGAAGCAGGGCGACCACGACAACGTACTCATGCTTGGTGGCCACACCGACTCTGTCTTTGCCGGTCCTGGTATCAATGACGATGGATCTGGTACCATCGGTACCCTCATGACTGGTCTTGCTCTGACCAAATTCAAGATCAAGAACGCTGTTCGTCTCGGCTTTTGGGGCGCAGAGGAGTTTGGAAAGCTTGGTTCCTTCTACTACATGAAGACAATCAACGGTACTTTCGGCGGTAACGCAACTGAGGTCAACAAGCTTCGTGCCTACCTCAACTTCGACATGATTGCTTCGCCCAACTACGTTCTCGGTATCTACGACGGCGATGGTAGTGCGTTCAACTTCTCCGGTGCCCCTGGATCCGACAAAATCGAGAAGGACTTCGAAGAGTTCTACGAGGAGCGCGGTCTTCCCCACGTCCCCGCTCTCTTCTCTCTTCGCTCCGACTACGCTGCTTTCCTCGAGAATGGTATTCCTTCCGGAGGCCTGTTCACAGGTGCCGAAGTGTTGAAGACAGAGGAGGAGGCACAGCTCTTCGGTGGTGAAGCTGGCCAACCACTCGACGCATGCTACCACCAAGCTTGCGACACTATCGACAACCTTGCTGAGGATGCTTTCTTGCTCAACACTCAGAGCATCGCGAACTCGGTTGCGAAGTACGCGCTCAGCTTCGAGGGTATTCCTAGGGCTAACATGACGCTTCGCAAGCGTGGCGCCGAAAGGAGCAGGCTCATGTCGAGGTTTGATGATGGTGGCCATGCGCACCACGGCCAGACTTGCGGTGCTGGAAAGCATACTATCTAGACATTGTGTTAGTATATGACCTATTGAGGAGTCGGATGATGATGATGATACCATGATGTGATGATGTTGTAGAAATAGAAAACTCGAATGTAATAAAACATTCCAATCCATGACCTTGTCTTACAATCCCCCTTTGCATATGTCTGCGTAAACAGCCGCGTGGTCTTCACAAGTTTGACTAGAATCTACACCTCCTTGTTATGTCGATTCATCAGGACAAATATCGTTCTCGTGCTTGGTTCACCACCGGGTCCCTCTATGCTCCAGATCTCCATGCGAATGCAAAGCTTATCATAGCCAGAAGGCATGCGTTTGTGAAGATAAATACCATGATTCCAATCCCTGTACGTTCTTCTCTTCTGTGCCGCGCGACCTATCTTGTTCCATTTCTGCCTCTACTTACCTTCAAAAGTGTTACACTCACACTCATACCATCGCAGTGAAGACAAGCATACCAAGCTCCTGGCGTATGCAATGACAATGAGCGAGTGACAGAAAGAGGATAGACCAAGAGCGGAACATGGAATTGGGGCGGAAGATCTGAGGTAAGAGCGGACAGCGCACACCATGATGGCGGATGACGGATGACGGTGGACACTACAGCATTTCCTCCCTTTTGCGACATAGCATGAATTGAGCGAAAGTATCTGAGAGTGTTTTGCGTATACGAGGTCGGCGATCGAAAAGAGACCGTGAGTCTTCCATTCTACATTTTACAAAGTTTGGTCACGCGAGACATCGGTTTGGTGGCTGACTGCGGCGCTACAGCCCTACACTACCAGCATACTCCGAGTGATGGGCAGAGGCGCTGCCACAAGCTTGATGTGTGTCAACGATGTAGAATGTAGTGCGCCTGGTGACGTCGATGATCCGGCGGGGGCCAGGTATTTAAGATGGCGTACTACAGATAGCCGCGTGGCACGCACAAGGACTTCCCAAGTTGGGCGACGAGAGGTCGAACAGGGTTTTGGTGGCTGCGAACGATACTTACTCTGGATGGAGAGCATGTGTATTGCTGACGAGGAACCTCGTGTTCTCGGTTATTGAGATCGCACCGGAGGCGTCCATTGCCGGCGAAGTTTGCGGGGCGCGCTCCGTTTGGCCTGGGACGTTTATCGGCGACCCTGAATCGTTAGCTGATCTAGCCACGCTCATGATGGAGATCTTAGTCGATCTCGCGAAGCTGTACGCCATCACAGTATCGATACCTAAGTCCTTGGTTCTGTATGCCTGGAACCCAAGGCAGCAAGTGCAAATCGGCCAGGACCATTCGACTCGAAACGCCGGGCTGCCCAGATGTCGATGATCGCCTGGACCCGCCTAACGCATGTCGTAAATCTTCCCGACTTCTCCAGGCGATCAGCGACAAGGCCTTCCGCGATCCTACTGCGGTCTTATTAGGGACATCATATCCACTCCACAGATTTTGTTGCACTGTGATGAGGAATTCTGAGTTTTCGCTCGGAAACAAAGGTCCGATCTTGGTAATCTTGTCTAGGCCACTCAGTGCGCGTTTCATTCGTAGCCCTGTTCCCTGCGATCGGAGCTTGCTAAAACTCCGACGTTCATCCAGAACCAGTGTACCCTGTTAGGAGGTGCCCGGACCTTTGCAAGCTGACGCCGCCTCGAGGTTGAACGGACTGGAAATCATTCGCGCAAGAGCGCCTTGGAAGGCACGAGGCACGTGGTATACGGTACGCCATACCACGCCAAACGGTACGGCCGCACCGACGCTAACAGAAAATCGCCGGGGGTTGGACCGAAAACATGGAAATTGAGGAGACGAGACGAGGAATTCCGGGCCCCCGGGAGCCGCATTGATCATGACAGTTGTAGCTTCAACGATACAACGAAGCCCCACAACTGTGAAGGAAGTCAGAATCAAAAATCTCAGTTGCATCATATGTTGAAGCAGAAGGTGCGCCGGCTGCGACGTCTGGTTGCAGAGGAGCTGAATAGTACGTTTCCTAGTCATAGTATTCATGCGATGCGGTCCAGTGCAATTTTACTTTGCAGTCATCCGTAGTCGACATCTGTAGACAAATCACAGTACGCGGAAGGATCGCCACACCTACCGGTAAGCCCACCGTAGCTAGTAGCTCAACATCATCGTAGACGCAGTAAAATCCTTGCGCGCCGCCAGGAATCTTGACAGACGCTATAGCTTGGAAACAGCACCAGATGCGCCGCCGCGCGTGTCAGAACAGACCTCTAGTTTCTACTCCGGAGTACATCCCTCACCGCTGCCAGCTGTGAAGGGATCTGCAAACTTAGAATCTGCCAATGCTATGTCGCAACCAAGACATCGCAGCCTGAGCGCTTCCCCGGCTGTCGACATGCTGACATGCATCTACCTGAAGCATGTGCAGTAAGATTCGAACACCACCCCGCGAAAGGGATGCCCTTCCCTGCCAGGCGAGCATTAGTGTTCCAATAAGATAGATCCCGTCCCGTACGCAGGTCGGACCAGGCACCGCACTATCCCAGGGCAAGCGACAATGCTGTTACAGGCTTAGTAGCACGATTCACGAAAGGATCGGTCGTTTGGCGTCCCAGATATCCACACAAGCCTGACGCCCAACGAATAGAAATAATCCTTCTCGAACATTGGGCCACTACGCCACTTTCTACTGAACCTTATTCCGACTCGAGAATCTGTCAACTCTTCGCTTCATCTCCTGAAGTCTCCTTAGCTGCCGTTATGGACCACTCAGTCTGGACAAAAGATGGTCAGGGTCTCGCTTTTGTCATTACGATTCATCCTCCACGGAGCCTATATCGCATACAACACCACGCTCGCTGAATTGTGAACGCTCGTTGTAAGGCCTCCCTCACACTGCACCACATTTCTACGCCGATCCAACATGAGTGGTGAATTCAGAGATGTACCATCCTTTCAACCATGGGGCCCTTTCATCTCAGCCAATTACGAGAACGAACCTATCACGAAATCAGATATCATCATCGCCTCCGTGGTGTGGGCGCTGACACTGATCAATGTTATCGTAGCCCTATTGCTGATACAAAAACAAACACTTGGATCTCGATCACCACTGAGGAGTGTGTACATCTGGATGATATGGCTGGAACTTATCGTTTCGTTCGTGATGGGACTTGAGTGTTTCCTGCACTTGTTGAAGTACATCAGACCGAGTAAGTGGCTCCAACGTACGGCAATCTGCGGCTATACTGATCAAAGTGCAGGTTTCGCATTTTACTTCACGATTCTCTTCTGGTGGTGTATTCAGGTTCAGCTTCTGTTGCAGATTATCATCAACCGTATTCGTGTCATCGTACCTGACCGAAAGCGATCGAGGTGGATCATGATCACCACTGCCGTCTTCGTCACCGCCATCAACATCAGCGTGTTCAACATCTGGATTCCAGCACGATTACAGATCAACTCAACGTAAGTTGCATTTTCGCTAAGCGCTCTGTATGAATGGTTGAAATGAGAAAGATGGTTATCTGAACTCAATCGACATAGCAGTCGTGGAAACGACACTGTTGCAGAGAACGCGCTCAAGTCTATCATACAGTGCACTAACAAAGCATCAGGTATCATCTTGTAAATGAGTACTGGGACCGAATCGAGAAGGGTCTTTACCTTCTTGTCGATGCAGCGTTGAACTGGTATTTCTTGAAGACTGTCAAGGAGAATCTCATCAACAACGGCCTCACCAAGTACAACAAGCTTGTTCGCTTCAACCAGCAGATTGTCATGTTATCACTTCTTATGGATGTCATGATCATTGCTGCGATGTCGATACCAAACTCTTTCGTGTACGTACATTCCATTGAGCGCCCACCTAACTCGCTTTCCTAACCCATCGTTTTCTAGATACATTCAATTCCACCCACTTGCCTACCTGGTTAAACTCAACATCGAGATGACAATGGCCAACCTCATCAAGCGCATCGCAGTCTCCACATCACGCAAAACCGGCATGGCATCTATTGCGCAAGAGTTTAAATCCTCGTCCAACCAATCCGCATCCGGCCAGCGCATTGGCGGCACAGTTCCCCACAAATCGCGCGGCTCAGTCCACGAGCTCGCGAGCTTCGCTTCCTATACTGTCGACACGAAAGCGACAAACGACCAAGATCAGCATCGTGTGGTCAGCTTTGCCCCCACAGGAAATCAAATCAAAGAGACAAGGGAAGTCATCGTGCATACTGAACCAAATCCACACTACGAGCGCAGAGGCTCTGAAGTGGAGATCTCAGGGGGTCATGGGAGGAGACAATCGCACGGCGTGGTGATTGAAGAAAGGGGACTGCCCAGGCAAAAGAGCCTAGAGAGCATAACTGAAGGCAATGAGAGTATGAGGAGTGGCTTGACGCCGAAGCGGCTAGTAGACGATAGTGATGACGAGGCGGCGCTCGTGCAGCAAAAGAGCTGGGGATGGCCGAGACGGCCGAGCTGAACATGAAGGCCATTGATATATAGAATCTTTGTTTGCTCGTTTAGCACGGCTCGGTTGAAATATATAATACCTATTGATTTCGCGATATAGACATGCGATGAAATGATAATTACAGATCGAATAATTATGATTAGACGGAATGTTTCCTTCCTCATGCTTGTGTCCTGTTAGTCATGCTGCGACCCTCGTAGAATATAAATGCTTTTCTCGACAACGTCCTCTAGTCGATTAGAGCGCTCTCTCCCCTCGACGAATATCAACCACACTCATGTGCGTGGGCGCATGCTGGAACCCGGCTGTATTGGACAGGCATCTGACTCCAAACAGACCAGCACTGGGTATCAGGTGTTAAGTGATCACGCCGAGCAGAGTTTCGGAGACTATACGTCAGATACGCCGAGTTGATGGGCTGAGTGGTTCTGCCGAAAAGTAAGCAGACATGATGCCCTCGGTATTGTGAGATTCGATGTGAGGCCATGCCGATATGCAAGACTTGATTCTTCCAGGAAAGCCACTGCTGCCCTGATCGATAGTATAGCAAGTTATGCGACGAAAACTCCATTTGAAAAATGAACTCACAAGACTTTCACTTACCTTATCAGTGACATGGCAACGACAAGCCGGTGTAAATCACAGCTTCGCCTGGTCGTCTGTCTGAAACCACAAAGACACGCAGAGAGAGCGGATGTCTTATCCATCAGGAAGATAAAAGGTAGTCGCGCTGTGCGCTTGACTATATTAGGTAATCTAAACATACACGTGACATTATGGCATTTTGATTCTCACTCTTCGATGCTCGAGCAGAAATGCATTGCGAGTACGGAGACTGTCCGCACATCGGAGATTGCTGCGAGGATGTTGCGGGTAGAAGGAATGCTCGTCTTGCTTCCCCGGAGCAAAGCAACGATTCCCCCGCACTTGCCAACAAGGAAGGTTTGCCGACCATGCACAATAACCGTTCAGGAAAGATTGCTTGGCATGCTACACGCGTATACGGATTGAACAAAGCTGGTAAGCCGTGTACTCAGCTGATTGCACGTCCCGAGTCCTATGACCATGTTTAAAAGATGCTTCTTGTGCTGTAGTCATATGAACGTCTTCAACTTTGCCATCACATAGCCTGTATTCGCTCAGGTACCGTCCCTACGTCACTACACAAGCCACGAACATGGGGGTAGGCGATATTTCGATCCGCTCCAGCGAGCGTCCTGAGACGGGCAGCGTCAACATATCAGTTGGTGTGTTCCCAGCGTCGTCAAAGAACGATTCAGTCGATGCACACAGAATTGCGAACGAGATAGTCACACAGTTCAACGATGCGCTTGCGAAGCGAGATCATGCAGCGATTGCAGACCTTTTCTGCAAAGACAATAGCTACTGGAGAGATCACTTGGCCATGACTTGGGATCTGAGAACTGCGAAGGGCAGCTGTAAGTGTCCCTGCGCGGACTGCATACGAGACATAAACTGACTTCGTACGCTCACGTTCAGCCGAAATCAAGAAGTACTTGGACTCTAGCAAGGTCCGGCTGGAAAAGGTTGAAGTGAGCAAGAGCTCGGATTATCGGGCGCCAAAGTTTGGAGCGATCGACGTTTTGGGCGACGTCAATGGCATAAATCTTTTCGTGACCTTCGAAACAAGTGTTGGGCGTGGCGAGGGTGTCATGAATCTCACGGACGACAGCGGGCAATGGAAAGTGTTTACGCTCTACACCTTGCTAAAGGAGCTCAAGGGTCATGAAGAGCCGCTGGGGCACCGACGGACGAAGGGTGTCAAGCATGGCGGGGACCCAGCCAGAAAAACCTGGAAGGAGACCCGGGATGCGGAGAAAGAAGATATGGACCCGAAGGTGTTAATTATAGGTGCTGGACAGGGTGGTCTGACAGTTGCTGCGCGCCTGAAGATGCTCAACATTCCTGCACTCATGGTGGATCAGAACGAAAGAGTTGGCGATAACTGTAAGTGTGCTTGTACAGACCGCATGTGAAACATACACTGACTTCGTACACCAAAATCTAGGGCGCAAGCGGTATCGGCAACTCGTACTGCACGATCCAGTGTGGTACGACCACATGCCCTATGTACCTTTCCCAGCACATTGGCCTATCTTTACCCCCAAGGACAAGCTCGCTGAGTTCTTCGAAGCTTACGTGAACCTGCTCGAACTTAACGTATGGACTTCTACGAGCCTCAAATCAACGTCGTGGGATGAGGGCAAGAAGCAGTGGACCGTGACTGTCGAGCGTCGGAAAGCAAATGGATCCGTTCAAACGCGGACTTTGCACCCGAAACACATCGTGCAGGCAACTGGTCATTCAGGCGAGAAGAATTTTCCCCAGATCAAAGGCATGGAAAGCTTCAAAGGCGACCGGCTGTGCCACAGCTCTGAGCATCCTGGCGCGAATCCAGAATCTAAAGGCAAGAAGGCTATTGTTGTAGGGTGCTGTAATTCCGGGCATGACATTGCGCAAGACTTCTTCGAGAAAGGGTACGACATTACTATTGTGCAGCGCAGTACAACATGCGTTGTCTCCTCCGAAGCCATCACCGACATTGGCAATAAGGGTTTGTACGATCAAGATGCGCCGCCCATTGACGATGCCGACCTTACTTTCTGGGGCTTGCCAAGCGAGCTTCTGAAGGCACAGCAGATCAAAGTCACCAAAATCCAAGCTGATCATGACAAGAAGATCCACGACGGCCTTCGCGCAGCTGGCTTCGTTGTTGACAGTGGGCCAATGGACTCAGGCCTTCTTATCAAGTATTTCCAACGCGGTGGTGGCTACTACATCGACGTCGGAGCATCTCAACTCATAATTGATGGGAAGATCAAGGTCAAGCAAGGCCAGGAAATTGAGCAAATTCTGCCAGATGGAATCGAATTCGCGGATGGTGATAAGCTGGAGGCCGATGAGATCGTGTTCGCGACTGGGTACCAAAACATGCGCACGCAGGCACGTAAGATCTTTGGCGATGAAGTAGCGGACCGCGTCAGCGACGTGTGGGGATTCAACGACGAAGGTGAGTTCAGAACCATGTGGCAAAAGAGCGGTCATCCTGGGTTGTGGTTCATGGGTGGTAATCTGGCGCTCTCGAGGTTCTACAGTCGGATACTAGCGTTGCAGATCAAGGCTGTAGAAGAAGGCATGATAGAAGATGCTGAAGGTGCGAAGGCAAGGCTGTAGTGATATGTGACTACCATAGAACCACGAAATGGGCCGCGGAGGTTCAACGCACCTGGTTCAAACAGCTATCCGAAGCCTTTCTCCCAAGTTTTGCCATTTTCAGATCTAGCGCGGGGTATGTCCCCACTCCTGGGTGCCATCTTAAACCACACAAGCTCCGAATCTGCATCAACTAATCTGCGTGCATCATCCGTCATACGTGCATACTTACTCAAGTTCTTCCTCCAGACGTAATGGCATCGAAGCCCCAGGTCATCCTCGTCGTTGGCGGAACGTCCGGAATTGGATACGCCATCACGCAATGCATTCTTTCATCGCCTTACCTACCATTGAATGCCAAAGTAATCGCATTTGGGCTTATAGATTCAACCATCAAGCTCGAGTTTACGAAACAACAGAGAGAGCGCTTAAGGATAGTCGAAGGCGATGTCACAGTAGAGGAGGACCGAGAGTTAGCGGTCCAGACATGTTTTAACCATTTTGGAGGACTCGATACATTGGTGTACTGCGCGGGCGTTATCACACCAATACAAAGATTGGAGAAGTTGGACATGGAAGCTGTCAAGAGAAGTTTTGATATCAATGTTTTCGGAGCCATGAGTATGGTAAGTAACAGCTTGTCATCCTAGCACTCTGAGCACATCTCGTACTGCAAGGTAATGCTCAATCACTGTCCTCATGACTAACGTCTCTTAGGTTCAGCTCACCCTCCCACATCTCCGCGCGTCACGGACATCTCATCCTCTGAATGCTGGTCGTGGCAAAGTTATAATCTTGTCTTCAGCATGCGATACTACAATATCCTACCATGGTTGGACCCCTTACAGCACCACCAAAGCCGCACTAACCCGGTTCATTTCCTGCCTCGCACATGAAGAGCCTCTACTCAGCGTGCAAGGTGTATACCCGAAGCTGACGCGGACGAAGATGATCGATGGATTAGTTCAAGGGCGGTATCAGGGGGTTATGGCGGACCATGAGATTGAGCGGTTCAGAATTTGGGACGAAATGGGCGACGAGATGGTGGAGCCACCTGAACACTGTGGAGACGCAGTTGCGAAGTTGGCCCTCGGCCTTTTCGAGGGTGGAAAGAGTGGAGAGACTCTATATTATTACGAGCACATTCCGCGGAAGATCGCGGGGACATGATGCATATGCTGACCGCGATCTATCTGATTGGTAAAGCACAGTATTCATGCGTGTGAAAACAGTAGTTTCGCATTGAATCTCTGCTCAAGATCTCAAAATATCTTTTCTCCAACGAAGGCTTTTCATACCTTACGCTTCTCCTTCGCAGCTTCCTTAATGATATCCGCTGCCTTTTCCGCAGTTGCATAAACAGTGGTCATGATATGGGAAGCTGGCAAGATGGGCATTACACTTGCGTCCACAATCCTCAAGCCCTCCACGCCGTAAACCCTGAGGTTCTGGTCCACGACACCACCATCTTCTCTGGAACCCATCTTGCAGCTACCTGCGGGATGGTAAAGTGTCGACGCAGTACTGCGGATAAAAGCGTCGATGTCCGTGTTGGCGGTGACATTGCTTCCGGGCGAGACTTCGAAGGGGTTGAGCGAGAGAATGGACGGCGCAGCAGCGAGTCTTCGAGCAAAGTGCACACCTTCGCGCAATAGTACAGTATCGACTTCGTTGCGTAGAAATCCCACATCGGCGACCGGAGCATCGAACATGCTGGACGAACTTGCCTTTACACTTCCACGCGAGTATGGATGCTGGAGTCCGAGAACCATGACGCCGTCAGCCCAGATGACCTCCATCATTGCGGAGTCATTAGCCTGGAGCTTCTTATTAAGAGAATCAAATTGCGCTTCATAGCCTCGTGCGACTTCAGCGGGCGTGTTGGGTGGGAGGGAGGCGGATGATCCACCAGCGACAGCCTGAGACAAAATGGATTGCGTGGCGTTGGAGTAGGTTTGAACTGGCAAGAAAAGAAGGAAATCGCCGGTCGGGGAGGTCAGTGGGCCAGATCTGTCATTGTCGTACTGCTCGCGAGCTTGCGCGGCGAAGGTAGTGTTTGTTGTCAGGGTGTTGGTCAGGATGGTGGTGTTTACTGTGCCGCTGTTAGTGGTCTTTTCAGCTGGAACATATAACGTTATACTCACGTATGTTCACTACGGCAATAGAGAGATGATCGTGCAGGTTGTATCCAACGGCAGGAAGATCAACAACTGTTTCAACGTTGATTGACTCGAGCAGAGAAGCTTCACCAATACCAGACACTTGCAGCAGTTGAGGCGTGTGCAGCGTTCCAGCAGCAAGAATGACTTCCCGCTTGGCTTTAGTCTGTTGACGAGTCGCATTTGCAGAGGTCGAGAACTCAACGCCGGTAACCTTCACCGCTTCGGTATCGTTGCATTTTTCTGTCAGGATACGCGATACGAGGTTGCCGGTAAGAATGTGGTAGTTTGTGCGCGCTTCAGCAGATGCATAATAGGCTTCTTCCGCAGAGGATCGTGTTGCAGTCTTCAGGTCCAGGTTATGTGGGCAAAAGTAACCACCGAATGCGTTCCCAGTTGCTTGGTCGTTGACAGAGATACCGAGTTCCTTGGTAGCTTGCATTATATTTTCTGAATAAAGCGTCAGTATCTCATGTATTGCAAAAATTGTGTTGGACTCACTCGTTGTAGGCCAAAAGAAGGGAGAGTAAGTTGTTTGCATGTATCCTTTGTCTCCGTGGTATTCGGGATTGACTTCGATGTTATATTCTGCTTCGATCTCCGGTGTCGGTGGCGTAAAGTTCTCGTTCTATAACCTGGTTAGATGCTTTGACGCTGTTGCTGAGCAAACGTACCTTTTTGAAATACGGCAGGAATGTTTCAAAGTTCCAACCCTCGTTTCCTAATGTCTCCCATCCGTCATAATCAGATCGCGCTCCACGATCAAAGACCATGCGATTGAGTTTCGTCGATCCGCCCACAATTTTGCCTTGCGGGATGGAAACAACGCGACCGTCCAACCCTTCATCCGCGGCGTAGGTGATATTCCAATCGTACTTTGTTCCAACAGCACCGCCTGCTAGGCCTGGAATGGTGACATAATCCTCGTTTTGGTCGCTGACACACGAGTTAGTATCTTAGCGATGCATGCAGATGCCATGTAACTCACAAATCGCCAGCCTCGATGACCAATACGCTTACATCTATACAGGGTCATATTAGCCGCCTGTATGCCACGCGACATGTGTAAAGCCTACCCTGATCCTCGGATAGTCGATTGGCAACTGTGAGACCCGAAGCGCCGGCGCCTACAATCACATAATCGTATTCTGGGAGGACATCTTCTGCTCTCGAAACCAGTTGCGCATTGGAAAGTGGGTGTGCGAGAAGACCAGTCGCAGAAAGCGCGACAGTCACTCCGAGATTCAATAGTGAAGGCATGATCGCAGCGTACAACAACAATCGTTTGTGTCGTCCTGCCAAAAGTACTTAGGTATATGTACATGTACATGTTGAGCAACCGTAATGACACCGCCAGTCGGGCCGCCCGCATCTGCCGATGTTGAGCACCAAGAGCGGCCCAGCCGAGGCGGGTTCATCAGGCTCGTCGTCATATCGCCGCATGGCGCGTTGGCGAGTTTCCGATTTATAATAGTTCAGCGGCTTTTGTACTACGTACGCAATAGCTTTTGAGCACAAACAGATTAGCGGAGGCGGAGTTGGACCCCACCCGATCCTCCGACCTTATCCGGGGAGTGTGCCGTGGTGGCTTCATGCGCCGTTATTGTGGCTTAAAGGATCGGCTTAATGGACCCGTAATTGATGTCCAGCATTAGTTCGGTTCCCTGATGGAAGCAGGCTGTGTTAAGTAGCCTAAAACAAATATGTGGTCCCTTGTACATCTGAGCCAGTCTATCGGTCCTGTTCCTTCCAGTCGCAATTGTTGGTGTTGCAGCACAGTCGAGTACACATCACGTGCCGTCTGTGAGTCCAGTACCTCGGGCCGGGCGAGTTTTGCTGGCTGTCGTTGGCAAGCACCTAAGCTGACAAGCAACCACCCATCAATCTCGAACAGTGTAATCGATGGGAAGAGATGAACTGCCGACGCGATCTAGAAGCTTGAGCGACGTAATAATTGTTCCGGGTTAAGATTTAGAGATGAAAGTCGGGTTCCAGAGACACCTTTTGGGTGTAGCTCTCCCAGAGATGCGGTGGATTACTTGCAGGTGAATATGTCATCGTTGCTGATCGTCGCGCAAGAAGTACACCAGTGTTTGATGCGATCCATGTCCACCCAACCATTTGTCACGTCCGGGCTGCGAGCATTGTATTACAATCTTGCTCCAATCGATTCTTGGATGGAAAGACACTTTGCAAACGAAACATTCGTAGCACCCAAACATAATCATCGCCAATTTTGCAGTCGCGAAGAGCATTCAAACACATTGTGAATCTAGTAGATCGATTGAGATACCCTGCAAGATCTGTCTGCAGGGTCGAGAAGCAATCCTGAACGCTAAGAGCAGTAAACAATAAACGTGCATAAGGAATGCATCAACGAGTAAATCTTCTCACCTGGAGAGAACAGTGCGACTACTCGCGAAACCGCCCAGATACTACTTCCTTGCAATGCGCCACGCCTCCTCTCCTTCTGCGATCGCAGCTCTTTCTCCCTGTTATGTTGGTAGTTCTCAATTAAGGCTATCGCTGTCAGATACCGACATTGTTCATTCAGCAGCCTTCCTCGCCATTCCATCAACAGTAAAGATGACAAAGGTGTCCTGTCTCTTCGGCGCCGACGTTGAGGCCTCGATGAACGAGTGATTCTGTCTCTCACTTACTGGACGCTTCTCACAAACCGGCTGATACTCCCTGGACAAGTGATCCTTACTTATTACACCGCCGCACCCCTAGTGTTTGCAGGTGATCTCGTCGTACATGCTGACGTGTAAATATAATGTTTCCTTGGCGAACTTGGTGTCCCAGTCAAGCCAAGAACCACAATTGTTGCACTGTTCGAACCCCTGGACTAACTGCGGTGTTAGTTCTGATGCATAAGTAGGTGAGCGCAGCCAGACATGCTATCAAAGAAGGAGGCATGATGCTAGTAAAATGAATTGCCAGCTGACGAAGTTTCATGTCATCCTTCGTTGTACGATAGCTAAGCTTAGCCACCAACATCGGCGCAGAATCCCATAATCAACGTCACTCAATATTATGCCCAACTTCGCCTACGAACACCAGCTCATCCGCTTCGGGCGCCTGTTCTACAGGTTCCTGAACATCCGCCCCACCATCCATCATACCCAAGGCCTTTTTCCTCAGGTTCAGTACAGCCATCAGGTGGTTCGCATTTAGGGGTTCCTTTTTCTTCGCTGCGAGAATCTTTGCGGTTTTGATCGCGCTCTTTATTTGACGGCCGTTGAATTCCAACTTTGCCAATTTGATCAAATCTGGTTCCTCAATGTTGATCTTCTCGTTTTCCATGGTAGCCAGGAAGTTACGCCAGACCTGCTGGTGGTCAGCTTCTGTGAGTGAGCTGTAGCTCAGCGTGATATCGATTCGAGATTCGAAAGCCGTGTCGATGCTGCGCATCCGATTCGTGGTCAGAATCATGATGCCTTTGTAGTATTCGAGTAGTCGAAGGAAAACCGAAACAAGTTCGTTGCGTTGAAGGTTGTTTGATGTGCGCGCCTCCATGAACACGTCCGCCTCGTCGAGGAGGAGAACAGCACCGAAGTGGCCGCACAGCTTTAGTGCCTTCTCAAGGTTGTCCTCGACAATACGCGCTGTCGTTCCTAGGTCACCAGCACCAAGCTTATACAGGGGTCGACGCAGGTGTTCCGAGACAGCCTCCGCGGTAAGTGTTTTACCAACACCTGGGGGACCACAAAGAAGCATAATCATGCCCTGACCTTTGCCGCCGATGAAGCTAAACGTGGATGGATAAAGTTAGTATCTCTTCAAGGGCAGGTCATACGGGGACATGACTGACTCATCGAATGGCTTCCCTTGCTTGAATTGATCACGGTCTACCAGAGCCAGTACCAAGTCCTTTTCATTCTGATCCAGTACTAGACTGTCGAAAGCACGATTAGCCCATGGTATCTCATGGATCTTTGTAACGTCCAACTTCAACCACTTTTTCTTTTCAATATCGAAACCTCTGACATAGTGAACAGCCAAAAGACATTCTTTGTCGGTCATTGGCGAAAGGTCCACTTGGATTGGCGATCCCGCAGTGTTGGGCATGCTGGAAGAGTACCGATTCATCGATTGGGCCCAAGTAAGTTGTCCAATCTCGGATAGTTGAGCATAGTCAGGAAATGATGGAGCCTCGAATTTGTGGTATGCTCGTGCATCAATGATCATTCGTTCGTTTACGCGCTCTTCATACTCGTCGGTGAAGGCTTTGAAGAAATGGCCGCGAAGCTGTTCGAACCTTCGACCGCGAGTAATAAGTCGCTCACAAACCTTTTCTTCGTTTGGAAGTCCGTCGAGGGGCGAAACCTCCAGTGCAGTCAAAGCTCGCAGACCTAAGAAGTGGGGGTATGAAGTCAGTGTATGGCTCACATGCATTTCATAAGGGGTCATCTCTCACCATAGTATTTGGGTACACGCTTTGTTTGAGCAAGAAGACCACATCGTCTTCCATCCCAGTCAACCACATCAACGCCGATCGACCAGAACATCGGGATGGGCGGAGGAGGATACGTCAGTTGGCAACTGCGTACCATGCCAGCCGAGTCGGTCTCATGTTCCAGAACTATCATTGCGGGTATATACACTAGATTCAGATCTTCGAACGCCACATGGCCCGTCTTTTTCACATCTTCGATCTTTTCGAACGATTCCTTCAGTAGAGGCTCAAGAACTTCTTGGAGCAACTGTAGGTGGCGTTTAGTTTCAGAGTCCGGGTCCAGATGATCTTTGTAGCTAAGCATTGCTTGCCATCGATGAATGAACGGGAGAAATGGTGGTGAGAACGACTTCATCTCATGTTGTGTCAGGCCCGGGTAACCTTCCAATATCTTCTCCAGGGCCGTATGGAGAAGCTCACTGTTTATGCGTACTTCGTGGATAAGCCATTCGTCTGTTTTCTCATTGAAACGATGGTAGATATTCACTGCAAAGGCCTCTCGAGTTTTCTTCGTTCGTAGCTTATCGCCAGTAGCGCCGTAATGAAGCGGTTTCTCATCCACCCAGTGAAACCTGTCTGGATCTTGATCGGTCGGGACATAGTATATGTCTCGGTGACTGCAGCGCTTGCCCTTCTCTACGGCCTCGGCTAGGTCATCTTCAGGAAGAAGCTGATTACCGGGAGGTAGTCCAGGTCCTGGAGGAACAAACCCAGGCTGTGGACCCAGAGTAGGGTCCCAGAACCCGGCGAAGTTCATCTGAATCCAGTTAGTAGCTTGCTGAGAGTCTAAGCTGTAGCGCTGGTGTCTGACCATCTCTTGATCTGAATTTGGCCTTACCCGGCGTCGTCGGGGCCGCGACCGTGGGCTACTGACCTCATATTGCAGCGGCATACCAGGCTGACTGCACATGTTTCTTTGTAGATGAGGCTGTACAGTAGTAAACGTGTCAGTTGTGCGTGATTCCGATAAGGTCAAGATACTGGCAGCACGATAATTCGAAAATAATAATGAGGGAAAGCGAAGACGAGGTGCGCGATGATTCAACGAGACGAAGGAATACTTGAGAGACCATGGACACCTTTTTGAGTGTGTAGCAGACGTGTTAAATCGAGGTTCACCGGAAAGATATTCGTACGTCAATGGATGCCTGATAAGACCGGTCAACGCCTTGCTACACGAAAGCCTCACGAACCATTGGCTAGGAGCTTAGAATAAGATCCCCGCACCTCAACAACATCCGGAAGAGTAAGTCCGCGTGGAGAACATGCGTGACACCACACCCGTGAGCGAAAAGAAACGGAGCATCTAACCGCATCCTCCACCTCCATGACCTCCTCCATCTCCGCCGGCTATGTCAAGACCATGTCCACCGCTGAAGCCAATAGTATCCGTGCCCGCATACCCAGAAGCTTCATAACCTCTATGCGATGAGATATCGTGCTCACCACTCCCAGAATCATCCTTTGTGGAGCATGTAGAGCTTGGATGTACACTGTTCGTCGAGTCATCGTTTCCACCACGCGTGCAGCCACGATCTCCAGCGCAGCCAGGGTCGTGGTGTATAACGTTCGGTCTTCCACCAAAACCAGAGCCATAATGTTGGTGATGATCGATCTGAGCGAAAGGACCAAAGAGGAAAGACCGGATCGCAGGGTCAGTCACATCCTGCACCCTGGGTATATCTGAGCCACGCGATCGGTATCTCGGCGGTAGAGGTATAGTTGCGTCTCTTGTTTGCACAGGCTTGGTGCTGGCGAGCGGATTGAGTTTTATGAGACGTACGGGCTGTCGCTTCGGCGTCGACGAAGCTGCGGTGGCTTGTCTGAGATCGCTATTTACTACTTGGTGTTCGGAAGGCTTATGGCGACGTGTGGGAGACTAGTGATAGTCAGTAGAAGTCTACAATCTTTAGTGCTAATACCATACTATGCAACACATCGTGGCGGGTTTTCGTGACGCGTGAGGATAAGCTGGAAAGACCCTGGTAGTCGACGCAAGTTATGGACGCGAAAAGACACAGGCTCAAAGCATGGAGCAGGACCGCAGTGGGAAAGGGTTGGCTGTTACGTTGCGCACATATCGCCGTCCTTTGCAGCAACACCATAGCCCGGGTCCTGCCTTGTGGTACCCGAGGAGCCGTGGTGCAGCCTTTAAAAGTACCACGAGTTGTACTGTCCAGGATAGAAGTGTAAAAGACTACACCTTTGACGAATCGCATACCTTGTCCTGACTGAGATAGCCCTGAACGGCTCGTTTCGCTGCATCGCTGAACGCGACTTTACTAACTAGCTGCAACAGCTCCTTGCTTGCATTGTCTCGCGAGAAGTTGATGAACTCTTGAAGTGGTTCGCAGATTACAGTGCATGGATTCCCGGGCATACTGACCAAGTGCATCGCGACAAACCGTGGGAATGCAGTCCCGCTCCCACGACGCGACAAAGGTGCGTGTAAGGACGGAGTTTTTGGACATGGCTCCCCACACATTTACGCATTAGTGGTGACTGCAATGTCATACAATGCTAACAAAGAGACGGCATGATAACGTTGAGCGAGTTAGTTGATGGCAAAGTGAGGCGGAAGACACAATGAGCCAGAGTGATTGTGGCCAGCGCTCGCGCTAGGGCCGGCGCGACATTGATTCTGCTAAATCGCTGCCACAACACGGCTATAACATCTTCTGCTATTGTTCATTATAGGGCCGAATCCTGCGATAACGATTCAGGACTTCCAATGAATTTATCACCCAGCCATGCCACCCATGAGCAGATCCTCGAGGTTATGACATCATCGCAGCCTGGCTGTCCACATCCGATACGAAACGCAAGGGCTATCGGAGGGCCAACCCAGAATGATTGTGGTGTGAACCCCTATACCAAACAGTATATTGCGCACACGCAAAAGTGCGTCAAATTTCACTGCTATGGTCGATTATCCGACACGTTGTAGATGAAGAGCCGCTTACAATAGCTCAATGGGTCCCTGGATAGAACCGTCTTCCGGGCGCACGTAACAACAGTCAGAGCTGACAATCTGAGACCTGAATCATCACGTTTTTCCATGGACTGCCACGTCGACGAAAACACGTGAGATCCTTGTGTAAATCACTTCACCGCTCCACCCAGGAATCAAGGCACCATGGCAGGATACGAGAGTTGATTGTTGACATATGACAAGTCATGGCTGATATGTCAAGTCGCTCATAGTATACATGTCATGTGCAAGTTGATTCACTCAACACAACTTTCGTGTTCTTCAACTCAAGCTCCAGAACTTTTGCGCTGAACGACCCCACAAACCCTTGCGCACTTCATTCCACCGCACCACTTAAACTCAAGACCCCTACTACGTCATATTTGAGCGCCATAGTCAATCTTGGTCAACCAAGAAGTCGCAATGTGCTACCACAACTACTCACAGCACAATGGGTAAGTCGTTTCATATCGCAGCGGGATCGCTGGACAGCGCTTCTTTTTGAAGACTGCCTCTCTAACTGCTTTGATTTACAGGTGCGGTCATATTGGGGAGTCGCATACGCATCCATGGACGCTGTGCGACACAGCGATAGAGACGCTTAACCGAATTCGCGGGCCAAACTCCCCACCAGTCTCTCCGCCTGCAGTAAACTTCGCATCACCACCCAAGCGCAGCTCGTCTACACGACGTTTTTTCTCGCTGAGTGGTCAGCTTTCCCGATCATCTACAAATGCATCAATAAATTCGCGACGCGCTGTTTCTGGCCCTTCAGGCGCAACCACGCCCAGAACCTCAGACTCAAGCGCAGGGTCCTACAACTGTACCACAACTCTGGACTACAGCACCCTACCAGATCACCAGCTCGCGGCCGTGAGATGTGAAGTCCCAGTCAAGCGCACCCATGTCAGTAGGGAAATGGTCGTCTGCAAAGATTGCGCACGCGAGATCGGCCATATGCGCAACATGATCCGGACTTATGATAAAACCGGTAGCATACGTGGCACCATCGCGTTTGAAAAGTTCCTTAAGTGGGAAGGAGAAGGTGGAGGTGAAAGAGAGGGCGATCTGACGGTACCGTTGAATGATGGTGATGATGGAGGGGTGTTTGGGGCGAGACAGGCCATCATTCTGGGTCATCCAGAGAGCTCGTTGAATGCCGAAGGGCCGCGTGGCTTGGGAACTTTGGAACGCGAAGGCGGTACTGGGTATCACTATTAGACGACGGGATATGTCTCGAGGAATTCAGAATGAGGGGTGAACATGTCTTGAGTCTTGGTGGTGACTGCGGCTGCGCAACCCCCTACCATTCGTGTGGTCCGGCCGCCCCTCCCCCAACTTACCAATAGTGTGTCATAGGTATGCAAGTATGAAATAATGTTCGAGATCCTTCTTGATCATGCGACAAGACGATCGCGACGCACGACCCGGAAGGCCCGCCCCGCAGAGCTGTCAAAAGTCGTATGAGAATTCGCATCATGGTATGGTCTCGCCACGGTCTTGGTATGCCGCGGAGCTTGTACCTAGATATGCACACACGACCCACACAAGTCACTATTCCCGTCACCAGTCCACATGAGTCAGAATTCAAAATCATGCAAGGGAAGTGATCCTCAATTCAGGGTTGCCGCGGGGCACTGCTATTTGAATGTTCTGATCAGCTCAGTGGCAAACTCCTGTCGTCCACGTTTGGCGCATGCTCAAGAAGGCTATATTGTCATATCCCGCGGAATGTACGTCTCCATCTACTTCCCTGAATTGGAATTTTGCGCGTTTTCTGTATCCACGGCCACTTCTTTGACACTGTTCTTTGTTCGCACCTCTCGTCCCTAGCACCATGCATCAAAAGTCCCACATCCGGAAGCTGCTTCAGGCTGCTGGGCGGCAACCACGGTTGATTTGTAACCTTGAAGTGAATCCTACATTCCGGACATGCAGGATTGCAAGCTTATTAGCTGATTCATATGTCACTTCACAGCTTCCTGCAACCTTGCCATTCAAGGTCGCAAACAGAGAAACCTGTCTCTAGGATGCTTACAATCCTACTGTTCACCAAAGTAGGACTAATGACCATTGCCCTACAGATTTCAGGCATCCAGCAGACCCAAGAGCACATCTCTATCATCGTGTCTCCCACATGCATTGTCTGGGTAAAAAGTGGACTCGACTTTCTGCTATACATCACGGTGCCAAAAACTGATTGCTGGAAATAATTTGCCTTCTCCGCCCACAATGTGTCCATCACCCATAGCGATTATACGCACGCCTCATGACAAAGCAGTGATAATTACAAAGGCACCGAATTCCATCGATAAGTTCCGTTACTCGCATGGGTATCGGAGAACGTCACCGGCGGCGAATAGACTAGCAGAAGTGACTGAAGCTCTGCGGCGTGTGGTGAGCAGTCCGAGTGGCCAGTGACCTCGATTAGAATTTCCAAGTCTGGAGATGATCGTGAACGCTGCCTTTCGTTCGTCGGTTTTGCTCTCCGCTGCAAACAACACTCCTTCCTTCCTGCCTAAATCTTTCCACGCTGAGTAGTTTGCTTTCGGCAACACCCACCGCAATCTCCTCTTGCCACTGACCTAATATCTCTACAAGGAAACTATCTGCCCGCGGCAAGTGCCTCCGCGGTGCGTAGTCGCGAGCTTGAGATGAAAATAAACTATTGGTTCGGCGTCATTTCTGCAGTCTTCAACAGCCTTGCTGTCTACCTACTCAATGTAGATATATGGTCAAGTTTTTGGGTATGCCAAGCCATCTCATCTCCTACTACGAGAGTGTATTGGTTCGGTGCAACGTCCGCAGCGTTCAAAAGGCGTATTACCTATTTACTCGAAGAAGCTGCCATGTGGAGTTCTCTCCCTCCGCGGAAAGTCAACATATCATACGAACTGATATTGGATTAGTCGTATGTCACTATTAATCAATAGAAAGATCTTTGAATTACTCAACAGAACTGTGTCACGGAGCCATCGCATTGCATGGAGACCCAACTCAAGATGTGAAATAACATTAGCTTCATTGTATATCCGCAGTTTCCATCATCCCCAAGATCTCCTGGAATACACAGGTGGTGAATCTCTTCACATTTGCGGTCAATGGATTGGATGTATCAAAGCTATCAGTGACGTTTGGGTCTAGCCAAGATCAAGCTAATGACGGCTATACAGGTTCTGAAGGCTGCCCTGGACTTTCACTAAGACGTACGGAACAAGAAGAGGCGAGGCAGTACAAGCGGACTACTCCTAGCATGATCACAGTATCACTGTATCCGGAAAAGAGTAATTCACGAAGATAAAGAGACGCCACCGACTTGGTGTATAAACGAGACGATTGTAAAGCCAGCTTCATGAGAGAAACGAATGACATCAATAGTCATGACGAGGTAGAGGCAGTATTGACGCGCTTTCCACAATGACCACTATGTACCATGTTCCATTTCACGGTCTCGTCCCGCAACCTTATCCACGTGGAGAAAACATCACTAGACTCCTTCGCACGGGACGTACTCACTAATTGTAGGATGTCTAAGAAACCCTAGTCCCTTTGCAATGATGATTCCTTTCCCACCTAGGTAATCTCCATCGCACTACCGGTCTCCACCACCAATCACGCAGCCAGCCGTCCTTCAACCGACATCATATCTGCGCAGTCAACCTTCGAGTAGCATCGCGTCAACGCGTCTCCAAAGAACTTGCAATCATGTGCATTGAGCTCCACACCCGCTACCGCCGCTGCGCGCACATGCGCCTCCTTCATTGGACTTACTGCCCCATTCTCACGCCTTCCCAACGCCAACCCAGCACCGGCCGCGCCTGCAGAAGATACAAACTGCGCTACAAGGAAAGCAATGACAACGTCACTTGTTTCGAGTGCAAACTGTCGGAGATTGCTGGCTGGCGCGCAGTGTCAAGATCCCCAACTTCCTCGAATCTTCCAGAGAGGTCGCCTACCATGGCTAGTTTCTTGGACTATGGGAGCAGGTCACCTACTTTCCCGAGGTTTGTGAGGAGATCGCCAACATTTTCGATACTAGAGAAGTCACCGACGGTCTCTACGTCCGCCACTCCCGCTGGGTTGCTAAGTATTGGCACCAGAGAAAGGGAAAGCAAAGATAGCGAAACCAGTGTTGCTGCGAGCGATAAGTCGCCATTTCCAGGACCAGAAGATGGGCGGACGAGTGGTGACAGTGACGAAATTTCGGGAAAAGAGCCGGTAGAACAGGCCAAAGCAGGTGGCGTGAAAGGATGGTTCAAGAAGAGATTTAAGGCCAGGGAAGGGTATGATGGTGCAGTTTTGGGATTCCAGACGACGGATGCTTAGGCGGCAAATGTGGCTAGAATATAGTATGCTTTGAGACTCCATGGGTAGGTTCTGGTTAGAATGTTGACAGATAAAACATCGACTACCTGGGGGCTGTATTCAGCATCTTCGCATGCCAATCAAACGCGCTCCACACGTACCAGAAATGCTACATGATAACGATGATTGTGCCCTCTGCGCTATCTGCGCAGGTAAAAGCCTGTATACCTCCAGGTATCTATGCGCTCGTCTTGTCTTTGCAAAAGCTCATGAGTGCTTCTGCCTTTTACCAAAGCTTTGTCTCAAACCTTTCCCTCAGCTTCTCATATTTCTTCACATCGCCCACACTAGGTCTAACAGTCTTGGCTGCCTCAATAAAGTCCAACTCCTCCACAATGTCACTGCGCCGTCTCAAGGCATGCTGTCCAGCTTTTCGTAGCATACTCTCAAGATCGGCACCCGAGAAGTTATTGCAAACATCTTGGCGGCCTATCTCAGCAAGTTCGGGGGCGATAACGCCACGCTTGCGAATATGCGCTCTCAGGATATCCACACGCTCTTCTGGCTTGGGAAGTTCGACGTAAAGTAGGGTCTCCAAGCGACCAGGTCGGAGCATCGCTTCGTCGATCATCTCGGGCCGGTTGGTGGCTGCGATTAGGTAGATGCCTTCACGCATGGATAGGCCATCGAGCTCGGTAAGTAGTGTGTTGACAACGCGTGCGGAGGCTTCGTGAAGCTCGGTAGAGCGTTTGGGTACGAGAGCATCGAGCTCATCGAAGAAGATAACGCATGGAACAGAGGATCGAGCGCGCATGAAAACCTGGCGTAGAGCTCTTTCAGACTCTCCTACGTACTGCAACCTGTTAGTATCGAACACAGGTCAATCACAATATGCAGCGTACCTTGTTCAGCAACTCCGGCCCCTTGACACTGATAAAGTTCGCCTTGGACTCTGCCGCCACCGCCTTGGCCAGAAGCGTCTTACCACAACCAGGTGGTCCCCATAGGAGTACACCAGTGGGTGCAGAGATACCAAATTTCGCAAACTTTGCGGGATCTTTGATAGGCTCGCAAATAGCCATCTCGAGCTCTTCGCGGACGCCTGCCAACGCGCCAACGTCTCGCCATGTGGTGTCCGGTACAGTGGCAAAGCCCTCTCGTTTCGACGATGGGGTAATGGTAGGTAGAACGGCTTCAAAGGCTTCCATTGTGATGACAGTGTCTTCAAAACCTTCTGGTCGGGGAGCTTCCGTGTCTCTTACACGGGTGATTAGACGCCTAATCGATTGGTTCATGAGGCTATCGGCATTAAGAGAAATGCCACCATCGATCTCCATCGTAGTCTCCGCGTTGGCTGCCTGCTTTTCGAGTGCTCTTCGAAACTGGTCCATGGACCATGTGCCTGCTTTACTCACAAGATCCTTCAAATCAGCGCCAACGAATCCTGCTGTCCTCTTCGCCAGTACACTGAAATCGACATCATGGGATAGCTTTGGCTCGCGCGTAAGAGCCTGGAGTATAGATCGTCGCATAAGTTCATTCGGTACACCCATGTTAATCTCAGTATCGAATCGGCCTCCTCGACGCAGAGCTGGATCCAGACTATCGGGACGGTTTGTGGCGGCCAGTACGATCACGGGCTTTCCATTGTTGCCCTCCATAGCAAGACTGTCCATCGATATCAGAAGCTGGGCAACTATCCTCTTCTCCATCTGGCTCTGTGCACTATCGCGCTTGGGCGCAATGACGTCGATCTCGTCGATGAAGATCAAGCATGGGGCAACCTCCTTGGCTTTCTCAAAATGCTCTCTTACTTGCTTCTCAGACTCTCCAGACATACCCGACACAACAGATGGGCCCAGAATCTCGATAAATGGCACACCAAGCTCGGCAGCGAAGGCTCGACTTATGACAGTCTTACCACATCCTGGTGGACCATGGAGTAATATACCGCGTGGTATTGGGATTTTGCGGTTAGCATATTCCTGAGGGCAGAGTAGAGGCAACACGAGATGCTCTTTGAGCTGTTCCTTGACTTTTTCCACGCCACCAAGATCTTCTAATGTAACACCTGTGGGAGCTGCTGTATCGATCTTGCTCTCCTTCTCCTGTACCCCTGCCTTCTTCTGTCTCTTAGCTTCCCTCTCCTCTTTTGTCTTCCCACTGTCTCGCTTTTTGCTCTTCTCACTCTTCTCTCCGTTTGCAGCTGGCGGAATTGCCCATTGGCTGACAATTTGCTTATTCATCCAATCGCTCGATCGCTCCTTTTTCTCTTTTGGTTCGTCCATGGTGAAGTCTCCTTCGAGTTCTGCCATTTCGTCTTCGGAATCGGGTTCTTCGTCTTCGCGGATAACGTCAATTACGCGGTCGATTGAATCTTCGATTTGCTTCTTTGGCCGTCTCTTCAGGCTCGAATTGGAGCGTTGGATATAGTCGTAGACAGTCGATGGGCGCAGTTTCAGCGCCGACTCATTTTTTTCGTCGAGATATTTGCGCACCACCTGGTACACTTCCTTGTCCAGGCCTGCCTGAAGGGAGGGTCGGCCTTTTGATACCATGACGACTAGCGTGGTATCGCAGAAGTGTCAAACGTAGAGCGAAGAGGATATTTATGCGCCAGGAAGAGTGTAACGTAGAATAAGAAGTCTATGATGGCTGCGTTGAGTGTCAATTCCCGTGATGTGGGACTGCTAGCGCTAGTGAGCCTTGGCGCCTATCGTCAAGAAACAGGTGTGAATGCGGCACGAAATGGTTACGTCGAACTTGGACCTGAGACGCATGCGACGGTGCTATTTCACTTTGGATGGACATGCTCGCGTCTCCAAAAAAGATCGCGACGACTTATCGATAAGACTAGCGCGGAGCTAGCCTCGGTCCTAGCTCGCATACGTCAATCAAGGCACAGGGCCATGTCGCATGCGCAACCTTCATCACTCATGGAGATCGCAGCAACATGGGTAACTCGAGCAGCGCAAACAAAATCTCTGCCCAGGATAAGTGAGTCAAGCCCAGCAACGTGTCAACATGTCGCTGACATGCCAGGGCGATCCTGGATATGAAGAACCAGCGCGATAAGCTGCGACAGTACCAGAAGCGAATCACTGTCCTCACCGACCGCGAGAAGGAGATTGCGAAGGAATGTTTAGCCAAGGGCGATACAGGCAAGGCAAAGCTAGCGCTGAGGAGGAAGAAGTACCAGGAGGGTCTCTTATCCAAGACCGATGCCCAACTAGCGCAGCTGGAGATGCTCACCAGCGACGTCGAGTTCGCCCTGGTGCAGAAGGATGTCTTGTTCGGGCTGCAGCAGGGAACGGCAGTTCTCAAAGAGATCCACAAGGAAATGGGCGGCATCGAGAACGTAGAGAAGCTGCTGGGGGAGAACGAGGAGGCTCGTGCTTATCAGGAGGTGCGCGGCATAGCCAAGCCTTTGGTAGCATGTATGCTGATAGAGATATTAGGAAATCAGCGAGCTCCTCGCGAACAAGATGTCCAACCAAGACGAAGACGAAGTCGAAGACGAGCTCGATGCTCTCGAAGCAGAAGTCAATGGCACCGTTCCTGCGTTACCCGACGCGCCTGTCGCACAGCCACAGTTCACACCCGAAGAGAAGGCGCAAATGGCCAAGGACAGAGCGGCGAGACGGGCGAAGGAAAGGGCTGCCGAGCAGGCATCGCAGCCCATGTTGGCGTGATGAGACATGGCACTGGCGTATAGATTGCATTAGCGTGGCGTTGGGGTGTTTTGCTGGCATGCATGTTTGCTACATGTGCGCATATATACAAGTCTAAGATGTTTGCCCCTTTTGTCAGTCTCGCCTTGTCTTCATCGAAGCTCCAAGCTACCCCGCCATCCACCCCACCACTTGCAGCCCTACCGCGCAAACACACCCAACATTGCCCACAAACATGTCGCACTCACACTGCCACGACGAGCATCACGACCACTCCCACGCTGACGGCCACGACCACAGCGACGACATCACCCCAGCCCTCCAGAACATCCTCTACGAACAACTCGACTTCCCCAAGCTCGTCACGCTCAACGAAGATGAATCCAACAGCGGTCGCGCAATCTGCCAGAAGACATGGGCCCAGCGCCTCGACCCCGAGCCCGAGCTCAAGAGCAGCGCCGATGAACAGATGCTCATGACGGTACCTTTTACAGGCCAAGTGCGACTGCATTCCATCATCCTACGAACGAGCCCTGGCCCCGACTGTCCCAAGACCCTCAAAGTCTTCGTCAACCAAGATTCGCTCGATTTTGAAACCGCGGCCGAGAAGGAGCCCACACAGGTACTGGACATCAGTCAGACGAGCGAGGTGCAAGAGATACCCGTCAAGAGGGCCAAATTCGGCACAACACGCAGTCTGAGCTTATTTTTCGAGGACAACTGGAGTAACGGCGAAGAGGATGAGACGAGACTGAGCTATCTGGCCTTCAAGGGCGACTTTATGAAGCTGAACAAGGAGGCTGTGTCTGTCATGTACGAGGCCGCTGCGAATCCCAATGATCATAAGAATATTGTGGGAATCGGACAGGATGTAGGACGGAGCATACAGTAACAAGACGAGCGCCTGGCTAAGGCGACATGGCCATGGCGAGGGAGCTTCACATTAGGAATGGCGCACGGTGTCGTGTCAAATCAGGGTCATCAGGGTCATCAGCGTCATTATCAGTTAGCATGGATATGCTACAGTCTGTCGCTTCGGAACGCCGATATATGTATATTAAAAGCATTTCAGTCTGAAGGGTCAGCAGAGGCGCATGCAACATTTATTAGAGAGGACATACTCGGCGTATCATTGCGCTTTCGTGGGTATCGTGTCGTCCATGTGTGCATGTATATCCTTTTCCCGTTCCGTGTCGCCCGTCGACTTGTGCTCCGAATGCATCTACTCTCAACGTCGCTCGTTTTGTGGTGTTGCTCCAATGCAGTATGCTGGGCACATAGTCCATCCCTCTGTGAGGCCGCGTACAAACCCTCTTCGCCAGCTCCCGAGTCCAACTCCTGGTATCCGTTCGTGGTTTCTTTCCTTGTTCAAGTATGTTTCGTTCCTCCCAGCACCTCTCCGTGAACCTTCCCCCAGTCGATCTTCCCGTCAATCTCTTCATCCACCCTACCCACCACCGCCACACTGTCACCCCGTATAATGTACAGTCCAAGTGGTACCTCTTCACTAGGCTCTTCGTCTTCTATCGGTCGAATGATGCGCTCGACGGCTTCTTGGAGGACGAGGTTCATGCTACCGTCGCATGAGTGGAGGAGGCCAACCATCGTGCGGCCATCGAGGGTGAGAACTGATACACGCTCTAACAAAAGTCAGCAGGGAAGACGATACCACAGCAGACGGGACTTACTGTTAAGGTAGGCGTTTAGTGCCATTGTGAGGGTTTGGTTGGGCTATGTGTTGGTTTGGGAATTCGGATGTTATTGGAGGACGGCTTCGTGAGACCAGCAGGTATACAAGATACGGAGGGTATCCTTGAAGCGCTCTCTGCACGCGCTCAAAGGTTGCTTGCGCAAAGATCCGTGGTGTAGTGTCGCGTTGTGGAAAGGTTGCGACTAGCTCAAAACTTGGATCGTCTAAGTTTCGAGGTTCGGATGAATGTTCTCGGCCACAGAAGGTTGGCTAGGAGATATCTCGGGCGAGTGGACGAGGAACACGGCGAGTTGCTTGCGATTGTCACGATTTGGTTGAAGCTGCACATGAAGCTCGCGATGCTTTGCCGGTGGAGCTTCAGATGGCACGTGCATTCGGCCAATCAGAGTCGCAGGGACATGTCTGCCTAGGTAATGTCTCCCTCGGAATGTCACGATTGTTCGATCCTTACAGCCCAGTGAGAACCCCTAGGAATATGCATTCTACAGGAAAAATCCATATCCAAGACGTCGATAACGTTCTGTCCTGTACTCGTGAGTTGACTAGACAAGCCGGAAAGAGCCGACTTCAAAGCACTTTCAAGAACCAGCTCCAACTTTCGGCTCTGTCTGACAGGAAGAAGCAAGCCTGCTCTACCCAAGCACAAGACTAAATATCCGTTTTAACCAGTCTTCAGACCCAAATCACGAGAAGAATGGAGCTTCATATCCTTCGATGCCTGACGACTCGAAATCCGTCATCTGTGATGCCCTTGGCGGTCTAAGCAATGTCAACTCATGCTGCAAGTGCACTCGAACCATATGTCTCCAATGCTGGTGGTTACACATTACTAAGGGAAGTGCCGATACTCGGGGTAACGGTCGGGCACATCATGCATGCTCGACATGCTGGAACACGGATTTTGAAAAGCTTCGTAGTGACGATCCCTCACATGCATTCCCCGCGACGCATGGTCATCGTACATGGCGACAGGCGCAGCTTCAAGGCGGCTTCTTCAAGTGTGGTCCAGCAACTCATTGCAGACCTTGCACTAACGCGGTCAAGCCACCTCCAAACTATACCCCAATCGAAGAAATATCGCGTCTACACCATTTCCTATCTCCATCCAGAGCCTTCCCACAAGAAATGTATCGCTTGCCCCACATACATGTCGGAAGACGGAATAGAAAAGGTGAACCACTTCTGCCCTTCCTGCAATCTTCCTATACAGATGCGCAATGACGATCATCCTGTCGAACGGCAGTCTCAGAAGTTAGACGTCTATCGCGATGATGAGAACGACATCGATCGTGAGGTTGAGAAGGTAGGACCCGACCACGAGTCTGTTCAAGAGTTTTGGAAGCAGCAGTGGATAAGAACCAGCGGCCGGTTGAGTCCACCGAATAAATGGCAGCCTGTGCGATATGAATGGGAACGTATCAACCAAGGTTCGGTGCTCACCGCGGATGGACGTAGCCACTTGGATTGGTGCTCGTACTTCAAGCCCATACGTGCACCTGTGTGGGATTCTGAAAAGCTTCTATTCGAGCCGCCTCCAATCAGACTCCCTCACTACATGTGGCGTCGTATCATTGGGTATGTTGTACACTAGGTACTATTTTTCCATGCAACAGGATTATACTAACAACTCTTCATCAGGAGAACCTGGGGCTTCTGAGACTGGATCGGCGCAGATGTTTCAGGTCTATATAGCCTAGAAGAGTCTTGGTCCAGGAATTTGGTTCTGTGTACGAGTTCTTCACGTACGTGAGAAGATAAGATTGGAGGAAATGGCAAGGACATCAGTACGTATATACGGCGAAAACGACGTGTGTACCATTTATGAATGCGTGACTTTGACACCTAAACCTAATCCCACTAATTCAAGACATTAAACATACGGTCTGCAATAGTTCTCTGTCCGTGGTTCAGACCTCTCAAGCGCGACGGTACTGGAAAACAACATGCATATCGCTTTCGAAGCGGTGAGCCCTCAGATCAGCTCTTGTGAGCTTCTGTGATGTTTATCAAACCGTAAAACAGGCCAAATGGGTGTACATAATAGCTATCAGAATAACGTCTTGATTCACAAAACAAACATTTAGAAGTGATGGCGACCGTTGTTCATAGTATTCATGTATGGTGCTATACTCTCGAAATACATGTTTCTCGAGTGGTTGGGATTAAGGTTTGTGGGCAAAAAGTAGATAATCCGGAGTCGGCCCCTCTCGCGCGACCGACCCACGGTTGCGTTGATAAGAACAGTCGGAATCGCGATTCGCAACCATAATTCAGTTTAAGAGACAGATAAAATACTTTGATTGCCAAATCCTCCGGCTTTATCTTAACTTCCTACATAAGCTTCAACTGCACTTCTTAAATCCACTTGACGATACGAACATGATCGCCGCCACAGTCCGCACAGCAGGGCTTCAAGTCCGAAGCTTTCACAAGACCGCTCTAAACTCGGTTTTCAACGAAACGGCAACTCGTGGAACCAACGAAAGTTTCTCTCGCCATCACAGAAAGCACAATAAAGTCGAATATAGCCAGTCTCCCGTCACACCATACAACAGCAATGTAAGAGCAGAGTGGCAGCGCTATCGTGCAATCGAGCACCATCAGATCTGGCCGTCTTCCCCTCGGAAGCGCTCCTTTCATACCAAGTTGTCCTCGCAGGATGCACCAATTACCAAACCAACACATGCGATGACCTTCCGAAAGGACCGCGAGATGCACATCGCCGCACGCCAAACATCGCTCAAAGCACCAGAGGAACACGAGAACCCAGATCGCGAATTTATGAAGACTTGGCTCGGCGTTAAAAGGGAATTTGGCTACCTGCGCTCAGACTTGCTGGACGCTGTGCTGGCTGATAGTAAAAAGGTTCAAAACCAGAGCTTAATGGGCCGGCTTTTTGACAGCGAATCTAAGACTCACAATTAGACAATTCAGTGCGCTTGCTTATTACCTGCGCCGTGTTTCACATTGCAGTGTTGCCTCTACTTGCACGACTGTATTTCGAGATTCCATTCCGTAGCGGTGGAAGAAGAGACGCGACGCGTTTGTAGATCACGAATGACATGTCAATATACCTATGGACACAGAAAGTATTGGTAGAATCTGTATACAAATGGGAAGAGCGGGATCCTTACATTTTGCTCATGAGGATCTTTTGTACATATCTCTGCTTATCTGGTGTTGGTGCTGGTCTTTCGTGATGACCGGAAGGAAGCAGGGTGAGCGTTAATTACCTAGGTACCATACCATACCTAATCCAGCATCGTCATTCACGCGCACATCTTAATAAACCGTGTCTTTGGTCTATTTCCGCACAACTACCAAGTTCATACCGTTTTGACGATTGGCACCCAAAATTCCTTTCACTCTGCGCTGTTATCCAGCCCGTTCTCCTGAGATTAACATGCGTACATATCGTCCGACTTCCAGCAGGATCAGTATACGCACAAATGATGTCATTTTGGATGCCTCCCGAGGTCAACATGCACAAAGAATTCCGTACCAGCATCACCAGAGCATCATACCATAGAAACCATCATAGTGTCTGACTAGAAAAGCATACTTTGCCGCTGTCGCTTTGGTATTGGATTGACATCCTTACACTTTTAATCGCATCTTCCCAAGTTTTGCGCGAACCTGAGTTTCCGGTTCATCGGCACATCTACAAAAGTCATCGCCAGCATCCCGATTGCAAGGGACATACTCCAGCCCCATCGCAACTTCCACAACCCCGCTTGAAGTACAATCTTCCCCGTTTTTCAGATCACACCCCGATGCCATGTCAGCAACAGGCGCAAAGGACCACGATGCCGAGAATATTGATGTTAACGCGTCGCAACTCCCACCATGGCGACGGAGACTACGTCGCGTAAAGCTTCCAATGCTCCCAGTTCACAACCAAGAAGGCAGCAAGGGGCTGGCCCTCACCACAAGCAAGGGCCACGTTTATCTCCTCGACCAGTTCCGCGAGCGGGTACCGCTCCGCATCCGTAATCGTTCTGTCGCTATGATCTCTGAGTTTGTCGGCACTTTCCTGTTCATGCTCATCGGTTTAGGCGGTAACTCTGCTGTCATCAATGATTCAGCCGTGGCTACACAGACCGGCGGAGGAGATTCCTCAGCAGATCCAGCCAAGATCCTTTTCATCGCAACGGCATGGGGCGCAGCTGTGACAGTGAATGCGTGGAGCTTCTTCCGGATTAGTGGTGGGCTCTTCAATCCTGCTGTAACTATGGCTTTAATGCTAATCCGCGCTGTACCACCGCTTGATGGTCTTCTCGATATTATTAGTCAGCTTTTCGGTTCTATCCTAGCAAGTGCTATCGCATATGGACTATTACCATCCGGTGCTCTAGCAGCTACTGAATTGGGTGATATGACCACTGTCACGCAGGGTTTGTTCATCGAGGCAAGTTATGACTGTACGAAATGCATGTAAGACATACACTGACTTCGCATCTCTACATCTGTAGATGTTCATTACAGCACAGGTCGTCGTGGCAGTCTTCATGTTGGCAACGGAGAAACACAGAGCTACGTTCATTGCGCCCGTTGGAATTGGATTGACGGTATTTGCTTGCATTCTTATGTATGTATTCTCTAATCTTCCTTTACCACTATTCGCAGTTGTAATCGCGCAGTTCCTCTTTCGTAACACGTAACTTATGTACCTAGGGCCTCAACATATACCGGCGCAGCAATGAACCCAGCTCGATCATTCGCCGTGTGCGTTATTCAAGGAAGTTTTCCACACTATCATTGGATCTATTGGGTTGGTCCGGGGTTAGGTGCCTTGCTTGCAACTGCCTTCTATCACTTGATCCGCAAGCTGGAGTACTGGACGGTGAATCCCAATGTAGACGACTACGAGACAAAGGTTGGAGAGACCATTCGAGATGTCGCAAGCAGAGTTGCCGACATATCGAACGTTCCTGGGGCAAGTTCGAACGACGATTCATGAGCTTAGTGCAAGGGTCGAGACTGCCTTGCAATTGCACTGATAGAGCGCCAACACGCTCATCTACAAGCCATCTTCCACAACATCGAGCTAGCTCAACCTGATCGTTCCTCAACTCGTCCGACGAAATTCCTACTTGAACACCGCTCTACAGCCAGCACGGGCCACCACTGGTCAGCTTGAAGAAGCGACATATTTGACAAGGGCTGCACAGCACTCCCATGTCCATGCAATTGCCACTTCAGGATGTTGCTCTTGCTATTAAGTTTACGGCTTGTGCTTCAATTGTGGATAGGCTGGAAAGCCAGCCAGTCAAACATAGATCTATATGGATAGAACTTGAGGGGTTGACAGCGTGATTGCATTCGGTCTGCGAAGAATGAAACATTGCGGGATATAAAGTAGTACGACTATACAGTAGACATGATGAAGGCTGAGAGCGCTGAACGCAAATATGTTGTATGCATTGAGCGCTCTAGGGCGGCATGAGCTCGTAGCCAGCCTGTGCACAATCGGTATTGCTTGAACCATGTGTATCTGCTCTCATACAGCAGAACGACAGCCCAGCAATCAAGTCCAGCCAGGTTTCCAGTGCGCAGATCAAAGGACGTTCGGGAGGCGACAACGCTGCTAGCGCACGGATCGCATCTTGTCGTACCTTGATGTGGACGGGATCCAGCAGAACCTAGCCACCACCAACACCAACCAGCTTGCCCAGCCATCTCATCTTCCTTCAAAGAACGTCCGCTCCTGTGCTCCTATATTCACCTTCCTATTCGACAATACTGCGCCGCCTGCAATCATGTGGGTTACACGAGGCCTCCACTGCAGACCTTGTTTATCCGGGTTACCGGTTGCTTGGTGCCTCTTGGCGGCGACGCAGCGTGCCTTGGGAGGCTTGACACCTGCTCAATGCGGCAACTAGAAGGCGCATATCAATTAGACTGATATGTACGATGGAAAGTAGATAAAAAGGACCGTTGCCTTGCTAGAGCACGACAAGTGCTTTGTTGCATTCGTCTCGTGTTTCTACCTGACGCGTCGTCTGGGTCACTGAGTGGGGAACGTTGATACCCTGTTGCCTGCCCGCAATGCGTTCTTTCGCAATCCTCGCTGCGGCATTGCCGTTGGTTCACGCAATTGAACCTCCGCGCATGCCACACCAGCCTCTCGGCAATGGCACCAAGCGTCTGAGCTACAACGAAACCACCGACAGCCCCGGATCTTTGACACCTTCAACACGATCCTTCACCTGGGTTGGCACTGGGGAGGATGGCGACTACATCTACACAGCTGCCTCTGGCGACTTTGTCTTTGAGAATGTCGCAACAGGCGAATCGTCTACTTTCATCTCCGCTGACCAGGTACCGGAGGACTACTGGGATTACTTCATCTCGCCTGATGCCACCAAGGTCATGTGGGCCGTCAACTACACGAAGCAGTACCGCCACTCTTACTTCGCTGATTACCTGATCATGGACGTTGCGACTGGAGAGTCCGTGCCTCTTGATCCCGAGCAAGTCGGGGATATTCAGTATGCCGAATGGAGCCCCGCCTCGTCGTCTCAGGTCGCATTCGTCAAGGGCAACAACCTGTACATGTCCACCAACGGCACTATCACTCAGATCACCGAGGACGGAGGGCCCGACTACTTCAACGCTATTCCTGACTGGGTTTACGAAGAGGAAATCTTCGGCGATCGCTACACTCTATGGTTCTCGCCCGATGGCGCTAAGGTTGCTTTCCTTAGCTTCAACGAGACCGGTGTTGGCACATTCAGAATCCCATACTACATCGACGATGATGCTGAATATGTTCCTGTTTACCCCAATGAGTTGGAGCTTCGCTACCCCAAGGTCGGCACAAAGAATCCGACTGTGGTCATGAACATGCTTGATGTAGAGTCTGGCGAATACACCAACATTCCCATTGATGCTTTCCCGGAGAACGACCTTGTTATTGGCGAGGTTGTCTGGCTTACCGAGGAGCACAGCAAGGTCCTTTACCGCGCCTACAACCGTGTCCAGGACATGGAGAAGCTCGTTGTTGTCGATGTAGAGGCTGGGTCGTCCAAGGTTACCCGTGAGCGTGACGGTACTGATGGATGGCTGGAGAACTTGATGCAAGTTCGATATATCGGAGCTGTTGAGACTGCGAACGCTTCTTACGGAAACGCTACTGAATACTATATGGATCTCTCTGATATGAGTGGCTGGGCGCATATCTACCTCTTCCCCGTCGATGGCGGAGAGCCTATCGCACTCACATCTGGTGAGTGGGAAGTTATCAGCGTACCCAAGGTTGACTACTCCCGTGGCCTTATCTACTACACCTCTACCGAGCACCACAGTGCCGAGTCCCATATCTACTCTGTCAGCTTCTCTGGTGAGAAGACTGCGCTCGTCGATGACAGCGTGACTGCTTTCTGGACTGGATCTTTCTCTTCCGGCGGCTCATACTATGTCCTCCGTTACGCTGGCCCCGACGTGCCATACCAGGAGCTGTACTCTATCAACTCCAGTGAGCCAATTCGCACAATCGTCAACAACACAGCACTTTACGAGAAGCTTCAAGGCTATGCTCTCCCCAACATTACCTACCTAGATATGGAACACCCAGACGGCTACACTTTGGACGCCATGCTCCGCCTGCCACCCAACTTTGACCCCTCCAAGAAATACCCTCTCCTGCTCATTCCTTACGGTGGCCCCAACGCAAAAGAGGTTCACAAGGACTTCAACCCACTCAACTGGAAGGCTTACGTTGCCTCTGACCCTGAGCTCGAATACGTGACCCTTACCGTCGACGGCCGTGGTACTGGTCGTAAAGGTCGCGCTTTCCGTTCTCTCGTCACTTCTAACCTGGGTCAACTTGAGGCCGAAGACCAGATCTGGGCTGCCAAGGAGCTTGCAAAGAACGAGTGGATCGACAGCGAGCATATTGGTATCTGGGGTTGGTCTTACGGTGGCTACCTCTCCTCCAAGGTTGTTGAGGTCGGCGACCCAATCATCAGCTACGCCATGATCACAGCCCCTGTCAGCGACTGGCGCTTCTACGACTCCCTATACACTGAACGCTACATGAAGACACCCGACATCAACCCCGAGGGTTACAACCGTAGCCGTGTTCATGATGCCACAGGTTTCAAGAACATTGCTGGTGGTGTCGTCATTCAGCACGGTACTGGCGATGACAACGTGCACTTCCAGAACTCGGCTGCGTTGGTCGACCTGCTCATGGTCAACCAGGTCACTCCTGAGAAGATGCAGAACACTTTCTTCACTGATAGTGATCACAGCATCAACTTCCACAACAACGGAAAGTTCCTGTACAGACAGTTGAGCAAGAAGCTGTATGAGGAGAAGGCACGCGAGGGCGACAGCAAGGGTGGTCACCAGTGGAGCAAGAGGGGTCTGGGACGCAAATGGAAAGCTTGAACAACTCTAAAATAGTTGTTCATGATAATGCGACAATGTAATGCATAATTCAAAGTTTCACCTGATTCCAGTGCACAGTCACCAGCCACCCGACCTCTCTCTTTCAAGCTAATGCTGATGCATGACGGACATCCTCCAATTCTCTCGGTCCTATTCCCACAATCAGACTCCTTGTATTTACTCTCGTCCTTAGCATCATTCTCTTCGTCGATAAGATTATGATTTTTCTTTAGTGCGCCGCCGAGACCTGCAGGACCGCTTGCGCTTTGTGCAGTTTTACAAAGTACAGAACAAATTTCGGGAAAAACAAGTGCTCAGTCCACTCTGTAGTCGTCGCATGTTTTGATAGATGGTTGAAGCAACGGCTATTGTCGAAGGATATGTATGATCCGGTGCAGTATCATTGTGCGCTCCGTCTGCTGCTAAATCGCCTTGCCGTCGCCTGGTAATAGGTGCCGTACTTCTTGTTTCCCTTCTCCACTCATGAGTTCTGACATAGCTTGTTCCCTGACTGACCGCACCTTCCTTCATAGCAGTGTCATCCTTGGTTATCGCATCGCTGCTCGGTGATTTGTGCTTCCTACGCGTTTCAACGTTCATGGTCCCAGATGGCCTCCGGATCTTGAGTTTGACCACGAGACTGGGTCGGACGGCTGGATTCACGCTACCGTGCAAGGAAGGCGGTGTGATTTCAAATTGTTTGCTGGGAATGCTCTCAGTTTGCTGTTTGTTTGTCAGTTGATTTGAGGCAATATGTACTGCTCGGCGTGCATACCATGACGAGCTTCCTGCGAGTCGTTCTTCCCACAGAAGGAGAGTATGAATGTGTCGCTCTGTTGACGTTTTCCATATCATCGTTGAGATTGGTGGTCTTTGAAGGAGTGGGTGAAACCATCTCAGTGGAGGCTCGTGGCTCAGCAGGTGGTCCGAAGAGTTGACGCTTTGGATTCTTTCCATTGCTTTCGGGTGCGCTGTGGTTCAGGCGCATCCTTTCTCGCCTGTTTCGTAAGTCAAGCTTCTCGTCTCTTGATCGATTGCGCTCCCATACCGCCCTGTCACGATTCGTGACGCGATGTCGCTCTCGCCTTTCTGCTCCATTCACCGAAAGATGAATGTCATAGGAAGACATAATAGTAGTAGTGAAAAACGAATCCGGGCCACAAGGACGCAACGGAAACGTGCAACCACGCTAGAAAGCCCTTACTGCCACAAGGACAGATAAGAAGTTAATAGGCCGTTGTGAGTGAAAAAACGAAACCGGGCCACAAGGGCACTACGGATTCGTGCAACCACACAAGAGAGTCCTTACTGCCACAAGGACAGATAAGGGCTCAAAAGGCCGTTGGATATAACCAAGAGTGGTGCCTGTAGCGCAAATGATTGCCATGGACCATAATGGTCTGTCAGAGACTTTTTTCCAAAGAAAAGAGAGCTCCATGTCGCAGGCTTCTTCCACACGCATCTCCCTGAACAGGGTGACACTGGTGGCGGGGTTTGCGGCGAGCCGCGTTCCCTACAGGTTCACAATTGGGCGCTACAGTTAAGAGCGACGATGATCTTCGCGAGCAATAGCAAAAGCTAGAGCACTATAATGGGGTGTAACCACTATAGAGAGATGAAGAAGAAGAGAAGAAATCTCAGAGACTCAATTTATCTCGAAGTGTGGGGCACGTGCGTCGCGTCGCGTTATGTCTCGAAGCGGAAAGAGCAAACGTGAGGAAGGAACTACTCTCGATCCTCACCACTCATATCGCGCCACCACGCAAAGTCTACCTGAAGGTATTAGATATTTCATGCCTTCTGCTTTCATAGTGCCAACTGCAGCGTATACCTTCAAGGTAAAGCATAGCCAAGATATAACTCATGTAAATCGGACTTCTTCGTACGAAACTGAACGCATCCAAGTCAGTGCCAAATGTTGAAAGTGCCTCTCTCTTCAAGATGATGATGGAGCAAGGTGAGTGAAGTTCGTATCTTTTGATTGGATATTCTATCAAATAAGCTTGCACATGGCTGCCATTTCTCGGATCCTCAGATCATCCCGGTCAACCACAGAGCCTTGCTCGAGCCCTCCACCACAACGTTCTCGATACAGTCATCTAAGATCTTTTTTTCCAGCCTAACACAGGCCGTTACTGAATTCTGTACATGTTCTTAACGACCCACAGCCCCATCTTGGCGACAACCTGGGCCTTGAGCTCCTCAATTGGCGCAAGGGCACTTGGGAGATCCTCCTCTTTCTTTCTTTCTCTTCTTGACAGTGAGCTCGTCCAATCGGCAAGATGATGCTTGACGCACGCCTTGAAAGCAGTCAAGTGAAAGTATTTGTCTTCGTATAGATAGGAGAACTGTAAGCTATTCGGTAGTTGAGTGGCTTTATAAGGCGGATAATCTGAGGTGGGTGCGAACGTAGATAGTGAGGCGTCTCGCTGTCGGGGTTTTGTGCTTGACAAGCAGATATCTAAGCCTCGCATCTTGGTACACAGATAGATAAGTACCAAAGATAGTGCCTGATGTCTCGGGAACAAGTTCACACTTACTAATGCCTACACGTGGGACTATGGACGCGGCATGAGATGTGATTCTTGTAGGAAGGTGGTCGATGTTATTCCAGGAAAAGACTGAAAAAACTTGAGAGTGTCAATGTCGATTCAGACTTGGCGATGACCAGTCTCGTCAAATGAGTCGTCGTTAAGACCACGAGAGAGTTGCTTCGACAGCAGAGCCCTGGCCATTATCATCATCAGTGGTAACACCACCGAATGTGTTGTTAACATCTGCATCTTTATCAGCACTGCCAAACTTGTTGATATAACTAGAGTTAGTCGCGTCGACCTGAAAGCTACTCCAGAGTCCTTTAAATTCCATAGCTCTTTATGCTTCTTAGCTTGAGCTACACAGTGTTTCTTAGAGTTCTTATAGTCAGCCTAGTCCTTAGTGAGAATCTGCGGTTGTAGATTTCGCAAAGAGATATACAAGTAATATGTTCCTTCGCCTTAGGATATTGGTTGGCCTCAAGTTTTAATAATAGCAGTCAAGCCGCGCTTCCATTCTAACATTGGTATGACAACAATGCATTTTCTATGTGTAATTTCTACATTAGGATTCTTCCCAGAGGCGTCGCATAATCGTCGAGTGAGTCTCAGCCTCACCAAGACGGCATATCTAAGAGCTGTATGACTTTCTAGCCTCTCTCTGCTCGTCCATCTCTTTGGCCCTGATAGGATTCGACTCATACTGTGGTCTGCCATCGTACCTAGAGTCGTTCACTGCCTCAAGCCAGCGCTTCCCAAAGCTGATGACTTCGATGCTAATACAACGCCAAATATAAACGCCTAAACGCTGAATGCCATGCATACCAACAGTATCAATGAAGTATGAAACAGAAATAACGAAACGGATCTCTATGCCTCACCCTCCTGCTCATGCGATTGTGACCATGTAGTTGACGAACAGCTCATGCGCACCTCAAGCTGGTCAGCCTTCTTCGCATCACGAACCGCAGCGTCAACGGCGTCGTGAAGATCGAGGTGGAAGAAGGGCCTATCGACCCCATGGATTGGATGAAATTTTCTCTTCTCGGTCGCAGAAGTCGACTGTACCTCAAGAGCATGCGTTTCCGCCAACTCCTTGCCCTGTTCTTCGTCTTTATTCTGCACATGCCGCCGTGCAGCCTCCATTTCGTTATGCTCATTACCCGTTGTACCTAAAAGACTGGTCCTGACGGTATAAGATGGACACCATACTCCCATATGGTCGGCGTTGATCGTTGCAGGGAATCCAAATCCTGCAAAGGTGAGTGCCTTGCGTGTCCACCGGTTGTGCACGCCAGCAAAGTGCCACTCAACCAGCCCGGGCGCAGCATGCCGGTCGAGCGTCTCGCGCAAGCCTTTCAATCCGTCAATGCTCGTGATGTCGAGAATGTTGACAGTGGAGAAATCAAGAACAACAGCCCTTAAAACTGGAAGAGAGGAAGACTCTTCAATAAGCTTCTCGCTAGGCGGCGCGTCGCACCACAAGCGATCGCAAGCCCGGATACCGTCATCAGCTTGGGTTCGGCGCGTATGCGAGGTGATGTAAGAGGTCAGATAGTCAACGTGGTAGGCCTGATTGATGTAGTTGAAGTTCTCGCTGAAACGGTAGATGAAGACGCCAGGATATGCCGGTTCCACATTGATGTCCGGGTTATGGTTGTCAGTGGCGTCGTAAGGCATGTAGACCTGTCGGGAACTTTTTGCAGTACTGGTGTCATACGAGTTTTCTCCATATATCTGTGGAGGCAGCGATGTGCCTGTTGTCGACATAGATTTATTGCGGAAGCGATCGTCGCGAACTATGCGCGTCACCTCCACGGTACCTCGAAACTTGCCCGGACTCTTCGCCATCCGGACGAGAAGCATTGCGAAAGACAGTCCCACAGTGATGTAGATTGCAGTCTCGAGGTCGGTGAAGAATGCAATGACAACGCCACAAACCCAAATGAAGAGCTCGAACGGTGACAGTTGGTAGTACTTGTGTAAGTCCTTGGGTCCCTTGATCAAGTCGACGGTGGAGTGTATGATTAGACCAGCAAGCGCAGCATTTGGTATGTAGTAGAAGACAGCGGTAAGCGCATAGAGCGCCAGCACTAGGACCACTGCGCTGAAGACGCCAGATAGTGGGGTACGTACCGCAGCCTTGGAGAGAACGGCAGAAGCACCAAAAGAGCCTGTGCATATGTAGCCACCGACGAAAGGACTTAGTATGTTGGCGGCACCTTGTGCAATCATCTCCTGTGAAGCAATGACGGTGTAATTATGCCTTCGCCCAAAATTCTTAGCGATGGCGATATGTTCGACGATAAGGATGATGATGATTGCTGGGAGCTCTGATGCTACCAAACCAAAGAGTTTGCCATTCATCGAGGGTACGCCGGCGTGACTGAATCCCTTCTCGATGTGGCCGACAATTCGAAACTTCTCCTGGCCTGTAGGGGTCGTTCGATGTACAAGCCAGCTGATGAGAGTGTAGAGCAGGATAGTGAACGTGAGGCGCAGTGATGAGATCAAGGACCACATCTTCTTCTTCCGTGGTTGGCGGACCTCCATCTTAGCGCACAAGTTCTTGATTAGGTAAAGAAGCACAATGGATGTGATACCAATAGCCGCGTCAAGTCTTGCCCTGGGTAAGCCCTTTAGGAAGTTGACGTACACCTTGTACGGGGACTCACGTGTGTTGATCCCTCTCACCCCCATCAGGGTCGGCAGTTGTGTCGAGATGATAGTGATGCTGGCGGATGTGACGAAGGCGGAGATGGGGATATATGGAATAAACTCAATGATGAAGCCGAGACGAAGGATACCGAAGACCAGAATAATGCTTCCAGCAAGGAAGCTTATCGCATGCGCTATTTCCTGGGGCTGATATACACCAGGGTGTTCGGCTTCGACATTGCTGACTGCGCTTCCGATCAGTAGTGACCCGACTGCTGTCGTCTGGTTATGATTAGCTGAGTTTAGCTCGCCTAGAGAATTTACTTACACCTATGACGATGTCTCTAGACGTCCCGAAGATCCAGTATAGACACGCGCCTGTGAAGGTCGTGTAGAGGCCGAAAGCAGGTGACAGGCGCGCGAGCGACGCATAAGCCATGGCTTGCGGTACCACCACAAGACCGACCGTGATACCTTTCTTGAATTAGCCGTATGTAATGAGAGTTTCTGGAGATTACTTTGCATACCTGCGATAGCGTCTCCAGCCAGCCAGTGTAGATTATAGCGTCTCAGCCACCGTACGCTCGGAAACAGCTCGCGTATGTATTCTGCGGCATCATGTGAAGTCGGGATGCATTCGCGCAACCATTCTGCTACCGACGGGTCCTCCTCGATGTAAGCCTCTCCAATTGTATCTTGCGCAATGTCCTTGAGGGATGTCGTCTGAGCGCTACGGTCCTCCGAGAAGGTGGGTAATAGTTTCATCATCCCAGTGTTGATATCCAGCGTTCTGCTGGCCAAAGAGCACGTACAACGTTCTAAAGTAATGGAACAAGAATAAGAGTAGTGGTAGTTGCGTTCGATCAAACTTGGTATGTCGGCAGGCGTAGGTCGTGAATCTAATGTAATGATAACGGAAGCAATGTGCGCGAAGGAAAAGGGAGCCACCAAGTAATGAATAGACGGACCGAACGTTTCTGTAATAATCGGGACATGTCCTCGATTGAATCTGACGCATTGTCATGCGCCGTGCTTGGAGCATTTTACCGATGCCCCGAAATCATCGGGCGATAGGTCTTGGCGAAGTTGCACCGATAAGGTACTGCGACTCACCGCCGTCCTTCCCCGGCTTGGGACTTCGCGCGATATTCTGATTGTAAAAGAGCATAGTTTGGTAGCTGCGAACGGCCATAAACCTCCATGTCGCGTCTGACGTGTTCGAGTTGTTAAAACCTTACAATCGCGGCCTGGTCAGGATGGATATCCAGGTAGCAATCGCCTTACCAGCAGGTCTCGCGGCACGTACAGCGTGCTCGAACACATCTCGGCCAGCGGAAGTCGGTGTGGCAAAGCCGCGATTGGACGATGCTGGGTTGTTGGAAGGTGCAGCTGATGATGGGGACGCGGCGACGAAGCGATGAGGCACAGTCCGAGCGACATCAATGTGTCAGTGCCAAGCTTCCACGACCCACTTCGGGCAAGAGGTCGTGTGTGGACTGCGGGGAGTTACTAACTCAGTCTCAGCACCTGTCATTGAAATGCCAATCAATGACTATGAATGAAAGAGAAAGTTATCGCTGGCTTTACTTTTTGGTAACATCGCTATGCTTGTTCTTTCTTCCATTGTAATGCGCTGCATCTGTGGATAGGCTAAATATCGCTGAGCAGGAAGAGCGGTCTCGGGCAATTCCTGCGACATCTACAGCACTGACTATACATGGCATGCGACAGTCATGTCCGAGTTATCCATTCCGGGCGCTGATGCGTCCACACGTTCACTGGTAACAGACTGTGTGATCTGATCCTGTACAAGCGTGTCGCTGGCGCTCAGTCTAGTCCCCACTGATCTTCGAAGCCAGCCGCGGACTCAACTTCCTCCAGGTCAGATAAGTTTTTGTCTTCACTGCTATCGTCATCTTCTGTAGCCTCGTCCGTATCGTCCCTATCTTCTTCATCTTCCGCGTAAATATGGTCAGCGATACGATTACTGCATTTACAGCATGTGCACTCAACATGCATGCCTTGAATTCTCATCCACTGACGAACCACGGACCGACCAAGACGTTCGCCGCGGATACACTCTCCGTTCACGTATACCGACAGAGAATGGTCATGGTTCTCAACGAAGCCAAACTCGTCCTGAGGTACATGCGCAAAGTCAGCAGCCGAATGATCCTCGTCAGGGTAGTCTTCCCCTTCTCCTCCCCCTTCCTCCTCGTCATTGCTGATGTCTTCGCCATTCTCACTAGCGACATCGTTCTCGGCACCTTGCTGAGGCCCTTGAACTTCTCCTTTGCACCAATTGCACACGACTTTCGGTTCAGCTTCCGATGTGAACTCCGCACCGCAACCGCATACATGACTGTGACCCTCTCCTACCTCGTCTGCTATTGGAGCATGGCAGCGTAGATCTTCGTCTGCACGGTCCTCTTGGATGTAACAGCTCGCACACAGCCACCGGTGTAGAAAGCGCTTGCGTAGGGTACAAGAACATCGCGCTAGGCCTTTCTTCCGGCGTTCTTGGTAACACGAATGACAAGTCAGATCTTTACGCTTGTTGACAATCATGTTGAGCAACGAGACAATTTGAACGCCAGAGTATGGGTATTGTGTGCGACCAATGGGCTCGATGAGTTGGTGAGTGCCCAAGTCAAGGTCGAGAATGCGCTGAAAGGGCTCAGGGTCGCCAATGGCAATGGTATTTAGGGGAATGTGAATGCGGCCTTGGTCATGCAGAGGTTTCATGTCTTGGATAGGTAGATGCCAAGCATCTTCTTCCGAATTCTTGGGTGGATACACAGCGATGGCTTCAGGTTGGAGAAAGCAGAAGCCTGCCCACCAGCGACGCTGGTCAAATCCAGAATCTTCTGTGAGGAAGTTATAGAGGACATGTATCCGGCATTCGTCGCAGGTGTTGACTCCGCACTTCGCACATGGGCGAGATTCTGTCGCGAAGCCGAGTCCAGCACAGTCAACTATGGGTTCGAATGTTTTTACTGAGCAGATGCAGTGGCTGATTGCCCGAGCAAAGTAACCCATTCCTGGACACAGAGTTTTGGAGAGAAGATTGGCCTTTGCATTGGCGTCGTCCATCCGAATGTGCTTATAGAAAGCCTGCGAGGTCAGGGTAAGAACGATGAGATCGTCGGGTGTCAAGAACGAGACTAGTGCCTACAGATTGGTATCAGCATTCTGAATGAATTACAAAGATAGCTTTTGCATGCCCACCTCCTGAACCGGATATGTAGCAAGAGCGACAGCGAGTGGTTTGTCGGAGTTCGACGTCGCCGGGGGGAGCGTCCAAACGCGTTGCGCTTTCTGCTGTACCGAGGCCATCACAGATGCCTTGTTGAATGTTAGCTGAGATCTTTAGAATCGCCAGAGCAGCTTCAGTTGCAAGAGCAGTAAAGCACGTCTGCATCAAGATTACTTACTGTCAGAGTTGCTAAGACACGCTTATTGCTTATCGGAATTGAAGTCGCGTCCTGCATTCTTGGGCGAACCGGGAGAGTGTTAAGGGCAGAATCGAATCGTGAGTTGATCCGATCAATGGCTTTGCGGAGTGAGAGCGACAGAAGCGGCCAAGGAAGTCGCAAACGGCACGTGCGTAGGTGACAAACAGATCGAAGGTCCACTTGCAAAAGAGCACATATTCCAGCAACTGCGTCTAAGAGGCTGCCTTCATAACACGGAAATCTGGAAGAAAGTGAAGTTTACGCTTTTCAGGTTACAATTATTGGGGATGTCTTCTCAGTACCATTCCCGTTCACCCAAGAGTAGGTCCGCATCAATGAACTTTGACATCGCCCCATGTACACCGCAATATTAGGTTATGTAGCACCGACACTGGAATTCCAAGCCTGAGGTATTTGTATCGCAGGCAAAAGAAGAGTAGCGCTCGTACCCAACACCAACGATATGTCGAGAGCTTCCGAAGACACCAATGGGTGTACTAGAGATGCATTGTGATATGCTAGATCCACTTGTTTGTTATGCAAATTTTATTATTTTTCTCGGAATAAGTCAGGTGCTTAGATGAATTGGAACTAGATGGATACTTGCGTTGTAAGGCTTCATTATCGAGGAGTATCTGCAATATAATATCCATTGCGTGGTACACACATCATCGCTGCAGCACTTCCTAATTATGGCTCGTCATTAGCAATGTCGTGAATGCTTTAGATGTACTTCTTGTGTGCCTTTGGGTGATCGCTAAAACCCCAGAAAACTTCGTCGCTACCGCACAATGCTGTCATATGGCATAGTACCACCACTTGTATCCAACGAACTGGCGCTTACCGATAGAACCGAGAGAAGGTATTGTTGTATGCATCTCCGATCTGTAAAGGCGCTTTCCATAGTCGTAAAGATCGCCTAACTTGCAGTCGCGTAAGATGTCGAGTTTAGTACCCTTCAGACCGGTTAGCATGTCGGCTAACATTCAGTCGCGACTTGTACTGATTCACCTTTACTTTCAGCTATCGGTTGCCAGGCTTGGCTATTTGCATACTGGTGACCATGGCGCTAAGCTTGTCTAATCATCCTGTCAGCTTGCGTTCTGATAGAGCAGATGACATCCAGTACTATACCCAGCATCTATCCCCTCCATAGACATATCTGCGTAACTTTCTCATCTTCCACATTTGAGCTGCTCAGATGGGCGATCTTCCATTGCTTCTCCCGACCAATTTGCCTTTAAACTAGCAGTCGTCGATTTGTCCTCTTTTTGTGAGCCTTGGCTGGCCATCTTGCTAGCTGGCTGCGTGTATGGTTGCTCCACTGGTCTCCAAATCATCGTCCAAAGCTCACCCGCCAAGTTCATCGTGTAATCGAATGCGCCTTCCAGTAGTGGCCAGAGGGGTTGATGGTAGTGATGGTCCATGACACACTCACAGTGGGGGGTAGTTGTGCGTATCTTGGGCGTGTGTTTTAAGCAGGTATCGAAATCTCACCGAAGTTGTATTGCTTGAGTTACCGTGAGTTAAAGAAGGTTGCGGAAATGTGCCGAGAGATAAGGTGAGAGATAAGGGTCCTAATATGGAGCAGCGCAGTGGGGCCGAGCGCGGTACACCAAGCAGGAATTGATCTCGATTGGGGATCGACCTCTTCTACCTCATTACATGTAGGAATCAGAAAAAGATACTCTGTACTTAAGCCGCTCTGTTTCAACACATCTTCGGTTATACATAGTGCGAACACTTGACGCCAACGTTGTGCGCAACGTTAATATGTGTCTAGTTCAGTCAGAGTACCAGACTTGACAGTTCTAAATGATACTCATGTACCTAATTTCAGGAAGCGAAGAGCATGCGTGATCAATGGTGCTTGTGCATTGATACATGTAACACGAACACGTTCACATTGCACTGCTCCAGGTGTCAACCGAGATCTGATTGCGCTTTCCGTAAACCCCATCAACAACGAATTGAAGTCCTACTACGACTCATTATGAAGATCATTATTGACGCTATGTATGGCAGAATCGAACACCAGCGCGATTGCAAGTTGACGGCTTCCAAGATCTGCCATTAGTAAGTGCGCCAATGGAGACCCCTCACCCTTGCATAGGTAACATCGCGTTCGTTCTCGAGACCCAATTGATAGGTCTACCTAGGTAGCACTCTCCATTCATGATACTTATGGGAATTGATCCCAAGAAAAATGAGCTTATGGTAAATTCTCCGTGGATAAGGCATAGAAGAATGGAGTAGATAAGATACCTGTGGAAGCCTCGTTTCATCCAAGGTCAGTCAGGAAAGAACTCTGCTCGGCATATTGCGCATTTGTACCTACACTCATGCTGAACTTTAAGCTGTGCGTCTAAACATGTAGCGCATATCGCATGGCTGCATACGTTTAACTTCCGCATCTCGGTATCTGCGTCGGCGCAGAGAGGGCAGGATGAGTCGGTTGAGCTGAGTGCTATAGAGACACCATCCATGTCTGCGTGTTCTGGACCACGAAGTACATCTTGAACATCAAAAACTTCAAACTCGCGTATATGCCAATCGAAATCGGCGTACTGGCTGAAGTCATGGTTCGCCACATGTTCGGGTATGTGTTCTTGATAGTTTTCGGCCTCTTCCTCGTCTTCGTCCTCGTCGAGCTCGTTTTCGTCGTCTGACATGTCTGGGAGGAAGAAGGCGCTCAGCAGCGGCGAACAATATGAGAAAAACCTACTGAGGGATTCATAGAACATAGCAACCCTCTCTTTGATATCAGGTTGATACTTGTTCACAGTATGGCTGCTGCAAAACGCCAAGTCATTTATTAGCATCTTGAAGGCGCTTTCGACGTGTTGTCGCAGAGGCTCATGGATTAGACGAACGAACGACTGACCCGCGATGTCTCGCGCCTCCGATACCGGGGTGTAGGCGCCGTTCGTTCCAAACTGCTCGCGTACAAACTGCTCGATAGTTGCACATAGGAGATCGATTTGCTGATTCGTACGAATGGCAATAGTATTATTGGATACGTTTTCATCAGCATAGATATTGTTAAACATGTCGAACATGTCTGAGATTCGTTGTCCAAGGATGCTTCCCATCTTGATCGCCACAGCAGCCAACATACCTAAAGCACCGTAGGCTTCAGTAAAGTCCCTATCTTCTTGCTGGTGTACGTGTATGGAGAACAGACTGAATAGCTCAATCAGGTACTCACATTCCGCATCAGGATTTTGAACGTGTTCAGTGTGTCTGTAGTAATCAGCAGCAGTACGCTTGAGTGTACTTACGATTTGCCATGCTCGATCACTGTACAGTGTAGACCATGTTGCTTCCATGTAGTCATCACAGAAAGCTCCAATAGCGTCTTCGATTGCATTGCGAAGCCTAAAGGCATGAATACTGTCGAAATCTGAAGGTATCTTCTCGTTGAGACGGGCAAGTGCCAATACAGCCCACATGATGCCTAAAATTCAATGTATGAGATTAGCGGGTATTTCATATGTCGGTCGTACATGGAGTATACCTACATGTTGGGTTGTCGAACTCCATGTCAAACATACTGCCAGGATCCGCGTTGATTGACGGCACCATACGTCTAATGTTGAAGTAAATACGGAATAGAGACACCGTAAACATAAGGCGCCTCAGCTACGAGGATGTAGTAGTGGAAGTTCGAGGTCGAGTGGTAGATCTTGGAGATTTGGGTATGGGATGGGAAGAGCTGTTTAGGTACATTGGGCAGGATCGCCCTTGGTGTGCTGTAAAATCAGAGTGTTACAACGTGCCAGGTCCACATTGTAGATGAAAAATGCATGTTTACAGCAAAGAGTTTAGGTTGTGTCGTAAAAGGCATGTTGTACACATTGTTTCAAGCTCGCAGTTTTTCCCAGATCTGCCCTTCAAGGTTGATGACAACAATGAGTCGCCTTGATATGCAGACAGTGGTCCATCTGAGTCTCTCTGGAACATGCGCAGGATATCTGGCGCGGTCTGTGTCGCATAAACCTCGTTATAGGGGGGCACCTTCTGCAGGAGCGATATCGCACGCGAGTAGGGGAACATGGCGGAGAGTCTTCTCGAAAGAGAGGAAGGTCAGAATCATACTCCTTTAATGGCTAGTAAGGAAAGTTTCGGGTTAATTGACATCATGATGCGATGGCAAGACACCTGGGTGCTGTGAAATAAGTTATGTTGGCATCCGATCAGAGTGCGATGCAACTCTGGGGACTTTCATAGACTTGTGCTAGAAGAGGGGGGCGGGAGAGGGGAGGCCAAGACGCTGATTGTAGATCCCCATCTCTTTCCTTCCAGCTATCGGCATGATGCCGGCATCGGCATCTTGCTATCCCGATAACGTGTAACTTCACAACACTGCACGCTCCAAATATATGATTTGTCCTAATCTGCCCACAAAAAAGGGAAGGTATTCGAAGCTTGGTCGATCATTGGCCACCAAGCTAAACAAGCAGGAGAATAAACGCCGACGCTCGGCCCTTGGTCTCTGTGAATCTGACAAGCCGCTCAGCCATGTGCTACGGGATTATCAGAAGAGCTTTTCGACCTTTTTTCCTCAGGTTCCAGACACAACTTGATTGATCGACCTCTGCTAATATGCTCACTCCAGCGTTTGATCTGCTCGAGAAAAGCTATATCCCAAAAACAAACTTTACGCTGCGAACCCTGTTCGTTCATTCTTACAGCATAAGATCGGGCGTGAACAATTTACCCCCAGACTTGTTACAAGTGAACCCGACCAAGAAACGGGTCAGTAGCATATTTCAGTTTTCTTTTTGCGACTGTATTTACCACTAGTAGCACAGACCGTGATGCTATCATCTACTTAAGGTTGATATATGGCGCTGCCGTTCTACGCTGCGGTTGATCTGGGCGGAAATGTTATTTCAGTCTCGATACCTTGTTCCGAGTCGTCGCCATAGTCGCGCATCGCAAGCAGATTCAAGAAGTCGGGAGCTCTCAGCGGTCACTGATTGTCCTCGTCGCTCAGCTTCGACTATCCTGGGGACGTGAACATCAAGTCCTACGCTATCAATTCCCGTCACTGTGTCTTCTAAGCGGGGCTGGACCAGGCTATCCGGATTCATTGGTGTTGGGACAGTGAATGTGCTCCAGCTAGTGCAGGCGACAAGCTGCTGCGGGTGAAAACGTTGGAGCTGCAACGGACTTCTACCCGAATGGACCTGATAGCTGAGTCTTTCCACGTGGTGCATTCGAAGACTTACGCTTATTGTGTGCCGCGGCAAAAGTGTTCGAAGGACATCGCGTGAAAGAGGAACGCGGTCTGTCAATGTGCTAACTAGCATGCGCCAACATTGTCGAACAGAGAAGCGCTGGACCTTTTTCGGTCTATTGCAACCACAATTCATTGCTTGAGAAACTGCGCTGAAATTTGGAGGCTGCCATCTCCGGCGGCATGTTTTCCCGTCCAAGGATCTCAGTAAGTATCATTTCAGCCGAAGCTGTTGATGAGTCTACGCTCCAGCTTGGTTTCGTGCTATTCTCCGAAGAGAGCTCCTCGCTTCTCATGGCTTCCTGTATCACCACTCCACGTGAACTAACGACTGTCTTGATAATCGACTATAACATAGTGCGAGATGGCCGCGACAGCGTTTGTATATCTATACCAACACTCACGAGAGAACGGCTCGATTTGGGATTACAGCGGAGATGTTGCTTTCATGCTCTGATCTAGGCACTAGGATTCGAAGAACGCCCTCACATCTTACCTTTCACACTCGTTCTCACTCAAACATTCACAGGAAACGGTTCGCTTATAGCATGTATGAAGATTGTTTAGTCGAAATATCGGCTGTAAGACGTGTGACAAATGTAGGCCCGATCCAAAGCCATTGGAGCCAGTTCCAGGCGTCCAGTGGTTCCCGTACGTACCCGCGAGCATGGGTCATGCTAATCTGTACGTCAATGCAGACACACGCCGTACGTCAATGTCCCTCGGTAACTTTCCAAATGCCATGGATTTCAGGGCTGTGGCTTACAGTAGTTAACACCTAGAAGAGATCGACAGCATCCATAGGACTGGCCACAATTTAGGCATTTTTTAAGCGCTCAAGGGTTAACGTTGCCGAGGCCGTGCGAACATTTCAACGACGTCCTCGTTAGTACTCTCTACGTTCACATGTTACCGCTCAAGTCGTTCAGTCGCGTCGAAACTCGACACGACTACAACAGTTCCAAAGGCAAACACCAAGCAAGGCAGAGCGTCGCTCGAACGAGGGCCCTTTTGAGTGACACTGATTAACATCTTCCAAGGCATCCCGCAAGAGCACAGAAACAAGAGGCAAGCCTTATGTAAAGGAGAAGGAGAGCGTGTGCTGCACCAATGAGGCAAGCTTTCTACTCCGGACGCTACTGCAACTAGTAGGCAAGCGTGCGGGGCCCCCGCACCAATGGGTCCGCCACAGACTCCACTATGATCTACAAGTCGTCAAACGGGCAATACGGCATGGCTGGCGGCGTCTTGTTGTTAGAGGGGTGTCTTGGCTCATGTCGCTGGTCCAGTCAGCCCCGCGCACAGCGTTTTGTTGCCGCGGCTCGTGTGAAGTTAGTGTCGATTCAGTCTATCTATTTTACTACCACGCGACAGATATGAGGGATGAATCGAACGCTAGGACTACGTATTGATAGTCCCTCCTTACTAGGGTAAGAGAGTAATCAAACTACTTGAACGTCTTGAACTTTCTTTTTCTTCCTGACTATACGCTCTCTCAGCTCCACCATTGTCAACATGCAGGAGGCAACGAGATCAGCAAGCCCTTCTCACGATTTCGATAAACATGGACAAGACCATCTCGAGATGGTGGCTACTCGCACCCCGCCGGGCGAGCCCGAGAAACAGCAGTTGGCACCTGTCATGAGCAGAGGCCCAGAAGTGCATGAGAAGGTGAGCGCAAACGCTTTGCACTTGAGTTTCAGCTCTGACCGTGGCATATCCAGATGAACGCAAAGCTGTTCATGACTCTTGTCTGCATGTCATTCCTCTGGATTGGCTCTCAGATTCCGCTCTACCTCTTCGGCTCAGTCCTTCCGCTCATCTACCAAGATGTTGGTGGAGTTGATCGATACATTTGGTTTGTCATTGGATACCTCATTCCAAACGCGGCGCTCTGTCCGTTTGTGGGAGCCTTGTCAGACCTCTTCGGACGTCAAAAGGTGGCTATCGTAGGCCAGGTAGCACTCATTATCGGGCCGATCATAACTGCGACCGCAAACACTATGAACATTGCCATCGGTAAGTGCCGCAACCTTATATAAAATATCACACACTAACACGGTTTAGCCGGCCAGGTCTTCTCCGGCATCGGTGCCGGCTTGAACGAGCTTATCGCCCTCGCCGGTACAGCAGAAGTCGTGCCGATCAAGGACCGCGGCAAGTACGTTGGCCTTGTGGTAATCACCATCCTTCCCTTCTGCCCATCAGTGCTGTGGGCTCAGTTGATCGCTCAACAAAGCGACTGGAGATACAACGGCATCTTAGTTGGAGTATGGAACTTCGTCGGTTTGATACTATGTATCTTCTGTTACAATGATCCGTCCCGCCTGACTGAGGAGTACACTGCCCGCCATGTCCTCCGCCAGGTCGACTACATTGGCGGTATCCTAAGTACAGTTGGCATCACTCTATTCATGATGGGGCTACAATGGGGCGCATCACAGGTCAGTATACGATCCCAGAGCAAACATTCACGGCAATGCTAACACCTTGTAGTATGAATGGGGCAGCCCGCACAATGTGGTGCCTCTGGTCCTAGGTATCGTTCTTATCATCGCCTTCTTCGTATGGGAAGTGTATGCTCCATACCCTATGGTTCCTCGGGCGCTCTTCCACAAAGCCAAAAGGACCATGATCGTCATCCTTCTCATCACCTTCCTCAGTGGTGGTAACTACTTCGTCATGCTGCTCTTCTGGCCGACCGAGGTCTACAACGTCTATGGTAGATATATACACCGGTAGTCCCGCACGGTACGATCATACTGACATGAGTATTATAGGCGACGACCCGGTCGGCATTGGTATTCGCTCGCTACCCATTGGCTTTGGCATCATCGGCGGCGCGGTTGTCTGCCTGCTCCTCATTCCCATTACCAAAGGCCGCGTCCGCGAGTTGATGATATTTTTCACTGCCATGATGACAGCTGGTACAGGAGCCATGTGCATTGCGAGACCAGACAACCTCAACGTAGTCTACGCCGTCGTCACATTGGCGTCCGTTGGAGTCGGTGGAGTTATTATTCCCTCATCAATCATTGCGCAGATTGCTTGCCCGGACGAGCTCATTGCCACCGTTACGGCCATCACACTTAGCATCCGTTACCTTGGTGGCGCAATCGGGTTCGCCGTGTACTCCAACCTCTTCTTCCGCAAAGTCACTATACACTTGACCGAGATCGTCGCCACCAAGACCTTAGCGTATGGCGCCATTATCAACCCTCTGTCAGCCGAAGGGCTTGCCGTCATCACACACGTTACCAATCTCATGGGCAACGCGAGGTTCGATGAAGTCAAAGAGATCCTTGCTACAAGCCCTGAAGTTTTGAAGCGAGACTCGTTTCCTATGATATTGGCAGCTTCGCAAGAGGCTTTCGCGTTGGCGTATCAGTGGCCATACTGGATCTCGATCGCTTTTGGTGGTGTTTGCTTCATCTTGAGCTTCTTCGTTGGAAATATTCGGAACCTTTTGACGGCCAAGGTTGCTCATCCGGTATGAGAAGATGGACGATTTACCAGAATAGCTTGATATAGTTCTCTTTATCTTGATTACTACGGTGATCAGAATTATATGCAGTTTGAAACGATCACGTCACATCTGGTTGTGGTGAAGAGAGACTCCCATGCAGTTCAACAGTAACCTTCGAATGTTCTTGATTTCACTCGAGGTGTGAAAATCCGCAGTCAGCTTATACATTGGATGAATATATTATTGAGTTTTCAGAATAATGGAATATCTTCATCATTAAACTTTTGATTAATGTATTGCCTCAATTGTATGATGCTATGTGTACGAAAGCACATCGGGTATATGACGCCACCACAACTACCAACACAACTACAATCACTATGCAAACCAATCCAGATGATAAAAGAAAGAAATCGCGCACTCTAGCAGTCTTGCCACGTGTGATGGTGCTTTTTTTTTTGCCCGCCAATAATAGCTATCGCAGGCCTTTTTTCCTCTTGAGCCCAAGCAAGTAGCGCCTTGTAGATCCAGCCTAATGACGCCGGGCCATACTTATTAGCCCACCAGCAACTATCCCGGCTGCCATGGCACTAACTTGGGTCCAAGACATCTCGCATATGTAGAATCTGCTCTTTGTAACTACGCTAGCTAGATGGTCGAGCGACAAGGAGTTCTGTTTCTTGTGCCGAGTAGCGCGGGACGGCAAGGGTGACGGACGATCAGGAATATATTTTGGGGGATCTGACCAGCGACGAGAAGAAGGCTTGGATGATGGACAAGCATGCGGCGATGTGGTAGTTCCGGTACTTCTTGTTACGGATGAGGTATGATCGGCAGATGGACCTGGGAAGGCGAAGGACATATTGAGGGTGCCGCGTCCTTGATCGTTAGTGGGATGGTCCCCATGTTCGACCTCGTCTGGAATGACGCGATTGGCCTCCTCGATCAAGATCAGCGCTAGATCGCTGAGAGGGCAGACGTTGGTCATTTCCTCTCCCTCCGGTGGCACGACGATAAGGGTAAACTCGGGGCTGTTGCTGGCTCTGAGTGAGCTCTGCAACTGATCGTGAGACTTTGTATCCCATCGAGCACTTTCTAGGACGTTGTGGTTTTCATCTTCTTCGAAGGCGTCGTCGACAGGCTGCTCATTTCTGGCAGTCTGTCTAAACTCCTTGATTGCATCCATGGAATGAGTCCGACCATTGGTCTTACGGCGCATAGAAGACGAGCTCAGTCGCATCTCAGCTGGAATAAAGCTGTCCTTTGTATGCTTTCTGCCAATAGTTTGAAAGATTTCAAGAGTGGGAGTGATAGGTGGTGAGGATGATGCATAGCCCTCATCGCTGGGTTCGGAATCGGTCTCGGAAGTGACCCCAGCCTTGGAATCCTGGGTTTCGTCCTCGTCTCCAAAGACCACGCTGTTGAAATCCAACTCCCCTTCTATTTCCGGGGCATTGAGCGGAATGGATAGCGAGGATAAGGCTCCGTTGTTCTCCGTCATGTCAGTTATCAAGAACGGCATCTCGTGACGCTGAGTGTAAGCATGGTAAGGTTCAAAAGCCTCTTCACCCCAGCTACCGGCCTCCCAAGAATCGATCGAAGCGGTATCTTCCTCTTCAATCACATCAAGCCCATAATTGGCGTACAGCTCTTCAGTATCGCTTTTAGCGATCTCCAGTTGCTGAGATTTGTACTGACGATACAAGTTCTCCAGCTCCTTGCGCGAGAATTGTTCTGAAATGTCGACGTTGTTCCTGCTTTGATCGATAAGCATACGGTCAATTTCTTCATTCATCTCGCGATCGGCCTCTTGGTCGTGCTCGGGACGGTCGAAGACGGAAACGTGATCCTGCTCTTGTTGTTCGAAGGCGAATATCTGCATGACCTCATCTTCATCGAGCACCTCCTCCACATCTTCGCTCGCACCGTCGTCCATGACGTCGATTTCGTGCGCGTTTTCAATGGGAGTGACGATGTTTAAGGGTGAATTACGATAAACTCTGACACATGAGGGCGATCTATGTTTCATTTTCCAGCTCTGAAAACCTTTCATGTAGTTAGACCGATGGGTCTTGGTGCTGCTCAACTCTGGATAGGCGGGCGCCTCTGCGTCTTCTTTGCCATCGTAGCGCAAGCCAATAGCGCGAGTTATACGATCGAATCGCGCGGACATGACCTGATGCTCTGGGCGGCAATTAAGGACCGCGAGATACCAGTATTCGGCCGGCAATTGAGTAGCAGGCTCTGGTTTCTGAGTAAGCTCAGTGTCGAATGACTCTTCTCCGACGGGAGAATGCCAAAAGGCGCGCTCGTTGCGAATGCGGGACAGGGTGTAGGTCTCATCTTCTTCCTTCGTCGCATCTCCGGTAGGAGGAACTTGAAGAGGACCTAACTCTGCGGCGGTAGGCGCGGAGGTGTCGGCGGTAGCATTCCAGCTATCCAGGTCGAAATCATCATCGTCGTCATCAGCCCAGTCGAACTTGCGGCTATCAACAATAAGATCTTCGGAAGCCATATCCTGTGGCGTTGATGTGTCGGTTTGATAGTATGTAGGGACAGTAAAACGGTCGTAGATTATCGATATGTCGACTTTCGCGACGGCGAGCCAAATCAGGTGGAGTCAAGCCGAGAAGGGTTTGTGATAAAGAGCGTGATGCGGTGTGGTTCCTGGACCGACAAGTTGCAGGTGCAATCGCGAGTGTGTGACGGTGAGAGTTCAAACACCCCTGGTGCCTGCTGGTTCTGCGATAATAGTGTGTGCGCAGTCATTCGTGAAGAGGGAAACGACGGGCAAAAAACTATGTAATGAATGAGGGGCTGAAGACATTTTGGCAAGTGAAAGCGTTGTGTGCTGACTTTGCGACGGTGGATGACCCTTGATCGAACCAGGGTTCACTCCTCGTAGGCTTAGTCAATTGTAAACCACACTTTGGCTTTCGCACAAAATGCTTGAGGACATTCATGGGTACGCGCAAGGGTTTATATTCATAGATGAAATGCTGGTTCTGTACACAAATGGTTGTCTTGATCCGGGTTTCCCTAGCGCGCCAAAAGAGAAATGGCAAAAACAAAGACAATACACAAAATACGTCTGTGTTGCCCAATGAAACACGTTCCGCGGAGGATTTTTGATTGAATTCTGCGCACTGCCATTTTCCCAACATATGTTCCGATCTGAAGTAGGCCCTAACGTTCGCCGAACCATCGTTCTGGGTGAAATGCGGAGTCGTTATAACGGTCCGTGAGACCAATCGTGTCAACTTCAAATAGTTCCCCGGCCGACCGCCTAGATAACGCTGTCGATCTTCGGAGAGGGTCGCCGGCTCTGTACGGCAGCTGGTACCAAGTTCCAAGCCGTCCGTGAGAACTGTTTTGTAGCCCTAAAGCAGTCGCGTGTGGCTTGCTCTGACTTTTTTTGGCAACATTTTAATGAAATGCTTCATCCTGCTGGTCCACTTACGCCGCATATTGTTGGGACTATCGTCGACCGCCGATTCTGATTCCGAATCATAATCTAAATCAGTTGAGATATTGTCGTCTACAGTCTGCTCGCGCACTGACGGAAAGTCGTAGGTCTCGTTTGCCACGACCGTCGCAGGGACATCTCCAGTATCTTCAGCGGACGTATACAGTGGTGCATATAGCTGCTCAATCCCCCCTACTTGTAGCTCATCAGACCAACCTTTAGTGGTAAGGACAGGTAGGCTATCAACACACTTTCGATCCTGCTTGTCACCGCGCTCGTGCTTCTCGACATCCATACCTGGGCCATCCACATGGAGATGATGTTCATTGTTTGCTGACTGTAGACGATCGGTCTGATAGGAAGACATTGATGTCATGGAGGTGCGTTTCGACAACGCGGAGGTCCAAACAGACGACTTGGTATTCAGTGTATCCTTGGAAGGCGAAATCTTGACACGAGATATGAGGTCGTATTGGTCCTGCTGCGTGGTGGTACTCGCGTTCTTGATCACTGGTGGCTGTACATGCTCATAGCAGCTCGTCGAAAATCGCAACAGCGACGGTCCATGCACCATGCTGCATCCCGTCTCAAATTTGGCATCTAGCCACTCCCGACGGCAGTAACCTGTACCACCTTCTGCGCTGTGCACGAGACGGAAGCGCTCGCGTAGCATAGCAAGTGCGTCGTCCGCAGATAAATCCAGCACGCTTGCGTCAGACGAAGAATCTGGCGATGAAGACAGCGAGGGTGGTTCGAAAGTCGACCAAGGCAAGCAGACATCTTCGTTGCAAGAAACGGAGATTTCACCATCGCGAGCGATGAGCGACGCAAGTGACCTACCGCCGCTGTGTCTGTGGATTCCAAAGTTCTGCTTGTTGTTGTAAGGGTAGGAGATATCGATAGACTCCAGAGGCGACAACATAGGTGGATGGTGAATGAGAAAGTTGTTGTTCAACGGGTCAGTGTTGATGTCTTCCTTGTCTTCCTTCTCATCCTTCTCATATTCTTTGATCTTCTCAGCGAATGCCGATACAGCATGCTCGATCTGTTCGCTGAGATCAATTTCGTCGTCTTCTGAGTCAGATTCAAGGTCTAAATCAGCGTTATCGACACCTGCTCTTGCCATACATTGAGCCAAAGAGGGTGGCCTCGCCCTTGCAGAAGACTTAATTCTGAAGGTCTGATTCTCTCGTATGAAGTCTTGCAACTCGTTCCATGATCGGTCTTCATCTTCCTGGTCGTTAACGTACGCGCCCAGATTGGCCTTCATGTCTTCGTCTAGTAGCTCGGTTGTTTCCTCTTCCTCTCCTTCTTCTTCTTCCTCTTGTTGGCGAAGGAAGAAAACAACCTTGGTGCCAGTCTGGTCGATATGTTCGTGGCGCGCCTTCTCAATAGCCTGGTACTGTCCTACAATGTATCCTTGAACATCGCTCTTTGTAGCTCGGTTCATTGAAGTCAAACTCTTTACACTGCCCTTTGTGGGCAACCGAGTGGACAGCTTTGGTGGCAGGGATGTCTCTGATGCATGTTCGCTATGGTCGGGACGTGTATGAATGGCGGGTTCAGTATCGCAGAATGGTTGATTGCTTGTCTGGTTGTTAGAGACTGCGTATATAGATGCCTGGCGAGCCCGAACTGACGATGCAGGAACTCGGAGTCGGGCCATCTCGATCGTGTGTCTATTGCTACGTTTGCATCCGCGATGATAGACAATACCAGACGGAGGCTATTCCTTAACAGAATGTGTAATTGGGTGGTTGACACTTGATCGATTATTTTGGGCGATGTGAGACGAAAGGCGTGGTGGTGTCTTTACACCAGATTCAGATGCAACCGGAGTCGCTGTTCAACAAACACGAAAGCCTTTACCTGCGGGTTGCCTTTTTGAAGGCGCTTACCACGGTAACGGTGGTTGCGTTTGCTCCCATATTCTGCTTAGGGCCAGACTATCTTTGCGTCTTTCACTCGCCCAAAAGAGAAACGATTTGAACATCGACACAATACTTCTGAGGGGACACATCGCGGGAAAAGGTAAGGGAAAGAGAGAGTCCAGCGGTTAGCAAGCGCGAGGGTTGCTGTGTGCAACAGCAAATAAGTCTTCTACAGCGATGGTCGAATTTGGGATGCCTGCTTCATCTCTGATATGCGGATGAGCAATGGCTATATACACGTCGAATATCACATTACTGACCAGCAGGTTTTCGATGCATGACGGTCGCAGCTGCCTGAAGGAAGAAGTTAGCAGCCTTCTCCTCGTGGTTCCATCGACTCTTGCTGCACATACCTGGTGGTTCGGGAAGATCAAACTATCGGCCAACACGACATTTTCCCTTCGCCCTGCAGCAAACACGACAACCTCAGCAATGTCCTCTGGCGTCAACGGTTCGACGCCCTCGTACACCTTCTTTGCCTTTTCCTTATCGCCACCAAACCTTACAACACTAAACTCGGTCTCGACTTGCCCTGGGTCGATCTCAATAACGCGAATTCTTGTAGCGATGAGCTCCTTGCGCATGGCGTCTGTGAAAGAGCGAACAGCTGCCTTTGTAGCGCAGTAGATGGAGCCACCTTGGTAGGGCTCGCGGCCTGCGATACTGCCAATGTTGATGATGTCACCTGAGGGTGTGGAGCGTGCTTTGAAGATGGGGAGGATGGCTTGCGTCATGTTGATTAGGCCGGTTACGTTTGTGCTGAACATGGTGTCGATGTCGGCGGGGGAGATGTCAGGGGCTTGAGCGACGCCCTTTACAAGGCCGCTGATGTATCTGTTAGCTCGCCGACCAGAGTATGTATGGAAGTAATGACATACGCGTTGTTGACCAGGACGTCAATGTCCTTGTACTCTTGTGGTAGGTTGCCAACGAAGTTCTGCACTTCGTCTGGCTTGCTGACATCGAGTTTTACTGGTAAGACCTTGACGCCTTTTGCGAAACCCTGGATTTCCTGTGCAAGCTCCTTCAATGTGTCCTCTCGTCGCGCAGTCAGGATAAGCTTCAGGTCGTCGGGTTGTGTCCGCGCAAACTCGATTGCTGTCGACTTGCCGATACCAGAGGATGCACCGGTGATGACAATGGTCTTGCCCTTGAGGCGCTCTGCCATCTTGGTCGCCATTGTCGCAGTTTGTTGTTGGAGGATACGTGATAGCTGGATACTCGGGGGCGCGATGCGGGGTCGTAACGGGGCTCTGGCGAGAGAGGCAGCAGCGCGGAAGAATTGGCGAGAGGACAGGAGATTAGGCATGTACGTCGCAATGCTTTGTAATGCAGCGATGGAGGTTTGCACAGCGTGGGGGAAGGCAGCATGGTTATGTGAGGTTAGCTATCGGCATAACTCCGAGGCTGCGCGAGTCAGAGGCTGCATAGAGGGGCACTGTAAGCACGACAGTGTGTGGGGTTCTTGTGTCACCATCAATGACTTAATCCGGCCCATCGCACATTGCCATACGGCCAAAGAGAAGTCTAAGTTGAAATCATTTCATTCGTGCCTTTGCCGTGTCTCAGGCCGGCTTCATGGAGACGTTTCATCGTCAATCCAAGTTATTATCTTCCTCCTCCAACTCCTAGCACACTGTGCTGTGTGCGGGGTATCGAAATCGTTATATATCACGACCACTTTAGTTGGCACCCTTCTTCTTGAGCATGGCCTCGTCCTCTTCCCTCAGCTCCTGGTCGATCTTGGCTCCCTTGGAGGGCTCGTTGCCGTGTGCGCGTGCGGGAAGGGTGGCATCTTGCTCACGCTGACGGTCCTCGAGAGACTTCTCCTCGCCCTCCTTCTCACGCTTCTCCTCGCGTTCGAGCTTGTTGGCGATGGATCGCTCATCCTCTGTCGTCATGGTCAGCGATTGTTCTTTGAGAAGAGATGGCTAGTATCGCGTCACATCGACGCAGTGCAACACATGCAGGGCTGAGGTAAACATACTGGAGTCCTGTGCCTTGTGGGAGTTGTCCTTGCCCTCGTGGAAGCGGTTCTCCTTCTTCTCCTGCTCGATCTCGGCGTTGGAGCGGGTGACCTGGTCCTGAGACTCGTACACCGCGCTGTTACCGACGTTGGAAGTTCCAGACATGTTGTATGTGTGTATGTGGGGGGTATGTGGGAGTGGTAGAAGGTTTGTAAAGTGTAGTTTGAAGTGAGAAGTGATGATTGATTGCTGTTTATTGTCGTGTGAGTGTCTTCTCCCCTCTTTATTAAGGTTCTGAAGTTTGCGCAGAGGCTAGGACCCATGATGACGTAGCTGGTAGCAATTACATCATGGTGGGGAAAACAAACACCACCCATGGATATTTCGGGCACCAAATGCGAGAAGCCTGATGACATGCATGAGGCCGATGTGGTGCCTGAGGCTGATTCAAGCTTGCATATTGCGATCACGGAGCGTTCCCGCTAGGCGAGGCGCAACTTTGATGCAGAACGCGATATGTATCAATCACGCGACAATTACGCGTAGCTCCTCTTCCTGATCCATCTATCGACCAAGGCCAGCGCTTCCTTCGGCTTGTTCATTGGCACCATATGGCCTGCTCCGTCCACCGTAGCGAACGCAAATGTCGTATCTCGCCCACTTGCAGTCGTTGTCTTGACTTCCTTGAACCACCCCACCTCTTTCCCCTCGTTCTTCCACGATCGCTTTGGCTGCGCAACAAACGCAGGTTGACCCTTCCACTGCATCGTGTTGGCCCATTGTAGGTTACCTGCCGTGTTGCAAGCAAGATCCAAATTACCCTGGTAGAAGAGCACATCGATGCCGTGCTCAAGAAGATACAAGACCTGAGGTTGCGTGCTTAGGACTCCATCACCGGTGAGGGCAAAAGCCCATGCGATATCGTAGGAGAGTCCTGTAAAGTTTTTCACAGCTTGGGGCACGCTCAGCGCATTCCAAACATCTGGCGTGTTCATGTAGTCTTGTATCCTCTGCATCTCAGGGTAGCACAATTCGTCTTTCGTCTCGCAGCCATCCGTGATGTCGAATCGATTGCGACCTCCCGCTCCAGCCTCGCCGTCATAGTAGAGGATAACACCGTACATGCACACTTCTTCAGCCGCAATACATATGGCTGGATCCGGATGGTTATAGCACACGTTAGTAAGCTCCATGCAACGAGGAAGGTTAGTAGCCATGATGTCGCAGCGGGTCTGGTTGAAGATGGGACTCTCGACACCGGGGTTTGTCGTACATAGAGTTTCCCAGAAACCAAATGCAGTGTCTCTGGGCGAGACAAATGCGTTTCCTGTAAAAGTCGACTTGAGGTTGACCTGAGGCCGCTTAGGATAAGCTAGATTCTTCGAGACAATCTCGGCGCCGAGTGTCGGGACGTAATGGCCCTGTTGGTGATCAGTCCGTGTCTGGTAAATGGTAGCGGCAACAAAGACGTACAGCATAACTTTCCCCCGTTATGTGGAAGTCCCTATTGCTAAGCTCTGGGAATACGTCGCTGGTGAACAGCTGCAGAAAGTGATGCATATCCTCTGCAGCCGTGAAGCTCGTCGCGGGAAGCGGGATTCCCTCGTCGACGTAACTAAAACCAACACCAGCGGGCTGATCGACGAATATAATGTTGGCATTCTTGCTCCATCCATAATGGTTGTACACGGTTCCATTTCCAGACTCATTGATGAGGCAAGGCCCCAGCTCGCCCAGCAATCCAATCATGCCTGAACCACCCGGTCCTCCTGTTAGCCATAGCAGGAGCGGGTCTTCAGAGGGTTTATCTTGAGACTCAAAGTACCAGAAAAAGATATGCTTTGAGCCGATGTCTAGCCAGCCCGTGTACTGTTTGGAGCGTGCATCACAAATGGTGCTGTTTTGTTGCTGCTTAATTCGGATAGAGTGGTGCTCTGAGAATTGGCTTTGGTATATCTGAAAGCCTTCTGCTTCTGGTTCCTCCTGGAATGGCACTTGCGAAAACAAGGATGCTGTTGCGGTCGCGGAGAGCAGCCCGAGGATAGAGAGCTTCATGGTTGGCAGGGTACCCTGATGGGCGGTAATGGCGTTGTTCAACACGAGACGAAAGGCACCGAAACACGATTCAATAGAGATCAATGCAGGGTGTAAATCTCACAGATACGTAGCACAGGTCTGGATATCACCAAGGAGGTATGGAAGAGGTGAGAAGGAAAAGAGGTTGGTTCTTACGAAAGGTAGCCGCCGCCGCCGCCAGATGACGCTCCGTCGTCTTCGGTTGGTAGCCCCCGGCGATCGAGCAGGGGTGTGAGCATTTGGCTCTGCGAACGTACTTTACCACTACTACCACACGCGACTTCACCCAGACCCTGTCTATTCTGCGCGATCAAACCGCGTCAAGTCGTACCTTCGATACATACGAGCTGCTATCGATATTTTGGATAACACCTAGGATCAAGCACCACCCAAACATAACCCATCGACCCTACGCGCATTCAAACCAAGCAGTCGCTGCTTCTTTCACTATGCCTTACAACAATACACCAATAGCGCCAAACAAGGAGATTACGGGCCATGTATCGCTTCCTCGTAAGTAATGCCCTCTTCACATCTTACTCTCACTCCTGTCCTCTCACCCATCCTCATAGTAGGCGACCATTCTAACACACGGCACAGTTGCACGCGTGCAAAAGATCATACAAGCAGACCCCGAACGCATTACAACCTCCAAGAATGCCGCCTTTGCCATCGCACTAGCGACAGAAATGTTCATTCAGCACCTTGCGCAAACTACACACAATGTTGTCAAAGCCGAACGTAAGCCACGGCGTAACATCCAATACCGCGATGTCAGCAGTGCGATAGCGAAGACGGATAATCTAGAGTTCTTGGTCGATGTTGTGCCCAAGACGAGCACATGGGGAACCGTGAAGAAGAAGCTGGAAGAGAGAGAGAAGGAGGACGCTAAGAAGAAGGACAAGGATGGTCAGAAGGACGGAGTGGTGAATGGACAGAAGACATCGGATGGCCCTGTTGACACGGCCGAGGAGGGCGCGGGTAAGGGCAAGGACACAGAGACGCCTACCAACGGCGATGCAACCATCTCGCCTACGCCAGCGAAACCAGACGAGACACCCGATGCCATGGAGGTTGACCAGGAGGTCGAGCGGGTAGAGGACAGCGAACCAGAAGAGGACGCTGCAGCGATGCAAATCGAGATGGAGATGCGCGGCCCACCCCGCCAACCTACGGCGAGTGCAAGCAAGAGTCCAGAAGCTAGGCGGTCAACTGGTGGATTTACTGCGATTAATGGTCAAAAGTAAATCCGCCAGTATGTGGAGAGCAGAGAGAGGCGACGGTCTAGACGAATGTTATCTTGCATTGCATAACGGCGTTAGCTGGATATATCATGGGAATAGCGCTGGGTTGTTTGAACAATGATGTGCATCAGGACTTCATGTAAGACCGTGGAAGTAAACCAAAACGGGATACGTGAATGTGTAGTTGTATACATTACTTCTGGGCAAAGCGGGATGCTTCAAGTCTGCTATACCCTAGATTAGATTATCCCTCTGCTTCTGCTCGCATGTGTCTTATACTTTCTTCAACTCCCTCACCAGCCTTCTACTTCTTCAATTCCGTGTCCGGGTCCCAAACCTCCACAGTAGTCTTCCCGTGATCCCTCACTACAATTCTCTCCAGTACTCCCACCGTCCGCACCCACTCGACTCCGAATTTCCCGCTGTTGATTTTGCACATCCTGGCGCTTTCGATCTCACCCGCCATCTTCGCCAGCTCCAGCAACATCTCCATAGCTGACTTGGTGTTCCCAACAATAACATCTGGTTTGTCCTTGCCCTTTCCGTACTTTGCGCTCGTGAACAGACAACCGATCCAGTGCTGGTGTCCAGCATCAACAGGCGGAATTAAAAGGGCGGTGCCAGTGGGAACAGGTCGAGACTTCAAAAGGTGCTCTTTCGTGCAGAAAGCATGATATATGGCATAGGCTTTTGGATACTGGACTTTAAAGGCTTTGGCTATCCCACTGCCCCAGGCGCCTTGGGTATTGCAAGCGTGTATTAGCAAAGTATGTGGCGGAGCGGCGAAGATGTTTCCGGTATGATGGGTGAGGATGAGAGTGGTATTGGGCATCTCAGACAAGAGTGATGATGGGGAGAACTGGTTTGAAGAGCAGTCTTTGTGTGAGAAGTGGCGCGGTGGTGTATCGTCCTCTGAGAGCCCCGTATCTCGTCGCTTCTCGGGTAGTGGGGATGAGGATCCTGATAATTTCCTCTTGCGTTTGCCTTTGTCTTGTGACTTTGTAGCGGTAGACATTGGCGGTCGATCAATTGATCCTTTGTCGATTTTTCTGGCTTTCGTCGTAGGTTTGATTCCTTCCTTGGACACAAAATAGGATCTAATGTTAGAGTCTTTGGGAGACATGATGTGGCATTTCAAACAGAAGGCTTTGTTGTAGCAGAGTTCTCAAAGTGAAAAGCGAGGGTACCTGAAGCGAGGAGGATTGAATTTGGAAGACTATTGCATAGATTCAAAGATGGTTGTACCTACCTAGATAGGTAGCATCCAGGCAGTCGCCAAGACAACCAAGTCAGAATGCTTGCCCAAACCACAAACTGTTTCACCTGCGATGGTGTGCTCAAGAGAGGGATGGGAATAGACTTGGTATGACTTGACAATCTTGAAGCGTTGATGCTGGCTTCGAGCCAGGATTTTATGGGAGGTACTAGAGACACGACGTTGCTCACTCTTGCAAGGAACCGCAAACACGACTTACTAGAACCTCACGGCCATTCTGATGAAGGAAACGGATGCGACATGAATATCAGACAATGTGTGAGGCTCGTAGTGATGTTGGCCGATGACGCTGCAGGTGAATATGGCGATGCGGCGGAGAGCGGCCAACCAATCACACGGCACCTGACATAACGCTCCTTGCCAAACCGCCAAAACTTCGACATACTCAACCCGAGCTCTCCCCCATCAACGACACCGCCCACCGCCCACCCGCGTCCACGATGCCCGCCCTCGCCAACACAACCCGTGCCATTGCACGCTCATGGACCGCTCACCAGATGCCCGTCGCTCGGGCGGCCGGCACCACTGCTCTGCAGACCCGCAACGCCTCGGCTTCCTCGTTCGACAGCCCCTTCAAGGGCGGCCCAGACACGACCAAGGTCCCCTCGTTCGCTGCGTACAGGAGTAAGGGAGGCGAGACAGGCCCCAAGATGTTCCAGTACTTCATGGTCGGAACCATGGGTGCGCTGAGTGCGCTTGGCGCGAAGGCGACTGTCCAGGGTAGGTCTCCAGCCATGCGATAGTCCAGCGGAGGGGTGGAAAATACAGGAAACGCCCGATGCTGCATGTTCGGAGCTGGTGGAGAGCAATTGGCTATTTTGGGGATGATTTGGATCGCGAATTGATGAAGACCGGACGGCTAACGACTGCGCCCAACAGACTTCCTCGTCAACATGTCCGCCTCCGCCGACGTTTTGGCCCAGGCCAAGGTAGAGATCGACCTCGCTGCCATTCCCGAGGGCAAGAACGTAAGTTCCGCAGTTCGATGTGGAACACTCGGACACTGGAGCTGACGAGAGCAGGTCATTATTAAGTGGCGAGGCAAGCCCGTCTTCATCCGACACCGCACCGAATCCGAGATCAAGGAGGCCGACGACACCAAGTGGGAGTCTCTCCGTGACCCCCAGCCCGACAAGGACCGTGTCCAGAAGCCCGAGTGGTTGATCATGTTGGGTACGTCAGGCATATAAGATTCAATTTGCGAGTCATTACTGACAATACTAGGTGTCTGCACCCATCTGGGATGTGTCCCTATTGGTGAGGCTGGTGACTTTGGAGGCTGGTTCTGCCCTTGCCACGGTTCCCACTACGACATCTCTGGCCGCATAAGAAAGGGACCTGCCCCGCTCAACCTGGAGATTCCCGCATACGACTTCCCCGAGGAGGGCAAGGTCGTCATTGGTTAAGCAGAACAATTCTTCAGTGGTGGACAGCGGTGATGTCAACTTGTGTGTATAGGAGCGAGCATCAATTTCCTACGGTTTGATTCACATAGATTCAGCTTGTGTCCTTGCAATGTAACACCAGTCAGAGTCAATCTTGGCCATCTTTGGTTCTATTGCTGGGTGGATGCATGTATGATTCCATATCTACTGCCCGTTTAAGAATGTTTTTACAGCCTCCACAGCGCCCTTGAACTTGTCTGCCTCAATCAACACCATGTGTCCCTTGGGCTTAACTCCCAGCTCTTGAAACGCTCTCTTGCTGTCACTCGCGCCCTCATCCACCGGTGTATCATACTCAAAGCTTGTGTATCCCACGGCATGTTTGTGCAGTACTTCGTCCTCGGGATGGAAATAGAATGTCTCCTCACCCACATCGGCCTTCTTGTTCTTCTTCTTGCTTGGTGGCGCGTCTTCGCTCGGCAGCTGACTCTGTATCTCGGAATAACATTTGGACAAGACGAGGTAGTGTGTGAATGTGTAAGGTTCCTTTTCCTCAACCGCCCACTGGATTTCTTCCAGAAGCATCGTGTACATTGGCGGTACGATTTCATGGGGCATGTTTATGAAGCGCTCGGTCAAGATGAGGCCGATTTGCGCGGAGGACGTGGTTGTGAGGAGGGGTGGGAGTGTTGGGATCGGCGCAGACTTCTTCGAGAGGTAGGTTGTCAAATCTTGGATTACCTTTTTGTCCTGTTTGCCGTTAGCATATGGATGGACAAATCTCGGATGGAGAGGTGGTACCTTGTGTGTCTCTAGGTTCAGGACGGTAAGGAAGGCGTACGGATCCGTCTCATTGCCATCGACCTTGACTGTGCTGCCGAGTAGCGGTTGCGATAATATAATATCCGCGAGTTCAGAGAGGTTGAACAACTGCGAATCTACATCGAGAAGTTGGCGCAAAAGGTTCTTGAGGCCGTGGAAATCAACTGCTGGCTGCGGGTCGAACCATTCAAAGTCGACGTTCACCATATCCATGTCCTAAGAATTTGTGAGCAGGCGCAACGTGAGAAGACCTTAGCGGGGAAGGCGCATACCTCGTCGCTGCCCGACTCGTCGTCATCGTTCTGTTTGCGCTTGTCCGATGCATCGGGAAGCTCTTCGGGATCTCTCTCAGACTTTCGTTTCGCCATTGTGTGGATGTGTAGGAAGTATGAGCAGGGTTGGTGAGGTCAGTGGGTACGCGACTTTGCGCGCGATGCAACTACGTTTGTTATCGATAGGCTGTGGAATAATTCTTCAGCCCCGCCCTGGGGAGAGCATGCTCAATCACAAAGACTTTGCAACTGTGTCGCAAATTATTTCTTTGAGACAGAAGCGATGTTTAGTCGATTAAATATATTCCAGTTACATGGATCAAGTGCTTGTACAAGGGGGCTCGTTTTTCTGAGCGGTACCTCATAGGGACAAGATACCCCAAAAGGATTCACAATCGTTCGTAGCATTACCCTTGCATGATATCAACCGTGCAATTCTCTAGGCTACTGTTCTTCGTAGCTACTCTGTATCCAGGCAGCGATCCGGCTTAGACGTCCGGCCTTTCCTCGTACCAGAGGATCGATGGAGATACTAGGCAAGACCCTGCCCCGCTAAAATTTTGTGAGAATCAGTCACAAAGCATCCCACTATTAGACCTTCTTCCTTCCCCAGATACCAGTCTCCCTCTTTCTTTCCTTTCTCTTTCACTTCTCTCTTCCTGTTCTACTTCTACTACATCAATTCTTTATCTCAAAATGGCGACCGACAACTCGGACCCAATTCCTCCCCACAAGACGTTCGATACCATCCTGGTACTCGACTTCGGCTCCCAGTACACGCATCTGATTACGCGCCGCCTCCGCGAACTCAATGTCTACTCTGAGATGCTGCCATGCACTACCAAGATCGCTGATCTGCCTTTCACCCCCAAGGGAGTTATTCTCTCGGGTGGCCCGTACTCTGTCTACGAGGAAGGCGCACCACACGTCGACCACGCTGTTTTCGATCTCGGCGTACCGATCCTGGGAATATGCTACGGACTACAAGAGATGGCGTGGCACTTTGGAAAGAACGCTGGCGTAGCTGCTGGCGAGAAGAGAGAATACGGACACGCGAACCTGAAGGTTGAGAGTCACGGTGGACACATGGACCAGCTGTTCAAGGACTTGGGCAACGATCTCGAGGTCTGGATGAGCCATGGTGACAAGCTGAGCCACATGCCTCAGGACTTCATGACGGTTGCGACAACTACCAACGCGCCTTTCGCAGGTATTGCGCACAGCACCAAGAAGTACTACGGCATTCAGTTCCACCCTGAGGTTACACACACAAAGAAGGGTAAGGTTCTGTTGAAGAACTTCGCCATCGACATCTGCGAGGCCAACACCAACTGGACTATGAGCAAGTTCGTCGATCAGGAGATCACACGTATCAGGAAGTTGGTGGGCGACAAGGGACAGGTCATTGGTGCCGTCAGTGGTGGCGTCGACTCGACTGTTGCTGCAAAGCTGATGAAGGAGGCCATTGGCGACCGCTTCCACGCCGTCATGGTCGATAACGGCGTCCTGCGACTCAACGAAGCCGTCCAAGTGAAGAAGACGCTCGACGAGGGCCTGGGCATCAACCTGACCGTCATCGACGCGTCCGACCTCTTCCTCGACCGCCTCAAGGGCGTAACTGACGACCCCGAGAAGAAGCGCAAGATCATCGGCAACACTTTTATCGAGGTCTTCCAGAAGCAAGCCGAAAAGATCAAAGCAGAAGCTCACGAATCTGCCGACGCTGGTGATATTGAATGGCTCCTTCAAGGTACTCTCTACCCCGACGTCATCGAGTCGCTCTCCTTCAAGGGCCCTTCCCAAACCATCAAGACACACCACAATGTCGGTGGTCTACCAAAGGACATGAAGCTCAAGGTCATCGAGCCTCTACGTGAGCTTTTCAAGGATGAGGTCCGTGAGCTGGGTAAGGAGCTCGGTATCCCTGAAGACCTTGTCTGGCGCCACCCGTTCCCCGGTCCAGGTATCGCAATCCGCATCCTGGGTGAGGTCACACGCGAGCAAGTCCGCATTGCGCGGGAAGCCGATAACATCTTCATCGAGGAGATCAAGGCCGCGGGCCTGTACAAGAAGATTAGTCAGGCGTTCGCTGCGCTTCTGCCTGTCAAGGCGGTTGGTGTCATGGGTGACAAGCGAGTTCACGACCAGGTCATCGCGTTGAGAGCTGTTGAGACAAGTGACTTCATGACAGCGGACTGGTACCCCTTCGATGGCGAGTTCCTCAAGAGGGTTAGCAGGAGGATCGTGAACGAGGTGAACGGAGTTTGCCGCGTGGTATACGACAGTAAGTCCGACGGATGCGACCTCACTGAGACAAATACTGACATGTTCTAGTCACGAGCAAGCCTCCCGGTACTATTGAGATGGAGTAGACATGCCGCGTGATGGAGTTGTGCGTAAGTGCACGAAGTAGATGTAGCCGGCAAGCCAGATTCAGATATGAAGGTTTTTAGACATATGATACCCCTGTATAAGTCACGATGAAGTGAAATACAACTTTTCAATTCAATACCGAAGTGCTGCCGAAGTGCTGTGTGAAGAAGCTTGCTGTGGAGAAGCGTATGCAGTGTGAAATGTGACTGGCACCAAAAAGCACCCTAAAGGTATCTAATGTAATGCACCGTAAGATTTCGGTATACAAAATATGCTGTGTCCCTTGGAAGTGGTGTATGAGTACGACTTGAAACGTGTGAGCTTCCCCATGTGTCGTGGTGTCGACTTGGGAATTTTCTTGTAGAATGGCTGATGTTTCCCGTCTCCAAAAATTGATCCGACCATGATGGAATTGGATTCACGCAAATTGAGCCCTGAGGCATGCGCTACACTGTGTCAACCTATTCACGAATCTAAAACCTAGCGAAGACCTTCAAGATACCTTGTAGTCACAATATGGAGAAAACAATCGTTCTTGGTTCATGTCTTCGCAAGTGTGGCTGTGCATGATCGGACTCCCGAGACGTCGATCTGGAGCTGGGACGGGAGGGACCCTTGCATGAGATAGCTCCCAGACGATACGCAGCCACGCCAAACTCCAAACTCCAAACTTGGAAACAACCAGGCCACTTGATCCACGCTCTTCCCACGCGAAGAAAACCCCCTTCAATGACGATGCGATGAATCGTTCCTCATCCTCTGGCTCACGCGCCCGCCAATCCTCCCAACAGCCTACACCCCTCCGTCCCCAGTCCACGCGCCGTCCGTCCTCGCGCCCCAACCAGCCCTCACGCTCCACGTCTTTTGCACCTTCTCTCCGGCGGCGCACAACAGGCCAGTCCTTCCTGTCCCTCGACCCTGACCATGATGACCCTGAGGCTGCAGAAACTACACATACTGATGCGGCCATCGTCGAAGAGATAGCAGAGATCAAACGGTATGAGGACTTCACAACAATAGACTGGGTTCAAGACGCTGCCCGCGAACAACTGCGACGGAAAGCGCGCCGGCGTGAAAGAGATAGCATCGGTGTGCGGAAAGATGGCAGGACCGCGAAAGTGTTCCTAGGCCGAGGACAAGGGAAATGGAGGCGGAAGATCGCCGAAGCATACGATGCAGGCCAAGCGTGGATTGTCGTTACGCTTGTTGGCGCTGCGATAGGTCTCAACGCGGCCTTCCTCAATATCATCACCGAATGGCTGAGTGATATCAAACTGGGACATTGCACTACGGCCTTTTACCTCAACGAGAGTTTCTGTTGCTGGGGTGCCGAAGGTGGTTGCCCTGAGTGGAAACGCTGGAGTGGATTTTGGCCAGCGAATTACGTTCTCTACATCATGTTCGCAGCTCTGTTCTCCTTTACCGCGGCAAGGCTGGTCAAGAGCTTCGCACCTTATGCAGCTGGTTCGGGCATCTCAGAGATGAAGTGCATAATCGCGGGTTTCGTTATGAAGGGCTTCCTAGGCTTCACCACGCTTTTCATCAAGTCGATTGGCCTGCCACTGGCTATTGCGTCGGGGCTGTCTGTCGGCAAGGAAGGGCCTAGTGTGCATTATGCCGTATGTACGGGTAATGTGATCAGTAGGTTCTTCGACAAGTACAGAAGGAACGCGGCCAAGACGAGAGAGATCTTATGTGCGAGCGCGGCAGCAGGTGTAGGTGTAGCATTTGGAAGTCCAATTGGAGGTGTGCTTTTCTCACTGGAGGAGATGAGCAATCAGTTTCCACTCAAGACGCTCTGGAGGAGTTATTTCTGTGCGCTAGTTGCTACGGCAGTTCTGGCTGTAAGTCTGATGGATGTGAATATCACATCTATGTTGAGACTGACGTATCTCTAGGCTATGAATCCCTTCCGAACAGGCCAGCTCGTCATGTTCAACGTCTCGTATGACCGCTCCTGGCACTTTTTCGAAATCCTCTTCTACATCATCATCGGTGTCTTTGGCGGCCTCTATGGTGCTTTCGTCATCAAATGGAATCTCAAGATGCAAGTCTTTCGCAAGAAGTATCTCTCGGCGTACCCCATTACAGAGGCTGTTACGCTAGCTGTCATCACCGGTGTCATCTGCTATCCGAACATGTTCTTAAGGATCGATATGACAGAGAGTATGGAGATTCTGTTTCAGGAGTGTGAGGGCGACAAAGGCTATGACCGTCTGTGTGATGCGAACCATCGCTGGCACAATGTTGGAACCCTTGCCATTGCGACGGTCCTACGCACACTGTTGGTCGTTATATCGTTCGGGTGTAAAGTACCTGCTGGTATCTTCGTGCCCAGTATGGCCATTGGCGCCGCTTTTGGTCGTATGGTCGGTATCTGCGTTCAAGCTCTGCACGAATCTTTCCCTGGCTCAGCTTTCTTCTCGGCCTGCGATCCAGATGGAGCTTGTATCACACCAGGCACCTACGCCTTCCTCGGCGCAGCGGCGGCTCTCAGTGGCATCATGCACATCACGGTTAGCGTTGTGGTCATCATGTTCGAGATCACCGGCGCATTGACATACATTCTCCCCACAATGATAGTCGTGGGCGTTACAAAAGCAGTTAGCGAACGTTTTGGTCATGGCGGAATCGCAGACCGCATGATCTACCTGAACGGCTATCCGTTCCTCGACAGCAAAGAAGAACACACCTTTGGTGTTCCTGTGAGCCAAGTCATGTCCAGCCGTGTGGTCTGCCTACCAGCCACAGGTATGGAACTTCGTCAGATGGAACGTCTAATGAATGAAAACGCCTACCAAGGCTACCCTATCGTAGAGGACGTGAAGACGAAGACACTCGTCGGCTACGTTGGCCGAACAGAACTACGCTATGCTATTGATCGCGCCAAAATCGAACAGCAGGCTCCAGGTCACGCAAAATGTTATTTCACACCTTCTTCTCCTGCTAGCAACACCAGTTCCCGAGCTGCAAGCGGCACAGCAGCATCAGCACCCAACACAACGTTTGACTCCATACCCACAACCTCTTCTCAGACCTCATTAGACTTCACCCGCTACATCGATCCAACACCACTCTCAGTGCATCCCCGCCTACCCCTCGAGACCGTCATGGAGCTGTTCAAGAAGATGGGTCCACGGGTCGTTTTGATCGAATATCGCGGCCGTCTAACTGGTCTCATTACCATCAAGGACTGTCTGAAGTACCAGTTCAAAGTTGAGGCTGGAGGTGGACACGGTGGTGGAACAGGGAATGGCGATGAGGGTATGGAGAGATTAGCGAGTTGGGGGAGGACAGTGGTAAACTGGGGCAGAAGGAGAATCGGCTTGAAGGAAGTGGGTGAGGTTAGGTTGGCAAGTCCTACGGCTGCGACTGCTAGGGATGCGAGAGATGTTAGGAGAGAGAGTGGTCACGATGACAGAGTTGATGGGACATTTGCTGTCGGAGACGGGGATGACGATGACAATGATATTGGACGAAGTAGGGATGTGGAGTTGGAAGATAGAGGGAGAGATAGATAGTGCATGTGTCCCCGAATCAGAGCCTGGCGCATACGCCTGTTCATGAGAACTGCCATGTTCAAACCCCGTGCCAGCCTTGCAAACCTGAGATGAAAGGAGCGGGTGGGTTCAGAAGTTAGCTTAGAAAGTGGAGCCGACGTTAGCTTACTTTGCACGTGGTGAGCTGTCATTGCCTGTCGGTATTCGCCGCTTTCTGTGTGGGAGCGAGCAACTGCTGGACGTACAAAAAGTAACCACAGCAACAGCTCCTGCATACAACGCGGTTTAACGGCCACACCAATTCCCACGCCTTCAAGTAGTACTGCATACGTACCAAATTCAAGAGCCAATCAGACGACGATCTCTCCGCTTCCCCTGCCGCTGCCGCTAGTCAGGATAAGCGTGTGACGGCCGTGCGCGTCTACTTCGCGTGCACCTACTGGGGAAATATACTCAGACAAAGGCACCATCACCATCACCGCCGCCTTACCGAGTGCTTGTTCACAACTAGCATTCTCTCCGACTCCCGTCCCTCACTATCCCGCTAGAAGCGCAAACCACATGTCTTCATAGCAACACAAACGCGATAAACAATCAACATGGAGGGACCCTTGAACCCAGGGGCGCCCAACGGCAGCATACGCACACCCAGTCCCTCACCGCCCTCGATAGACCCCCAGATCATCGTCGACCACCTGGAAAAGGTGCTTGACGTCAGCTTGGGAGCCTCGAAAGAGGATCTATTTGCACCCGGTAGTCTGCTGTCCAGCGCCAAGCTGCAGGACACGCTGCAGCGATGCGCCCGCTTCGCCTCCGAGGGGCAGTCAGCGCTGTACGTTGTGAAAGACCGGGCAGATGAACCCCGTATCGATGGCATGGATGGCGCAAACGGCAAGTACCCTGCGAAAAGGAAGGAACGTCCAAACTGACACAAGCAGCAGGGGCGACCCAGCATTTTACCTATACCATTTCGACCGAGATTACGGCTTCTCCTACTTGTGCAGCATTTGTTGTTATTTCGAAGCGACCGATACCCATAGACCCCGCGATACCCCTAAGCCAGCAGGTCCTTATTCAGACGTTGCCCGGCTTTATACTTTCTAATAACGCTTCTTCGCCCGACGGCACTCCCTATGAGTTTCTTCGTTCTCTCATTCAGTCTGCGGTCGAGCCGTACTTTGACACCTACACCAAGAGCCAACGCGACCTGGCGGGAAAATACAGCAAGGGCGACAACGATGCTAGGACGGGAATTTCGGCGACAAGGAAGAAGATTGCGGAGCTGGCTGTCAGTTTGGGCAACCTCGAGCAGAATGTGGAGATCCCGGAGCTGCTACTGCCTCTCCACCCGCTTATCCAGAGTGCGCTGGACGATGCTAATCAGCGTGGCGTGAAACCCTCTCCAGAACTCATCCCTGCCGCAATCGTACAAGACAGTAGCTTCCTTAACGGACTGCAGTCGACAGTCAATGGTTGGATCAAATCGATACAGACAATCACCAAGACATCTCGAGATGTGTCTACTGGAACTGCAGCGCAAGAGATCAACTTCTGGATTTCCATGGAGTCAAGGCTACAAGACATTGAGACGCAATTGGGTAGTCCCGGTGTTAGGCTCACTTTGGACGTGTTGAAGAACGCGAAGCGTTTCCAGGCTACCGTCAGCTTCAGCGCAGACACTGGGCTCAAGGAGAGCACGGATCTGGTGCAGAAGTACAACCAGCTCATGCGAGAATTTCCTTTGGACCAGCTGTTGTCTTCAACCTCACTACAAGCGGTACAGGAGGCGATTCAATCCATCTTCAGTCACATGAACAAGAAGCTTCGTATTTGCCCTTACCCTGTCCGCCGAGCGCTTCCTCTTGTTGAAGCTATTTCCGGCGACCTCGATAAACAGCTCCATAACCTCCTACACGGCAAGACGCTCATGCACATGGATTACCCCGAATTTCAGGCCATCATGGCTGTTGCGGAGAGCATCTGGCGTACATGGGAGGAGAACGTCAAGGAGTTCACCAATGTTGCTCGTGAAGTGACTAGGCGAAGGAACGAGAAGTTCATCCCCATCAAGATTGCAGCTAGGCACAAAGAAACGGAAGAGCGCATTCGCTACATCACCACATTCCGCAAGAACCACGAGCAGCTCCAGCGAACCATCGTCAACGTCTTGGGCTCGCAATCTTCCTTGTCCGAGAGTGCCCCAGCCAAGGAGGCGGTTATCATCGAAGAGATTGGTGACGTGGATGCTGTAAAGGAGGTCAAGGAAGCCTACGATGTCCTCAAGGACGTCGATGTGCTGGATGTCTCACCTGAAGGCACGCGCCTTTTCGAACAAGCAGAGCAAAAGTACAACGAGCGTACTTCTCGTGTCGAGAACTCCATCATCGCTAGGCTTAGAGACCGTCTCGGTACTGCTAAGACCGCCAGCGAGATGTTCCGCGTCTTTTCCAAGTTCAACCCGCTCTTCGTCCGACCGAAAATTCGGGGTGCTATTTCCGAATACCAGACGCAGCTCATTGAGAACGTCAAGCAGGATATCTTGGCGCTTCATGAGCGCTTCAAGCGTCAGTACGGCAACTCTGAAGCCCACGCCATGGCGCAGCTCCGTGACTTCCCCCCAGTTTCTGGCGCTGTTATCTGGGCTCGACAGATTGAAACACAATTGGAGAGCTACATGGGCAAGGTCGAAGACATCCTGGGCAAGGACTGGGCGCTTCACGCTGAAGGACAGAAGCTCCAGGCTGAGAGCAGTATGTTCAAGAAGAAGCTCGACACCCGACCGATCTTCGAGTCCTGGCTTCAAGAGGTGGCTAGGAGGAAACTCCAGATCTCCGGGCGTCTTTTCCTTGTCAGCAGGAACCGTGCCGCAGGAAACATCTTGGAGCTGAACGTCAACTTTGATGCACAAGTCATTGCGCTGTTCAAGGAAGTTCGTAATCTGACATGGCGCGGCTACCAAGTGCCCCACGGCATCAACAACATCTCGAAGGAGGCCAAGCGTGTGTACCCTTACGCTGTTAGTCTCATGGAAAGCGTTCGCACCTACACTCAGACCCTGCGCTCCATCGCTGAGATGGGAGGAGTTGCTCTCTTGCTTAACAACTATGTTAATGAGGTGCAAGCACTTGTCGGTAAAGGTGTTCCTCTAAAGTGGGAGTCTTTCGTGCATGCTTACGATCTCCACGTCCGACAATCCGGCTTTCCCGTTGGAGGTGGAAGCGTTCGTAGTGAGAGCAAGCATGTTCAATTTGTCCGTGACTTTGCGGCTACGACATCGCTACTTCAGCTCAAGGTCGCAACACTCGTCAACATCAACGCTGCGGTCGAGAAATCGTTGAAGGATTTGGAGACTTGCCCATACACCAAGGAGGCTTTCCAACAAAACCTAGAGACCATCCAGAAGTCCATTGACCAGCTTAACCTTGAGAGCTACGCCAACCTTGCTTCTTGGGTATCTGACATGAACTCGCGCATTGAGTCCATTCTGTTGGTCCGTCTTAGCCGAGCTATCGCTTTGTGGATCGAGGTCTTCAATAATATCGACGAAGAAGACGGAAATCGACGTCCAGTCAGTGAAGCCGTCTCGATAGAGGTACCCGAGGTGAAGCCAACTCTTGCACGGTTAACTCTTGAGATTACTATGCGAAACCAAGTCATCTACCTCAGCCCGCCAGTGGAATTCGCGCGAGCAAGCTGGCTTGAGCAGCTTCAGCAATGGCTCGCCATCATCTGCACCCTTCAGAAGATCAAGGCTTCACGATACGAGATCCGACTTGAAGCAACTAATGACACCTCGGTCAGCCAATTCTCCGACCTGCCAAGCCGATGCACCGATTCGCTGATCGAAGTCTATGGCGCCGTTGAGGGCAAGCTCCGTGACATCTCATCGTATGTTGACGAGTGGCTTCAGTTCCAGTCCCTGTGGGACCTGCAGTCTGAGCACGTCTATGATATCCTTGGTGAGGATCTCTCCCGATGGCTACAACTTCTCCAGGAGATTCGTAAGACTCGTGCTACATTCGACAACTCCGATATCAGTCGTCAGTTCGGATATGTCACCGTCGATTATGACCAAGTGCAGGTCAAGGTCAACGCCAAGTACGACCAATGGCAGCAGGAAATCCTTACCAAGTTCGCTAGTAGACTGGGCCAGCGCATGAACGACGTGTATGTGCAGATCGAGAAGGCACGCAAAGATCTCGAGATGCAGACCCTGGAGGCTTCGTCCACTGCTCAGGCTGTATCGTTCATTACCACAGTCCAACAATGCAAGAGGAAGGTCCTTGAGTGGGAACCAGAGATTTCCACATTCCGCCAGGGTCAAGCGACTTTGGCGCGCCAGCGTTACCAGTTTCCCTCTGACTGGCTGCAGATGGAACAAATCGACCATGAATGGCAGACGTTGAACGAGGTCTTGGAGAGGAAGACCAAGATCGCGAACGATCAAGCAGACGCTCTGCGCGCTAAGATTGCTGCCGAAGACAAGGTCGTCAACCAGAAGATCATGGACATTACCGGAGAGTGGGCGGAAGACAAACCTGTCGCAGGCAACCTGGCGCCAGCTGATGCCTCTGCCATCCTTGCTAAGTTTGATCAGAAGCTCAACCAGCTGCAGAGCGAGTCCAGCAACATCTCCAAAGCCAAAGAAGCTCTTGGGTTGCCACCGTCTCCGGAGAACGCACTGGAGACCCTGCTGGAGGAAGTGCAAGACTTTAAGTCCGTCTGGTCCGCGCTCGGCACGATTTGGGCCAGCATCGACGACCTCCGTGAGGTATTGTGGACCAGTATCCAGCCCCGCAAGCTGCGACAGAATCTTGACAACCTACTCAAGATGACCAAGGACATGCCTAGTCGGATGCGACAGTACCAGGCTTTCGAGTATGTTCAAACTACACTGAAGCAACTTCTCAAAGAGAATGCCATCCTTGCAGAGTTGCGCTCTGATGCCGTCAAAGAGCGCCATTGGGTTAGAATTTTCAAGAACCTGAGACCACACAAGCGTTACTCCGCAATATCCATGACCCTCGGTGATGTTTGGGATCTCAAGCTTGGTCCCAGCGAGAAGATCATCCGAGATGTCATTACTCAGGCAGCTGGCGAGATGGCACTGGAAGAATTTCTCAAGCAGGTTCGCGAGACCTGGCAGAATTATGCTCTGGAGCTTGTCAACTACCAGAACAAGTGCCGTCTCATCAGGGGATGGGACGACCTCTTTGCCAAGTGCAGCGAGAACCTCAACTCACTACAGGCTATGCGCCACTCGCCTTACTACAAGGAGTTCGAGGAAGAAGCATCGTCTTGGGAGGACAAGCTCAACCGTGTACACGTTCTGTTCGACGTATGGATTGATGTGCAACGCCAATGGGTTTACCTGGAGGGTGTATTCACTGGTAACGCTGACATTAAGCACCTTTTGCCAATGGAGTCGGCTCGTTTCCAGAACATCAACTCTGAATTCTTGTCAGTTATGAAGAAGGTCTCGCGACAGCCTTTCGTGCTCGAAGTTCTCAACATCTCTGGTGTGCAGAAGTCATTAGAGCGCCTCGCTGAGCTCTTGAACAAAATTCAGAAGGCTCTCGGAGAGTACCTGGAGCGCGAGCGTGTGTCATTCCCTCGATTCTACTTCGTCGGTGACGAAGACCTGCTGGAAATCATTGGTAACAGTAACGACGTTCTCCGTATTGCTAAACACCTGCGGAAGATGTTCGCTGGTATTTCTGGACTTATCACGGACGAGGATGGCGTGATTCAAGGGTTCACGTCCAAGGAAGGGGAAGAGGTCACGCTTCGCAAAGAAATTTCGCTTGTCAAGACACCTAGGATCAACGAGTGGCTTGGTGCACTAGAAGCTAACATGAAGTCTACGCTGGCTGAGTTGACCTTCGAAGCTTACGAAGAGTTCGCTCAGCTCATCGAACCGGACATGATGGATGCCCAAGCTTTCACTGATTACATCGCCAAGTACCCTACCCAAGTGGTAGTCCTTGGAACGCAAATTGCGTGGACTCATGCTGTGGAGAAGTCTCTTGCTGAGGAGGGAACGACCTTGCCTCAGTTGTATGAAAAACAAGTCAACGTCTTGAAGCTGCTCGCTACGGCTGTTCTGGGTGATCTTGAACCCATCCAGCGCCGTAAATGCGAGGATCTTATCACCGAGTTCGTCCACCAGCGAGATGTCATCCACAAGCTTGAGAAGGTTGGCGCTCGCTCACCCACCCACCACATGTGGCTACTGTGCATGCGATATGTATATGAGCCCGGCAATGATCTACTACAGCGACTGAGGATCAAGATGGCAAATGCAGTCCTCGACTACGGCTTTGAGTACTTGGGTGTTGCGGACCGCCTCGTACGCACACCTCTTACCGACCGCTGTTTCCTGACCCTCACACAGGCGCTCTGCCAACGACTTGGTGGCTCACCATACGGTCCCGCTGGTACTGGAAAGACCGAGTCTGTCAAAGCTCTCGGTGTACAACTTGGACGATTTACCCTGGTTTTCTGCTGTGACGACACATTCGATTTCCAGGCCATGGGTCGTATCTTCCTTGGTATCTGTCAGGTCGGAGCTTGGGGTTGTTTCGACGAGTTCAATCGTTTGGAGGAGCGTATCCTTTCAGCTGTGTCGCAGCAGATCCAGAACATCCAGCTGGGTCTCAAGAAGGGTGCTGAGGATGAGAAGTCCCAGATCGAACTCATTGGTCGTCAATTGAAAGTCAACGGCAATACTGGTGTCTTCATTACCATGAACCCTGGTTACGCGGGTCGATCGAATTTGCCTGACAATCTCAAGAAGCTCTTCCGAAGTGTCGCCATGTCCAAGCCCGACAAGGAACTTATTGCAGAAGTTATGCTCTACTCCCAAGGTTTTTCTCAGGCCAAGGAATTATCGAAACAGGTCGTACCATTCTTCGACAGGTGCTCAGGGGGTCTTTCCAAGCAAGCTCATTACGACTTTGGTCTTCGTGCACTGAAGAGTGTACTTGTTAGCTCTGGTGGCTTGAAGCGAGCCCGTATCGCCGCTCAGCAAGACTCTCAGACCCTAGACGAAGCGAGCATGGAGCCTCAAATCATCATCCAGAGTTTGCGCGAGACCATGGCACCAAAGCTCATTCGCTCTGATGTTGAGCTCATGATGGCCATCCAAGAAGAGTCATTCCCTGGTGTTGAATACATTCCTGCGCCCCTTGATCAATTAACTGAGGCTATCCACAAGTGCGCCGCTGAGTCAAAGCTCGTGGTTAGTGATTCTTGGATGACCAAGATCATTCAACTCTACCAGATTCAGAAATTGCACCACGGTGTCATGATGGTCGGTTCTTCTGGATCCGGAAAGTCCGCTGCCTGGAGGACGCTTCTTTCCGCTCTTCAAGCCGTAGAGGGTGTAGAAGGCGTCTGTCACGTCATCGACCCCAAGGTCATGTCAAAGGAGCAGCTTTATGGAACTCTTGACAGCACTACTCGCGAATGGACCGACGGTCTCTTCACGAGTATACTGCGCAAGATTGTCGACAACCTCCGTGGTGAGGACACTAAGCGCCATTGGATCGTATTTGACGGAGATGTTGACCCCGAGTGGGTCGAGAACTTGAACTCCGTGCTTGACGACAACAAGCTTCTCACCTTGCCAAACGGAGAGCGTCTCAATTTGCCCTCTAACGTTCGCATCATGTTCGAAGTTGAGACCCTCAAGTACGCCACTCTTGCTACTGTCTCCCGTTGTGGTATGGTCTGGTTCAGCGACGACACTGTGGAGGTCGATATGATGATCAAGAACTACATTGAGCACCTCAAGACTACACCGTTTGAGGATATTGAAGACGATTCGGTTGCTCCAGGTCAGATGTCTCAGAAGACAATGACCACCCAGGGTCTAATCGCCGACTTCCTGCACATCAAGCTCACCCAGGATCGGTTCATCGAGAAAGCCCTCAGCATGGCTAGGAAGTTCAAGCACATCATGGAGTACACCGACATTCGTGCGCTCAACACGCTGTTCTCTCTGCTCAACAAGGCTTGTCGCAATGTCCTAGAGTACAACGTGCAGCACCCGGACTTCTCTCTTGAGGACGATAAGATGGAGACTTATCTAGCGAAAAAGATGCTTATCGCTTTGGTGTGGGCTTTAGTTGGTGATTGCCCTCTGATGGAGCGCAAGCAATTTGGAGACCTGATCGCTGGCCTCACCGACGTCGAGCTTCCCACCCTCAACGAATCTACTTCACTCATCGATTACGATGTCAAGCCTGACAAGCCAGAATGGGATACTTGGCAGAGTCAGGTACCGAATGTTGAGGTCAACACCCATTCCGTCACTCAGACTGATGTGGTTATTCCGACGCTGGACACGGTCCGTCACGAGGATGTTCTCTACTCTTGGCTCGCGGAGCACAAGCCACTATTGCTTTGCGGTCCTCCAGGTTCCGGAAAGACCATGACACTGTTCAGCGCACTCCGAAAGCTGCCCAACATGCAGGTTGTAGGTCTCAACTTCTCTAGTGCAACTACACCGGATCTTCTCATCAAGACATTCGAGCAATACTGCGAGTACAAGAAGACTCTCAATGGTGTTCAGCTTACGCCTACTCAAGTTGGCCGTTGGTTAGTAATCTTCTGTGACGAGATCAACTTGCCTGCACCCGACAAGTACGGCACTCAGCGAGCGATCTCCTTCTTGCGACAGCTGGTTGAGCACAACGGTTTCTGGAGGACGTCTGACAAGACTTGGGTTACTCTGGATCGCATACAATTCGTTGGCGCTTGTAACCCTCCCACAGATGCTGGTCGTACGCCAATGGGACTCAGGTTCTTGCGTCATGCTCCACTTATCATGGTCGACTACCCCGGACAGCAATCGCTTCTGCAGATTTACGGTACCTTCAATACTGCCGTGCTCAAGATCATCCCGACTTTACGAGGATATGCGGACGCTCTTACCAGGGCCATGGTACAGCTCTACGCAGAGTCTCAAAAGCGCTTTACGCCAGACATTCAACCACACTATGTTTACTCTCCCCGTGAGCTTACTCGATGGGTACGTGGTATCTATGAGGCTCTACGACCACTTGAGAGCTTGCCAATTGAGGGTCTTGTCCGTATCTGGGCGCACGAAGCACTACGCTTATTCCAGGATCGACTCATCGCAGAAGAAGAGAGACAATGGACCGAAGAATGCGTCCACCGTATTGCGGCTGAACACTTCCCTACTATCGACGAGGAGAAAGCTCTTGGTGGCCCCATTCTCTTCTCCAACTGGCTATCCAAGAATTACGTGCCGGTTGAGCGCGAGCAACTTCGAGAGTTCGTCAAGGCTCGTCTCCGAACCTTCTGCGAGGAAGAGGTGGACGTACCGCTCATTCTGTTCAACGACGTGCTCGAGCATGTACTCCGCATCGATCGTGTCTTCCGTCAACCACAAGGTCATCTTATCCTTATCGGTGTCAGCGGCTCCGGAAAGACGACACTGTCGCGCTTCGTCGCCTGGATGAACGGTCTGAGCGTCTACCAGATCAAGGTCCACGGAAAGTACTCTGGCGAAGACTTCGACGAAGACTTGCGTACTGTTCTTCGACGATGCGGTTGCAAGGGCGAAAAGATCTGCTTTATCATGGACGAAGCCAATGTTCTTGACTCCGGTTTCCTCGAACGCATGAACACTCTCTTGGCAAACGCGGAGGTCCCTGGTCTGTTTGAGGGTGATGAGTATGCTTCTTTGCTTACTGCTATCAAGGAGGGTGCGCAGCGACAAGGTATCATTCTCGACTCACAGGAAGAGTTGTACAAGTGGTTCACGGAGCAGATTGTCAAGAACCTCCACGTGGTGTTCACTATGAACCCTCCCGAGGAAGGCCTGTCATCAAAGGCAGCTACCAGTCCCGCTCTTTTCAACCGTTGCGTGCTCAACTGGTTCGGAGACTGGTCTGATCAGGCTCTGTACCAAGTCAGCTCCGAGCTTACACAGTCTGTCGATCTCGACCGCGCAAACTACGTTGCGCCAGATAGCATTCCAGTCGCCTATCGTGGACTTACCCTCCCACCATCTCATCGCGAGAGCGTGGTCAACGCCATGGTCGCAGTACACCACTCATTACGCAGCAAGAACGCGAAGTTGCAGAAGACACAAAACAGGAAGATGTACCTCACGCCGCGTCACTTCCTGGACTTTGTTGCACAGTATGTCAAGCTCTACAACGAGAAGCGCGAGGACCTTGAGGAACAGCAGCGCCATCTCAACGTTGGTCTGGAGAAGCTTCGTGAGACATTCGACAAGGTCAAGGAACTGCGAGCAAGCCTTGCCGAGAAACAAACACAGCTTACTAAGAAGGATGCTGAAGCAAATGAGAAGCTGCAGCGCATGATTGCAGATCAGAACGAGGCGGAACAGAAGAAGGCTGGGTCGATCAAGATGCAAGCGCAACTTGCCAAGGACAAAGAAGAGATTCAGAAGCGACAAGAGGTGGTAGAGCATGACTTGGCAGCTGCCGAGCCGGCTGTTTTGGAGGCACAGAAGAGTGTGCAAAACATCAAGCGACAACATCTGACTGAAGTTAGATCTATGCAGAACCCTCCCGCTGGTGTCAAGCTTGCGCTGGAAGCTGTCTGCACGATCCTTGGACATAAGCCTGACAGTTGGAAGACCATTGTTTCCATTGTTAGGCGTGACGACTTCATCGCCAGTATCGTGCAGTTCGACAACGAGAGGCAGATGACGGCAGCCCACCGTAGGAAGATGCAGAAGGAATACCTCTCTCAAGAGGACTTTACTTTCGAGAAGGTCAACCGCGCTTCCAAAGCCTGTGGTCCTCTCGTACAGTGGGTGTCTGCTCAAGTCACCTACTCAGATATTCTCGACCGAGTCGGACCCCTACGTGCTGAAGTCGATCAGCTTCAAGTGGAGCTACAGAAGACTGAAGAGGGTGCGAAGGAGACCCAGCTTCTCATCCAGAACCTCGAGGAGAGTATCGGCCGGTACAAGACCGAATACGCCGCTCTGATCAGCGAGACCCAGGCCATTAAGACGGAGATGTCGACCGTTCAATTTAAGGTTGATCGCAGTGTACGCCTCCTCGACAGCTTGTCTTCCGAACGTGTTCGATGGGAAGAGAGCAGCAAGTCATTCGACTCTCAGATCGATACTATCGTCGGCGACGTCTTAGTTGCGGCTGCATTCATCGCCTATGCCGGTTACTACGATCAGCAGTACAGGAAAGCTCTCACGGAAGATTGGTATGATCATCTCAAGCACTCTGGAATCAGCTTCAAGCCAACAAACCCATTCACGGAGTACCTATCGACTGCTGATGACCGCCTAAATTGGCAACACAATGGTTTACCAGTGGATGACCTGTGTACGGAGAACGCTATCATTCTCGAGAGGTTCAACCGTTACCCGTTGATCATCGATCCTTCTGGCAGGACCACAGAGTTCTTGCAGAACGAATGCAAGGACCGCCGTCTCACAGTGACCAGTTTCCTGGATGACTCGTTCACGAAGCAGCTCGAGAGCTCTTTGCGTTTCGGTAACCCGATCTTGATCCAGGATGCCGAACATCTGGACCCTATCCTCAACCACGTCCTCAACAAGGAGTACCAGAAGACTGGAGGTCGTGTGCTTATTCAACTTGGCAAGCAGGAGATTGACTTTTCGCCGTCTTTCCGTTTGTACCTCTCGACACGCGATCCGTCGGCCAATTTCGCTCCCGATATCTGCAGTCGTACCACATTTGTCAACTTCACAGTCACGCAGAGCAGTTTGCAAACACAGACACTTAATGAAGTCCTCAAATCAGAGCGCCCCGATGTCGATGAGCGCCGATCTAACCTCATCAAGATGCAAGGAGAGTTTGCGGTCCATCTTCGTCAGCTCGAGAAGCGATTGCTCCAAGCCCTCAACGAGTCGCGCGGCAACATTCTGGATGACGACCGCGTCATCGAAACGCTCGAGACGCTCAAGAAGGAGGCCAAGGACATTTCGGACAAGGTTTCCGAGACCACTGGGGTCATGACCGAGGTGGAGAACATTACCAAGGAGTACACTGTGGTAGCTCGTTCTTGCGCAGCTATCTTTGCCGTGCTGGAGCAACTGCATCACCTCAATCACTTCTACCAGTTCTCACTCCAATACTTTACTCAGATCTTCGAGACTGTGCTACGCAAGGTTCGTAACGGTTCTATCACTGGCCATGCTGCTCGCATCGAGCAGATTGTCACCGAGCTCTTCGTGGATGCATACCGTCGCACATCGCTTTCCTTGCTACAGAAGGACCGTGTCACATTTGCTATGCTTCTCGTGCAAGCAGCGCCCTACAAGATGGACAAGACACACATCGACCAAATTCTCGACCCTGACCTCAAGGGTATTGACGTATCAACCGAGACCGAACGCAAGCAAGAGGCCATGGAGCGTGCGAGCAAGATTCCAATGTTCAAGGAGGAGTTGGAGAAGATTGAAGATAGCGCTTGGGATGCTTTCCTCAACGAAGAGATGGGGGAACGACACGTACCGCAGGCTTGGCCAGAAGATCTGGCCAAATTCGACAAGCTCCTGCGAGCTCTTGTCCTGGTCAAGCTATTCCGTGTGGACCGCTTCGTGCCCGCTGTTGAGCGTTTCGTTACTGAAGTGTTTGGCAAGGGAATCTTAGATGCAAGTGGTGATCTGGGCGATATCGTCAAGCAAGTCAACGCAGTGACACCGGTGGCGCTCAGCTCCAGCCCTGGGTTCGACGCAAGTTACAAGGTCGACAACCTTGTAGAGAGGGAACAAGTCATTTGCTCCAACATTGCCATGGGTTCCAACGAAGGTGCCGCGTCAGCCGACAAAGCTATCGCCAACGCCGCCACCACAGGAAACTGGGTTCTTGTCAAGAACGTCCATCTTGCTCCTCAGTGGTTGCAATCACTCGAGAAGCGCCTCGAAGCCCTCAAGCCCAACCCTGACTTCCGCCTCTTCCTGTCCATGGAGTCCAGTCCAAAGATCCCAGTCAACCTTCTTCGCGCCTCTCGTGTTCTTTCTTACGAGCAGCCTGCTGGAGTTCGCGCCAACATGAAGGACTCGCTATCTTCTTTGGCCGAGAAGGCTAACAAGCAACCTGTGGAGAAGGCGCGTGTCTACCTTCTCTTATCCTTCCTCCATGCGGTCATTCAAGAGCGTCTCCGGTACGCACCGACACTGGGATGGAAGGGTTTCTGGGAGTTCAATGACAGTGACTACGAATGCTGCAGTTTCATCATCGATACCTGGATTGACACTATCGCGCAAGGTCGATCCAACATCGCCCCCACCAAGATCCCATGGGAGATGCTCCGCATCCTCATCACCGAGATGTACGGTGGCAAGATCGACGACGCAGAAGACTGGCGTATACTCGCTTCTCTCGTCGACGCTTGCATGACGCCCGCTGCATTCGAAGACAACTTCAAGATTGTTAAGGATACTGAGCATAGCGAGGGCCTTGAACTACCCAGCACGACCAGCTGGAAGGAATTCATGGGCTGGGTCAACGACCTCCCTGAGCGTGAGCCACCTACTTATCTGGGTCTGCCGGCGAATGCGGAGAAGTTGTTGTTGGTGGGCCAGGCGAATAACATGGTTGGTGGTTTGAAGAGGGTTTTGGATATGTTGGATGAGGGAGAGCAGGTCATGGCTGAGGCTGAGACTGAGATAGAGGTTTAGCTTAGCCATGTGTAGTATGCGTGCTCTGATGAGCGACGCGTTTTCTTTTTCTTTGTTTGCAGTCATTAGCATCTATTACAAGGCGTTCTATAAGGGGGCCATGAAAGAGTATGACAGTTCAAAGGAATGCCCAGTGGGATCATTAATCTGTTCGTATACTCAAGAATTTCTATATCAAAGTCTATTTGTTGCCATGGTATCTGTTGAACGTGACTATGCTATCTAATTAGGCACTCATTATGATGTTATGCTAGTTTCTCACAAGAAAAAGGTGTTCAAGGATGACATATAACTTGTTGTAACTAGATGTTGCTGATTGATAGATACATGGCATGTCATCCCATAGATAGTCCTTGCTTGGGCTGAGAAACCTCTAGGATCGAACAGCCTCATCTCCACTAGATCCTTGTACATATACGGCCGAACCTTAGCCAAAGCCTTTCAATTCCTCTTTGCCTCAGCGCTTTCTGATCTCTCTATCCTTCTACCAAGCTCAACCGCCATAGCCATACCACCCTCTTTCTCCAAACGCTCTTTTGCCTCCTGTAGCGATAGGGTGTCCAAGTTAGAGGTTACTTTCCACTCCTCCAACGCGACTTCTCTTCTGCGGCGCACGTCCAGTCGTTGCGTACGTAGCTCTTCCTCTCTCTTCGTCATCATGCCAAGCACACTTTGACGCGAGACCTCAGCCTCCTTGTTGCGTGTCTCTATGGCCGCTTGAATGGCAGACATATCAGTAGCTATGCTCGAAGTTGCCATGTCAGTCTGAATGCCCTTAGCACAAGTTTGAGCAATGGCGGCAAAATGTCGCTGCTCTTCGGCGGGAAGGCCTTCAATAGCGAGCGTAATAGTGGCTTCTTCGTTCGCGAGCTCGTCGATTAATCGTTTGCGTGAACCGCTCGCAGCATCTTGAGCGGCTAATTTATCGAGAACGTCGATGTATTCATCGATGAGAGAGTAATCTCCAGACAGAGGGGAGATGTCTAGGAATCCCTGCAGTATCTTGGTTGTGAAATCGGGCTTCGTCGAGGGCGCTGTCATGACAGCGCAGGGTTTCGTCGAGACGACGATGTTGGAACTGGCATTAGAACCAAAGTCGCAGTTAGATTCAAAGCTCGAAGGTTTAGTTTTGATGAGAGATGGTCTCTTGCTACGACTGGTACTGATAGCGACAGCAGCACTCCGACTCTCTTTGCGCATTGGCAGGCGGTTCTCAGAAGCTGGTATCGATGGCGGACTCAACATGACAGCGTCGGCATCTATATCGTCCTGTATCTGCACACCCCAGCCCTCTTCTGGCTCGAATAGCGGGCTCTCTTCTCTTGACATCTTGTTCGTCTCTGGTCTCTTATTCTTTTTCTTTTTCAATCTGCTAGTATTTCTCATTTCCTTGTTATTACCGGATACCTTCTTACGCTTCGCTAGCGTCTTAGTCGGCAAGTGTGAGGATAGCGGGCTGCACTGCGAGAACATTCCGTACTGGCCGTTCGCCCTCGCATCTGGCTTGTCTGGATTCTCTGCAGCGTAGTGTAGGGCGACGCGATTTGCCCTTGGAGGCTCTCTTGGGAGAACGTTGTCCTCAGATGCTTGGCTTGATGAGTCACTAATGTCTACGATAGGAGCCTTCTGGGATTTCCCATGTGGGGAGGACATAGCTGAGATGGAGCTGAGCAAAACAGAAAGAGACTTTTGGATGAAATAAAGGCAAAGACGAAGGTCATACGAGACTGACTTGATTAGCGTAGCAAAGCCGTGATGACTGCATCTCGAGGTGACCTCGAATTGCTACCAACACATCAGTTATCAGATTTAGCGTCACCACGAGCTGCGTTTGCTCTAGACCCATGTTCCAGGCCGCGGAACGACGGATCTGTCGAGCAGCTGTAGGCCTACGGCATCGTGGAGCGTTTGCTTCCTTGGGCGTCGCTTAAGACGCAAAGTTACTAAGAGCTGGCGGTGAATATCATAGATCAACAACGATGGGAGTGGCGTCTCCATTCTTCTTCTGGCGATTTTCCGCGTGCCTGACTGCTCTTCATATTCCACCTTGGCATGCATGCCTGGAAGTAACGCTGTTTACGTCAAAAAGCGGTGTAGTCGCTTCCTAAAAGATATATCCTCTGGTTTGTTTGCGATGGGCATATGTATGTGGACCTGTTGCCGCAGCGTGTTTGGGCTGGACGAGTCGAATACAAGACTAGGTACTTGTTGGCTGATGAATTTTGTTCGGCGAACGCAGCAAATTTGGATATGAAGGTTCATAAGCGAAGCCCGATATAATGTAACATATAAAGATGTTGTATTAATATTGCCTTTAAACACCCGGCTATCTTGGGTTCATGTCAGTCAAAGTCCACATTATCCTGACATGCCGGCCTTTTCACAAAAAGAATAAATCTACGAAACGCTCATCAGTCCTCGATATCTAGTAGCTTCTGCTTTTTGAACGTGTTCCTCACAGCGCTCCTTTCTTCCTGGATCTTGTCTCTTTTCTTTTCCAACTCAGCACGGTCTCGTTTCCACTTTTCTTTGAAGGCTTCAAACCGGGCATCCATAACTTCCAGATCGTGGTCGACGTCGTTTAGATGTTTGGTAAGATTATGCTGTTTCAAGACTAGTCTAGTGAGGCTTTCGAATGTTTCGTCTTCGGCTGAGCGCTTAGCGCCGCGTGGCGGGGCCTTGGGCATAAAAGTTTCTTCGGAGGTAGACGTCCTTGTGAGCGAGCTCTTGCTGAGCGTTGGTTGTAATGGTGACTTGCTGGGAGCCGATTTACGAGTAATAGTGCCTGGGCGACGAAGTACCTTGGGTGGTGGTTCGCGGGGCGGTGCAGGTTGGACGTCAATTTCTTCTGGAACGTAGGAACTTTCACTAGCATCATCTGGTATAGCATCCTCATCCGCAATGAGTTTCGAAGGTTCGACGGCAGCAGTCCCCATTTGATCAGCAATGTATCCTAGTGCTGCGTGAAAACGCCCAGGATAACTCTTGGTCTCTTCTAAGACGCAATCCGTTGCAATTCCGGCGGCGATAAAGTACCACTTTACCATAAGCGTAAATCGAGCCTTATCAGCTGGTTCGCAGGGTCCTGTGTTCCTAGGGTATGTCTTACTGAAAGGATGCAATAAACGCTGCCTGCCTGTGATCTCGGCAGACATTATCGTCTTGTGTCCGTGGGCACTCTCCGCGTAAAATCGGATCTCATGGAAGCCACGATGCTGTAGCAGCACCATGTACGCATATATGTCGTCTCCTGACTTTGTATGGCTTCCTATAAATAATTTCTTGGGCTGCGCTTCGAGAATATATGTCTGATCCACAAACTTGACATCTTCAGCATCAGGAATGTTGTCTAGAAGATACAACGAGTCGTGTTCATCGAGGAATTCTCGCAGGCGATGTAGATCCGGGTTTGCCTCATTGTTCCACCGATCTTGAGTTCCCATCGCAGAGCTCTGCTGCTCCACGAATGTGCTCCTGGATTTATTTGGCTCGCCATTTCCGCTATCTGATAGCAAGCCATACGCACTATCTCCATCTTCCGGCTCTGGACTTTCCTCCACAGTCCTATGGAGGAGCGGTTCTCCATTGGAAGTCCAGGACATCTTCCTCAACATCCTCGCGAATCGCTTGCCAAAATCGTCGTTCCAAGCATCAATGCTGCTTAGGTAGCCTCGCGACAGAAAGTAATACCGGACCACCATGCTAAGCACCCGCCTCTTGAACTTTGACCCGCAAACAAGATGCTTGAACGGTGCGACAAGAGGCTTTTGCAAGACTTCTTCACTAGTAATCTGCTCCGATGGCGAGGGCGGACTCTCATCGCCAATATGTTTCAGACAATAGCGGACATCCTTAGTGCCATCCCCACGTGGCAACAGATAAGCAAGCACGTTGCGGTTGCCTATGCTGCCAATCACCAGAATTGGAGGTTCCTCTCCTACTGAAGGTTCTATCCAGGTCATGGAACCTGCTGATGGCAGTGCATTGAGATAGGTATCGGCGCCGTATTTGGCCATCAGGATTGAAATAGCATGAAGGTTCATCTTTCGGGGATTTGTGGAGATGGAGGATTGCGAAGATGATCCTTCAGAACGAGTTTCCCGTGCGGCCATTGTCAGGTCAGTTTGTTAGGGAACACGGACCTTTGTTATTGCAAATGGCGCGGCGCGTCTGACCGTGCGCCGCTGGACGCTCCAGTCCCACACTCACAGCCTGTGATGAGGCATGCAAGAAAACGTTAAACCTCGCGCGAGCTCGTCTGCGTGACCCAGAATCCCGCGATGAAGAAGTGTCGATAACAAGGCTGAAAAGATGCAGCCCTGAAGGTCCCAGAAGCGTCGATCCTTCAGGGAAGGACCAAGCGGCCGGCTTGCACAAGCGAGAACACGTGCAGTGGCGTAGACGCGTACCCGACAACCTCCACGCGCCAAAAATGGTTGCATTAAAGGCATGACGGCTGGTGATTCTATGCATCAGCGTACCTGTGTTGGAGAGATGACAGATCAATGCAGGCGCCTCGTCATCCACAATTGTGACTTCACCACTAGGCCAGGGGTGTCTTCGTGGGCGGCTTCGGGAAGCCGGGCGTGATTGTCTTTGGAGTTCGGTTGACACATGGTGAGTTGACTTTGTGTGAAGACATGTAGACAGAATGTTATGATTTCAGGATAGCTTTATATCGGTGCCATGTGCAGTGAATATAGTTGTGTTCGAAGGCGCGGCAGCAACAATGATGATGCAGACATTTGAGGCGTTGAGGTCAAGACTTCATAATTGTAAACTGCATGCAGTGTACACTTTTCACTTCCTCGTAGCCATTGTATTGCCTGGCGGAAGGCTTCACTTCACATAATGTCGAGGTCGTGCGTCGCCACTGTTTTCAGCGTCTGACATTGATGCAGGCTAGGTTTGTACTTCAAGTGTGGCTGTACAAGTGCTTAAGCGTCATACCGGATTATACAGTGACTAGGTTGCAGGCAATTGTCTTGAAACTTGCTGGACATACAACGAAGCCTAGGAAACGTGTAGCTACGCATTTAGCAATCGACATCAAACAAGGACTAACGAGATAGCGTGTAGAAGAAGAATGAGGCCAAGATGCACAGAACAGTGGCCTAGGAAGAATCTGGAACCCGACATTTGGTCAAACTTTTTTTTTTTTGAATACGAATATCGCTGAAACGCTGAAGATGACAATACTTTCAAACTACTGATGCTGCTCCTTACACCGTTGCTGCTTCGCCCATTTCTTGAATTTGTCCTTTTTCCATCCACTCTTCCAAGTGAGCGTGCTGATTTCCCCGTCGATATTCAGCTTCTGTGGACCTTTGTGCGTTCCGAAGCGTATACTGCTGCTAAGATGGCACTTGGTCGGTGGATTGTCGTTCCAGTTATACTGGAGTATCGACGAGTAGGACCACTGGACGCAGTATTTGCTGTTGTCGCAGGACGCCTGGCATGCTTCTGGCGACTCTTCCCCATTCTGAGCCCGGTCGGCATCGGGTTGTTGGCCTTCAAAAAGTATGTTCCACCGTCCGTTGGACGATTCGGAGGATAGGTTGTCCCAGTCATCACGCGTGTAGTTCAGGTCCTCTGGGGTCATGAAGCGGTACCAAAGGTCAGCGAAGCGTAGGGTGGGTTGGTCAGAAGGTCGGTCCTTCTCAAGTCTGAGCAGATCGATGCCGAGGTCTGGGGTGATGTGGTGCATCATCAAGACGGGCTCGCACCATATAGCAGGCGAGAATGGCACGGTGCTCGGATCGAAGCCAGAGATACCTGGCCAAACAACAGTAAACTCAAGCTTGAGTTCGGCCTGCAGAGCGCTGGAAACGAGATCGAATGCTGTTGTATGTTCTGAGATGTGCTCCCGCCGCATTTGGATGAAATCTTTGCGGTTCTTGAATAACTCCAGCATGACCTGCCGCGAGAGAATAAAGGATGTGCCGCCGGCAGCGAAAGGGTCGGGAACAAGCGCCGTTGCAGGCGCTGGCGGGTTTCCGAAGAAATGCATTGCATCTGGGTCGTGTTGGCTCAGCCAGTCGAGCAGGTTTGGTCTGTTGACGTATGTCTCGTCGCCAGCGAAGACGTACCAGCTGCGGTCTGGTCGGTACTCCCACGCGGATGCCATAGTCTCCAGGATCTTGTACTTGTGCAGTATTTCCATGTCTCTCCTTTCTTCCTCCGGGTCCGGCTTCTTCAAGTTGGTCAGGGGTATGCTCCTCCGCGCGAAGTCGACCTGAGCACGGTATCTCTCCAGCTGCTCCGTCTTCTTTATGAATTCGGATCCGTACCGCCAGATGACGTCGAATACCGGCCACCTCCCAATCTCCGTTTGTAGGTCTGAGAAGAGCAGGAACGTGCCATGGTCTCGCTCGTCAGTGTTGAGGATGAGGGGTGCGACTTTGCTGTACACGTTGTTCGCGGTCGTGGTAACGGCGACGACGAGCTGGTCATGGTCGACTAGATATGGGCCGAGATTCGATTCTTGCTGCGGCCGCTTGCTCGGAGGGAGTTCTTCGTCGTCGTATGTGCGAGGCCATCCCTTGATCCAGAAGAAGCCGTATATGAGCAGGACGCTGAAGAGGAGGCGTGCCGGACGCGGCATGTGCTTCCGATAAGAAGACGACATGGTCGCTAGCGTCGGTTGCGTAGCATCTGTCAGCTTAGTAGCTAGAAGAGCAGACAAAGATCGATGTCGTAGATGTCCAGATGTCCAAAACGTGTTTCACCCCATCGCAATGGCCCGATGTCAAAAAAAGCGCGTTGCGAACGTCAGCCCGCACTCAGGGGATGCGACAAGCCTAGACCCGACCGAGACGCGCGTAGACATTCCTGGTGTGGCGCAGCCTTCTGGTCGCTGAGGAACACGCGTCGTGGGAATACGAGAGCAGCATGCCATTCAATACAACAAATATGATGGTCAGAAGATATCAGTTCCCTAAGACTTGAAATCTTATTGTAACAGACGCCCCATGAGGCGTTCCTGTCATCTTGGCGATGCATCGGAGGAAAAGCGGGCAATCTCCGACGGTGACGTCTGGCAGTTAGGGTCGAGCAACGACTACCTTCAATGCCTCCCTTTCTACCAGTCTTCCCAATCGCGAGCCGTCAATTCTGTTGATTTTCGTGATTCCTGTGACTAGAGGACCGAGGGGTCATTGGAAGACAACGATCGGCCAGCCCTTATACCCGGTAACCCCGCAGCGGACGCGCACATCACAGACCCAGCATGGCTCGGTCGATCGCATCCAAAGCGCTGCTGTTGCGAATAGAAAGAGAAAGTAAACGAGTTTGGATTCGGAACGCCCTGCTATGGGTAACGATGGTTCAGTACGGCATCATCATGTTCAAGGCCGGAAAGACTGCCGCTTTTACATGTAAAGCGTGCCGTACGATAAGTTGCACACTGACCTCAATATGTGCTGTGGTTGCTGAAAGGTGCACACTTTGCCAAAGATATCTACTGAAGGATAGCCAAATGTCTATCACTTCCAAATCTTCTTTTCGCTAGATTGAACCGTAAGCTAACAACCTGAAGAGCCTATGTTTCCGAGAGGGTAGCGGCAGCAACTGTTTTAGTCTCTTCTTCATCACAAGATCGACAAAGTACTTATGGGACGCAATCTCTAAATTGACAAGCGCGTTTGCATACTATCCATGCCAAGACTCAGGCAGGGTGAAAGGTATTTGTGATAGGTCAATCTTTACAGAAACTCGTCATTGTACAAGACGCCGATGGCGGATCAACGGAGAGTCGTAAAGTCAGTGTATATTCAGGGATGGTTGAGGAGGAGACGAATTGCTGCACTTTGCTCTATTCTGATGCATGCACCAGGATGGATGAACTACGATTAGCGTCACCAGCAGGCACGCTGCCTGAGAGGTGCTGTCGCGTTACCTGTGTCATCTCCTTTCTTCCGATATCTTCTGTGAAGCTGACCACTATATCTGAACATGCTTGAGATGAGAGGGGTGCGAATAGGTGGTTACTGGGGGAACTTGGTGAGAGTGAACTCTGTCTCGTAAAGCACGCCACACCATCAGCCCCACAACATCCCGAATACAACCTCACGTTCACCTCGAAAGCTTCTAAACTTCCGTGCGGCTCCTGTACTTATCTTGTGTATCCCAGATCTTCCGCTCGCCAACCCAGCACCATGTCGAGTTGTCGCCACAACAGCGCAACCAAGACAGCTGATCCGCTCCCTCAGCTTCAACAGCAACTCCGCATCCGCGACAGTCGATCCAGTATCCTGTCTCAGCACGAAGTTGACGCTATCTATGCAGCTGAGTACGGTGCGCAGCCCTTCCTTAATATACATCCTTTTCTCCATCATGCTAATAGTGTATCGCAGGTGAGCCTACCCAGCAAGACTGCAACGACTTCCTTTTGCTCTTCCTTGGTCTACACGAAGATATCATGGAATTACAAGGAGAGTTGCTTGAGATCACAGCAAGAGGCGCGGACGCTATGACTATAGCACCTTGTTTCTACGGCCGATTGAACGTCATCATGAAAGAACGAATCGAGACCCTTGCAAGCGGGAAGCCACTTAGTGTTGAGGTGAGCCAGTCACCTCATCCGCTAACCTACCATGGGACTTACATACTGTAGGGCTATCCTCTCACTTATCCAGGGCCGATGATGTTGCGTTGGGTTCGCGAGTATGACATTGCCATGCCTTCGTTATACGAGCATAAAGAGGGCTTGCTTGCGGCTCAAGTATGTCGTATCGCTGCTAGGTAATGAAACTTGCTTATTTTGAGCAGGTACAGCAGTCTTTGTTTGAAGCACCCACCACAAGTACCTCTACATCAACCTGTACGTCTCTTTCTGCAACACACGCTGAGACTAAGAATTTCACTACAGATGCAAGGAGGGCACGTAAATCTCGGCAGAAAAATCGCAAAACTGCTTGGCCGAGGTCTGGCAAGTAGGTCGTTTGGTGCTGAAAAGGAACTGGTAACGTTGCCTTCAAATGAAATGGCTTGGTAGAGGGCTTGTGACACCTTACATCAATGGATTAAATCACCTTTCCCTTGCTTTGTTGACGTACCTTCAGCGCAACTGATACGGTAGCCTGAACTGAGAAGCGTGCGGTTCTGCTTGGTTTCCAAATGTGGAATAGCGCGTTTGTTATTCAGTCACACTCACCAGGAAGCGACCACGCTGTCTTGTCAGTCATCTCTCTAGCGCTCTTACATCTTCGAGTATAATTTCTATGTCCGATTCGACATACTACTGTCTTCCGTTTGTCCTTTGGAGTTGACCTACCGCGTTACGTCATTCATGTCTTACTCGCCCAAAAGTACTTACCTTCCAGGTGAACGCAACACCCCACCAGCGGAGGCACCAAAGAGACGCACCGTCATGTCTATGAGCGAATTTCTGCACAGTGGCCCTTTAGACATACCAGCCAGTACACCCTCAGATGTTGGTGGCGGTGCGCCGCGCCTCTCAAGTCGCCTCAGCGACAGCCGACTGCGTTTCATCAAGAAGGTACCAATTGACCTCAGAAGCGATCTTTGCTCTCCGAGAGACCGAAGAGCGGCCCTTGCTGTGTATGACGAGGCTATTGAGAACATCAAAAACGGAAAAGGACATCATACCGACGTGGAGACAGAGGCCGAAGCCAAGATTGAGACAATACTGGGAATAAGAAGCGCAGCTCCGTCTCACCTTGTGTTCCGGAAGAACCTTCTCTTACCAATCGATCCAACATACGCAGAACCTCGCATAGAGGCCAGCGATGATACGTTAGGTTATCATGCATCCTGGAGATTACATGAATGGCGACAAGATGGTTGGCCAGGATTGTTCCCAGAAAGGGCCATTGAGAAAGAGAAGAGCATGAAAGGTAGCCCTAGTACGTGGCGCGAGCGGGACTGGTAGGGACAGCCGAGCGAGAGCTGGCCTGATCTGGGCGCAAAGACAATATAGTGAGTGGCTAGTATGACGAAGTAGCAGCAGGTGCGTGATTCATCTATGAAAAGCATTCATGAGACGTACGAATATTATGAGGTTGGGAGATTGTACCGCGGTAACCAAAGTCTAGTTCAAAGACTACAAACAACCATTGGTCTTGATATAGCGAGACGGATATATACCTGCGACATGCATGTTGGCAAAAGCCAGATTTCTAAATAGCATGGCAATGTACTATAGTGCCTCAGACCTCGACACTGTGTTTTTACAGAATACCTTTATCGTACCTGTATTTCCTAGTCATTCTTTTCATTCCATTATCTCGAAAATCTGAACATTTATTCACTTCAATCTTGCGGGAAATGATCAAAACTGCAAGAAGAAGAAATAATGTCAACTGATAAAGAAGACTGCGATAGCTAGAAGCTACAAAGTTTTGAGACACAAACCGAAGGCTGACGCGACTGACCAGATGGTTGGACAGATAGAGCTAGGGATGAAGCAGAGGCAAGGAGAAGTGGACATATTGATGGCGGAAGATGGCGGTTGGAACGAGCTTTGGCTCACAAAACACTTGAGGCAAGTTTTATTAGATAGGAATCAAGACCTATGGTCCACCATCAGCCTTGATCTAACCATGTTTCCTGCCCTATATTGGTGCCTACCTGTTATGTCTCCATTCTGCGGGCTCAGTGACCATTCACCATGATAATCGGTCCATCAATCTCGCCACAAACCCTCCTTTATATTTTGTAGAAGGGTGACTAACGTGCAGATGATCCTAAGTCGACCTACACTGCACTTATTCCCCCTTTCCTCCACGAGAACTTTCAATTTCAACTCCACCAGTTCCCGATCCACCCTTCAACTTCTCACCCGACCATAAAGCCCTCATTATATCGAATCATCCACCAATCACTCCCAAAACGACCATGATGAGCTCACTACAGCAACTTGCTGCTGCTGCCGCCGAGGCCCACTCAAGTTTCAACTCCATCCCTAACACGACTGACAACCGGGCTAGCACGTTCGACACCATTCCTGGGAACCATACCGAGAAAGAGCGAGAGGCTGCAGCCACGATGCTAATACTGAATAAGCTGGTTGTGTACCCCAAGGAAGACAAAGAGGCCGCATGTATACTGTTGGCCATGAACGAGCCGGGTCTATCCCCCGGGAGCGATAGCCAGCGAACGATTACTGATAGTGAGCGGACGATCAGTGTGACCCCAACACCTGTTTCGATACCACCTCGCTCGGTCACGTCACCCACACCCACTCCAGTAGCTACTCAGGTATGTGAGATCGCTGATGTGTTGCCAGATGCTACTGCGGTATCTGCATCGTCTCCACCAGTGAAGAAGATCTCACTGAAAGAGTATACAGCCATGAAGAAATCGAGGAGGGATCTAGGAGCATAGAAGGATGCCTGCGTTTTACAGTGATGTTTCAATCGTGGTAGCGGTGAAATTTGAACAGTGTATATATGGGGAACTGTGTTCAAGATGATGAACTTGATGTAAGATTATACTTAAGTATTCTGAAGCGCTACGCTGCCATCACATAGGAGGTAACTGCTTTTTTGGAGTGTGAAGGACCATGGGAAAGGTAGCTTATATCAAGGTAATCGAAATCTTCATACCAGTAAGATTTCGATTGCTGCGATAACGCAAATAATTGCGCTACGTTTATGATCTTGTCGCAAACAACCAAACAATCTAATGGTAGACAAAGCATCAACAGAAGAAGGAGCGCTGACAGCAACGACAAAGATGAACATTCAGAAAACTCGTATGGTAAGATCATCAAGGTGATTACGGTCAGTGGCCCACATTGAAAGATTGACCAGGGTTGTTGTAACGGCACGGACACGGGTGTATGGTGTTTAAACTTGGGTACAAGCACACCAATATTTTAGTCACATATCATTCTCTGGCGTAAAAAGGCAGTTTATTAGGCATTCGCTTCACCAAGTTTTATGAGCACATATGACAACGCAGGTGCCTCGTAGATCATGGACCGCAAAGACTTTGTATATTTGCCAAGTAACGGCGAACTTGGGCACACGTGCTACATGATGTATGGTAGTGAGGTTCAGTTCAAGATGTGCGCTCGATAGTAGTGGTCTCCATCTTGCCGTGCTCGGTAGTCGTTCCCTCGATGTGACCGTGGTTGACCGTCTTCTCAACAGCTCTGACCGCCTCGTCTGCAAGCTCCTTGTCTTCGAACACTGCATTGGAGTTAGCAATATCCCGTGAAATAATCGTCTCAATCTGTACTTACAGAAAGCAAGTTCCTCGAGTGTGCGGTTGTATGTCTCAGGGTACATGAAATACACGAACAAGAATTCAAAAGTAATCCATCCACAGTAGACAGCAAAGTACTTCCACTCGATAGCGTCAAGCGCAATCGGGTTGACGTAGATAGAGAAGAATCCGGCAAGTTTTCCAAACATCTGTTCAATACCAATACCCATGGTTCGCTGAGCATACGGGAAAAGTTCGACCAGGTAGGTGTACGTGAGGGAGTTGTTGCCGATGTTGTAGCAGGGGGAGTATGCGAAGTAGAATATGAGCGAAGCAATTTGCGCAGGTTGGTTCTTGGTTCCCTGAGACTCAGCAAGCTGGAGACGCTGGAAGGAAATAGTCATTGCCATAAAAACCATGGTCATAGACGCAGCGGAAAGCATGAACATCCAGCGACGACGGAATCGAGTGACAACCAGCGCGATAACGACAGCATTTATCAGACTCCAGCATTGGTTGGCGATGTTGATGCGCGTTTTTGCGAATTGGGAGGTGTAACCCATCAACTTGAACAGGAGATTTTGGTAGTAAGAGAGCAAAGTGTTACCACTCATCTGCGTAAAGAGACCGAGGAAGCACGAAATGAGAACACGACGTCGCATACCAGGCGTGCGGACCATGTCTTTCCAAGAGCGACTGGAGTGTTCCATCTCGAGTTTGATGGTAGATCGGATCTGTGCCATCTCTGCTTGTACGAGGATGGATGTTGGGTCGCCTTCGGCGTGGTATTTTGTTAAGATGGCGAAAGCCTCATCCTCGCGGTCACGGCTGACAAGCCAACGTGGGCTCTCAGGTAGCAGGCTGTCCAAGTCAGTAATAGTTTCCCAGATTTTTATTGAGAGACGTACAAGACGGTGCAAATCTGCAGGACCGACGGGCAGATCTGCAGCAAAGATGGTGCACGCCAGCCCCAGTTTCCAACCATCTCTGTTGTTTTGATAGAGATAGCCGCGGCAAGGATGGATCCGATGAAGTAAGAAGCGTTAAAAAGTGAGGTCATAAAGGGTCGTTCCTTGGGGTAAGCTAGCTCTCCGATCAAGGAAGAACCAGAGACGATCGCGAAGAGGATACCAAAGCCAAGTAGCATACGCGCAATGATGTACATGCCAACTTGAAATATGTCAACAAAATCGTCATGAAGTAGCTAGCGGAGTTGTGGACATACTGTGTTGAGCGAAACCTTGCAGCAAAGCACCAACGACCATGATGACGGAGCCGACAAAGATGGACATACGTCTGCCGTACTTTTGGCTCAGCCATGGTGCAACCGGAACAGCGAGGATGGAGCCAAGTTGGTAACATGATGACATGAAACCAATGATTTTGGGTTCGATGCTGGCTTCACCATCTGCGTCCTTGTAGCCATCTCCAAAATCTGCGACTGTCAGCTCCATTGAGCTAGGTGCCACCACATTCGTAGCTTACATGTGTTGAAAGGGACCGAAAACTGGAGCGTGCCAATGAGCTGAGAATCAAAGCCGGAAGTGATTTCGACGCCCATGCAGCAGCAGAAGAGCCAGATGTACATGATGCGCAGATTCGGTTTCTTCCACCATCGCACCTTGTCCTGCTCCACCATGCGGGTGATGATGGGGTCGGAAGTACCATCCTGAGCTTTGATGAGACCCATGATGCCGGTGTTGAAGCGCTGAAGGCTGCTTGAGGCCGGGCAGGCTGGGGGTATACCCTTTATAATTCGGCATGGCCAAAGGACTATCCACTACCCCGGCTCTTTACCCCAGATACTCCGTAGCCTAGGTAGGCTAAGGCGGAGAAGGCGACCGTATTACCGAACCAGCATCTTATATTGGGTAAGCGTCACGGCGCGTTGGCTGCATATCTTGGCAGCCGGCTAAATAGGGCTTGCTCCCTCCAATTACCGGGTTGCATTCCTACCGAACAAGGCTCTGAACAGCCCGAACAAACGCCTTGCTGCTCGCGAGCGCATCTTTGAGCCTGTGTTTAACCCGTTTCTTGGTACATGATCTGTCCTCATGTTGCACCTTGGAGTCGCAGTAGCACGTCGAGCTAGATAGCGTCTACTCGTACCTGCTGGTCAGCACGGCCAGGATACATTGACCCGACACCCTGGATCTCGAATGGTGAATTGAGAGGCAATATTGCCATACTCGAACGATTTTCGGGCCTGGCTCTGAATCGATGGATAGTAAGACAATCAGTGTGTCAGACTTTGCCCTGAGCCGACTACGAGGACGGGACGTGAAGGTTATATTCAGTGTCATGGTGCGAACGAAGAGGTGTCGGCGCATGATAACCCAGATGTGCCCGCACTAGGCGGGACTGCGAGTAGCGGTAAACGATAGCTTGAGAACGGCAAAGACTTGTAATGTACGTGCCGAAGCGACAGGTGGGGTTTCATGCGAGACCATCATGTTTGGGAGGTGTGTAGGAACGTCAGCATGGCAATCAAAATCGTATAAACCCACACCCAACAAGACCAAGCCCGTAGCTTCAGAGCTTGTGGTACAAAGGTCCGTGTGTACACATTCCGTCAACGGGAGGCGTAGGATTGCTCCGAAAATGTAAGCGACGCAGATAGAGTGACCAGGCTACTGAGACCTTGCCGGGATAAGTTAGCCCCCAATGCAGGGCAATCATGATGTTGTGGTGGGCGCTTCATCAAGATCCAACATTATGAAAGTGTCGGGCGTATCGCAACCCGGCTAAGCGGTACTTAGAATTTGGCAATCCAACAAGGCATACTCGGTTCCTTCGAGATATGTTCATTGTGAAGTTTTTTGCAGACCTGAGTTGAAGCCTTCTGGAAGTCAATGGAACGGCAGTCGTGAGTGTGAAGTCGGCCAAGGCAGCTACTATCAAGCGCTGGCTTCGTTCGTGATTCGTATGGAGGCATGCAGCAGGGCACAATGACTAGCATCGGGTAGCGCGTCGCTATACCGTACCCCGAGGGTCAGTGATGAGAGGCAGCGAAAGACGCATGGGTTTCTGCGGAAAGAGTACAGCAAGAGTCGATGATTCCAAACGCTGGTCGCCAGTGTCGCTAGCCACAGTATGGCGAACGTCTATCGTAGCTGCCCTCGATCCGTCGCCGTGACCATTACGAAAATTTCAGTTGAAATCTGAAACGAAGTCATCGGAAAACGATTTTCATTACGCGAAATGCTTTAAGAGCTCGAATCATATGAGTAGTGGTGTCAGGAGCTGGACGCACCGCGCAAAACACAAACGTCGTGCTGGACATTACATTCTGATCGGAGGCATAAGAGTAGGAAATATTTGGGTATCATTGGGTACAAGGTCAATGCCTCGTTTGTGCCGTCATGCGCACCAGTTGATGGTTGTTTAGACGCCAGCCATGTTGGGCGCAGGAGCGGTGTCATTCCTGGGTGAGCTGCGGATGTGCAGCGCGGCAAGAACAGTGGTAGCTACGAAGGCAAGCCTGTCATATGTCAGTACGTTGCTGGGAGGGTAGAGAAAATTCGATATACATACCAGTTGAAGGCTGAGAAAACGATAGCAGCAACACCGCAGCTGTAGAAGGTGCCGTGACGGCCGACCCACCACGCGTTGCCCCACCGAGAGGCTACGGCGACAAAAGCCGCGAACCAGAATATCATGGTCAGGAACTCGACACCTCCGATGGCAAACTTGTGAGCTGCAGCAGGGAAGCGAGCTGGCGCAAGGACGAGGTATGCAACAGCAAGGAGGGTCCAGATGGAGGTGAAGAGCATGAAGGCGACGCTCGCCGGGACCCAGTCAATGTAGGCATCGACAACTGCAGATGTGTTAGCAATGACATATTCAGCGATGGTCTGCATGCAACATACTGTAGGCTGTAAGACCCAGGACGATGATGCTGAAGACGACCTGTACGCCACGCAGGCCTAGTACAAGGGCGGGAGCGACCATGTTGATGTGATGGAGGCGCTACGGCTACGCGATGGATGGCTGCAGGGGACTACGGGCGGGTAGGATGGAATGTGGCTGCAGATGGTCTTCACTCCCGAAAGTCGAATTTTGGGCTATTGCTGTAGGCGGAGGTTTGTGTAGAGCGACTTGGAGAAGGCTGCAAAACGGCAGCAGCCTGGTTCTTTATGCCTTCACACAGCCTGCGAGCGATGATGCTGCCACGACCCTCGCCCTTCTTGATTTCCCTGAAACCGACGTCACCGCCCAGTGGCGCATGATCAGGATGCCACCTGTGCTGCTGCTCATTGGTCAATCGCCGTCATCCCAGCCCTTAGCGCCAGTAGTGATGCGACGCGTTGCACAACCTTCTCGCATCTTCTCGTCTTTGTCCTGGCCTTGTCACCCCACGATTCATTCAACTTGTGCCTGTCTTCCCTCTAAAATATTCTGTAACTTGACAGCTTTATTTTCGGACGCGTTGGGCCCTTGTTTCAACGCCAAAGTCCTTCAACCGGTGTTTGGGCCGCTTCGTCAAACATATGTGGCGGTGCACGGTTTCATTTTTACAGCCTGCGACGTGACGCGGCCAAGGATAGGCCGGAGTATCGGCAGGTACAGCGCAGCGCAGCGCAGTACCACGCACACACCGTATACTACAAAGTCAAGTCCCTAGTATCTGAGCATTCACAACACACTGCACTACACATGACTGACAATGAATCGACGCATGTGTTTGACAATCTTCACAATGCGAGATGCATCAAACAAAAGAGTACAATTCTCTCTCCATTCTCATCTAGGTTCTCAAGTACACACTGACGCATCTCTTCGCGGCGATACGAGCAGCGAAAAGCTATGTCTCGTCTCGTCGAGTCTCCACTAATTTCTCCTTCGATTCTCATAGACTCTGAGCTGAACATAGCCACGATATCGCGTCATGATAGCATTGATTCGGCGCAGGACTTGGAGATCGCCGAGTTGAGGAGACAGATCGAAAAGCTTCAAGCGACAGAAACCAGTCTAATATGGCAATGCGATGAGGCATCTCGAGAACTGAAAGCTTGTAAGCGTGACCTCGCCAAGGAGAAGCAAGAGGCGCGTACTTTTGCTGGTAAGTTGAGCAAAGAGAGCCGAAACCTTGGCGCCCTCAATGAGGACATGGTCACATTGCGGAAAGATACTGAACGCCAGGTTTGCGACATCGAGTCAAAGTTGGAACAGGAAAGGAAGAAGCGAGCCAAAATCCAGCAAGACGCCAATAGGACTATCACAGAGTTACGCTCCGAACTTGACGCAAAGCAGTCTGTAATCAAGAATCTACAAGCTTGCATTCCCGACAAGAAACGCCAACTTCACGTTGAGCAGGCCAAGATTGGGGCCATACAAGCTACTGCCTACCGTCCTACTGGCTCACTTGCATGTAAGCCCAGTAGTCATGATGCAAACCCTTATCAACCTAGCCATGTGTCCCACCTCCAGGACACCATCAAGTACCTTCAGAAGGAGAACGCTCGCCTCCAGAATATACACCATGAGGATGGCTGTGAAGAGTACAGAAATTCCATCTTTCACCAACTTGAAGATGCGAAAGGACTGCAGGCTGCCGCCGAGGCAGAAACAGAAGGTCTTCGCCATCTCGCAAAAGCCAATGCTGACCTGATGGAGGAAAATGTTAATAATGTGGAAAGTATCAAGGCACTGATACAGCAGACTGACAGCTACGGCGCTAAAGTTAGGCAGCTTCAAGGAAATACCAAAGAGCCGCTCGCCAAAGAGCACTTCACTTCTGGCATGATCAAAGATGCCGACGCCAATCATTACTTGAACCAACTTTTGAGCTTTTCCGCGATCACATATCTTGACACTGTTCCTGTCGCTCCCAAAGATAACGAAGTCGAGATTGCGGGATACATACACCGTTTGCGCGCCGCCGAGCTGCAAATCCAAGTTCTCAGTTCAGATCGCAACATTCCGCCTGAGCCGTGTACTCCGGTGTATCCAACATCAGCTGCACTCGGGCTCTCAACGCTCTTTTTCTTGGCATCGGAGCCTGAAGCAGCTTCATCGATCAGATCTTCGCTGGAAATTTCTGATCTGCAAACCGTCTCGACAACGCCGCGTACGCCTGTCCCTACGACCAACCCATTAAACAACCCTGCCTTGCTAGCTGGGCTTGAGGATCTCGGTAAGTCAATCATGAGTCTCAGCACTGTACCATCTCTCAAAGGAGTGGTCCAATCTTCCACAAAGCTGCAGGTTACACCCCTCCCCAATGTCGCCCTGACAATCAATATCCAACCTACCGATAAGCGCAACTATTCGTTGCTGCAACGCGTTCAAAGTGCAATCTCTGCGACATCGTCTCTCGATATCCACGGTCCTAAAGAATATGTTAAACAACTTGTAGCTAGCATGCACGACGCCGAGGCGGATCATGCCGAGAAGAGCAAACTTGTTGTACAGTTGGAAATGGTCTCCAAGCAGTACCTTGCAGATATAGACGTTCTAGAAGCACAGGTTCGAGATAGAAGGAAGTGCTTAGATCCCGAGCATCGCATAATGGCTGATGAGCTCGAGGCCAAGAATGTGCAATTCGCTATGCAGGAGCAGCTGCTGGCCGATTGGGGAAGACGGACTGGATGAGCGAGGTCTTTCTGGCTTCGCCCCCTAGGAATGATTTCATGGGTTATTAGCATGGCAATTTCATTTCACACCTCATCTTCGCCATTGGGGATTGGATCATCTTCTCATTGTGATGTCATTGTTGTAGAGGTCCGTGCGTGACTACGCATCTCCAACGCAGCTGCCTAGCACATCATCCTTCGTAAGCGCACAGCAACGATGTGTCTCTTCGCCCCATGCAACGGCACCGATGACTACTCCTTTGGAGTCTCAGACTCTCCTTTGTTCGTATAACATCACTTGATCGTGTCAACGTTGCGTGTCGTTGTACAGCGACACATCACCCCGTCAAACAGCTATCTCGAGTGATCGAATATGGCGTCCTCATCCTCACCTACAATCCCGATGATGAATTGCTCGCGCTTCTACTTCGAATGGAAAGGCCACCCTATCGACGACCTGGCTACCTTTCGTACCATCACACTCACAGAACGGCCTGGGAAGCCAATCCTATACCTGGCTGGCGATTCATCTCTCGATAATAAGTACTGGGTTGATAAAAGAAGCCCCATAGTCCCTTCTCAGCCACCAGATATATATTCCCAGGCGTTCAAGAGCCCTGTTGTCCCAAAGCCAGATGTTGCGTTTTGGCTGAACAATTTGCTGAAGGATCGTGCTACATGCATCAACACTGCAGTGGAAGAGTCGATGCTTCGAGATCGAGACGAAGCGCTGATGTCTCACGATGAGTTCATTCGCGACAACATTCAGTCCAACGACGTGTTAATTGTCAGTGTTGGCGCCAACGATGTCGCTTTAAAACCAAATTCCTCGACGATCCGCCATATGCTGCAGCTCGCCTGGCTGACCCCTCGCAAGAATCTGGAGAACGGTACCGCAGGGGCATTGAAATATTTCAAGCATATGTTCGGTACAAAAGTCGAGAACTACGTCACCCGTCTCACCACTAAAACGAAACCTCGTGCTGTAATCGTCTGTATGATATACTTCCCACTCGAGTCGGGCTTGGGACAAACTAGTTGGGCTGATGCGCAACTTAAGGCACTGTATGTGTTGCTGTGCAAAATATGCATGAGACATGCACTGACATCGTACACCCACATATAGAGGATACAACTCATACCCTGGTCAACTGCAAGCAGCCATTCGAGCGATGTACAAGATTGCGACAAAAGAAATCCGAGTCGATGGTACGGAGGTAGTACCCTGCGCACTACATGAGGTTCTTGATGGCAAGAGCGTTAGTGATTATACAGCCAGAGTTGAGCCAAACGAATCGGGCGGAAGGAAGATGGCCGTCAAGTTCGTTGAACTCCTGGACGAGATTATACAAAAGTAACACATATCGATGTCTCTATGATAGAGAGCCCTTCCAACCCTTCGAATGCAACCAGATGCCCTGTCATTCTACTTGACAGGTCTGGGTTTGCCCTAGTGTTCTTTTCTGGCGCTGCATAGGACCTCATCCAGCTATACTGCTATACAGCGACGCTCATCTGCTAGCCTCTCTAACCTGGATCTCTTTCTGTTCGCCTCGCGAGGCAGTTCATAAACGAACTATTGTAATAATCTTCTTACTTAGGCAGAGAAGTACTGCCGGCTCTCATGATCCGATACATGGACGATTCTGGATCGAGCTTTATTGCCAGTTCAGCGTTATTATACCATAATCAACAATCAGGACCTAAAGAATATCTAATTTCATCCTCACATCAATAGTGAACTAGAACGGTTGAATAAGTCTCTTAGCTTCCAGAGACTTTCAACTCTCACGGTTCCTAGGCTTCTAATCCTACAAAATTGATCTCTTCATATCCCTCAGTCTTCCACCATGTGACACCGGAAATGGATAGAATACTATCATAGGTTTTTGGTGACTCTTTCACTAACACTTATTGCCTGACCTTCACTCCTCTGCCTCTTTCTGATGTTTTCTAAGCATGGCTTCGGAGTTCACATGCGCGAGCCGTAATTTGTGCAACCACGACTTCTCCTCTTCGACCTTTTTGCTTTGCCCTTCATAAGCCAACTTGTATTTCTCAACTTCCTTCCGCATCGTTTCCAGTTCTCCATGGAAACGATGGTTACTTGCAACTTCCTCTGTCTGGTCAATCTCCAAAACTGTAGTCTTGTTTCCATGTGCTCGTTCATCCGAGTCAACTTGGCTGCAAGAACTATCCGGCTTCTTCTCCGCCTTTGACGATGCAGCGACATCAACGTGTTCTGGCCGACTATCCGGTGTACTTTGGCTGGCAACATGGCGACAGAGTTTCTCGAACCATAACCAAAAGTTGTACTGGAAATTCTCCGTCGCCGTAGCATGACCTTGCACCAAGAGACAGTAGCGGAAAAAGACACTTAGCATTGTCAGGTGCTCGTGGTCTACCCTTGTAAGGATAGTAGAGAATGGAGGGGCGAATTCAAAACCATGCTGCAGTCTGGACAATACTTCGTCGGTATCAGAGATTATGATTTGCGGTCGGATACCTGTATTGGATAGCGCAGAGCGATCGTTCAACAAAACGGTTCTGTCACCCTCTCCCCAGTGGATTTCTAGGTGTTCCGATAGCGCCGATTGGGGCTTCGAGCCTTGTTTGGATTCTTTTGGCCAACCCAAAACCGAAACGAAGTGACCAGGTGCCCATTCGTGAAATTTGAGCGAGGCGATATTTAAGAGAGCTTGTAGCTCACCGGGAAAATAGCTGAGTGCGTAGACATGTCCTTCCGCAAGACTAGATATCCTGCTCATGTGTTCGAATTTGAGCGAATGGTAGTCGAGCGCATCTGCACACTGCATTGTAGTACCGGTGGTCTCGGCCGCCATGTTGATGTATGTCCTGGTAGATCTCAGCTTGGAATAGATCTGGCTGGGCGTTCAAATGTCGTGTTGGATTGAGAGTACATTGGTGAATGTACCAGAATGCAGACGGATGTTAAGTCGCGCAATCGTCTAATTGTTTGTCAGGGCCCGTGACCGTTCACGCGTATCGTCACCGCTCAGCCTGCCCCAATCTAGTTTCGACTGAATCTGCATACGACTCTAGATTTTTCAATACCCTGTCAACAGCCCCGGAATCTCTGCAACCAAGGAGAAACTCTGCAGCGCGCCTGCCACGAGGAGCCATCGCCTACCCTGTCAAGCTCTTGGAAGCTCGTCTACGCACGCCTCCATCAAAATCCGGGGACGACATGTTCTCTAACCCGCCTGTCACTCTCAGTAAAACCGGGCCGTTGTTGCCAGACACCAAGATACCAATTTTGAAGCCTCCGAAACCACTACAAGTAACCTCCGCTTCGACCTTTGCTCCTTATCCTCCAATGTCACCTCGTTCCGTGTCTCCTTTCACACGCGGAGCTCAAATCGCACTCGAAAACCTCCTGTCAGACCACCAGTCTGATCCTCTTGCCAGTTTGATCGATTTGGTAGAAGAACTGGATGACACAAGGCCGATCGTGAACGATTGGGAGCATATTACTGTGATGAAAGGGGGTAGTTGGATCTATCAAGTGATGCGCGATGTTTGGGAGGGGACTGCAAATGAAACAGATGATGAGGATGACGAGATGAAGGATGAGGAAATCGATATTGAGTGTATCTTGGTGAAGGTTGCGGAATGCGTTGAGAGAGAGATGGAGGGGTTGCGTGGCAGTGAACAGGTATAGGCTTGGAGATTCGTGATTAGTGCGGGAGAGGTGACGAAAATTGAAGCGCACGTCATACTAAGTAGAAGGATACAGAGTTGATCAAGGTTGTCTTATACTGTGTATCAAGATTGTTCAGGCCAGCTGAGAACCAACCCTGTGTATTGTGTAGTTGCTTGCGAGGCTTTTTCGTCCATCCGCCTTCTACAGCACTGATCTCGAATATCAAGGCGTGAACCTCGTGTCTGCCATCTTAGTTTGCTCTTCTTGTGAACTTCAAGTGTAATTTCTTGGCTATCCATGCTCGAGCTTGCCACATGTGCTATGGATGTGTTCTTCGGTAATCCTATGTGTTCGTCTTGTCTTATTATTCTCATGTCGGAGCCGACCGCTTTCCTGCCATGGAACGATCCAGGCGCGGAGTATGCCTCGCGCGAAATTGTGATGGGTGCATAGACCATCCGGGGCGTTAAGGATCTCTGGGGTGAGGATGCGAATCTGGGCCCGCGTGGACTCTTGCTTTACAATCGATAACAATGCCCAATCCGACAGCCACTGGACAAACCTGCAGGACGTGATCGACATGATCGACATGCCAAAAAACTTCCAAACGCGGAAACCAAGCCGGAAGATGATGTTTCCAGCGGAACGGAGGACGTATTGGGTCATCGCGAATCGAGATGTCCGCCACCCAACCGGGTTGTTGTCGGCTCCACATCGCCTCGCATTCGTATTCGTACATCATAGCAGTTGGAATAAGACGAGTCGTGTGAAATTTTCTGAGGTGTTTTTGTGAGCGCACATTGTCTGCGCCGCCTCAGTATGTCTGCTGCAATTGAGGTGGGCGGAAGAGTTGATGACTCTGTTCGATCATCATCTCGATGTTCTTTGCCTCGTTCATCTCGAAGTCATGCATCAACTCCATCTGTTGCTGCTGGTTGAGTCCAGTGCCCCTGGCATCCTGACTCCAGGCCGGATTGAGATAGTCTGCCATCTCATAACCCTGGTTTGCCGCATAGGCCTCGTTGTAAAATGGCGAAGCCATTTGCATGTTTGCCATGTTGTAACCATCTTGCGCCGGCATCGTGAATGTTGGGTTCCACTGAGGTAGCTCAGCAAAAGTTGTAGGTAGAGGCGCGAATTGAGCCGTAGGTGCGTAGCTGTATGAGGGTATGCTGTTCTCCATGGATGTCTTTGGACTTAGTTCATTGTATGCCATTGGTGGAGCTTGCTGAGGTGACGTCTGCAATCCAGCTTGTTGCGCGCTCGGCGCACTTGAGAACGGATTGGGCGGATTTGAGAGGCCGTTGGTAAAGTTGAAGAGCTGTTGATTATGTTCGGGTAGGAAGCCGAAGGGCCCTGATACCTTTTCGGAAGGTGTCCGTACCGACGAGGTAGACGCCGTTGCCGGGCTTGTAGTTCGCGATCGGTTGATACCGTCCACAATATTGCCAGTGCCGACAGATGCAGTGTCAGATGGAGAGCTGGCTGAGATGGGAACGTCGCCGTCCTTGTCGAAGATCTTCATGCAAGCAGATATCAAGTTGTAGTACAGACCAATAGCAGACTGTACGCCGGGCCATCTTTCGGAAGCTTGTCTGATTGACTCCATTGCCACTTTTAGGTGACCCTCTACTTCCTCGCGGCTATGACGTCTTCGCACTTCAGAGTATGACAGTGTCCAGAGCATGGTGTTGATGCACATGAAGATGGACTGCGTAAAAATCCATGTGACATCGACACTCTTGGTCTCAATCTGCTTCATGGTCATGTAGATATTGTATTGGCAAGCATCGTAACAGCGGATGGCGGCGTCCAGGGATGGGCGAGGAACTTGTGGAGACGGACGGTACATGAATACGACCATGGTGTTGTATCGACCAATGAACCTAAGCGACTTAGTTAATGTACCATGCATGCCGACGCCAATACTTACCAGACCTTGTTAAGTCCCGATCCGCCGTCCATCTCAGGACTTGTATCTCGCCAGGCCTCGATCTTCGACAGCATCTGAGCGAACCAGGGGTGCTGGTCGTCTTTGGGTTCGGGTTTCTTTCTTTGATAGAGCATTTTGCGGATCTCTAGTTGCAGCAATCGCATCTTGTAGAAATGTATTCCAATCCACTTCTTGAGCGATGCTTGAGGTGCAGGCTTAATTCCCTCCCTAGTGATGTAGACATCGTCGACAAGCTCGCCAAAATTCACATCGATGTGTTCTCGTCGTGTTGCGAAATGGGCAGGTCTTCCTAGACTATGCGACAAGCCGTAATCCATAGTCAGTATACTCCAAAACAACCGGCGACGCATGTCGACTTCGAGTGGGTCTGCAGAGCGTCCGCCAGGGCCCATGCTGATTGTCTTCTCCTCATGTAGGCCGAGGGCTTGACACAGCCGTACACCAAGACCGATGATGTAGTAAACGGCCGTCCTCGTTGGCGTTAGGAGTGAATAGCCTGCAACCAGGCCAAAACACTGCAGGGTCTTGAGATTCATTGGCTTGATGGCAGCCTCGAAGTATTTGAGGGCTGCGAGATAGTAGCTATCAGCGAGACCGGCATACTGTGTATCCATCTTCTGCAGACTGATGGCGATGACCATGCGCAGACAGTAATTCTGGTAGGGGTCGGTGGAGCCATTATAAACCTCATCGACGTCTTTGGTGAAAGTTGGCTCGTGGAAGATTGGATACATGGGGTGCACTAATCAAGTCAGTTGGTGTATGGGTCATAGTGAGACAGCCGTACGCGCCTTTGCAGTAAAACAATTCTACCAGTAGATTGGTCAGATCTCTGTTGGGAAGCTCTTCAGCAGCGACGTCGCTGACCATGGGGTAAATTTTGGAGGTGGGTCGCTGGTCTTCCTGGGCGAAGGTGTCCTTGACATTCTTTGCTTCGGCATGTGGCACAATCTCGGATATGCTCTTGGACTCTGTGAACTGCTTGGCCAGCTGCATGACCAGGCGGGTGATTGTGATTCCACTTGAAGGTCCCAGGAATTTGGACTCGTCAGAATCCTGGACACGGACTGTAGCGGCTCCGCGCATCACATCTTCAGGGTCCGGCTCGACGTCGTCGCGCTCGAGATCAGCCAGCTGCTTCTCGAGGTCGCGCACCTTTTGCTGCAGGTGCACAACATAATTCCGGGGGATCTTGCGTCCCTTGGTGGGGTCATAGTACTCGCAGTGGGAATTGGTGCGCTCGCATGGCCCGCATCGAGGGAGTCCGGGATCGCATCTTGTCTTGCGCTGGGCCAAGGTCAGTGGACAATTACGTAGCCGGCGAGACGGGAGAGGGTGCTTACCGTCCGGCAGCGACAGCAAGCTGTGAGGGTGTGGGCGATGCGACTCTGGCCCGTGGTGGTGGTTCCTTCCTCAGGCGGGTGCGGGGCCCCTTCCGTCTTGGTGTGTGTCGCAGTCGCGACTTCCATCGCTCGTCTCTCACCAGGCGGGCGGACAAGGCGAGGACGAGGGAGCTGGCTTATGATGCTCGGCGGCCTGGGATGTGGGGGAGATCGCCGCGCACGTCCATGCCCGAGAGGTTTGTCGCGCCGGCGAGGAGTGGTCCTGTGCTCTCAGTTCGGAGAGAAATGTCGAGGCGGAGATGGGGGAGAGTCGAGCATACGACAGCGGCACCTAGTCGACGGGACAGCCAAGCAGTCACCTTCGGAGAGTCGACCGGCACGACTTTCTTGAACCAAAAAGAACAAAGCGCGTCGTCGTCGTATGGGCCACAAAAAAACGCCTGCGCATTACCGAGCGTCCCCAATCAGGCGGCGCAAAAAGGAAGACGAAGCATGACACGCCCCGTCGTTGGTGCGGCGTAGGCTGATGTGGTGACAGGCCGAGAACGTGTCCAAACTCTGGGAGCCGAAAGACTGACGTGCAGCGTGGGCATCGTCCGCAACGGCGCCCTGATAGGCTGCCCCTTCTCCCAGCACCCGCTCTAGCACTTGCCTATCTTCATCTCGTCGCTCGTGTCAGCGTCACAGCTGTCCCTTTCTGCATTGTCTTCTTGCTGTTCGACTCAGCGGGGCAACACCGCCGTCTGCTGCCTCCCAATTCGTCCATACAGCCGCGGCACTGCGACCGTCAAGGGTTCAGCGAGCCCGCTACGCCACCCGTCAACCCGCTCAACACCACGAGAGCGCCAAACCACCATATCCATCGCTTGCTGCACCGCCTTTTCGGCAACCTGGTCCGCGGAACGCATTTTCTGCATCGCCGCGCTATTCCCACAACGTCGACTCGACCGAGCCTGGTAAGTACCGTCCCGTCTCGTATCAGTCGTAAGGCGAGGCACCTCTTCACTCCACTGCCACCCTCACCATGTAGTCTACATCCATATCCATGCATTGTGTCTAGTGCTCTTTCCGTTCAGTCCCTGCGCCTGTTCTTTCCATGTCATCCTCTATTTGACTACGTCTCGGATGGTTATCCACTCAGCGTCAGGTGATCGTGCGATGCATACTTACTTGTCCCATGATAGCAGGAAGATGGTGCTGGAAACGCCATTATTACGGGTGAGCAGGCCAGTCGCCGCTTGTTCGCGATGTCGAGCAGCAAAAGTCAAGTGTGACGGTAAACTGCCCGCATGCACAGCATGTGAAAAGTCCAATCGGGCCTCAGAGTGCTCGAGCACCAACGACCAGTTTGCAAGAGGCAAGGAAAGGAGCTATGTCGCGACTCTCGAGTCTAGAGTGGAGAAACTAGAGAAGAAGATACATGAAGCCCGTGCGAGGCGCAAGTCTTCTGGCGTTCTGATGTTGGACATGTCTGAGAACTCGACCCCACGTAGAGCATCCGTCGATACCGTAAAGGCGACGAGACCCATCAGCAAGAGGGCTGAGAGACGTAAGGAAGCCTCGGAAATCGACGAACTCGTTTCAGATTTTGGTCTCCTGTGAGTGCTACCCATTAATTTCGGTGTGTTGTACTAACGCTCCAAGCGCCGTGAATGCTACAGCAAGAGACTTCTATGGCTTCACAACAGAGATGTCTTACGCCCGCTTGATTCGATCGGCCAGCGCAAAAGAGCCACTCCCAACCGGCTTGATCAAAGCAATGCCTCCAAAATTCGCAGCAACACCACTGATTCAACATTACTTGAATAACATCTTTACCTTATGGCCAGTCTTTGAGGAAGCTACTCTTTACTCTTCCGTAGAGGCCGTCTATTCACAAGGCGACAATGCAAAACCCTGGGATCGCTGGAGTGTGCGTATGGTTTTGGCTATCGCCTGTCTCTCCCAATCTGAATCGAGGGGTGATACACATTACTCTGATGCTGTTGGCCACGTGAATGCGGCTCTTGAGAATGCCGAAGATGTACTACATCCTGGTTACGTCTCCAGTATTCAAGCTTTGATACTCTGGACCATCTACGCCACTATGGATCCCCATCATTTTGACAGTTGGACACTAGTCGGCGCAGCTTCCAGAGCGATGGTAGATCTCGGCATACATCAAGATCCATCCAAGACTGTTGCAATGTCACGGCCGAAGCTAGAGATCAGGAGAAGAGTATATTGGTGTGTATACTCTTTGGATAGGCAAGTCCATGTTCCCTCTTCTCCTTCTTTCTCGCTAACCGTCCCGTAGATCGACGTCGCTTGTTCAGACTCGCGCCTTTTCATTCTCGGATGAGGCTGCGAATGTCGGCTTTCCGTTCCACAACGCTTCCATCTCGCCAAAGTTTGCTTCACCAACATCTCAAGTCTTCCAACAGTCTTTCGATACAGCTGTCGATCTCTTCAGGATACGAGAGATTCAGTCAGAGTGGTATATGGACCTCTTCCAATCTGGACGGGAGCCTTGGCAAGAGCCATATCAATACATCTGGAAGCAGTATAACAAGATGTCAGAGTGGTTCCAAGACATGCCTCAGAGTACTCTTCCTGCCGTGAAGTCATTCTTCGGGCTCGAACTTCTCTACAGCTACGTCTATATTCTCTCGCCAAGCCCGCGGATACCTCATATTCACGAGTATGCTCAGCGTTTGATTTTCGAACATTGCATTGCATACGCTACGAACCTACTCGCCATACTGGACAAACCTTCCAACACTGTCAAGCCTCCGGTCACCTTTTATGACGCTATGCGCGCTTACATGACGGGCCGGCAGTTTGTGGACGTTCTGTCACGCAACATGGAGATGATCCTTGATCCAAGACCACCGGTACCTCCAACGCCACTAGCTCCTCAAACAGAATCCGAAGATCCCCTGGCACCACCTGCGCAGGTCAGCGCACCACCATTCCCATCACCACTACTTCCTGAAGGACAGATGCTGCCATTAGACCCCATCACTCGTGCCATTAACGCTATCCATGACTTCACATCAGTACTATCCAAATTTGGCCTAAGGTTTGGCTTTACCCACTGGCGTGATCGCTTCCAAAGAGAGTCCGCTGCTCTATCTGCACAGCTTTACCAACGCCAACAAGCATCACCGCACACTTCGCCTCCAGTACAACAAATTTCGCCACCTGTCACCTACCCTCCACAATGGGTACCAATGCCATCGGTATCTCCACAGGCGCCACAACTCATGTACCCAGGAGGCCCGACAACACCACCAAGTCTGTTCCCGCAATCTAGTCCTTTCACAAGTTCCATGTCATATAATGGCACTTCGTATGACGGATCCGGTCATAGTCCCCAACCACACGGTATGACGTTCGACGCGAGCCCTGGCCAACAGACGTGGACAACTCCGTCACCTCAGCCGTTACCTGAGTTGCCACAGCCATCCGGTGGCCAAAAACGAAGAGCTATGGTATATGGCCCGGGCTTACCGGCGCCGCAGTCCGGGCAAGGTCACAGTCCTGGTGCGTCGTCGATATCTGGGCAGGATAGCAATGGATGGCCACAACAGGAGCAACAACAACAAGATACAAACGGCTACTTCCAAGCGCCACCCGCTATGCCGCACCAGCATAGCAATTCATGGACACAGGATCCGTCACAAAGCAGCTGGGGGTAATAGAGGGATTTTCGCAGGGTGACAAGGTAAAAAAAAACGGCATGCCAATGGCAAACAACACTTCTAGGAAGCGGAAGCCGTGCTCAAATAACGTTAGCCTGTATATTTGGTACGAACACAGCTAGCATACCACATAGTATACTCGTGGTAAATGTATGAAACGATTTATGATGATATCACAGACTGACTGAATCCTCCATTGCGCCAGTGATCCAGTGTCAGCGTTTTCAGATTGCGAGTACATTCTGTAGAGGAAGTGGCATTGTCAGTGATTTCCACAATCTTCGAAAACGTCTCAATTACCCATTGCTAACAATCCTCGCAATACACAGAAACAGCCTCCGAGTACACAAGATGAAAGCCAAAAGAATTAGTATCACATAGAGGGTTGCTTGCGAGAAAAGGATTAACGGTAACAAGCATTGCACCTAAGACAATGCCATGTCTGGCTTGCTCTAGGAATCGCTTGACGCGCCAAGGAGCGTAAGTCGAGCATATTGTCGCGCCGTGGCAAATACGCATATGTTCATGGAAGTCACTTTTGTCAGCGAAAATATCCTGTGTACATTCTCGCAGCTTGTGGAGCTCCGCGTGTTTACGCATGTCATCCATGTAGCCCCTATCCGGAGCTGTCAGGTCAGGGATCGGATATCCTGTTCCACACAGGCGACAGGAGATGAACGGCGGATTGTCCACAGTCTCATTGCGTTCGAACAGCGCATGCCAATCGTGGATATGACGACAAGAGTAGGTTCGACATTCTTCGTGCTGTTCGAAAGCTACTTGTATGTTTGCGAATGTACTGATGCAACCTGAACAGGTATAGGGACCAGCACTGCTCTAATTTTAGCTCAGAACCAATGCTGGGTTTTTCTATGTACCTACCATGGAATTCTCGTTGGTATGAACGGTAGTCTCAATGGCCACCACGCAGCTTTGCATATGCCATCGGCGAGATGATCAAAGACATGTGCTTGTCTCTGCGACCAAGTATCCATGACCATACCACAGAAACCGCAGATAAGAGCCGATGGCAACAAAAAGGGATTGTCTTTTTTCCACGCCGAGAGAATGTCCTTGGGTATCGAACTCTTGCTGCCCCCTTTATCAAGATGAACTCCTTTGATATGTTGCGAGAGTTGGTCTTCTCGCACAAAAGTCCGACACTCTTCCGGCTTTCCCGCACAGCTACTGAAGTGGCATTCGACGAGGTGGCTCAAAAGAATATCGCGTTCGCCGCAAACAAAACATCTTGGTAACCGCATGGCTATCTTTACGTCTAGACAGCAGATCCAATGGTAGGGGCAATGATGGATGGCTTCCTCGTGTCGTGCCCACGCGGAACGATTCGGGAAGGATTTGTTGCAGCTAGACCAAGTGCAAAAGTAGGAGCGGGTACTTCGTAACGTAGTAATCTTCGAAGTCTATCAAAAGTATCAGATTGCTATAGCTCTAATACCCCCCAAATCGTGCTTACAGGAACGATTCACTTACCTGTTTTTCATGCAAAAAGCTTCCATTTGGCTGCTCGGGAGTATATGCTAGAGTTATCTTCCGTCGATGCGCCTCAGGCGGTAATGGTGGTTGTGTCCAACGCTTACGACCACGACGAGAACCCCTCGAATCGACAGAGATATGGCTGCGTGAACTTCTAACGCTGATACGAGAACCCACTGAGCTGTTTGAGCCTGCGGTACTGAAAGCACGCATTGGAGACTGCTGCCTAGACCTTGAGATTGTGTTGCAATGGTCAAATGGTTGCGCATCAACAAGTAGCGCAGGTAGGAAATGGTCAGCTTGTAAGGCTGATTCGATGACTGAAGTAGGAACTGAGTCCTGATCTGCGGTCTGATTCACATATCTCTCGAGTGAGGCTACGCTGGGCGCAGGGGAGCATCGATCCAAGTCCTGAAGACTATCTCGACCAACGACAGGCTCCAGCGACAGACTACGTTCGGGTCGCTCATGAAATTCTTGACTATTCACGTTTGTATCTGCGTCGGCATTGCCTATAAAAGTATCATCAGCACCGTTCAAGATCATGAACCATCGATATCGGAAGACGAGGGTCAAGAATAGTTGACTTGGTAACAAGGTCATGAGCTTTCTTACCTCCTGGCATAGTCTTGCGTGCCCTTGCATTCACGAACCATGTTTTGATGACTGACACAGGCAATCCAGTCTTTCCAGATAGTAGAACCAGCTCACCATCAGTCGGATAAGCGCTATTATCGAAGTGTGCGTCCAACACAACGCGGGCTTCGTTCGAAATCTTGGTCCTCTTGGATTTAGGTTTGTCAGAAGTTGAACGCTTTGCGGGCCTCTGATGATAAGCCCTTGTCGGTAGTGATTCTTCACTGAGATCCGGTTTGGTTTTGTCTATAGAGGACATGTAGGAACCATTTGCTGACTCAATTCTAGTCTCCTGTTCATCTGTAGCCACTGTGTTTACCCTCTCCGAAGCTCCATCCTTCAGAAGATCCGATGGACAATCCAACCGATTTATTGACGGCATGCGGGGGGTAGGTAGCCCATCAAGAGCTAATGTATCCAAGTTGACATCAGCATTGCAATCAGCGCTGTCGTCAAATGAGGTAACGCCTTCGTTGAATTGTCTATGCGAGCTGTTGGGACCTAGCAAAACCTCATCAACCATGAAAGCCGATAGCCATGATTCGTCGAAATCTGGTATAAAACCTTCGTCGTATTGTGGTAGAGGTCCCTCGGTGGCATGAAGTGCGAACCAGTCGTTCAAAACCCCTACGCCAGTCGACGCCTCCCAGCCTTGAGACATGTAGCATATGAATTCGAGATTGGAGGTACTTGGATGAACAATTAAGCAGACAAACGGAGACGGAGGTGTAGGCGTGAACAGGAGGTGTGTGAGGCATGGCGTGAACTTCTCGGTCGCTGTGTTAATATATGGTGAGGCTGAGAAACAAGGTGAGCGGGTTGATTTTCGAGGTTAGAAGGGGCGGAGCAGGGGGGCTGCATCTGCCCAATCGGATGAAGCGAATGCATCTACGCCTGCTATGCAAGATACCAGGGCGAAGACGACGCGACTAGTATGCAGGAGCCCATGCATTTGCATGAGAAGCAATGGTGCAGCGGGTTTATAGCAAAGACGTCGAGATAGACGGGGAAGACGCTGCGGTTATGCGAAGATCGACAGGGCATACAGACAGGGTACCACCAAGCAAACCCCCCACTCGACGCGGGGCATCCGCCGCTATCTCTGCGCAGCACCTATCGACCAATCTCACACCAGACAAAATGCCTTACAACACTCTCGTGCACCCATCGCAACATCGTGCGTTACACCCAAGATTCTTGCCACCCACTTGAGCCACCGTCACGATGTCGACACCATTGGAACGCGCCCTGACAGCCATTGACGCCGCCCACGCGCTCGACCCAAACAAAGTAACCACCAACAATGAAGAGATGCCATACGAACTGCACTACGCACAAAAATGCACTTCCTACCTCGAGAAACGCGCCCCTGATGCCTCAGAACCCCTTCGCATAGCAATCCGCGCCCAACACTTTCGCCGATGGGAGGTACCACGATCCAGCTACCCAATGACACGCCCCGGCTACCACGCCTGGCGCACCTACCTCAAGAAACGACAAGCCGAGCTCGTTGAGCAAATATGCCGAGATTCTGGGTACAGTAAAGAGGACAGCGAGACAGTGGGCAGTTTGATACGGAAAGAGGATTTGAAGGCTAACGAGGAGACAATGGTGTTGGAGGACGTGGCTTGCCTAGTTTTCTTGGATGACCAGTTCGAGGCGTTTGAGAAGGAACATGATGAGGATAAGATTGTGAGGATATTGCAGAAGACATGGGGAAAGATGACGGATCAAGGGCATGAGTTGGCGTTGAAGATCCCTATGGGAGAGAGGCCTATGGAGTTAGTGAAGAAGGCGCTAGCAGGGTAACACAGTTGTGAATTTGGACGTTGAATAAAGTGGAAATTTTCATCCATTACTCGTGATGTGAATTTGATCGTTTTGGGTATCATTCTGAGTCTGTGATATATCCTTCCCTCCTCTTATGGCTGACATGTTGAAGCCTAAGCTCCACCCTCCCTCTTAGCGTACTCCTCCTCCATCGCCTCCTCGTATCGTCGCTCGGCTTCCTTCTCCTGCTCGGTTTTCTCACTGTGGGTCGCGCTCGCTAGAGCTTGCGTAGCCGCATTCTGTACGTTGTGCGCCGTCTGCGCAGCAGCTGAAGACTGCGTCGCCGGGGTGGATTGTGAGGTGGTGGAAGGCATGGGGACAGGCATTCTGGCTGTTGGTGAATGTGTCGTTGAGTGGTATGTTATGACGTCTGGTTTAGGAGATTGAATGATAATGAGAGTTTGCAGGTAATGACGAGAAAGGCTTGAGGAGTGCGTGATGGCTGCTATATAGACACATAGCGTTGCGTCATTGTGGCGGTGCAGCTGTGGCTGGAACCTTCTACGACATGTGATTCGCCACTGATTATCGAGGATCAATCATCGCACGTGAAGACAGTTTGCACAAAAGGAATGCACGTTCATTTCGGCAGTCCGATACGCGTAAACATTGATGGGATTGGTTTTAATTCTGTTCAGTAAGAGCTGAAGTGATGGCGTGTGTAGACACGCAAGGCCGTTGTGGATCCTCAACCTTTCCTCACGATGATCATATTTAGAGCTTCTTTCCCTACAAGATGCTGCGATGTATTCCGTCAAGACTACTGCAATCTCATACAAAGATCTCTTCATCTCAAAAGAGTCGCGTAGTTCTGGACCGTGGTGCCCGGCCAGTAAGTATATCAGCCCCAGTAGAGGACTTGCCATTTGATGCAAACTGTTGGCATTCTAAGTCGAGCGCGACAAATCCAAAGAAGGCTCATATCGAAGATGGCTCATCCGGACCAAGGTCATTTAGCCTGCTTCATCTACTCTTGTTATTGCTCTCATTGGGGGTTACGACATCTGCTTTGTAGCAGGATTCATCGATACCAATTGCAATGAACTTACATGACTTGATGATAGCTTTCACCGTCCTTACGACGTCACATACCTTGACTAGAGTAAAAGTTGACACTGATTTGCCCGAAAAGGAAGGTCCTGGAGGTCATGGCGAATGCTCTAGCGGACATGGAGACCATGATGGTGTACGCCCTGACGGAAGCGCCTCTGCTAAGCAGAAAAACACTGGTTCAAACTTCACCGTTTCAACGTTTTTTTCGGTTTCTGGTTTGGATGGCGCTTCGTACGGTTGCGGCTGCGCTTATGAAGTAGCAGTCTGTGTCGATCGGGCTACCTCACAATCGGTGCATCCTTGCCTGTCGACATTCGAGTTTTGAGTGGTCGGTCGGAGATGGAGAATGGATAAGGTGAAGATTAGCGGATAGTCGTTTCATTTTCTTCCTTCCTAAGCTTATTTGGGATGAGACGATGTCACGCAGCATGCAAATACCAGGCGATAGACAGACCGATATGACTAGACAGTGATGGGCATACTGTTTGTTGTGTTAGTATAAGCACAGTACAGTTCTCAAGATAACACATCGATATTGACAAGGCTCAGACTTGCCTTTTCTGAAAACGAATCAACGACACCACGTGCTTGAAGGGTTCGCCCATCCATCAATAGATTAGACATCCCAGAGGATATACACCGATGTCTCAATCGCTTGCTCGGTTTGTAATCATTGCCAAAGGAAAAAGATGAAGATGACTAACCTTATTGAATTAGAACATGTGTGCCCTTCGTTTTGCCAGTCTCCATTTTGGCGGTGCGAGCGCCGAATTGGATCGCACGCTTCTTCTCCGCAGCTACTCTTTTCATGCCCAATTGCCAGGCCAGCAATCGAAGAGCACGCTTTCCGGGCTCGAGGAACCGCATAGGATCTTCACTATCAATCACTTGCGCCAGGCCGAAATCGCACTTGGCTGTCACCGGGAGACTCAGCGCTAATGCGATGAAGTCTTCATCGAGGAACGGAAATCGAACTTCCCTACTGCTATCGCTGATAACTCGATCGTCGCGACCCAGGTTCCTTTTTCCTAGTCGGCTGAAGTCAAGCTCCAGCTCTTCGATCAGGCCAGGGTATCCGTGCCGAGCAAAAGCTACGGCATGTCGTTGATACCCGCCAAAAAGCTCGTCAGCCCCCAATCCGGATAGGAGGACGTGTGCGTTGGTGGTATATGGCTCGGCGTGAGCCTTGCCTGAGAGGTGCGCTAGACCATTGCCGCGTGAGGCGAAATACAGTGCGAACGAAATGGAAAGGTCCATTTCCGTATTGTGCGGATGCATCAATGTCATGACAGTGCTACGGTGGGCTTGCGTCTCAGTGTAGGGTACGTTGACTTGGACGAAGCGCCACTCTCGCCCTGGACAGACTTCTATGAGCTCGGCGTGTGACGATCGTCCAGTGATACGGTCCGGGCAAAGCTCGTACGGACTGGTTCCTGACTCGAGATTGGAATGGATTCGAGGGTTCTCAAAAGCGACATTGAAGAGGTCGATAGATTCGCTGAGCGGTAGGAGGTCGTGACACATGCGCGCGAGGATTGTGCAGTCAAGGCCACCAGAGAAAAGGATGCCGACCTGTGCGTCTTTTGGAGCTCCCGGCGTCGCATTGCTGGTCACTGCCTCTCGTATATGCTGAGTACGCAATTTGAGCGACCTTTCCAACGATAACCTCAACTGTTCGGTCGCGTCCGTGTTCTGTGTTGCAGGTTCGATGCCTACAGTTGGATTCATAGTGGGAAATGGCAGGGTCTGAGTCTGTTAGTAGGACTCGCGCACCAGATGACCTACCTACGAAAGATAGTCCAGAGTCCTCTTTCGGGTCTGAGCGGCGGTGCGGAATCTTTGTAACTGACAACGAGTTCGACGTCGAGTCTGCGGCATCGACATCTAGGACATAGATGCCATCGGCTTCCACTTCAGTCCAAGACTCACCAGAAACGTTATCGCAAACGCTAGACAAGACAAGTGTGCCGTCTGGAGTTGACTTTTGGAGCAGCGATCGCCGTCCCAGACAGTCGCGTCCATAGTAGATGCGATTGTTAGGTGCATCGAAGAAAACAAGGGCATGCGGACCCCGCACGCTTGATAGCAGCTGGATGACGCTTTTAATGGATGTCTCGCCTGTACTGGCACATGCATTCAAGAGCTTAGTGAAGATAAGCTGAGAGTCATTGCCATTAACGACATGTCCAGCAATGCTCCATGCTTCGCCATTCCAACAAAGAACGGAGCCAGTAGCGACGTCTTTGAGAGGTTGCTTGACAACGTCGTTGCCGCGTAAAGCAAGGACCGTGGACAGGAAAGTCGCGTGAAGACGCGTTGGAGATGCCTTGGGGCTGGATTCGATAACAGTTTGATGCTGCCCTGTGCTATCAGGCCCTCTGTTCTGGAGCAGTTGCTGGGTATTCGTGTCAGGCGTCACATATCCAGCTCGGCTGAGCGAGAAGAAGATGCCGCACATGGTCGGGCTGGTGTTGGCGGTGGAGAGATGGTTTTGGCAACGGCACGTTTGCCATTGCTTGACGCGCTAGTGGGGGCCGCTCGGAGATTCGGCTTCTAGATGCCGGGAGACCATGTGGACGATGCGCAGGTGCAGGCGCAACAGACGACCACCACCGAGATAGTTGACATATACATGCCCTGCTAGAGCTATTTCGAGCTCCATAGAAGACCCATGGACACTTGAGCAACCACCTATCGCCTCTCCACAATCCCCAGTCGCAGTCGGTCTATGTCTCCCCCGAACTCAACTCCGCAACACGATGCAGTCCAAGACAGCAACGCCGAAGCGAAGCTAGAGAAGGTCGACGACCAACAAGATGTGGCCACGATGAACGAGCGCGTGCCTCTATCCGGACAGGCCACAGATGCTACGGATTCGGCAGACGACACGAATACCACGACCGGCGCGGGGCAGCCAGTCGAGATGAAGGCCCAAGACGAGGGGCACGTATCGAAGGAAGGGTCGTCGGAGACGGTAGAGAAAGTGCACGAGACCCCGGAGGAGTCGAAGGCGACCCCCGCTGGTGCACAAGTGGACCAGAGTAAAGAAATGGAGGCTGTGCAGACATGGTCTACGGCGCCAATCGAGGAGCTCACCACCAAGACAGAGACTGTAGCGCTGGACCGCGCATCAACACCGCCACCTGAGCTCAGCGAGAAATCGGCGGGCAAAGCACCAATACGATCACCTTCGCCTCCCCCTCCACCGCCCAAAGACGACAGATACCTCACGACGAGTAATGTACCTAGCCGAACTACTTCGCCAATGTCGCAAGAACGATCAAGTGGGAGGAATTCCGAAGACGCTGCGGCTGACGACTATGCTGCGAACCATGACGGCACAGGAGACGCTGTAGATAACTCGCGGGAGGAGATACAGAGCATCATGGATCAGTTCGAGGGGGATGGTGGGCCTGGCGAGACTGAGATCATGTCTCCCAGGCTGGAGATAGCGACCCCCATGTTAGAGTCGCCTTCAACCCCCTACCCACCCCGAAGGTCAAGTCTTGTGCCGCTCGACAAGCCCTTGCCTGTTCCGGCCGACGATGCGGCTTCGACGACTTCACTTCAGTCTCCACCTCCTCGCACTTCCTCTCTACACCGCGTTGGCACTGGTGCCTCCTTTGCAGAACCGACCTCGCCCAGCGCACATGCTTCCAAGTACAAGCCAGCGCAGCCAGCACCAGAGCCTGAGCCAGACCTACCCTTCGACTTCCACCGCTTTCTCGAACAGCTCCGTCACCGGACCGCAGACCCTGTCGCCAAATTTTTGCGCTCTTTCCTCTTGGAATTCGGGAAGAAGCAATGGATGGTGCATGAGCAAGTCAAGATTATTGGAGACTTCCTCGAATTCATCAGCAAGAAGATGGCACAATGCGAGGTATGGCGGACCGTGTCCGACGCCGAGTTCGATAACGCAAGAGAAGGCATGGAGAAACTAGTCATGAATCGGTTGTACACTCAAACATTCTCGCCCGCAATCCCGCCTCCAGAGCCTGCATCACCACGCAAAGGTCGACGGAGACAAGAGCCGCCAGGACCAGGCCGAAGAGGTCAGCATCAAGAAGACGTAGAGCGAGATGAGGTCTTGGCGCAGAAGGTGCGGATATACAAATGGGTCAGTGAAGAGCACTTGGATATCAAGCCTGTGGGTGACAAGGGCAAGAAGTTTCTACATCTGGCCCAACAAGAGCTGTTGAAGATAAAGAGCTATCGAGCACCCAGAGACAAGATAATCTGTATCTTGAACTGTTGCAAGGTCATCTTCGGATTCTTGCGGACATCAAATTCCGATCAATCTGCCGATGCCTTCGTACCGCTTCTCATTTATACGGTACTGCAAGCGAACCCCGATCATCTTGTCTCGAACGTACAATACATTCTGCGGTTCCGCAACCAGGATAAGCTTGGTGGAGAAGCAGGTTACTACATATCATCCTTAATGGGCGCCATCCAATTCATTGAAGGTCTTGACAAGACGTCTTTGACCGTGACTGATGAGGAATTCGAGAAAAATGTTGAAGCGGCCGTCTCAGCCATCGCTGAACGCCATGCAGCCGAGGAAGCCGAATCCTCGTCTTCATCTGCGTTACTACACCCTACTGCGCCTAACCATAAGCGTATGCCCTCACCTCACTATCATCACATAGCGGAAAAGACGACACCACTACGGCCGGAACTCACACAAAGAAACTCGATGGAGGCAGAGACTGCAGGGCCGCGACGGTCGACTAGTCTAAAGGATCGCAAGTCTGAGGCGGAGCAGCCAGAAGAAGAGAATGCCGCTGTCGCAGGCCTATTGCGCACAATACAACGGCCACTTAGCACTATTGGTCGTATCTTCTCGGACAATGATACCCACCATCCATCTGGACCTGCGACAGCCCAGAAACCGCATTTACCGCCACGCGCGTCAACGGAGTTTCCCGGTCAGGTTCCTCAATCTAACATGAATGAGAAGCAACGACCATCGCACGAAGACGACCGACAAAGGCAGAGGTTGACGGCAGAAGATGTCGCTGCGCGACAGGCGTCAGCCGAAGCAGAGGAAGCGAGGCGCATACAACGTCAGGAACACAAGGTCGTAGTCGAGACGCTGACAGGCATGTTTCCCCAGCTGGACCGGGACGTCATCGACGACGTGGTGCGGCAGAAGGAGGGTCGGTGAGTCTTGTTCGAACGCCTCTAAATGATACCCATAAAGACTAACAAATATTTAGTGTTGGTCTTGCAGTTGATGCATGTTTAGCGCTAGCGAATCCTTGATACACATACTCATAGGTTCATGGTCGAGTATTGATATACCTTTGACCTTCTGATATGAATGGATATTTGTATCTCAAACCATGTTATTGGTTCAACTCAGGGATATGATAGAAAGCAATTGTACCATTGCTTTAGCTAACGTCTTAGCGCAGTGATAACAGATATCAGTTTCTGCTACTCGCTTACACTACCGCCAGCTTGCAGAGTCAGGGGTAACTATAATGTCCGCGCACAGGCTATGATAATATCTCCAGGACCGTCTGAGCACGCTGTCGTTGCCATTATATTTTGAGGCCATATCAAATGGGTCGAGATGTACTATTCAGCAAAGACCATGCTCGAAGCCAGTGACTGCCTTCTGATCCCTAGGCTATGATGTTCTGGTCGGAGCAACCCACCGTGCATGCTCGCTTTGCCACCAATAGTACCGTAAACTGGATGTTAACATTGTCACTGTAGGTCACTAACAAAGCGAGGAGTCTTTTGAAAAAAATTAAATTAAAAGTCGTATCTCGAATCTTGACAGTCGTCTAATCCAGGGTCCAAATAATAAAGCGTCCATGCTGCTTCAACTGAAGCAGTTTAAGCATCGTAGGTTCCGTTGCCTCCAGCTCCGGCACCAGCACCAGCACCAGCACCAGCACCAGCACCAGCACCTCCGCTGACGGAGCCTGAGCCTCCAGCACCGGCACCAGCGTGGCCACCAACACCAGCGCCACCGCCAACTGAGCCACCGACACCAGCACCGCCGCCGACTGAGCCGCCAACACCAGCTCCAGTTCCAGCGTGGCCACCTACACCGGCACCGCCACCGACAGAGCCTCCAACACCGGCACCAGCACCTCCACCGACAGAGCCTGAGCCGCCAACACCAGCACCAGCGTGGCCACCGACACCAGCGCCTCCACCAACGGAGCCACCAACACCAGCACCACCACCGACACCGGCACCAGCTCCAGCGTGGCCACCAACGCCAGCACCGCCGCCGACAGAGCCGCCAACACCAGCACCAGCACCAGCATTTCCGCCAACACCAGCTCCAGCGTGGCCTCCAACGCCAGCACCAGCACCGCCACCAACGGCACCACCGACACCGGCACCAGCATGGCCACCGACACCAGCTCCTACTCCTCCGTTGGCACCACCACCAACAGCACCACCGACACCAGCACCAGCGTTACCACCGACACCAGCACCGACGCCACCGTGGGCACCACCACCGACTGAGCCACCGACACCAGCACCACCACCGACACCGGCACCAGCTCCTCCGTGAGCACCACCGCCGACTGAGCCGCCAACGCCAGCACCAGCGTTGCCAGATGCTCCACCGTTAGCGCCACCTCCGATTCCGCCCATGAGGCCACCGAGGCCACCTAGACCTCCCTTGCCAGAGCCACCGAGACCGGGAAGACCAGCACCTCCGGTGAGGCCGGGAAGGCCAACACCTCCGCTGACACCAGGAAGGTTGAGGCCTCCCTTGCCAGAGCCACCGAGTCCGGGAAGACCGGCACCTCCGCTGAGACCGGGAAGTCCTCCCTTGGCACCGCCTGAACCGCTGAGGCCGGGGATGTCGAGGCCGCCAGAGAGACCAGGGAGCTTGCCAGACCCGGCACCCGTGAGGCCACCGAGCATGCCGCCAAGACCTCCCTTTCCTCCTGCAGAGCCACCGAGACCGGGGAGACCGGCACCTCCGCCGAGACCAGGAAGGTTGAGGCCTCCCTTGCCAGAGCTGGGGGTCTTGTCGCCCGAAGAGCCAGAAGAGCCAGAGCCAGAGCCGTAGCTGGGGCCTGAGCTGGCGCCACCAGATCCGTAGCTAGGACCAGAGACACCGGTGGAGAGAGGAGCACTTGGCTGGGTGTAAGATCCAGTGCCGTAGTTGGGGCGAGGAAGAGCGCTGGCGATGCTGGCCAAAGCGAGAACCTGAGCAGCGTAGAACTTCATGTTGACGATTGTTTGTTGGTTCGAGATTGATTAAGTAAGTTGAAAGTTGGTATCGGATAGATACTGTATGTGATCGATATGGATGGTAAAGAAGGTAAGTGCTCTGCACAAACGAAAGACTTGAGACTGAAAAGTCGAGTAGAGTAGTAGCGAAAGTAAGTGTTTTTGATTGCTGAAAGCGAGAGTGTTGAAGTAGACGAGATCGAAGCTAATGCCTTTTACTTTTTGCGCTGGGAACTGGTTCTCTTATACTCAAGAACCTCGATTTGCATTCTACGTCTTCGTAGTTAGCATGCATCGGTAGTCAGTAACCGGCCCCTGAGCACCATTGTGGCGAGGCTCATGGTAGCTTCGTTTCGAAACATGGCGACTCTATCGAAAGACGTGACGTGATGAAAGGGTTGTCTAGACTGTCTCGTTTCACGCTATCCTCTGCGGGATCGACGACAAGTGTACGGGAGATGCCTGGATTGCGCAGGGTAGGTTGAGGTTAAGCGGGTTAAGGTTACGGGAGATGCCCCGATGTGCGCAGGGAAGGAAACTTAGCCTTCTTTCTCCGCGCCGTGCGGCTTTACAGCCTTGCTGCCTTGAAACTAAAGTGGAGTGAGCTTTGGCAGTTCGAGGGGAAAATAGTAGCGTTAGCGTGTCCTTTATTCGTGCCATATCTGAGTCGCGCGTAAGCAGGAGTTTGCCAGGTCGGCTATTTTGACTTCCATTTGAGTCGGATGGCGGAAACCGCCGTTCCGAGGTTGTTTAGCGGGAGCTGCTAAGCTTGTTTCAGCCACCACACTTGACGTTTGTCGTTCTACCCTCTCTTACTTGACTGTGAATCGAGCATCATGACAACATACGGGTATGATGTCCAAAACATTACACATAGTCGCCCATATTCCTTTCTCCATAGGTGCAGCGACCGCCGGGTAAAAGACTACTGGCCTGTGCGACATAGAGTTTGACGCGGTATCTGAGCTCCTGGCCGAGGTCTTTGGCCTAGGACTCCCCGACTATTCAAGCTTTAATTGCGCAAGAGCCTTTCCCTTACCAGCCCCACGGTTAGCATTTACATCGCTGTTTCTGGTATACCCCTTTGGGATTCGGAGACCTTGCGGACCGTCAGGCATATCGGAATAGGTTTCTGCTATTGTGGTCGATCATGGAGATCTACTAGTATACCAAGGTACATTGATGCTTGAGGGTTTTGCTAATGACACCGCGAGGTTCTAGAATGATGTCGGTGGTACAAGACGGGTACTGATGACGGAGACTGTGACGAGATATGCTCGACAGTCTATCGAATACGGCATGTTCCTTCTCCTGCGACCTTGCACTTGCGTCGCAGGATTCTCGTATACTCGGCACGCCTTGACTCGCAACTCCGCTGCCGCAACAAGGAATACCGTTCCCTGTGTTCAAGCGGTGCCAAGCGGCCCCACAGAGACACCGGCCCTTCGCTGTTGCAACTCGAGCTAACAATGCCAGCTCGCCTGACAGCTTGGAGCCGCGCTTGCCACTTTTCAGCATTCGTCGAGAAGAAGACAATTACTCATGATTTTTTGGCGACTGCGTTGGCTGTGCAAATGTTGACTCACAACACTGTTACCATTCACCGCCAGTGCTCGCTATGCACACTCAGAACTAAGACCATGACTACTGCAGCATCCAGCACAACTGGATATTAATCACAAAATCGATAATAACGGCTTAACGGGGATATCTTGATAGACTAGGGTGAAGGTGGTACGTCCAGCCTTGCACACTAGCATCCTTCAGGATATGTCACACGAAGATCTCAAGCGGATGCCGCACTAATCCGAATACACACCAATACTCTGAACATCGCTGTGGTCAGTGTCTCAGGATCGCAGGAATTTGACTATCGAAAATGTATAGACGTAATTTCCATTGTGTGTGTTGCCAAAGTTCAAGATCATCTTAAGGGTATCGAAACATCCGCTACATCAACCCCATCGCGATCCGAAAAGGGAATGTTATTACCAAATTTTTTCTGCACAAGATTCTTGATTCCTCAAAGGGTTCAAGGGTCCAGGGGCCTAGAGGACTGCATCGTGCCTAGTTTCGAGTTGTGGATCTACTGTCCTGGCCTTCCTCTGCTAAATGCTGTCGACGACGGCCTGGTTCACACAAAAAGGGGTGGTTGTGACTGCCTAGGCACTTGATTGTGCAACGATGAGATTTTTGAATAGACGTGGCAGAGCCAGCTAGGCTGTGCATCAAGGGAATTGCGCTCTCAGTTCAGGAACGTCATCTTCTTCGCCCAAGATTGCGTCTGCCTCCTGCGCGTATTGCCCAAGAGACCGAGGTCGTAGAGAAGTCATATACACTCCTCATAGATTAATGGCTCGAAGTTTTTGCACCTACCTAGGGGCTTGTGATAGTAAGCATTGCTATTTTGTAGCCAAGGAGTTGCCAATCCCGAGGTCTTATTCAAGAAGCGCATCGACATAGACGGGGTTGGAAAGATAACCTTGATCTGTCGCCAAGGTTGCTCACGGCTAGATCATCTCTGGCAAGGAATCCTACAGATATCGGGGCATAAAAGGAGTATGATTATCGTTTATTAAGCCGTACCACCTTGTCAATACAGAAGAATTGTGAAAAGACGAAATATTCAGCTTTCTTGACATCAGATGACTTGATATTCTGCGCATCATTGTTGTGAGTTAACGTGACTTGATTTATGGCTGTAATATCTCTAGCCCATGAAGAGGGACTGCGCATTGACGAATATTACAGTATACGATCCATCAAATAGTACTTAAATGCTCGCGGACCTAGATTTTCAATGGAGTCATTAAACAAGGATATGAGTTATCTCAAACAATATTTTGAAGGCTTCATAATGTTCAGAAGTATATTTAAGAGCAAAGGTTGTGTCCGTCATTTACTTAGAGTGTTCTTGTTCAACGTTACTGGCTTTCGATTTGCGGCGAATCATCGTTTAGACCTCATGGTCTTGTATGCAATACGTTTCCAGATTACTGCTATACTAGCGGGTCAAGCTTCATTGCAGCATGCCCAGTATGGCCTCCCATGCCCTCAACTGTATCTTTCCACTCTTCGCCTTCTCATCCAGCTGTCGTTCGTCATAGTTGCCAGCAACCCATTTCTTCACCTTGAGATCTCCCATCTTCTCCCATGTTACTTGCTCGCCGCTGAGATTTAGCAGGGTGATAAAAGCGTTCTTCTCACTCCAACGCCGAAATGCAACGATCTTCTGGTCTTCCATGTCAAGCATTTCAAAGTCACCATACACGAAAACATCTTTGTTTTCTTTGCGACACTGCAGACCACGCTTCCAGAATTCAAGCACAGACAACATGCCGGGCGAAGGCTTAGGTTTTTCTAACTGAGCTGCTGCGTTGACCTTGGGATAGTCGTCGTTGACACGCATCCAGGGCTTTCCGCTAGTAAAACCAGCTTGGGCAGACGAATCCCACTGCATCGGCGTCCTGGCACTGTCGCGAGCTTTTCGTTGCATGATCTCAGCTGCCAAGGCCTGCTTTTCGGCATCGCCAGGATACATGTCACGATATCTACAGGTGTTAGCGAAACGTCAAGGTGGTGGGTAGGGGACTTACTTTTTGAAGAAGTTGATACTTTCGATATCTTTGTATTCTTCTGGCGTCCAGTCTTTAGGCACGTTGCGCATGCCAATCTCTTCACCTTGGTAGACATACAGCGTCCCTGCCAAAGTAGTTTGCATCAAGCATAACAACTTGGCGCCGTATTCGCGCCACTGATCACTGTCGTCAGTGTACCTGCTTACGCTTCGAGGCTGATCATGATTCTCGACGTAAAGCGAATTCCATCCGTCGCGTTCGAGCATCAAACGCTGCAGTCTATTCACAATCTTCTTGAGGTCGCGCGCATCCCAGGGATGCAGAGTATATTTGAAATCGCCTGGGATATTATCAATATCCACCAAGTCAAACGCAAAGATCATGTTCAGCTCTTCGTTTTCGGCTCCCACGACTTGAATGACTTCGTCTTCATCTCGAACAAATGGCATTTCTCCAACGGTGAGCGTGTCGTATTTCGAAAGTACTTCGCGTCGAAGCTCCTTCAGCCACTCATGAAGTCTAGGACCGTTTGCGTAGTACTTAGCACCCGGTTGGTACTTGTTGTCTTTGACCGAAATTTCCGCATCGGGGAATGTCTGCACCTTTGAGATCAAGTTGATGACATCCATACGGAAACCAGATGCGCCTCGGTCAAGCCAGAAACGAAGGATGTTGTGAACAGCTGCACGAACATCAGGATTTTCCCAGTTAAGATCTGGTTGCTCGGGCGTGAAGAGCGATAAATAGTACTCCTGAGTGGTTTCATCCCACGTCCACGCTGAATTGGCCTCTCCTAGAATCTGCGCCCAGTTATTTGGAGGTTGACGGTTGCCATCAGCATCGTATTTAGCGGGTTTCCAGATGTACCAATCACGTTTCGACGATGCCTTGGACGATCGCGAGTCCAGAAACCAAGCATGCTCCTCTGAGGTATGATTGACAACAAGGTCCATAACCAGTTTCATATCACGCTTCTTGATTTCTTTGATAAGGTTGTCAACATCAGCCAAGGTGCCATAACTGGGGTCGATGTCCTCGTAGTCTGCGATGTCATATCCCATATCAGCTATAGAGAGGTCAGTACATATGTTACATGGATCTATTACTTCCGAGGCTTACCTTGTGGACTCTTATAGATTGGCGATACCCATATCACATCGACGCCGAGGTCTTTCAAGTAGTCCAATTTTTGCGTGATGCCAGGAATGTCGCCCCAACCGTCACTGTTACTGTCCAGGAATGAGGCGGGGTAGATCTGACGATTTTGTTAATACTGAGAAAGCATATAGAGTCGAGTCGATATACCTGATATACCACCGCCTCCTTCCACCACCGGTGCTTGTCGGTTCCGACATACAGATCTAATTTTTGCGTTACGGGCGACATCTCAAAACTACCTTCGTCACAGGATGTGTTGTGTTGTGAAACGCTGTTGTGATTAGCATTGAGACGTGCTGTTCATATTGGTTCACGTCATAGCCGCGAGTTAACCAGTCGCGGCGGCTCCTTGAGGTAGTGCATCTCAACGCGTGGGTACGTGGGGCACCGGGAAACCTTGCAGCGACCACTGTTCCGACATCCGGCCACTCAGCAGCAAAGCTCAACCTTTTCCTGCCATCTTGTATTTTGACCCATCTCATGGTGTGCTTCGAGCAGCAACGTGCATCACACACGAGTTTTATTCGTTCGATATGGTGAAAACTTTTGAAGATCGCGCGGGCTGGCAAGGCTCACGCGCCGACGTGCGTCATTAAGCAGCTGCACCGCTAGGCACGCGACCTTTTACCGTCCACAGAAACCGGATGATTGCTACCGCGCAACATGTACCTACAACCACACTTCCATCGTACTTCGGGATTCTAAAATCTTCGAAGAATCCCTCCATAGTTCGGTCCGACAGCAATTAGCGACAGAATTACTGCGTCGTACACACTTCAAGAAACTATGACGTACAACAACGATGCCGAAGATAGAGGCACGTCCGGTTCGCGAACACCGCTCCTGGGAAGTTCATCGCACCAGAGGATAGGACAAGAGAGTGAAGGTCGCAGATGGACGCTGATGACGGTGTTACAATTCTTCGGTGGGGGTATCTACGCTCCTGACCCGACCACTTACGACCCCCTGGAAATCCTTCTAAATACTGAAGATGAAGACGAGCGCGATGACCTTACTATACGATGGAGAGACAACAAATTGAGTGAGCTCAACTTCGTTGGTGTTGTGGTAAGTCACTGAGGGGTTCTCGTATATGATCACACAACCGCAATCAGGCTCTCCAGATGTCGCCCGCTTCTTGTCGAACGTCTATGATTGAGATGGGCACGGTCTCACATCCCTCTCTTCTATTGGTAGCCTTTGGTGCTTTGTCCAACGTTCTGTATGCTGACGTTATGCAGTCTGCTCTTTTAGCAGGCGTTCTTACCTCTACAGGGAGCTGGCCTAATATCCTACCAAACGGAAAAGAGTCACCGTGGTCTGTGCGCACTTCGTGGTATTGTGGTATTATACTATCACTTTTCAGTATTCTTACAGCTGCCGATCAAACCGTACGATTGCACCGCCTTTCGTCACATCGGGATGGACTGAGCAACATACGCGAGTTACTTTCCAAGACCAATGGCGAGAGGAAACACTCATCAAAGACTGGCCGTCGGACGCCTAGCTTGCTCCAAATCGTCACATGGCAAATGCCAGTGATGTTTCTAACATCGGCTACCCTCTGCATGATCATTGGGATGTTTCTTCACGTCTGGTCTGCAACCACGCACTTGAAGCATCCGACCATGTGGGACGATAACACCAAGGTATGTTCCCATAGCGGCTGTCTTGTAAAGTACTCTAATTCACCTCCAAAGGTTGCGGTCACGTATAGCACAGTCGCTATCGTTGCAGTCGCATTGTTTTTCGTCGGCCAGGTCTCACTATACTCGCCGCTCCGACGATAACGGCAAGTATAACAGTGGATATGCTAAAAGTTCTGGGGATATGTTGGGCGACTCTCTTCTGCTCGGATTGGAAAGTCTGCGTGCCGCCTTCGCCCATGACTACTTTGATCTCAAACAGATATCGATCATATTTGGCTCATTCTCAAGAACTATCCTCGTGTTCATTTGCTCATCATCCAGGGCCTTCTCGACTGTTCCGCTTGCGATGCCTTACAATTTTCTGTTTGCTTGTTTCCAGTGCGCAGTCCGTCTGACCTGACTACGCAATTCATAGAAAGCTATAAGACAGTGAAAGCGCATTGACCAAAGCTTTCCCATTTAGCTAATCACTTTCATTGGAAAATCCTACCATGTGACGCTTATGTTCGCATGTAGCGCGACTTAGCGAGCCGCGCTCCTTTCCTCCAGACTTTCCCTTTCTCTCATCAAGGCCCGTTTATATGTATTCTCTAACTTATATCAGTACGCTTATTAGCTCCTCTCATTGTCTTATAAGTTCTTCCGGTATTCGAATATATTTCGGATTCCATTAAACATTCCCAACACGACCATCGATAGCAACTCACGCTTTGCGATAACCACTTCCTACGTACTACCATAGAAATCTTACCCTTACTCAGCAAATCATGGCGACTGTATCGGTAGCTGGTTCGTACGAGCAGTACAAACTCGACACTAGCCGCTTCATCTTCTGGCTTGTCGTCACTGCGCGCGACAACGGGTACAGGATTGATGACCCGGCTATACCTCAGAATACGACTCAACAGCAGCCTTCGAAGCGACTGAAAGGCAAAGAGAGGAAGCAAGCCAAAGAAACGGCTGCCAGCAAAGCTGCCTCTTCAACTGCATCCTTGACCACTTCGAAGGGCAAGTACTCCATTTCGACGGAGACGATCCTCAAAATGGCGATACACATTGCGGCGAAGAAGATGTCCTCGACAATGCCTAAGTTTGTTTGGTATTCCTACAAGCGGGCTGTGAGAACACGCCAGGCGTACGCAGAACGCTATGCCCAGGAGGAATTATCGGAGAGGACTTCGGACAGTGGGCACATCTACTTTCTGTGGTTATTGAGACACTGCCACGAGATACTCGAGAAGAAGGTTAAAGTGCAATCAGTTGCCAAACCTGGTACAGCCAAATCCGCCGATCTACGATATAGCATCACGACTACGCCCATGTCAGCGGTGACTCCCAATCCGACGCCCGCATCTACCCTAGAGGTTGATAACGCCAATCTAGATATAGTCGACGAGAATGCGGCTGCTGAGGCAGAACAGGATGCTGTGGGCAACAAGCTGGACGAGCTTGCTCGCAAGTTCGAGCTTAATCTGGAGACGGAGAGTAAAGAAGATATAGACACAAAGCGCAACGTAGAGTCGAAAGCTGGGACTAAAGAAGAGTTGGCTTTGAGAAAATCTTGTCTGGTGGACGATATGCGCAAGGCCGTCATCCAGTTGGAGCATGACTGGGAGGATACATACAAGGATACTGACGCTGATCGCTATCTGGACGAAATTCGAGCTACGCTCATGACAGAAGCCGCATTCGACCTTGTACGTCACAAGGAGGAGGTTTTGGTCAAAGAGGCTAACGAGAAGGGTTTAACGGCGTTCGACCCCTCTCTCAATACGGACGAGTTTTTCGGCAAAACCGCGAGGTCGCTCGAAAGAATCGAATTGGAACGGAGAAAATCCACCTCACGTTACTTGTTTCTAGCACCATGCCTGAGTGATCAGGATGTTTCCACACAGCGGTATTCTGAAGATCATGAGTTCCTCGTCCATTATCTACATGAATCAGGATTAGAACATGTAAGCCCTTCTGATCTTCCATTAGTACTCACTTCTCTGGTAGAAACTAATTGGATGTTAGGATGTCAGAAAGCGACACGAAAAGGGCTTCAAGATGCCAATATTGGATGGGGCATTCGATGCGCTTTCCCGAATCTACGGCTCCCTAGGCACTTGGGAACATGTTTCAATGACCACTACATTTGCCGCTGAAGCGGTCATACGAATCCGATCGAACGATAAAACCCATTTATTGAAGCATTATATGCCAATGCAAATTAGGGCAGTGGAAGAGGAAAAACAGTTCGCATCCTGGCAAAATCAAGATATAAAATTCGATAGGAACAGCTGGCAAGTCACAGAATCAGCACGTACACATCGATCCTTCATCATAGGTCGACCGTTCTCTCCCATGCGATACGTCGAGATGCGACTGTTGAAGTCTACGCACCCGCTCTACGGCTTACAGTACGACTATCCGAAGCCAGCTTTTACAAGTAAAGAAGCTCGAAATGAGCTCATGGAACGTCTCGAGAACCAAGGTATCGAGGATAACGCTGGAAATACGGTTGTGCGCCAAGCGTTTGCAGCTCACTATATACTTCCACCGAAAGATGGCGACTTCCTGCGGAGGACGATTCCGACACTAAGAGCAAAGCTTTCCTTGACTCAGCTTCTATTGCGCGAAGAAATGGGACTTGGTTTCGCGAACGCTAGTCCGCAAATATTTGCTCTTTGTCACTTGTACAATTGCTTTCGTAAGCGGGGCTTGATCACCGGCACTTGGTCAAAGATCGAGCAGATGATGGAGTGGCACCTGGAAGAGATCTTTCTCAATGAAGTGCCCACCAAGCCTAACGAGTTCTACTCGCGGCTACTCCTTGCGACAGGCTATTCTTCCAAGGTAATAAAGAAAGTTCGGAACCTGAAAGAGAACCCTGACCGATACATCGATTTCGGAAAACCCACCAACAAGACGAGCGAGTTGAAACCACTTCCGATGACAAGGATACTCCGTGATTATATCCATGAGAGGGAGAAGGGAGTGCAGATCTGGCATCGTATGAATAAGGAGATGACCAAGAACTCAGGAAACTCTTTGCTGAAGCAAGATACTAGCAACCTGGACATGTTGTCGTTCATTAAGGAGATGCGTAACTCTAAACAACTCCTTCAAGTTTTTCCCCGCCTAGAGTTTGACTACATCAGCCTAACGCTGCAGTGCAACGAGCTTTGTCACAAGATCGATGTTGGACAAGAGAAGGTTTTTGGGAATAGGACAGCACAGGACGAGGCTCATTGGAAGTCACCTACTCAGCATGGTTTCTCAATTGTTTCAACGCTTCTCGGAGATCTCGACCGCATATTTCTTTTGAAAGAAAATGGGCGCAAGCAGGATAAGGGCATCGCGGATACGACGCCCGTCGTCGACGTAGCGGTTCGGGTCATGCAAGAATTTATTGATGGACTGAATGACTAGGGCATTCAGCTGCCCATTGCAAAAAGGGTGTAAGACTGCGAGAAGCACTGCATTGGTCGCTAGCACCGCAGTACACACTGAACCACGAATAGTCGGAGTGTTAATTGTCTCAGCGATTGATTTTGGATGGACCATTGTCAGATATGTCCGATGAGGTTGTGATCGAATAACCCGCAATACCATAATGAAGGACCGTATCGACTCCCATGCCTGAATCATGGTCGTGACCACACTCTGAACTGATTCACTACAGCGCAAACAGTCCGGCTCCCCGCCTTTGCAACAATAAACTCATATTAGTTGTTATGCAAGCCTCACTATGCATCTGCTGCCTCATTGAGATTCCGACAATCACGTCAGCCAATGACATCGAGACACACGAGCTGCGGCTGAACAGAAGCTCGGGATCACAACATCACAAATGGATCATCGTATCTGCACTCCGCTTTCCTCATGTTCGTGATCACCCGCGCTGCTTTGCTGCTTTCCCTCATCGCGGGGAGCCAGGATCTTCGAAAGAAGCTTAAGATGGCGCTCATGTCACATACAGTAGTATCCGTTGACAACCAGACCCTGGGGCTTCTGCGAAATGGGGCTCCTTACATTGTTTTCCGCATGGTATCTCATGTTTGGTGTCATAACTGCATATGAATATCCAAGCAATCTATGTGCAGACTTAGCCTTGATACTCCCAAACATCACCTTCTTCCCGACAACGCCGACGTACAATGCATCCATCCACTCTTACCCATTCCTTCAACTTCGGCTACATCCATCCTGTATCATTCGTCCAAGCTCTGCAAAGGATGTATCTACCGCCATCACCACTCTACTGCAGAATAATAACACCAAATTTGCGATTAGGAGTGGTGGTCACAATGCAAACACCGGCTTCAACAACATCGACGGCGGCGTCACAATCGATATGCAAAGCATGAACAAGGTCGAAATTGCGAAAAGAGATCAAGTTGTGGCGGTCGAGGCTGGCGCACTGTGGCAGAATGTATACGACAAGGCCGAGAAGCGTAACCTGACGGTACTTGGTGGCCGCATCGGCGTCGTAGGAACTGCTGGCTTCTTGACAGGAGGTAAGTGTACCCTTCTTCTAGTGATCCAGTTGAGACGGAAGGCTGACCAACATCGTCCAGGTGGAATTTCCTTCTTCAGCCCGGAGCGTGGTTGGGCGTGTGACGGCGTCATCAACTTTGAAGTCGTACTTGCAAACGGGAATGTTATCAACGCGAATGCGACATCGCACTCTGATCTCTTTGTCGCACTCAAAGGAGGGCAGAGCAATTTCGGAGTTGTCACACGTTTCGACTTGAAAGCCTTCTCCGCCGGTCCTATCTACGGCGGAAGGATTGTTTTCGGAGCCCATGCTACCACGCCTCTACTTTCAGCATACACGGAGCTTAAACTAGGTGAGTATGATCCGTACGCAGCGGGCTGGGTCACAGTGCGATATAACCACACGGCAGCGACATTTACTCCGGTCAGCATCATGTGGCACACGCGGCCAAAACTTGGCACGTTGAGAAGCATCGTCGAGGTGAAGCCGCAGGTCATGAATGGCATGATCGAAGCGCCCATCAGTGAGCATACCAGGAATGCATCCAGACAAGTGGCCGCGAACCCTCAAAGGACAATTTGGGCAACGACATCATTTTCAATCTCCTCGACGATCATACATCGCATCCACAGCTTCTGGAAAGACGTCGTACCTGGAATCGCAGCACAGTATGCCTATGCCAAGCCGGTTGCAGAAATAACTTTCCAAGCTCTTCCCGCACCACCTCGCAATGGCACAGCACCGAACAGCCTAGGTTTTGGACCAGATGAGACACCAGAGAAAGATCTCGTATTCTTGCAGATAATCTTCACCTTCGAAGATGCTGCCGCTACCGATGGGTTCGAAGAGGCTTTGAAGGATTTGGTAAGGCTGATCGAAGGCTTAACGAAGGAGGAGGGTGTTTTCCATCCATACAAATATCTCAATTTTGCGGCATCCTTTCAGGATCCGTTGGCAAGCTATGGCGGTATCGAATTGGAGAGAATGAAGAAAGTGGCAAGGAAGTATGATCCGACAGGCGTATTTCAGACGCAGGTACCTGGAGGGTTCAAGCTGTTCTAACCGCGTATGTCGCGTTCTTCTTTCGGGTTACTACGACGACGAGAAATTGGGGTGGTTGGAGGAATTGGTGCGTGCGTTGCTACCCCTTTCGCAGTTGAGATAGCGACGTCATTGTAGTGCAAGGGCTATCCCATCTTGAGCATGACCCTTTCTCGCATCCCGACTACTCAACGCATCGTTGGGCTGAATTCAATGCAATGTTTCAACACGAAAGTCTATTGGTGTCTTCCCAAAACAAATGTAGGAGCAAAGCGGTCACCTACGACCGCACTAGGAGCACACTACATCGTGCCCTTCAACAATAGTGTGGTGAACATCGCGAACCATTACAATGCCTCATTCTCTAGTAGTGCTATCTACCGATACATCGCAATCGGACTTTGTTCATTTCATCGTCCGTTTAAGCCGTTACTTTCACGATATGCGTGACAGTGAAGTGCCCATGGAAGTGCGACACTCATCACATCCTCACGGTTGCATTCACTCTTTGGCGATGGTTTAGAAACCTTCCTCAGGTTGGCCAAGCTCACTACACTAATCTTCAACATACTATCACAGGTCTACAGAGACTTCCAACGCAAGCGACTGTATCAGGCTTTGTATGACTTCCCATCGTCATTTTTCCAGACCAGCAACAAGTTGATTTCTCGAGACACAACCAAAGCATCGGCAACTAAGTGACACTTTTTGCAGGATATACGGATATACCGGCGACTCTTCGTCGACTGATCACTACCTGAACATCTGAAACGAACTCACGGCGGCTCACATACACCGACTTGCGACTTCCTATCACACCGCATACCAGTTGTTTCACTATGCATCCTGGGCTCGTTACTGTCATGGCACTTGCAGCGATATTAGAGATTTGGCTGGTCTTTGCATCCATGTATGCCGCACTACAAAGACACGATGGACGTAACTATTGTGGAAGGACCAAGGACGCTTTGCGGCTCCGATTGTAGTGGCAGAATAGAAGAAAATAGACATGCACTTTGAGGGCATGAAGATTTGAGGTTAACGATGTAACGCTTGGCTTGAGGCAAAGTTCCTATGACTAGAGAATACGCCGCACGGCCTGAGTCTATCCTAGAGGCGCAGTAGTTTTAAGTTCTCGGTGTAATCTATAACTCTAGCTCGTTAATCATTTGCTCTCCTGTTAACCCTGCGAGCAAGTTCTTGACACTTTCAGTAGCCATTTGTTCCCTTGTCTCAATCGTTGCGCTCCCAATGTGCGGCACAAGTACAGCTCGCGGCTGCTTCAGGATCGGGTGATCAGCTTCGATGTTCGGTTCATTCTCAATAACATCCAGACCGGCACCGAATATTTGCTCCTGATCTAGCGCTTTTACCAAGGCGTCGGTGTCGATGATGGGGCCTCGTGCGATGTTGACGATGACAGCTAGCTTCTTCATCTTCGCAAAGAAGTCTGTGCTTACGAGGTGTTTCGTGTCTGGTGTGAGCGCACATCCGACGACGACTACGTCGCTCTCTTTTGCGAGTTGGTCTATGCTGCCCGCTGGCTCAATAGGGATAGTAGCATTTGTGATTAGGCCAAAGTGGTCTTCCTTTACAGGTTTTCCAGGTTTGGACGTAAGGTAGATAACTTTTTTGATGCCGAACGGAAGTAGTCTTTGCAGCGAAGCTTGCGCAATCCGACCAAAGCCCAAGAAACCAATTGTCGATCCACGGATTTGTGGACCAGTCATGAGCAGAGGATGCCACGGCATTTGGGGCCATTCGCCCTTTGCGACCTTTGTCATGGATTCTCCAACTCTTCTCTGGGCCATGAGGATGAGCATGACCGTGAGATCTGCCACGGCATCGGTGAGACATGTTGGTGTGTAGCCGAGGCGTACATTGCGCTTCTTGAGCGCGTTTCGGTCAACATGATCAGTACCGACCGAAAACGAAGCGATGGCCTTGAGTTGAGATCCAGCAGCTTCCAAAAGCTCTTCGTCGACTTTGTCTGTGAGCATAACTAGGATGCCACTTGCACCTTTGGCGTTCTCAAGCAACCAGGAGCGTGGGCATGGCTGCATACATCTTGTGAGCAAAGCAAGTCTCTGTCGCCAGTAATGAAACACACCTTTTCGGATTGCCATTGCACAACTTCCAAGTCCTCTTTCTTCACATCGAGTATTCTTTGTGCTTCGTCAATTAATTGACGCGTTACAACAACTTTTGTCTTCGCCATGTTGGTGTTGGTGCGTGCAGCTGAGGCTTCGCCGCAGTCTGCGGGACGCGGGGTTGGCGGGGTAGAGCTTGACTTGGTCTCAATAACACCGTCACGAGGGGTATGCGAAAGATGCAACGAGACTTGCGATAGCCTTTGCATTGAAGCCAACTCGGGGCCAAAGTGTTACCTTCTGGAGACATCCGTTCTCATAAGCTCGCTGCCGGACGCCTTTGGCCCGAATCATCCGCCAATAAGCGCTGAGGAAGAAAAGGCGACTGCTCCACTTGGACAGTCTCTCTGCACTTCTTTACCGTCATCTACTAGAATATCACAACTTGTGCAATTGCTATCGTGAATCTCAAGCTTTGAAAACCACATGCTTGGGCAGTCAACACCTAGCCACGGTTGTACAGTAGACAAGTCGGGAAGTAACATATCCCCTAAAGTAGCATGTACAGCCGACAAGCGCCCCACTTTTACGATATCACGTCGTCTTCGCCCATCTCTATCAACTTCATGTATTTAGCTCCGAGGGTTCCTGCGTATCTCAAAGAGGACTTTTGATCATCGTATTCTCCAACTTATCTACACTTATCTTTAATCAAAAGCAATCATGGAAGAACGAGCGCGCATCCCCGTTGCGCCACCTATCACGACACCATTGTCTTCATACTGGCACAACCCAAAGTCGCCTTTTGCAAATATCATTGAACCTGAGGTGGATAAGGGTACACAAGCCTACGACTATGCCATTATCGGGTCTGGTATCTCCGGCACGGCAATCGCCTATAACATTCTGAACGCTTTGCCTAATGCGCGGGTAGTGATGTTGGAGGCACGTGAGATATGCTCAGGTGCGACAGGTCGCAATGGTGGGCACACGAAAGCGGCAAGCTATCGCAGCTACACGCATCATGCCCAAGAGTTTGGCAAAGTAGAGGCACTGAAGATTGCGAGATTAGAGTATGCTAACATAGTCGAGACGCATAGCATGGCAAAGGACCTGGGCTTGAAGTGCGAGAGTACGTTGTGCAATACGGTCGATCTCATCTACGACAAACCCACTTTCGAGGCGGGAAAGTTGGCCATTCAGATGCTGCGAGCTGACGCAGACGAGCATGAGAAGGAAGTGGGAAAGATGGCATGGTACCAAATACATGAGGAAGTCGCGGATATCCAGAATAAGTTCTCCGTTGCAGCAAAGAACAGCAATCCCACAGTCTCGTCAGAAGAGCAGCTTCAAGGCGCCTTTGAGTACCTAGCTGGACGAATACACGCATACCAGTTTACAACCGGGTTATTAAAAGAGTGCGTTGAGAAAGGACTGCACTTGTGCACAAATACGCCAGTGCATGATATTTGCCCGTCAGCAAAATCAAATAGCGAGACTGGTACTCGTTGGGATGTTTTCAGCCAGCACAACACTGTCACAACAGGAAATGTCATCATCGCAACCAACGGCTACACACCCTATGTCATGAAAGAGCTTCAAGGCGCTATCGTACCAATGCGCGGACAAATCACCGCACAACGACCAGGAACGGCAACAAAGCTTCCAAGTCCGCTACCGACAACGTACTCGTTCATCTATCGTGACGGCTATGAGTACATGATTCCGCGGCCGTTACCGAATGGTGGGCAGCACATAGTTATTGGCGGTGGCTTAGGTCGTCTTCCTGCAGCCGGCCCAAGCGAGTACGGGACAGTTGACGATGGTAATTTGAACCCAGAGATCTCCAAATATCTCCACGAGAGCTTGGCTGGATATTTTAGTGCTGAGAACTGGGGTGAAGCGTCTAAAGAAGAAGAAGCGCGCCGTGTGGCACAGGAGTGGACAGGCATAATGGGTGCTACAGCCGATGGACGACCATTTGTAGGCGAGGTGCCGGGCAAGAAGGGTATGTGGATATCTGCAGGCTTCAACGGTCATGGGATGGTGCTGTGTCTCAAGTCGGCGGAGGCGCTGGTGAAGATGATGGGAACTGGCCACAAGAGTAAAGCACCGGATTGGTTTCCTGAGAGCTTTTTGCTCACACAAGATCGGCTGGCGAAGTGCAGGTTCCAAGGTCGCACCGATATGCAGGTACCCAAATGAGGGGTTACCGGCCTAGACATAGCATTGATGAGTATGATTGTTGGAAAGCAGCTGAAACAGGCGTGTCAATTTTGTTCACGTGAGTGCAGCGTCGTGCAGAGGGCGACTGTCGTGGCAGAGCTGGGATGGAGGTGAATGCTATAGACAGTTGGGGTCTTGGGCGACTTGGTTGATGGAGCCCCACTTGGCGCGAAACGTCATCAGTGGCGGCGGAACATTCCAAGCCACGGTCACTGCGCGGCTATCACGAGCCCAGAGCTTCAACAGGCGCGACTTGCCCCATACAGACAGCAATACACTCGACATAGACGCACCAGACGCACCAGACGAAGCACTACAGCCAACATGTCTGAGAAAACCAGCACTGACAAGGCGAGCCAAATAGCAACTACAAGGGAGCTCCCCCACTAATAATCGACAGCCCCCCGAGAGCCCAACGACGGCGCGTGAGCTCGACTTTGACGACGACAACGACACTTCGGCTGTCTCGGCGCAGGACAACACCAAATCGCCGTCGCCAGGCTCCAAGTCGCCCAAGCCCGGCGTGCGCTTCAACGAAGAGGCCACCGAGATCCCTCCCCAGAAGCCACCGCGACCGGTGGACCCCCAAGTGCAGGCGCAGAACACGCTGATTGAGGCTTTCCCCAGCGTCGACGCCAATGTTGTCAAGGCGGTGCTGGTGGCCAGCGGGGGCAAGGTCGAGCCTGCCTTCAACGCGCTGCTGAGTACGTGGCTGCCTGTTGCTAGCATGTGGGTGAGGGGTATAGCTAACCAGCGCAGGCATGTCGGATCCCAACTTCAAGGCCGAGGAAGCTCCTCCACCGCAGCCACCGCGACCCCAGCCCCGTAGCCAGCTGGAGCAGGACGAGATGTACGCGCGACAGCTGGCCCAGCACTACCAAAGCCAAGGCGGCCCGGGCGCACAGCGAGGTTATGCATCGCGTGGCCAAGCGCAGCGACAACGGCCTGGCGAAGCCGACCGGGAGCACAGCTTCTTCGATGGTAGGCTCAGACGGTATCCATACATGTGTGCTCGCTAACACCCAGGCAGACGACCTCCCCGAGATTCGTAAGAACATCGAACAAGGATTCAAGGAGACGCAGAAGACGGTCACAAACTGGATCAGCAACTTCACCAAGAAGCTTGACAGCGGTGAGATGGAAGAGTACGACAGGTACGGCAATGTGCAGTACACGGGACGCCAGCCACCACCACAGCAGAGACAGAACTTTGGCCCCTCCCAGTCAGATCAGATGTATGGCATCCGCAAGTCGGCTGAACAGCGACGGTCGGCAGACCACAACCGCTACGATGCCGACAATCGAGTCATTGGCGACGACTTTGCAAAGCTCGAGCTGAGAGACAACGAGGGTATGTTGGACCCACCATGCATGCAAACCGCCGCTAACAAGTCGCAGGGCCGGGCCCGCGATCGTCAAGTCGTCCAAACGCAAACCCCGACCTCTTCAAGCCCACACCCGTGTCCCCACCCCAGAGCGGCCCTGTTGACGAAGTCGATGCCCTCTACCGCAACCCATCACCCAACAACCAGGGCGGCCAGGGCAAATCGAGCGGCAAGAAATGGCAGCCCCTCACCTCCGTTGCGCCCAACCCAGAGCCCGATGACCATGACCCTTTTTCTCTTGGCGACAGCGATGATGAGGACAAGGACGTGAAGAAGCAGGACACAAACCCTGAAGATACCGAGAGGCTGAAGAACGCTGCTCAGAACAGCCCAGGCCCAACAACCGGCAAGCTCAGGCCTGCAGAGCGAAGCGGAAGTGTCAGTCAGAAGGACGCTACCATGGAGGCATTACTGAAGGAAGCGAAATAACAAGCCACTTTCCATCGCCCGATGAGGCCTGGGACCCGGCAATACCATGTGGATTTGGTAGCCTGGTATACATCTCGTCTGCGGCATACTAGTAGGTAGGATGAGTCTCAACTTTACTTGATCCGCTGGGAATACTGGTCCATGATTGCATGTCCTCCCATCTTATCTCTTCGCGTTGATTCTCTTTGAATTTTGGAACATGTAGCATGTTTAGCGTTTCTCCAACCAAAACTCGCCCGCAGCATACTTTGACATCAGGAGGAAATAGGCTGACTTGCGGATCGGACCAAGTGACATCGGTGGCGGATCGAGCTGAGGTGAGCTGTCATGTTAGGCCGGGTATATGTGTTTAGAGTTCAGAAGCACCGCCCCTTGACTTACCTCTTTGGACCCTGAAAAGGTTTCTTGGCATCTTGTGGATTCATACCTGATCCGCCACGCTTTCCCCGCACTCAGCGTCTACCGCTTTTTATGGGTGGGGTGATTGCTTCGATATGTTGCTCCCATGGTATCTGGCTGTGTCAGGCTAGCTTGTCTTAGCCCCATCGCTGAACATTTCCTTACTATCTCGACTTCGGCCCTACCACTCATATCTTTTCTGCCATCTTCTACGCTCTCAACCTTCAGAAACATCGATGCAACCATGTGATCGAATTGAAAAGCGTTCGTATCGATTACGAATCATCGGGGTCGGAAAACACTGCCACCAATGGCTTTGCTCGGCGACGCCATAGCCCATCAATACGTTAGTAGGCTTCGAGGTCACGATATCTACCCTTGGAGTTTCAGCTGCTTGTAAGTTCATCTCACGATATGGATCTCGCAATGTGGGTGTATTGGTTGAGAGGCCGTGAGGCTGGGCAATACCCCCTTGTCAGCTGAAATGTACGTCAGATCTGACCGCCAACCGTTCACAACAGGAGATCTCAGCCTTTCAGCAATACGCTGGTCAGCAACACCATTCGTCGCATGTAGTTCGCAGGAAGCATGATCTTCCCGCAACTAGATCCTTGCGGGAGGACATGATCGATTCTTGGCAGTGTCTCTACTCCACGACAATGGTCCTCCACACCGCTTGGCTATGAACGTGGCTTGGATTTTGGCTTTACGTCTGCCTCAATATGGCGAACTCCACGTCATAACGACAGTTCACCTGATGGTAAGCTGGGTTATTTCTGGGAAAAAGGAAATGCTGCGAGTATGGACAGACGTGGACAATGTCGCGAAAGCTGAGTATCGTTGTGTATAAAGCATACTGACTCTTGCTCACATCATCGATACTACAACCCCAGCATCTTCTACATATCTTCAAAACATCCATCATGGCAACATTCACCCCTATCCCGCTTCCCCAAATTGATGAACCGGCCGAGTACAACACGAACTACGTTCTGTATTGGCACCATGTCGGCTTGGAGCTTAACCGCGTTACACATACCGTCAAAGGCCCGCAGACTGGCCCACCAATCTCCGCTAGAGCTCTGGGCATGCTCCAGTTGGCTGTACACGATGCCTACTTCGCCATCTGCCCCTCTTCTAGCTTCCCGACCTTTTTGACATCTGGTGCCGACAATCCTGCCTATGCTCTGCCCGAGCTGCACGGCGCGGACGATGCCCGCCAGGCGGTAGCTGGTGCTTCTGTTACTATGCTGTCTATGCTTTACATGAGGCCCCCTACCACCCCCAACCCCGCCACCATTTCTGATGACGCCTATGCACAGCTTCAGTATGTCATTGACAAATCAGTAATCGATGCACCCGGTGGTGTAAATACAGCGTCCTACAGTTTCAAATTCGGAAAGGCAGTAGCTACTGTTTTCTTCAACCTACTCTTCCACGCTCCAGGTACCGACCAAGCTGGCTACCACCCCACACCCGGCCCATACAAGTTCAACGATGAGCCCACTCACCCCGTCGAGCTTGTTCCCGTTGACGCAAACAACCCGGATGGTCCTAAGCGGCCTTTCCGCCAGTACCACGCCCCGGTAAAAGCCCTCTTGCACGAACTTCATATGAGACATACACTAACTTCGTTCATTGAATTTTTAGTTCTATGGCAAGACTGCTAAGCGTTTTGCTACACAGACTGAACATATGATTGCTGACCCACCCGCCATCCGTTCTGCTGCTGGTGAGCAAGCTGAATATGACGATAGTGTTCGTCAAGTCATTGCCATGGGTGGAGCTACCGGTCTCAGCTCCACCAAGCGCAGCCCCTTCCAGACAACTCAAGGCATATTCTGGGCCTACGATGGTCCTAAATTGATCGGCACGCCACCTAGACTTTACAACCAGATCGTCCGCCGCATCGCAGTGACATACAAGAAGGAAGAAGACTTGACTGGCAGCGAAGTTAACAACGCAGACTTTGTCCGTCTCCTTGCTCTGGTCAACGCAGCTTCTGCTGATGCGGGAATCTTCTCCTGGAAAGAGAAGTGGGAATTTGAATTCTGGCGACCACTCTCTGGTGTTCGTGACGATAACTTGCGCGACCCAAATCGCCCAGATCGTGGCGACCCTTTCTGGCTTACTCTCGGCGCCCCAAATACAAACACAGACGACATCCCTTTCAAACCCCCCTTCCCCGCTTACCCCTCTGGTCACGCCACATTCGGCGCCGCCGTCTTCCAGATGGTCCGCCGCTACTACAACGGGCGAGTTGGAAACTGGAAAGACGATGAAGTGGACAACATCGCCATCGATTTCGTATCCGAAGAGCTCAACGGCTTGAGCCGTGATCTCCGCCAAGACTACGACCCCAAAGCGCCCATTACTGATCAGCCAGGTATCGTGCGCACACGAGTTTTACGCCACTTTTCTTCCGTCTGGGAGATGATGTTCGAGAACGCAATCTCGCGTATCTTTCTCGGTGTCCACTGGCGCTTCGATGCTGCGGCCGCCAAGGATATTTTGATCCCCACGACGACAAAGGATGTCTACGCTGTAGACAACAACGGCGCTTCCTTGTTCCAAAATATCGAGGATATCCGTTATACGACTATGGGTACAAGGGAGGGTCACGATGGGCTTTTGCCGATTGGTGGTGTGCCGCTTGGTATTGGGATTGCGAATGAGATCTTTGATACAGGTCTCAGGCCTACCCCATCGGAGAGACAGCCAGTGCCGCCGCCTCCAGTCAACCAGAGGGGACCGACGAAGGAGATGTTGGAGGAAGCGGGAAGTGAGGAGCAGGTCCCTATGATGGATGTTGCGCCCTGAGATAAATGGGGGTGGTTGTCAGGCAGTTCGCTGCGTTCTCCTTGACTTAACAGATGAGTCTCGGTTCGGCAGTGGTTCGAGCCTTCGTATGTAGCATAGGTATTCATCGAATGCATGTATTGCAGAACACACAGATCATCTTTTGACTTGCAAAGCCATCTCCATACCCTTCAAGCCTCTTCCTGGAAGTAAGCTTTGCCTTGTGGCTGCAACCTGCCCCAACTTATTTTCTGATCTTCATAACTGTGGGTTGCTTCCGCCACGCTGCAAGACTTGCTAGCAGAGCCACACCGCTGACGACAGAGCAAACGACAAGAGTCTCGTTGAATGCATCTGTATACGTTTGGCGAACGGCGAAGGCCGCGTCTGGTGAAAGGGTACGCATGGAATTGGCAAGTGATCCCAACTGCGCAACACTAACCACCATCGGGTCTAGAAGCTGCCGACGCTGTTTGACACCTAAGATAGCTGTTGATGCAGCGATACCGATACTTCCCCCTAGCACACGCACCTGAGCCATGATGCCTTGTGCGACCGCTGTATCGCGCTGCTCGGCTTCAATGGTTGCGAGTAAAGTTGAATTACTGACAGTCAGGCCGAAACCAAAGCCGAGGAAGACTTGCAGCCCATAGGCTCGAGCTTGCGGAACCACAGTATTGCCTAGTGTAGACAGAGATGCAGCTCCAACTAGCATAAGAGCAGCACCGACGACGTTGACCGGGAAGGTGTTGTTTCTTTTACTCGAAGCCGCACCAGCAATAGTCGTTCCGATAGCAGAAGCACCAAGCATTGGTAGTAGAGCTATGCCCGACACAATAGCATTTTTTCCGTTGACCACCTGGAACCGTGTCGGCAGCGAGTATATGATGAAGAAATATGGGAAGCCTGTCAGCATCGTCGTGACCACTGCTGATATGTAGACTCTGTTCTTAGCTAGTCGTATTGGGAAGAGTGCACCTACAGTGTCAGGCCAGCGCCTTGCAACGAACCACTCCCAGGCCAAGAGCGCGACAAAGCATAGGACACCGACGACGAGTGGAGCAACGAAAAGTGCAGACGACCAGACGGCGCTATCCAAGAGAATCTGGATCCCAGCTTGCTGGAAAGCAATTACCGAAGGTACAGAAGAAGCAACCAAGAGAAGGAAACCTAAGATATCGATCTGCTTGAAACTGCGGCGCTGGAAACCTCGGACCCGAGCGTTTTCGGACCACGCTCCAATGAAAAGGATAAGCGGGATGATGCCAACAGGAGCATTCGCCCAGAAGACCCAGCGCCAAGACGTATAGTTCGTTATGACACCGCCTAGAACTGGCCCCAGAATGCCAGACATCGCAATGATGGCTCCTGCCAAAGCACCGATCATCTTGGACATACGCGGCGATGCAATCTCAGTAAGAATAACGAAGCCCACTGAGTACAAGCCTGAACCGCCCACTCCCTGTAGTGCCCGCATGGCTATGAGCTGGTCGAGACTTTGACTGAAACCACATCCGAGTGAGAAAGCGAGGAAGATTACAAATGCAGCGACATAGGCGTTACGACGACCGATCACGTCGGAGAGGCTGGCAAAGATGGCAGTGCAGCCAACGTAGGCAAGTGTGTACTAGATGTGAGTACACAATGTCATTAAATATCTCACTTACAGTTTTTACAGGCGCACTTACTGACAAGGCAATCCAATTGACCTTGGATAATGAGTGGAATTCTACACTAATTGTGTAGATTGCAGTTGCGATGATCGATGTGTCCAAGAACGATAAGAAGAGCCCAATACAGACACTAGACGGTAGGCCGTCAGATCAAGGCTATTAAAGCCAGATTTAATAACTTACCTGCCATATAACGACACGAGTCTCCATGTTGCGATGCCAGGCGCTGTAGCAGGTCCTACTGCGATGGTATCAGGTCTAGCATTTATCCGAGCCTGCTCATCGTGGGCAATATTGATGTCGACTGGAGCCAAGATCGTCTGGGCACTGGTAGCTTTTTCGATATCCATGTTTGAGTTTTGTATGCGGCTTTAGGTAGTCGTGTGGACTAAAAGCGCTTTCCCGGCACACTTCTCACTGTAAGTACAGCTTCCGGACCAGACACCAGTGTGAGCGGGATCCGGACGTAAAATCCAATAACCTTGCAGCTTTTAGGCTGCGACTCCGCTTCGTAGGATATTTCTTGTTTTCTCATTGCGGCGTAGTAGTGAGAAGATTCTGTACAACGTCGCAGCAATTGATGTGTCGACTATGGATCGCATGTACCGCTCCTACGGCCGTACCTGAATTTGAAAAAGCAATTGTGTTGTTGGGAAATCTTAGCCTCACTGGAAGTCTAACCGGGCGTACGCCTTGCGTCCAACGCCATCAATATGTGTCGCTTACTGGTTTCTCTAACGTCGCACAGCTTCTACGTTAGCAACCTTGCGAGTTCATCAGCGCGCTAGTATGTCCAGGTGGTCAGACAAGTGAGACATCTGCTTTTTTGGGTTGGGTTGATGCGGGCCACTTTCTGTTTTCTTGGACGAATCTTCTTGCGGGGTAACAATGATGCTGATTTGTTCGTCGGTATGCGAAAACATATCCAATATGCGGAGTGCGCAGACTAGCACCCAATAAGCTACTACTTCTCCGAGGCCTAACGTTCCGAGATATTGTATGTTGGAGCCGTCAACAATCTTTTTCTCGCCTCCATTTCAGATATGGTATTAATTCCTTATCCGTCGGTACAACTCTTTTCCATTCAGGCTCGATCCCATCCACAGGTGCGATACCCCTCAATCTGTCGCGATAGAAGATGCGATAGCTATCGAGTGCATAGGCGCCCATACCAGGCAGATGCGCAATCTCCCAGCCTTCTCTTTCATCATCAGGCCCTAAAATCTCTCCTGGCTTAACATCGGCACCACAACCATGATTGGGGTAATGTAACCTCCTGTACCTTCGTTCTTTGCACGGAGGAGCCGAGAGCCAGGTTTTCGCTAGTGCTATAAGGCGAGCCGCTCGAATTCGATGGAGGCCAATCGGTTGTAGCATTGTGGTTAAGTCTTCGAGAGATGCGGCGGACAGCTCATTTGGCGAAGGGTAGGCTGCGAGTATCTTGAAAAGAACTGGGCGTGCCATTTGGCCACGCGTTTGATTCCATAGGATCACTTGGACTACTAATGCGTACAGGCTGTCGCATACCCGCTCCTGGATAAGTCCATATTTTGCAGGCTGAAGCTGAAAAGGGAAGTCTGGCGGTTCTGGTATCACCGCTGGGTGGTCTTCGGTGTCTATCCGAGTAGATGTCCTCGTTGGAGTTTTGCGCGCCTTAGGCGCGACTTTGGTCTTTCGCTTCTCTTGCGGGGCATTGGAAGCTACTCGACGGCTTCGCAAGGTGACTGGCATGATCAGGCATTAGATCCAACCGTCAGATAGATATTACTGATCAAGCTCATACGCGCGTCTCAAACAGCGCATCGCTCTGGCGGCCAAAGACCTATATGGAAAGCTTGCAGCCGGTTTCATGACGCTAATGGGAAGTCGATGATGTAACGCGTTATTGAGCCGCGCCATCAGGCCAACCCCCCTATCTGGTTAGGACTCTAGAGCATGCTTTTGGAACTGGTGTTTCGAATGAGTCGAGATGTACTGTGGAAAGTGAAACGCAGCTTCCCAACCAAAAGTGAGAGTGCTCTGACATAATCTTCATTGTTCGATACCGCCCCACCCATTTCCGACCCACTCGGCAAGAACCCGGCACCACATCGGGATCCGGCAACAGTCTTACAAACCTCTATTCAATGCCGCACTCCATAACTCTAACAACAAACAAACATGTCCTTCGACTTGGATGATGACGAAACGCTCATATCGATATCGCGCACCGATAGATATGAAGGCGAAGACACGAGTCCTACTACCGACCGCGAATTGAAAGCTTGGTATGCTTATCCAATCGCAGCCGAAGTCTTCGCTGTAGTCGCAGTGGTACGTCATAGTCCTCTCCTTCACCAAACACAAACGCACCTCCTTTGTTAGGATTTTTTGCTCAAAATACTAGGGTGCGTTTCTCCCAGTGATTCTCGAGCAATTGGCCAGAGAGAATGGCGTTTTCTTCTCCGATCATTCAACACCGTGTGTTGATCATTCCGCTTCCGGAAGACTCCGGATACGCGAAAACGCAGGCCAGAAGGCCGAAGGAGGAGACTCTGAGCAATGCATGGTGAGATATCTTGGAAGAGATATGTCAACGAGCAGTTTTGCGATGTACACCTTCTCTACCGCTGTGTTACTTCAAGCTGTGGTCTTGATATGTTTTAGTTCCTTCGCTGATCATGGTAAATATTAGCACACAGTGTCCAATGATTCGATAATCACTAACATTATCGCTAGGCCCGTACCGCAAGAAGATGCTCATGTTCACATCATACATGGGCGCACTAGCAAGTTGTCTCTTCATTTTCATCTCGCCATCACTATATTACTTGGCTCCAATCCTAGTAATCGTTGGTGTTTCAAGTCTAGGCTGTTCATTCGTGTTGCTAAACGCATTCCTACCGCTACTCGTCGCCAACCACCCAGATAACAACACCTCCGGAAAATCATTCACATCTGATTCAGCGTCAGACGTCGAGCTGGAGTCCCTGAATCTCTTGGAACAGAACCAACAGAATCCCACCAGTGGACCTCCTTCGTCTGCTCACCACATGGACCCAAATCGATTGAAGCGGGATTTAGAGCGAAGTGCGCAAATCTCAAGTAAAGGCGTGGGGTATGGCTACATGTCCGCCGTCTTCGTACAGGTTTTGGCTATCTTGATAATCTATCTCTTCAGCAAAACCAGCCTTTCGAAAACCTCGCCTAGTCTCTCCATTCGAGTTATCCTATTCATGGTCGGCCTATGGTGGGCCATCTTCTCTATTCCAACATTATTGTGGTTGCGTCCGAGACCAGGTCCACCGCTGCCCACCCAGAATAACCAGAGCTTCTCCGGAGGGGAGCCGTCGAAATTGCGCACGTTCTTGTTCTACACGTCCTTTTCTTTGCGTAGCTTCTGGGGAACACTCAGGAGAGCGATAAGACTACGACAGACATTGCTCTTTCTGATATCGTGGTTCCTGCTTTCAGATGCAGTAGCAACAATATCTGGAACTGCGGTCCTCTTCGCACGCACAGAGCTAAATATGGGTACTATCGCTATCGCACTATTATCCATAACGTCCATCGGATCAGGCATCATAGGCGCATTCGCATGGCCGCATGTACAGAGGCGCTATGGATTACAGCCAAAGACGGTACTGCTGTGTTGTGTAGCGGGCATGGAAATTATCCCATTATACGGATTACTCGGATTCATCCCCCTGTTCAAGAGCTTGGGGTTTATTGGTTTGCAGAAAGCATGGGAGATTTACCCCATCGCCATTATTCATGGAATTGTCATGGGTGGTATATCATCGTATGCGCGGTCTGTATATGCTCCATTGATTCCAGAAGGCAGTGAGGCCGCGTTCTTTGCATTATATGCTGTTACAGACAAGGGTAGCAGTGCTTTCGGTCCAGCTCTCGTAGGTTGGATTGTTGACCAGGCGGGTACGATACGCCCTGCCTTCATCTTCCTGGCTGTATTGGTAGTGCTACCAGCACCACTTTTGTGGCGATTGGACGTCGAGAAGGGGAGGGAAGACGCGCGTGCCATGGCAGACGGAGATGTTAAAGGACGGGGGGTGTATGAGAGGGTTCGTGAAGAATAATGAACCGACAATCGGAGTCGGTGGGTATGATATTGCGTAGATGATAGTACGCCGCCCAATGCTGTAAACGCCAAATGATGATATCCCTCAAGCCCGTTCTTCCATCTTCGGTCGCTTGCTGTCCCGATCGTGGTCATCTCCAAATCTCTTCCTCTCACCGAGCGGTTTTGCGTTTGCACCTGAAGGCCCCTCCCTATCCCGGTCTCTCCCGCCATGAGCATCAGGCCTGAATCTCTCATCCACGCCGAAGTCGCCCTTGTCTCTTCGCGGCCGGTCATCACCAAAGTCACCCCATTTGCCTGTATCCTCAGTCTTCATGTCCCTGTACCTTGTCCGACCCTTTTTGCCCAATTTTGTCATGTCCCTGATTTGCATGTACTCAGGCAGGATCTCTCGATTTGTCTCATCCTCGAAGCGCGCATTCATCAGATTCCGTCGATCTACTCCCAGTTCCTTTAGCTCATCTGTAAAGAAAGCACCCTTGTGGAAGTACTTTTGCATGTACTGCATCTGCCCGCGATCGCCCTTTTCTTCTTGTTGTTTCTCGATATGAGCGCGGTCTTCGGCTTCGCGTTCGGCGGCGGAGAGGTTGCGACGGCGCTCGATCTCTGCACGCTCAGCTTCGGCTTCTTCAATCGCGAGGCGTTCGCGTTTGATGCGCTTGAGTTCGCGAAGTTTCCAGGCGGCATACTCGGCATCGGGATCAACACCGTCAGTGTCGTCAATGGCGTTGATGTCGGCCTCTTCGACGTCGTCGTCCCAGTCTCGCTTGCCCGCTGCCTTCTCTGCTATGCGCTGCTCAATCTGCTCTTGTACCAGCGCTCTATTCTGCTCCTGTCGCCGCGCCTCCTCTTCTGCTGCTATGTCCTCTGCTGATTTGACGGGCGCCACTTTGTGCCGTTCGTTCTTCTTGAGAAACACTGGTCGCAGCAGTTTCTTCGGTGCTTCGTCCTCGCTACTTGACTCTTCCTCAGATGATTCATCCTCACTGCCGCTACCACTCTCGCTACCGCTGCCATCCTCTTCCTCTTCTTCCTCGCTTTCTGTCTCGAACTCATCTTCTATCGCCTTGCGCTCCGCTTCAGATTTTTGTCGCGATGCGAGTTTGGGTTTGAGCGCTGACTTAGGGAACGATGATGCGATTGGCGCAGGCTTTGGCTTTGCAAAAGGTTTTGGCTTTGGCTGCTCCTCTTCCGATTCTGATTCCGAGCTCGACCGTTCTTCGGGTTCAAGTGCTGCTGTTGGCTTGCCAGCGAATTGGCGCGTTCGTACGGGCTGCGCCGTGAGTTTCTTAGATTTTGGTGGTGGCATCGTGGCGACTTTCAGGATAGTTGGCGTACAAAGAAAGTGTGCAAAGTCGAGTGAACCGCGAACGCGATACCGCGGCTCCTGCAAGCGGCTTGGCGCGCGTCAGGCCTGCTGTACGAGAGACCTCGTATTGTGTGCGTAAAGACTACCCGGCTAAGTTACACGCAATCACCATATAGAGATAGAGGCTGATCGCTGCAAATCCTGTTATAAAGTCTTAGTTTCTTGTCCTGATACGCAGAGGAAGAATTGTAACCTCTTTTGGTCGCCACGTTAAGATATCTACAAACACAAGCACAAAATTGCCTGCGTATGTAGCCAAATAGAAGAAGATCATGCTCAAGCCAGAATTTTGATAGAGCTGCTCACTTAACATCTCACATAGCAGATATCTCCTGTCGACTGCCCTGGAAGAGGATTGTGACTTCTCTGTCCATCAGTATCAGCAAAACCATCCTTTCAGTTTGTGTTGTGACAGCTACAATATCAACCCTCATGACAAGGAAAAGTAAGAAAGTTATGAGAAACAAACCCTACGTAGTTAAAACATTACGATTCTATTTCAACTTAGCAAAACTCGTTTGGCATATCTAGGCGCATATTACTCAATGAGAACAACATGCTAATTCATTCTGAGACTGGGCGCCACCGTTCCGAGTATTGTGTACTATCGAGCCAGAGATAACATTATATGAATTGCAGAGTCAAGCAGGATCTACATAGGAAGAACAGCCAAGACCGCAATCAGAGATTTCACGCTGGAAAAGTGGTCTGCATACATGCCAGGCGACTGCACTTATTGACGTTGCCTAAAATTGTGAGATGAGCTGAGTAAATTAGTCATACAGGTACGGTTAACCCGATGCTTTGAAGTAGTTATACTTGAATTTTTTTCATTATTCACTCCTTTAGAGTTTTTGTTATCCTGGATTGAGGGTACTTATCACAGGGTGATAATTCCCAGTGACTTAAGCACAGGCATTTTCGCCGTCCTTAAAACGCCCGTCGTATCAGAGCCGGTCTTAGGAAGGCCTAAATATGTCGACCAGGCAAACAACTATATATACAATAACGCCTGTTGATGCAGTGACAGTATAAGGAAAATGATGATCAAATCTATTGACCAATGAAATGCTCACTGAAAGTACCACCCAATGCAATGCACGCTCGAACGCAGCAAATATCGTGTCCTCAGGACTAAATGATGGGCAATCAAAGCAAGCCCAGAAAGTTCGTAAAGTTGTTACGTGAAAGTAAGCGATACCCGTTCATCGGAAGATGGGTTGTTGAGGAACAGGTAGTTGGTTGAACTGGTTAGTCTCAGGCCATGCACTACGGTCCATGTACGGCAGAAGCCCGGAGCGACGATCGGTCATTGGTCGACCCAAAGGCTGGTATTGCATCTGATCGTATCCGATGTTCCTCGCTGGGTTGTGGATCGACGTCGAAGGTGGGGGTACAAGTAGAGTCTGCACGCTGCGGACCGGTCGGTAAGGAGACTGGCGTTGATTAAGGAAATGCGACGGAGATAATTGTCTCGAACCGGTTGCGGGATAGTTTCCAACAGGTGAAGAACCAGCTGACTGGGGATACGGACTGATCTGTCGGGACTGGTCGGTAGAAGGCGTGTAGTTGTGAGGGTAGGAGGGTGGGCCCGATGAAGTTGGTGTGCTAGTCGGTTGCTGCCATTGGACGGGTGGAGGGTAAACCATGGCCATGGATCGTCCACCAGGGACCGGCAAAGGAAGATCTGACCAGTTCTTCAACTGGGTAGGTGGCATCTGCTGGGGTGGAGGTATCGAAAGACTTGGTAAAGGAGGTAGTCGGTTTACGGATGGTGGTGGCTCGAATGACCTATTGATAGGCGTCTGCAACGTCGGGATTAAAGGTGCATTACTGTAAGGACCAGGTGCAAATCCATGGGCCTGTCGCTTCGTTGGAGGCTCAATGCTGTAATCGGCACTGCGTTTACGTTGGATGGGGCCTAATTCTGGCAGAGCACCAATCGGAGAGACGGTGGCGGACGTGGCCTGTGGTTGTAAAAGCGGGGTATTCGAGAATGCCATGTGGTTTGGCGAGTACATCATCGAAGTTGGTGGTGACGTTTGCTGTTGAATGGGCGGTGACGGAGCGTAGGTTTGTGGTAGGCCGAGCATGTTCTGGGGGCCAACTGGGCTTACAGCACCCGATGCTGGAATCTTAGATGCTCGATCAAAGAATGTGCCAAACTTGCCCAGGATGCCGTGCCACTCATTCCACTTCTCCTTGGACGTGAACAAGCTGTATCGCATGTTGCTAAGAAATTCGACCTCCATGATGTGCACCTCCTGCACCGAGATACCCGAGACCTCGGCCCATGTCTTGTTGGTGTATGTGTTGTCATCGAGAAATTTGTTGCCCAGCATAAGAGCTACAGTCAGTAAACGATACTCGCTACCGGGCTTCCCCTTGACCGTGGGGTTGGTCAGCTTCAGCCTGTATATGAAAAGTAATGCCAGAAGAATGACATTTTGAGCAACCTGCGTAGTGGTCAAGATAGTTGCTACCCACTTTCTGAATCCAGTTGTGGGATGTGCGTCAGGAACGAGAGGCTGCATAGGCTGGCGTGGCGAGGCGGTCTCGAGTACTTGCTTGAGAGTTGTTGAGCTCTCGAACCAGAAGAGACATGTCACCTGGTGAGTCAGTTTCAGAACCAAGGGTGGGAGGATGTCAAATTACCTCTGCTGCCAGTTGAGGGAGACCCTCTTGCGGCGTGCTGATGGTTGGTGGTATCTTCAGGTTTGGCGATATGGTGTACTTCTTTCTCGGTGTCTGGGCCATCTCTTGTGCTTGCGGTGCTTGTCTTGGTGGACTAGGACTTCTTGCAGCAGCCACTGATCTGGAGTTGCCAATAGCAGGCAGCTGGTAGCCGTACTGATGCCCGGCACCCTGGTTTGGTGGAAGTGAAACTACCCTCACTGCTGAGCCCGGGAGGTCCGGGGGTGTGAGGGGAGCTCTTGGGGCTGTTCGTAGCGGGTCGTGCTCATAGTTATTGGAGATGCTCGGGTAGGGAAGGTGCATCGTGGAGTCGAGCTTTGAGGAGCTGCGAGGTGCCGTGGCATACGGGTTGAAGGGAGGCTCCCGCGGCAGGGCGTGAGGCATTGGGTGAGGGAGCTGTAGCTCGAGCATATGGACGGCAAGAGACCAGGTGGAGAGGACAAGGTGAATGATGAAAACGGCGGCGACGTCAATGGCAACAGGCGGTCATGTCCGGGCAGCTATTGTTTGCACGCTACTATTTTGCCTCAACCTTGGTCTGGAAGGATGGTGTTGACAATGGCCAGGTATGGATGGGGAGCAGGAGCAGGATGGACTAGGCCAATCAACGCCAGGCAGAATCCGGTGCACGGCAACGACGCTTGCAACTAGGCTTGTAGGAGGTGAGGGTTTGGCAAAGGAGGGTGCAGAGGGACACAATAAAGAGACGTCAGGCCCGGTGAGCGTCCTTTGCGGATGGTGCTATGCCGTGAGCGGCTTGGTGTTGGGTGTGGGTAGTGGTGGTGGTAGTGGTGAGTGATTGATTGTGACTGTAGGGAGGCGGATTATCGGGGGCCCGCACGCTGGCATGGCCGTTGGACTTGAATAAAACATAGGTAATTCACACACACGGAGTCGTGAAGGCTCGGAAGGTTCCAGGCAGGAGCGAGCAGGGTAGGAGGAACGCCCCAAGAGGCTGATCCAGGACCCAGAAGGAGAAGCCGCGCTCTGACATCAACCGCGCCTGGAAGGAGCTAGGGGCGCACGGCCCCCAGCACAAAGCAACCGCGACCGGGGGTTCGCCGCGAGGACAGGAGCGACCGACGCTGCTAGCAGCCAAGCCGCGCGGGCTAATTACATACTACTACAACAAGTACAGCACGAGCGACGTGAATAATCAATCCCTGCGCCAAACCACCCCAGTACCAGCTGCGCCGCGCGATACAGCCTCAGCGCTCCCGACCCGTCTGATTGGCGCCCCCTCATTCGCAGGCGATGCATAGTGCGCGTCCAGAGGGGCTTCAGCCATCTTCCACCCCACCACACACGACCTTCCCAGTGCGCACTGCGACAGTGGGACACCATCCGGCCACAAACGAAGAAACGATAGCGCTGGTGGGCCTCATCAACGACCTGCAGCCTACATGGTAGGCCTGCTGCCTCCCCGGAGCGCTGCCGTCTCAGACACGACGACTGATCAGAGAATGTGAGATCCCTTACGCATCGCGGCCACCTGCACCCGCCAAGGCGGAGCATACACCACGAATGAAGGCCGCTGTCTGCCACATCCAAACTTTGCCAGCAGCAGGAATTGCCGTAAGCGGCAGCCATCCATGAATAATCGCTATCCTAATCACCCTCCACCAGCGCCAGGCGGTCTGGAAGGGCACTTTACGCGTGCAGCGTTCCGCCCATGCCGTGTTTGACCAACTGCTGCCAGCTTGCCGCCCTCAGGCATCTAAAAAGCACACAGGCACGCTGATGCAAGCGCAAGCATAGCGAACTGGCGAGACTGGCAGACGACGGCGCTGTGCTGCCAGACGAGGAAGCGACACGAACCAGTCGCCCAGCCAGCCCGCCCTAGCCAAATCGCCGTCTTACCTTTCCCTAAGCATGCTCTACATCCGAGCCCGAACCCTGTCCTCCGCGAAGCTTCCCATGCTGAAGTTTGAGCGAGTGCTGCTGATCTTCAATCCTCTTTTTTTTTTTGCAGATGATTTTGCTTCGTGACTTCCAATCATGTGGAGCTCGACCGCTGCAGCCCTCGGTTCCGATGCTTCCGGCGAATGGCAAGTATGATGCACCCCCGACGCTAGACGAACTGTTGTTATTGAGGCCGGCCATGTGTTGCGTGCAATCCAAGTTGAGGCAATCTGCACTGCAGAACCGTCATTTTGCAACGCCCCTGACGAAACACGAATCGGGCTATTGCGCGCGCCTCAGTTGCTGCATTCTGCATTCCATCACGCTGCCCATCAATCAGGCTGGCCATAGCTGCTGCTTGGGCATGCGGCTTGCTTGGTGCATCCACCTGTCCCGGACGCCTGTGTTGCATGTCTGGCAAATCTTGCAAACGACGTCCAGTTCCAAGGTTGCCATTGCTGACCCGTCCAACTAGCACCGGCGTCGTGAAGCATGATTGCTTATCGAGTCGCCTGCTTGGCTAGCAGCGCTAACCGTGAAACCGTGACGGAAATATGGCCAGAGCAGCAAGGGATACGCAGCCCGTAATCTATCGATAGCACTGAGCAGAGTCTGTGCCGCCGGTGATCCTGCTTCGCAATGCAATGAGGTTGTTGATGGAACGGTGGAGCTTAGCAAAGCGAGCGCCGTCATACGTACATGTGCAGGGGGTGCCCGTCGCGCTTTCCTCGGTCCGTCACTCACTTGCAAAAAAAGAGCTGCCCACGTAATCGCGTCTACATAACACATGGATGGCAAACGCTTGCAATCACCAAGCATGGATGCATTCCAGATGCTTGTTAGTAGCCATCCACCACTCGTCAAGCTATAGCATCGGTACGATGTCGGTGTGAGGAGCGACATCTCAAACACGCCCCTTCGCTCCATGCCAACGGGAGGCTCGGGATGCCTGGACGACTCGGCTGGCGATTCGCTGATACGCGTGATACGACCGCCCATGGTCCTCCACCGCGCTGCAATAGTCATGGCTCTATCGAAACTAACTTCGCCGCTGTGCATCATCGCCTGCAGTGCCAGTACCTTCGTACATGTTCAACAGCGATCCCGTCTGACCGAGCGTCTTGACCGTCGTGTGGAGATTGATGGTGACTATTTTGGCGCAGAAAGGGCAATAGCTCCTTCCACGGTCGGCTGGAGGGGGGCGTAGTACGGAAGGGACGGACGATACTCGGCACCGCTTTCCTCACCATTACACGAATATACGAGCCCCAACGACTCGTTTCCGTCTTGCCCAGTCTATACCATGAACGGCACATCTATTAGCTTGGCCATGGCGCGCTGAGACGTACCGCGCTTCCACGACGCGTACATTACACCATGCATCTATCGTCGATGGACTCCATCGTCTGCCTTCAACAAATCGACCCTGCCGAGCAGCAGCTTCATGGATGCGCCCCTAGTGCATTTCATCATGTGCAGCAACCTGGCCACAAGACGTTTGCCAAAACCACTCAGCCGAGATCATCGTATATGGTTGGCGCCAGCGATGAGCACGCAAGCCCTTGGCCAGCGCGCGATATGAGTGGGTTTTTTTTTTCGCCGTCCTCTTACGACACTGTGCCCAAAAACGTTCGCGATCAAGAAGTGCGATGCATCTTGGCTACGGCTCTTTAATTCCGGTCTACGATTGCTGCCTTAGCGGCCCAGCTGCAAAAGCAGAACGCGATAGACGCACGCACTGCAACAAGTCTCAAGCCGACTCAGGATCTTGTACTTCTTTGCCACACAAGTCCACTGGGTCGAGTTTAGCCTTTTTGCACGGCTTGCGGCGTCCTCAGATCCCTATCCAGTTCCCCGCTCTCTGGTGCTGAAAGAAGTAGGTCAGACGGTCCCCGACGAATGAGCAATGCGCAACCCCACGCTCTAGAGCGAGCACGCCTTAATCATTCAGCAACCCAACATCAAGGTCTGCTCATCCAGTATGATGGATCCTTTGCTATGCTTAGATGGGATCCTTTGGTCATTGTATTAAAGTATAGTGTGACGCAACCACATCGCACTCGGGCTGCAAAGCCGCTCGTCTGACAGTGATACAGCATGCTGACCGGACAGGCCATAATGCGGGAGGATAGGCTTTATCCAAGGGGTACCGATACTTGCTACTTCCCACCGGAGATTGAATGTGAATATGTACAAGGGCGTTGGTACCGATCCACGAGGCCATGCTAGCCTGCCCGATGCACAGCTGACCCGTATCATCTATCCCGCGGCTGACACTGTCATGGAGGACGACAAGTCCCGTATGCGTTACGCCACGAGCTTCATTAGCACACTAGCGAAGCCACTCACGCGTCAGTCAGCCAACCAACTTTGTGTGACCAAGTCGCACCTTATTATCATGCCCCATGCGTACCAAGTATCATGCAGGAGGCTCCATCTATTTGCGCCAAAGACAATGCTTCCGACGTCGGCAAACCCTCGCTATCTTTTCCAAATACAATTCATCGAGCTAGTTTGCCAAGTTCAGGCTCTACTTTACTTTATTGCCGGGCGAGACTCCTTCAAGGCTACACAACAAACGACTTGCAATTCGTTGGTTGCCTAGCGCTCGATTCGAACAACGATGTTCCAGCTTGGACGTCTGGCGGTGCTTTCGACGCGCGCGACGAGTCATCGTGCCACCATCATGCAACAACCAACAAAGGCGGCCGGCTAACATCACTCCACACCTCCTTCCGTGTTCAGAAGCAACTTTTGGAGTGTCGCTCGCGGAGCCGGTTGCAGCTCACATTCTAGACAACACAAACGCACTCCGTGTACAGACGTTGCACTCGCTGGAACGGACTCAGGCCGCGCTCGCCCCTCTAGGAGCCGCAGTACATTGCTCAGCGCATTTGATTCAGCCGTATGAGGAAAAGCGACGCATCACTTTCTTACTTCAAAACGAGACAGCCTTTGCACCACGTGCATGTCACCGAATGGATCAGGATACGTTGGCTTGCGCCACCATGTGCATTCACAGATGATCCTGTCGAGTTGTCGCTACGCATCCCCATAGTCACTCCTCAGCCTTGTGCAGCGACAAAGAGAGACGAAGCAAGCAAGAACGCTACACGCAGCCGTCGACCCAAAGGATCTGTAAGATGTGCAGACAGTCTCACCGGCTCGCACAAGCGGAGCGCCGACCAACTAGGTCTATGCTGACTCCTATGGACATGTCGGGGCAGTTTACCGCCGGCACGAAGGCTTCCATGTGCATCATCATCTTCCATCGTCCGTCTCTCACTGCAGCTAATGGCTTTGTGACATGTTTCCAAGGACATCCAGAGGAAGCTCATGTCTCAACTGCACTGCCTGACAGGGCGGGATTTCGCATAACTGAAATCCCTGTCAGCGTCTGTCAATCCATGTCATGTCCACATATCTAGTTTTACATTGGCCTGACCTCTCGTCATCGGATAACGTCCTCGTTGATTGCAGATCACAGATTCCCATCACACGGGTGCCCGCCCTCCGGTGAGGATGCCCCAGCCTCGACTAAACAGGCATTATTGCTGCCGATAAAGCTGAAGTTGGGCTCCGCTATCACGAAAACAACCGTCGCTTCCACCGGCACGAACAAGCTCGTTTGTTCGCTGGGTTGTATCCCAATGTTGAAACGTACTGCAAAAGGTGTTGACCTTCGACATTGGTGTTTCAACGTAATAGAGGATTGCAAATACATTTGCAGCATTGGCCAATTAGGCCCAGGCTGCTTCTTAGAGTATGCGATTAAGTGAAGATTGTTTGGGTCATTCTTAGAGGAGAAACGACTCAAGAGGGAAGTTTGCCGAACTAGCACACATTGACATAGATTACGCTGCGGAACCTAATCCTCAGCTGAGACACCTTTGGGGCTACTTAGCTGCTTGTACTACATTTGGCTCATCGGCTAACATAAATCGAATCCCAACACGCTGTTGTAGACTTTCAACGTGAGGCTTGCACTTTTTTCTATTCCTCATACCCAGACCGACATGACATCAGCAATATAAAATGACACAAGGCCTCCACTTTCAGCACAGGGACTCTGCCGACGCCCGTGCCATCTGACATGAATTTCCCATATCTTGCACCAAGCGTGATCCGTACACTGGGGTAATGTCGCAGGATTTAACAGTGCGGACTGACCATTGTGGACAGTGCGACACGTTTCATGGTGATAGTAATAAAACGTTTCGAAACAAGCATGATCCCGCGCTTCTTTGTTGACGCCGACTTCACTAAACACACCGCCGCAGTGGTTGTTGTTGGGGCTATGCACAAAGGCGCTGAAATGTTGGTTGGGTTTTGGTTTACTTCTGCTTTTAGGGATGCCGCGCAATGGCTGATGTTAGGCTGCACAGCCACTTCCTACTATGTGCATGCCGGATAACGACATCGTGGCAGAGCTAGGGACGACGGTATCTGAGCCTATCTATTAATCAATGGTGCCAGTGTTGGTCAGCGTAGCGAGCGTCCAAGGAATGTTTGGTCTGGACAAGAATTCGTAAGCCGATGGATGCACGTCAGGTCATTGTTCTGCATTGCGTCTCCACCCACTATAGTAGTAGGTCCGCGTGGACGACTACTGATTATACACATAGTATGATACATGTTCCGGTGCCCCTCTCTAGAATAGCTTGTTGTCCGCGCTCGCCTTGGCGGCATCTCTCCTCGCGCTCTGCTTCTTCCTGTCTTTGGCCTCGCCTGGCGGCTTGAAGAACAGACTTGGGCTCTCGCCATCCTTCATGAGGTAGTTCAAGTACCCTCTATGTGCTGGATCGCGGTAGTATTCAATGTCTTTTCTGCCAGTCGCATCAGGCAGTCTGTACTTGTACTTGGAACCAATCTGCTTCATGACAGCAGCCATGGCTTCGTTCTTCTTTTCTTCACTGGCTGTCTGAAGGGCGCTGAGGATAGGCGAAGGGATCTTGGCGGCTGGCAAACGGCCGGTGAGAGCGACAAGGTCTGGTGAGGCTTGAAGAGATATCGTAGGGTGTGTGTCGCCTCGAAGGACGCGCTTGATGGCTGTGGGGGAGTAGAAGCGTGTTGTTACGCTGCCGCCGAGAGCTTCAATGCGTGCGATAGCGTCGGCAGAGGCGCGCGAGACGACGATGTTGATGGGTGTAGTCAATTGCTCCGGATTCTGCAGTCACAATTAGCATCCATGCAGCGGGCGTAAAGGGTAGATACATACTCTCGCCAGCAACTTGACGCCATGCCTCTTAACGCCATGCAAACACCTTGATTTGGCCAGTTCCTTCATAGTGATGGGTTTCTTGGGGTCTAATCTCCCTTGATTGATCCAATCCTGAATTCGGTCCAGATTGATCGGCGACATTTCCACCTTGAAGGGGTTGTACTTCCCCCGCCCTCGCTCAGGATTGGTGATCCATTGTGGTGTCTGACCTCCCTCAAAACCTGCCGGGACTTTGCCGTGTGCGTGCTGACCCTTCTGACCACGTCCACCGGTTTTTCCCTTTCCTGAAGCAGGTCCGCGACCTCGGCGGATCTTTTTATTGTAGGCGCCTGAATTGTCGGAGAGCGAAGACAGAATGGACGCGCATCTTTGCTGGGCGGGCCAGAGAAATGGGGCGATCAATGCCGCTGTAGGTGCTCTTGAACATACAGACAGTAGATTTGAGGCGGCTCGGACCGCTCTTAGCCGTGGTGGCATGGCTGTGGATGGCTATCCTCCTGTTGGCAACAGACTCGCTGGTGTTGAGCGGATGCGAAGATTCGATGATGAGTCAGCATCCATGTCCGCGGGATCTAGCCTTTCTCGGATGTTAGCCCTGTGCAACCACGCCGCAACTATAGTCTTATCTTCTTGTGTCACTCTTACGATTAATTCTCAGACTACTTCTTTCCAATCGTCTGATGGTCCTCGATAATGGTTCGTGTTTTTGTGCCTCCGGGTGCAGGTGAGTTTGGTGACTACATAGCATCTTGAGCGATAGCTATTCACACACACAACAAGGTCTCCATTCAGCCATACGCGAACAAGAAGAACCTTTTTGCGCAAACGAACTAACTGCAACTATCCTGTTGCCGCCAACAATTGTTGCTACTCTCCTTCTGGGTCGAACTATAACCAAAAGACCATTGCTGAGTTTGCCGACAAAATCTGCGTACTTCTTCACTAGAGCAGGTCTTGGTACAGTCATTAACGTACCTACGATGGTTTACTTGACGCACCGTGAACGTCAGCTGGATGAAATGATCCTTCGCTACGAAGGCATTACCCCGCCAAAATACCAGTTGTGGCAGAGCAGCCACGGCTTCACGGGCGATGATGCTATGCTTGCCGGAGGAATTGCAGGCCTACTCATTTCCTTTAGGATGAAGGGTTTGAATAGTATTTCAGTTGGAAAACGTCTGCTTGGAAGGCTCGGAGCCGTCTCTACAGGAACGTGGGCCGGGTTATTGGCTTTTCCATTCCTGGGACTGAATATGGATCAACACATTCCATCCATACAAAGGTCTCGTTACGAGGAGGCTGTGGCTTTGCGTAGACTTAACGACGACCCGAAGTTCAACAAGTCTTTAGTCCATGTTCCCATGCTTGCAGAGCGACACTGGAAGCGAACGGTTATGGCTGAATAGGAAGCAATGTCATTCGCCTCCTTGACAAAGGAGGAGAAGACTGTGTTGCGCCCCCACATGGCGTTCAGTTGGCTGGATACTGCCAGTCACAAATTTGTGACTACTATCATAACGAATGGCCATCGCGTGGAATGGAAACTTCCAAGGGATGCATCACCAGCGCAGAAGAGAGACTATATCCTCAGAGAAGTCGAATGCGTCGCAGCAATGTTCAGGCCATTTTCGCTCGATCACAGTGAGGAATGTATCATTCTAAACCACATATTGTTCGATTTGACATCTGGACTACCTGAAACAGAAGATTGGAAGCATCAGAAGCAGTTTTATATGCACGATTGGCTGAGCTTAATCGATGTGGCAAGGGGAGAGACTCACGTTCCAGTAGAGACTATGGAACAACTGCACAAGTACAAGAACGGGCTTCTAAAGCAGGGAAAATCCAAACATGCAGCAGCAGCAGAAGCACTTATACGGGACTTTGAAGAGCGTGCACTGCGGAACAAGTAAGCCAGAAGGTCTTCTATACGACACTCGGAGGCACGCTGGAGGAGAGTTAGTATCTGAATACCGTCATGCTACTTTACTGGCAAGCTGATATCCAGCGGGCCAAAGCTGACGCCGCTCGCTCTATGTCCCCACCTGCGCACGAATACGTATCTTTACATCATATAAAGTACATAGAGCAGATATGAAGGATACAGGAACAGAGTGCAAGAGCGCAAACATTAAAAGGACGTAGCCTAGTCAAACAATGTCCTCATTCTACGCACGTTATAGGTGCTACAGAGAAATTGCACTTCAATGATCAAACACGTACGCACGCGCACATACACACAACGTTGGAAACCTAACGCCTATTAATCATTGTATTCCACGCATTTACACCTGCGAATAGTGCATTTTACGGCACCCCTGAACTCCATAATAGATGGAATTCGTATCCATTCACGCACTGACCATGTACATTGTACCCTCAATCTTGCGTTCAAGTACGTTTTCCTGAACTGTATATACTCAACAGCCACACGCCACAATCGAACTAATCTATAACGTCTGCCCACTCACCCTCTTCTATCCAAAACAATTGAGATGTCCGAAAACAACAATGTTGAAGACTGGCGAAAGGTCACAGGCATTGGCACTGGTCAGAAATGGGGCGCAACTACACAGCAGTCCACTGATGGGCGCGCATGGGGCATTGCAATCAGCCAGTCGGTCAACGAAAGCAAGCCGCCGCCTTCTAAAGGGTTGAATGCAGCGGCTCCTTCGTTCACCCCTGGCAGCGTCAAGTCGAAGACGTAGGTGGTATGTACTTTGGTGGAGTTTTACTATGGCAAGAATTGATATCTAGAAAGAACAAAAGCTGTAAAATCGGCGTTTCCAAATCTCACCTAAGTGCATCGTCATCGTACGCGCAGGGCTTGAATGCTCCCGGGTGGTCTCTATTTTAGTCCTTCCTCCATGACTTGGATCTTGAAGTCTCACGCATCTGTCGTTAGTCTCTATGTACACTAGGGTGATGCATGTACGACAAGTAAAGCGGTAAGCGAGCAGGTCAGACTTTCAGTGTGAATTGTTTGCACTAAAAGTACTGCACAAATTCACGAGATCTATGACCAAAATTTCCTGGAGCCCGACCTGATCCCCCTTGTTGGATGTATCCAAGGATATCCCGAGAAGCGAAAGTAGTCACACCTACTAGCAGCGTTGTTCCAAGGTTTTCTTATCAAGAAAAAATTAGAAACAGCCCATTCTACAAGAGCTACCCTTACAACGTACTTGATCTCGGCCATGGCGTAGACTGGGGTATCAGATACCTCCATGATCCTCGCTCACGCTTGTCTGAAACTACCACGGTGACAGGAAAGCTCCTGAGCCGCCTCGACCCATTAAATCATAGAGTAGCATACTTTAGGACTTCCAACCCATCTTTCTATTTGTGTCCTATTCTTTGAATTCAGCAGACCGCGCAGCAGCTATCAGTGTAGGAGGTCACAATATGGTAGAGGGAAGCAGAGGGAGAGGCGAGAACCGCGCCATGTTGCCTGCTACGAGGTTTGCACTACTGTGGTGACTCAGATTGAGATAATGTTGTAACTACGTAAGTGGTAATGCTTATAAAGTTCCTGTTCTCCAATGTTTCTTTGTTATAAGGTTTGACTGTATAGTTGCTTGCCATAGTCAACGCTTGGAACGGTACTAGATAGGAAGAATGATCACGGTTGCAGGTACTTTTGGTTGTATTGCTTGAGTCAATACTATCTTCAATACTGTATCACTACTCCATTACCCTCAAGGTCTATATAAGGCTCTACTACGGCCTATAACCCGAAGCAATTGGCATAGTAAGTGACTGTGGCTGGCCAGTCCGAGAACATGCCCAAGATCTTTACATCTTGAGCAAGCACATCAAGTACTGTGTACATATCGCCATCATTGTTCGTAACGTTGGCGACGTACTGGTAGTAATATCCACCGCCCTCAATTTGCAGCCATCCAGAGCGCTCGAACGACCATGCGACCATGTCCAGACCATGCTCTTGGCAAGCGATGGCATATTCCGACGGGACGATCTTACCCGCATCATCCACCTTAGTAAGAGCGAACATAGCAGGTGCCATAATCTTAACACCGCGAGCAGAAAGTTCAGGAATGCTAGCCGTAGCGTTGGCGTAACCTTCAGGAGTGTCAACGCGTTCGTCGAGATACACAGCTTGTACTCCGAATTCAGGCTCGTTATCAATCCAGTAGAAAACGTCGTCAGGAAGGAAAGACTGGAGCCACACGCGACTTGGATCGATGCCGTACTCGCGAAACTTGTCAACCAAGTCTTGAGCATACTGCTCCTGTGTGTATCCATTAAAAGGCATTTCAACCTCAGGTGTCTTGAGCTCGGGAGTGTACTTTAGGCCCCAGCTGTCCACCAAAGGAATGTATTCGTCAACTGTCATGAGTTTGGGGCAGTCTTGAGCGTAAAGATCGGTGCGGAAGTAGGGGGTGCCGTCCATGTATTCCTCAACTGTGGTGCCGTTGGGGTTGAAGCCATCCATCTTGCCGCAAAGGGTACCAAACTCTTCCAGTGTGATGTCCGAGGTGCAGCACTTGGCTGATGCAGCGGTGCCATTGGTGGCGGGCGAAAACGGGGTGGTGCACTTGTCGGCGAGTGTAGTGTTGAGGATGTTGGTTGTGGTGTGCAAGTCGCATTGGGCGTGGCGGCAGACGAGTCGCTTATCCTTGGTAAAGGCAACATCGCATTCGATCATGCCGGCACCCATACGGTGCGCAGCCTTGTAGCTCTGGAGAGTATGCTCGGGGAACTGAAGTGGCGCTCCACGATGCGCGAAGACGAAGTCCGATGTCTTGAATTCTTGCTCTGAACAACTCTCAAGTTTCTCCTTCAACGGACCATCGTCCATGTTATCGACAAGATAGTACGGCCGAACGCCTACTTGCACGTTGAACTTCTTGTGCCCGTGGCCATGACCATAGCCGTCTCCACCACGAGGCGCGATAGCAGGTACAGCAGCAGCGGAGGCAAGCCCAAGGAGGACGGAGGTAGCAACGAAAGAGCGCATTGCGACGATTCTCAGCCCAGAGATTTCCGGGAACCTGGGAAGTCAAATGGTTCCTGCAGCGTAAGCATACTGGCCGTCGTGTTTGCTTCTTATCTGTGCCGGAGAAGCGCCAGAGCTATACAATGCCTCGGATGGATCAAATACGCCGAAATATCACACGCCGCACGGTTGGAGGTGTTCGAGCTGAGCTGCATAGCTACTGCACGTGGTGGAGCTACCCTAGCTCGAAGCTCTTGGCTGTGCACAAAGGCTGGCGGAGGATGAGATGGTTATGGAAAGCTATTCAGGACGGGTTAGCTCGCCAAGCTGCCAAGTTGTCACGTTGATCAACGACGCGATAAGATACGCGCGCTGGTACAGAGGGCGGAACAAAACCTGATCAAGCCGCTAGCGAGAGCTTGGGTGCATGTCTCTTATGCGTCATTGTCGTGTTGTGTCTTGGCCGCGTTTTGCTTCTTGGAGTCGTGTACTCCGAAGAAGCGGTAGAGCTGGTCTGATGTCTTTGCCCTTGTGGGGTTCTCCTGTTCCCTCGGTCTATGGTATGAGAACCTTCATCCGAAGACGTTGGATTCAAGTGACTTATACATCAAATTGTACCACACCTTGAGGGATGGATGCACTGTGGTTACGCTGAAGTGCTTACGAGGGTAAAATCTGGTGGACGTTCCGGAAGTCAAACTTTGGGTGCAATCCAGAAGGAACGAGCTTCTCAGTAAATTTCATGAGTATTCAAGATCGCTTCGCATCTATTCCCGAGAAGCTACCGTTCCTACGATTACGATCTTTTGAGAAGCGTCCTTGCACACGGACGCGTCACGACGCGTTCCCTTCCAGGTCGACCCTCCCCGGTAGTTTGAAAGTGCATCTGGATTCACCAACGTCAATGTTGGTCGAACATTGCCAGTTTGGAAGAGTGATGAGGAAGTCTCTTGGAGCCGTGATATTTTTGATAGGCTGGAGAAGCTCCTTGTTATTTTGCTCCCAGAACTCGCCATAGCATCCCTGCCAAAGGTCCAGGCAAAAGTAGAACTTGATGTGTAGTCGGCGGAGGCCAGTCATGTTGCTTAAGCCGTCCCAAGACCTGTACCACTCGCGTCGGTGATGGTCAGGCATTAGGTTGACATTGAAATACTGATGGCGGTCAAGATCCCATTCAATGTTGAGATTGCTGATCTGCGCGATGCGTTGAGGTTGGAAGAAGTAGGAGAGATAACCAGCTGTTGGGAAGTCTTCCAAGTCGGTAGAGATGAAAAATTCGTTGGCTCTGTAAAGATATTCAACGGCCTCGGAGTAGCTGAGAGTATCAGCTGGTCAGTCTCATGCTAACAAGGCGAATGCTCATGTATGTTGGATGTATGACTTACATCTGTCGACAGGTCCTAAGCAAAGGGAGTGCCAAATGTAGCCTCTGACCGGGTGGGCAGGGCCTGAGATAACACGTGCAGTTCCTCAGACCGCACCGTCGAGCAATGAGCTTCCCATCTGATACAGTCGTATGTATGGGCTGTTCTCCTAGGGCCTTTTCGTAGATCATACGTCGAATCTCCAAAGGTAGCTTGTTAATGAAGGTAGACTGAGTTTGAGCAACCGTCAATTGGTTCGTTTGTAATTCGCTCGAAACAGAAAGAGCGCGCCTGCGAGGGGTAGGCATCATTGGCGGTTCTATATCGAAAAGAGGAGATCTTGTTCTACCATGCCGATGGGGCAGGAACAGCAGTAAACAACAGATGCAAGGCGAGCAAACTGTCCACAGGATGCACTTGGAGGTCTGCCACATTGCTTTCCGTAGACATAAACCCGTCTGATTGCTAACATCCTTCAACTTAGCCCTGAAGCGATTCGGCATTGTTGCGACAGCTAGCAGTCGGGGTCGAATCGTGTGGCGCGAGAACGTCCGGGTGGATAGCCGCAGAAAGCCTCGCAATGCCAGACTCAGATGATCAAATCGCCTTTTCTGTGTTCGCTGCTGACTATTGGCGCGGAATGCTGAGGTAGTCTTGCGTGAGATTGAAGGGATGAGGAAGCTGCCATAGGGCAATGGTTGTGGCGCAGTCCAAGCCCCACTAAGCAGGTAGCCGCGATGACGATGAGGTCCGAGAATGCGCTAACCATGTGTCTTGACGAAACAACTAAGATTATCGAACAGCTTGCCTTCTACATAGATTTTTTTCACTTTTTCTTGCAGTTACAACCTATGGTGTAGGATACAACACATGACTCCAGCTTTCGCCACAACATCTACAGGTTGAACACAGCACTGCGATTCTTGCTTCGATCGGCCAGCCGTACAAATTACGTTTGATTTATTCAATCTCTGTGTGGCATTGAGATCTCCCTAAACTACACTGAACTAGATGTGAACTCGAGCAACAGGTGTCCCACTCCCAAATGTAACTCAGCCTAAGTGCGCCTCTGCTTCTATCTCAATCTTCATCGTCTTGTACAAAGCTACAACCTGCACAACTGTCATCAGAGGCCCGTGTTTCTTGCATCGTTCCTTCATGTTGCGGATGATCGGCTCCGCGATGTCATCGAGGGGCACAGTAATGTAGATTCGCGTCCTATACACCTGGTCCCAACCCGTTCCACCCGCCTGGCAAATAGCATGTTCGACGTTATCAAACGCCTGGTCAACCTCTTTTGAAAGATCATCGGGATATTCCTCCGTCGTACGGTCCCAACCACCTGAGCCTGTCAGAACAAGACAACATGTCCAACAGAGTGAAAGTACCTTGGCCAGACACCTCGATACGATTGTCGATGCGAACTGCCTGGCTGTAATTGAGATCTCGCTTGGATCGCTCGCCGAAGCCAGGGTAGTCGAAGTACTGGAGGTGCGACATGATGGGAGAGATCGGAATGAGGACCAAGGTTCTGCGAACTTCGAGAAGCGCAGCACACTGGTCTGTATACCATGCGCAACCACCTTTATACATCCAACTAGGTGAAACGAATAGCCCAAGGGATTTCTCTGTTGTCGGCAGCAACTGTGCCACTTGAATTGTGCCCAGAAAATATTTGTAAGCTCTGTTCAGGCGTCCCAAGGAACTTACTACAAATGAATGAACGCAGGCACGATCGGCTGCATGACAAGACCTTGGCATAAGCTGCATGTTACATGAATTATCATCGTACGATTGGTTCTCGATCGAAACTTGGTGATAGCGACATGCTCCACATATATTCTTGACCGGAAATATAGCGAGCTTTGTCGTCCCCAAAAAGATCACACGTTTCAGTCTTCGTCACCTCCAGTACCAAGGCCATCGTCTAGTACTCTCAGTCTCACTGTGCTGTCCCCCATATCCCAGTCCGTCCTGCAACTCGGGTACGGCAGAATGACCACAGCGTCGCGTGGCCTCTTGACTGCCCTTACACTGTCCAGCAAAATGTCTTCCAATTCTACCCAATTAGCCTCCCAAAGTTGCTGCGGGCTGGGATCAATCAACATGACTTGAAGATGCCTCAACCCTTGCATACCCGCTATTATTCCCCAACCCTTCTCCCAGTTGGCCGTGTCTTCGCGGTATGCGAGGCGATTGGAAGGGCCGCGACGCAGATATGGGAGCGCGCGAATGGCCCAGCGCAGATGTAGCGTGCGAATCGAATCGAGACGTGGCTGCGGAATGGAAGAGGGAAGGTAGAGCAGATGCGTGATGTGAAGGAGAGAGAAGGTATGCGCACTATAAAGATATGGAATAGCCTCGGAGTACCTAATCCCAGCACTTTGTCAGTCTCCCCAGTGCTGTCGTAATGATAGTCAGAAGAAGGTAATACATACATACGTCTACAAACCCTCGCTATAGTCACACCACCACTATACAGCCTCGCGCCTTTCTTGCCAAATACAAGCACGCGACACATGTACTCCCTACCGTCTCCCTCGCTATTGCAGAGAAAATGCCCAAACCTCTTTTTCTTTGTACTCAACGTCAGATGCACGATCTCTGCGCCCATGACGTACTCATACACCATCCGCCTCAACTCAATCGGCAAACGCGCGAAGAAGATGCTCTGACCTTGGGCATGCGTCCGCGCATCAACCTCGACATCAGGTTCAGATGTCAAACTAAGGGTTGATTTGCGCGGACGCACGGCGCCGTGCTGCGGTGCGGAAGATTTCAGCGCAAAGGGATTCCGCGACTTGGGCTTGGATGATGACGACTCGGTTGATGGAATATCGTGAGGCGCCCAGCGTATGCCAGGTAAGCGATCCAAGAGAAACTTCTTGGGCTTCATCGTTGAATTGGGACGAGGATGTGGGTGTGAGCTGGGGAGTATGGGCGCAAAGAGTGGCGGCATGGTATGACCTGCCCCCTTTGCCGGGGCAGGCGCGTCAGGAGACGCTGCGGCTGAGGCGTGCCCGGAGTGGTGATGGGTTGATGGCGGATACCTAGGTAAGCGGGGTTGGCACGCGTTGCTTGTTCCGAACAAGCTTCGTCTGGGGGCGTGGGGAAGCTTGAGTGGGTCCTGGACGCTGTAGATATCTTCGCTACTCCAACAGAGAGTGCATCAATATGCTTATTCGTTACATGTCCTTGCTTTCTGCCTTTATATGCTACGAGAGCAATGTGTGTGCTTCACGCTACCTAGGTAATACTTGGCGATTGTGTGAGAAGTAGATGGAATTCGCATTTCGTCGCTTAAACAGGTATCGCGTCTCCGCTGTTGCGACCGACATTACCACAAGTAATCGATGCTGTACATTTCTGGATAGATCCATTGTTCCATACCATGAACTGAATCTTGGCAGTGCCGTGAAGCTATCACACTCGATTTTAGCAAACTCGATAGCGCCCAAATGGGTAATTTATCCGCCTGCAATTTCAGGCCGCCAGACCATGTCTAGAGATCGGAATAAATGGTGAGAACTTCGAAAGAGATTCCAACTCTATGGTCTCATCTGAAGCTGCAAGTGAATAGCTCTCGGTCATCCGGGCGACATACCGGCTTTCTCGACCGCCACGCTTCTTTCGTACTGGTATCCCAGCACAGCCACCCTTGTCCAGTCATGTACCAAGCGCCTTTCCCAGGGCGTAAATCAGCTTGTCATTGACAAATCTCCACACTAAACTCCAGCCAAAACTCTTTGTCATCTCCAGGCTAGAAGACAGCATCATGAGGAAACGTCTTCGCGCTTGTGAAGAGTGCCATCGTCTGAAAATCAAGTGCGACATTAGCAGTGACCCTGACGCAGCGAGCTGCGGAAGATGCACGCGTAACAACCTGGAATGTGTTCCAGCAGCGCCGCGACTACAGCGCAATCGTATCCAAGAGCTCGAGGCGCAGATACAAGAACTCAACAACTTGCTACAAAGTCAAAGCACCAGCAGCCCTACGCCGAGTCGTTCGCCTGGAAGTATCACCACCACAACGCTAGGCAGATCGCCCGGTAGCCTATCCGATAACCACTACGATGGTGTGTTATCCTTCCTGGACGCCCGCATTGCGCCTGTCAACCAACAACGCCTGCTTCACCTTTATGCGCATCAAGCGGGGGCGGCATGGCCCGTCGTACGCCTGTCGATGGACCTGGACCATCTCCGTGCAAAAGCTCCCATTTTACTGCTCTCCGTCATGGCATACAGTATTACGCAAGAGGCGCAAGGCGTAGACATGGAAACGCACGATGAGCTAGTGCGCGAAACGATGCATATTCTGGGCGAGGAGGTCATTGGTAGGGGGCAGAGATCCCTTGAGCTTGTGCAGGCGCTACTCGTAGCCACGCTTTGGAACAAAAGTACGCGGAGAGGTCAACAGGGGAGCTGCTATCAGATCCTGCAGCTAGCCGCCGATATGGCGATCGATCTGGGCATCGCAGGATTCGCTTTGCAGCCCTCTCCCGTGGCTTACTTCTCCCGGCATGAGGATACAGGGTCGCTCGAGGCACGGCGTACCTGGCTAGCCTGTTATGTGGCATTGTCAAGCTCTTCGATCAGCACGCGCCGGCCCAACCCGTACCCTTGGGATTCTTATCATGAAGAGTGTGTTCTGTACCTGGAAAGCCAAGGAGATGCTTCCGACATGCTGCTTTGTCAGATTGTCCGTATCACCCAGCTGAATATGGAGATTTCCACCCATCTGTGTCTTTGTCAAATTGCCACCTTTGTGGATGGTAATGATTACAACACCTATGCCGTAATCGATACGCTAAAGGGCAAACTTGATGCATGGGCAGCTCAGATCCCACCTGCCCTTGCAGCATCCCACACGCTAAAGGTCTGGTGGCATGTAGCCATGGTTCACCTGCACGAGCTTGTGCTACATACACCCACAAACAAGGCATCGTTTGCAGCACCATTCATCCCAGGCCGTCTTCCTATCAAGGACTACCCTAAGCCAGCCAACATCATCGCTCCTCTCAGAGCGACTCTCGAAGCCCTTGTTCAGAACTGCCACGCAGTCCTCGACACCGCTGCAGAGATGGATCCAGCTTTGGCTGTTCATTTGCCGTCATTTTGCTTTGCACCTACCATTGTTTACACGCTCTTCGTGCTCGTTACTGTCATGGTAGCCACGACCGACCCAGGAAATACATACGGGCAGTGCCTACCAAAAGACTGTTTTCGCATCGAAGACTGCGCACTAAAGATGCGCAATCTAGTCATGTACATGAAGGTCGTGGATCCGACACTGAGTTGTTTTACCACACGTATGTTTGATGCGACGAGCTGGCTGGAGGAATGGTATAACGATTATACCGCTATTCTGCAGCGATATGAAGCAAACCTTGTCAATTGAGTAGAACATGAAGGGATTTAATAGTTTTTCACTCACCAGTAGTCGTATCGTCACGGTCAATTTTGGCCGCTGGGAACGGTGAAATCTTGCCGTGGTAATTCGTGATTGGTACATACATAGTCGCTCATGCATAAGTGTGATGGGTGATTAGGCGGGTTTTTGCCGTCCTCCATCGGTGATTATTGGCCTTCAGCCTGCAGCAATGACGTTCCAAGCAGCGAAAAACGTCTCTAGATATTTTCAAATTGTTGCTCTGCTGTTGATGATGCAACACATGGACATTCGAAATACACATGAAGCAGATCATTACTGACGTAGGCAACCTGCCCAAATCTCGCCATTCCTTCCGCGCACGCTAGTGACGGTATGGCGGAGTCTCCGTTCCTGCATGAAAAACGCCCTGTGCCGGTGCTGTATTGCTGCATCGACATGTGACGCTTTTCTTTCCATAGATCGTCTTCCATACGCACCTCAACTTCATTCGTCGTGATGTACAGTTAATGTGTGCATGGAACGATAATCAAACAATTGTGTACATAGTCACATGTTTGGACACATGTAGCAAGTCCTCGTGATACTGAGCGGCCCCTCATGTGCATCTTGCTCCCTCCCGAGGCCCCTTCTCCCTCTTCTCTTCGCGATGTTCGCCCCGCGAAAGAACCGGAACTGAGGATATCACAATGTTATTTTTGGCATATACGTATGTACCTAGCAGCGATCTCTGGCGAATTCTAGCCGTTGCCCCCGCATGCGACCATCGTTGCAAGTCCTACGTTATGTCGGTTGTGACTGCTGTTGCTGCAAGAAAGTGGATACCGGCCAGATTTCCCCACCACGCTCCCGCAAGTACCCCTGCTGATTCGCCACTTCGTACACAAGGAAGGATGAATAGGGCTGTCAGATCACCAATATGCTTGGCCACCAAGGGCTATCAACCTCGAATTTACCTGGGACCATACCATCACAGTGCTTGCAGTTAGGCAATGATGCTATATTTGTCGCACGCTGCCTTGATCGTGCACTTCCAGATACGAACGTGTGAGTCTTGGCTGCGAAGTCGTAGATGTCATGGAAGTAAGCACGCAGGAGTCAGGCAGCCGGTGGTTTTGGTGTACCTGTGATGGTGCTTGGGTATAGTCTGGAAGAGGGGATGAAAAGGTGTATAAAAGAGGTGGTCCCTTGGGGATGAGAATAGAGCATCACAGCAGCGCATCTTCAAGCTTCAGTCTACGGGATCATTTCTACTTCCGCATCAAAATCCTCGTTGCTTCTTCTTCTTAGATACTCTACCATGCGTCCATCCCAAATCCTCTCCTATGCCACTCTGGCAGGCGTGAGTGTAGCCCAGGGCGATCTTGGTGCTCTTCTGGCTTCACAACCCGATCTTAGCACTCTTCTTGAGCTGGTCGGCCTTGTAGATGGTCTAGCTGACACTCTCTCCGCTGCCTCCAACATTACCATCTTCGCGCCTACAAACGATGCGTTCGCAGCCGTACCACGCGATGTGCCCGAGGGCCAGGCCATTGAGAACAAGAACGACACTATTGCCATTGGTGCCCTGCTCGCCAACCACGTCTTCAAGGGCGTATATCCCGCCAGCGTCATTACTGATATCCCAACATTTGCACAAACCCTCTTGGACAGTTCGTACGTAAACGGAATCCAACCCTTTTCCAACTTCACTGGAGGAGCATACAACGAGCTTGTCAAGAACGGAGAAGATGTCTGTGTCATCTCTGGAGAACAAACCATCTCCACTGTTACTGAAGCCGTAAGTACCAATCTTTATACCTGCTCCATGTCTTGTAGTAACACTAACACGAGAACCAGGACATCATGCTAGGCGAAGGCATCACCATCCACAAAGTCAATACAGTCTTGTCCTTTGGCGCACCTTTCCAACTCTTCACTTATCGCTCGGGCTACTTTGCCATGAACGCCGCCCTTGAAGCCGCCCAGCTCGCCATCGACTTTGGCCTCTCCGGCCCTGAAGCCACCGGTCTTAACACCTCCGATTTTACTATTTTCGTACCTACCAACGAGGCCTTTGAGTCCATAGGTTCCGTGCTCAAGTCTGCGGACCAGGCAACCCTGCAGGAAGTACTCAAGTACCACATTATTCCTAGCAATGTCATCTTCTCAACTGCGCTGGGTAATGTTACGGTCAAAAGTCTCCAGGGTGCGGATTTGGTCTTCACAGTTCTTGAGGATGGGAGTGCGTGGGTCAACGGTGCGAAGATTGTTTATGCAAACACTATCCTTTTCAACGGTGTTGCGCATGTAATCGACAGGTTGGTCTCCTGCTCTTCTTACGATAGATACGACATGCTAATCTTAATCTCCCAACAGTGTTCTAAGCCCTTTTGCTCCCTTCGACCGCGCATCTCTCGAGCCCTCTGCACCAGCAGCCGATCGTGTCGCTTTCGAAGGCGCAACTTCCGTCTCTGAGCTCCCATTCTCTAGCGTTTCTCTCGCTTTCGGAGGCGACCTCATGACTTACACGACTACACCAGAGCTCCTAATAACCGTTGCTGCCGTTGCTACGCCTACAGCCGGCGTCAACGCTACGACTACAGACTCACCCATGTCAACCTACACTGGAGGTGCGATGGGAATGCTGCCTGGTGCTGGTATGGCTGTCGCTGGAGCCATCGGCATTGCTGCTGCTCTTGTTTAGGTCACTAGAGCATAGAAGTAGTCAGGACTAGGATCCGACGAACATGTTTTCAAGATAAACGCAGTATATGATACGCGTTTCTGGATGGCATAACATATAGATCTCATTCGTTTGTCGATTTTTCTGATAGCGAGCGCACTTGTGGTTGTCTCAGGTGAGAGTGGAAGTTGGGAACTAGAGCATATTTAGTAATCATGTTGGAGTAGCATACCCTTACCATAACGTCTAGTCAACAGAGGTCTTGTAGTGGAAGAACTTCATCATATGAATTTCAAAAATTATGAACAATTTGAATGTTGAGATTGTTAATATGGCTTGTATCCAGCATTACGGGATTGACATTAAGCTTGTTCTTGACAAGATGGAAGATATGCAGCCCTTCGTATAGCGGTCCATCACGAGGCTTCAACCTTCTTACCGTCCGGCTGATTCTCCTTCCCCTTCTCATCTTTATGCAATTCGGGGTTCAGCGGATGCTTGGGGTCGTAGCCAACCCTCTTGACAATACCCAGTCCTTTCGTCCTGCCTTCACGGAAGAGTATTCGATCACCTACAGTCAAGTACTCAGGCCGCTGTACAAAACGGAAGGCTACCTGGGCTCGATCACCAGTACGGATATACTGGCGGTCAATGTCTATTATTGCACAGGTCTGGGACACAGGACCAACATGTAGCATAGCCTGGTACTTGGTTTTGATGGTAGTTGCGTGTGATAGGATCAAAACTTCGGCAACAAACTCGCGGTACACCTTGGGGTTGGGGAGAATACCAGTCGTTGGATCAGGCTTGTCAGCTTTGTGCAAGACGACCATGCCTTTCCGTACGTCTTTTCGACGAACGTTGCGTAGCGCAAGACTACCAGACTGGCCAGCGGAGCAACCAGGGACTTGTATCCGTTTTCGCTCAATGGAGCGCACCTTTGTCGTTTGGAATTGGCCAAGACTGTCGGGACCGATCAAAACTGTATCGCCAGAATGAATGACGCCAGACTTTACAACTCCTGAAACTACAGTACCGACGAACGGAACCGAGAATGTATCGTTTACGTGAAACTCCAACGGCGCAGAGCTGTCGTAATTGCCATGGTGGGGCAGCGCATTGAGGAACATGCGTACCAGGTCCAGATTATGACCAGTGACGTTGGACACTTGAAAGATGGGGCATATGCGACTGGAAACAAATTGGGTGGCGGTGTTGATGCACTCCTCCCTGTTCTTGATGAAGATGGGAATCTTTCGCGCGCCGGGAGACTTGAGGATTTTGGTGAGCTGAGTAATGGTCTGCTCGAGGATTTGTGGAGGACATATGTCGATCTTGGTGATGACCACCATGACAGGCACGTTGAGCGCGAGTGCAATACCTAGATGCTCTTTGCTCATTCCGACCAAACCGTTGTTCGCAGCGATCATCAAGAGACAGTAGTTGGGCTCGCTGGACAGCAGGCCGAAGACTGTCGTCCGCAAGTACCGCTCGTGGCCTGCAAGGTCAGTGAAGCTGATGACTTTGGCCGACCGCCGTCCAATCTCCTCCCAAGTAAGTTTTCGACCCGCGACGTTGGACACAACAACTTCGCTCTTGCTGTCGAAGCCCATGATCTCCATGCCGACTGAGCTGGTTCGACCACTCTCGATTTCGTGTTTGTGGCGGAAGAGGTTGACGCGCGCTTTTCCACGGCCGTCGTCGAGGCCGCCTTTAACAAGGACACCCAGCATAGTGCTTTTGCCTGCGTCGACTATGTAGAGTTAGCGTCTATCCTTGCTCATGCCTGAAGAAACTCACCATTTCCCACCACTGCTATCCTCGTCTCAATCACGTCGTCGACACTCTGTGGCTGTTGTCGCAGGATCATTTTTCCACTGAATCCAGTGTCCTTGGCATCACGAGGTCCGACTTCAACGTCACCACCAACATTCCGCGTCATGAGCATTTTGTAGTCTGCCTTGATCTGCTCACAGACAGCCCCTATCCTTTCCAATGCGAAATCCCACTGACTCTTGGTGAAGCCCATGGAATCACCGCTGTCTTCCATACCTACATCGAACAGAACCTCCCCATGACCCTCTGCCAGACGTTCCTTGATGTGCTCAGCTAGTGCTGCAACGTTTTCCTCGGCAGGGTCGGTAAGGAGCGTCTTGAGGCGGACATGCGTCTTGTTGTCATCGGAGAGACCGAGCTCGTCCAAGATGCTTAGCTCGTCGTGGTCTTCGAGGACGGCGGGGGCTTGGCCTGGCGGTCGGCGCAGCGCTTGCTGCTTCTGCACGTAATCGGCAAATTCGCTGAGTGCCTAGTGTGTCCGTCAGCTGGAATCAAGAAGCGGGCTGCTTCCCACGCTGCCACTTACAGATTCTCCCTTCCGCCGCTCAGCTGGACTTTGTTTGGGCTCATGCCGTGAAGCCATTTTGTAAGAAAGAGCGCGTGGTCAAAGTATATCCCGAAGCTGTTGGTAGCGATTGGGTGTACGTGGGATGCGTGGTGATAGTCGTGATGGATGTGGGGTTGGGGATGTCAGGACGTGTTCCGTATAGTCCGCCGTATTAACAAGACGTTTGGTATTCGCGGTAATCGGAAGAGGTGTGAATATTCCATGAGTTGTCTGGCAGCAAGCATTCGAAGGTGGCAAGTGCTGGAAGGCGCTGTGACGGATGCTGCTAGGGGAAGCTGGGGCTACTTATCGATAGAAGCAGCCGTGGACATGACGCCGACACTCGCGCGACGGCGCGTCTTGACTCACCTACCACCGCTCCACTCATGACCCTACCATAGCCGACCATGACCGCAACGCCACCCCTGAGCACCTTCTACAGTCATCGTCTATCGTATTTGCGCCCTCGCGTCGCTCAGCTTCTGCGCTTCAGCATCCAAAAGGGCGAAATCACGACATATCACCATCAGGCAGCACTTCAAAAAAGGCGCACGCAGTGGACAACACTTGAAACATAATGTGACATGTCGTGCTGGCTAATCTAGAAAAATAACAATCGTGGAATCATTTGCAAGAGCGCACCCTCTCACGATGCAGCAACACCCCGCTCTCCGCAGTACTTCTCCACCTCCTTCCTCAGCGTCTCGCGCTGATGGTTGACATTGTCCATGATATCGCTAACACCCTTGACCGATTTGCAGTACTCGGATGTCTCTACCATCTGTCTGAGGACTGCTGTGAGCTGGTTGGGTAGCCACTGTTGCGCGTTAGTAAAAACAGAAGAGTCCGATCAAGAGAGCACTTACTGTCACGATCGGGCTGCCGCCCGTCGCAGTTGGGTGCGATGTGTGCTTGAGGATGTATTCACGCGTGAAGCACCAATGCCGCCAGCGGAAGTCGCGCACCTGATCAAGAGCTTGGAGGTACAGTGCGGCCGATACCGAGTCGCCTTTCGCAAACTCGCGTACACCAGACTGCTGAGCGCAATCACGGACAGCCTCCAAGAACTCGCGGTGGTTACCAGGGCGGTACTGGCGGAAGTCTTTCAGGATGTCTGTGAGGGGCGTTTCTGGCATCTGGACCTGGAGCAAGTTGTCGCACATGGGAACCATGCTGTCGTTGGCTCCCGACTCGCCGCGGAAAGACATTGGCTCTTCGCTCACTCCTTCATATATGACACCATTGGGGAACATCGACTGCGAAGTGATACCGAAGATGAAAGTACGGAAATTGGTGTAGCCTTGAGGCTTGCTACGGCCCCACATCGCTGATGTCGTCAGTCACGAACGTGTCCCTTGGAGTAGTTTACTCACTGTTCATCACGCCATTGACCTTCCTGAGGCCACCGACCAGAGTACGAAGACCGTCGTTGAATCGCTCTCGGTCCTTGGCCAGGCAGCTCTCAAGCATCTCAGATGCACCTGTAACAAGCGCGCCGGACTCCTTGACCATGGCGATGTGAACAAGAACAAAGCCTGCCTCAGATGATGTGGGATCCAGACCATGCTCGAAAGCGCGGATCAAGCGAAGGTTATCGTACTCGAGGCCCTTAGATGGGTCTTTTAGGCGGTAGTTGAAGAGCGCATAAGATCCGGCGTACTCCATGAATGGCTTGAAACCAGCACTACACATAAAGATATCAGCCAATGTTACTTCGGAATGGATTCCCAAAGGTTGCTGCATATAGAGCTTCTCTGTAGGGGTCGCTTGGCGTATAGTTGCTCTGCCAAGATAAGGGGAGCTAACAACAAAGCATAGGCATCGCGTGAAGGTCGGAAAAACATGCCCACTTACATCTCAGCGACTTTCACAATGGGAAGCGCAATGCTTCTTGGCAGCGACTGTCGGCCCAGCCCGTACTCCTCTCCCCGTACATGCCTCTCGTGGCAGGGCTCGAAGAGATATGCAGAGGCCAAGAAGGAGTAGTCACGGTACAGGGCATTCATGACGACAAGGTTATCGCGATACTTCTCTACTTCTGGCGTGAGGTCAGGAAGCTCCTTGAGTAGTGTGTCGCCGAAGGTGAAGTTGGCCAGCAGACCCGGCTCCCCTGATAGTGTCTTGATAGGCATGCGTTGCAAGAGGGATTCAAGAGGGGCAAACTCCTTTGGCAGCTCAACGATGGGCTCTTGACGAGGAAGGAAGCCACGCGTGGTTGAGACCATGAAGGCGGGGAGGGTGTGGTCATCGGGACGTGTGTCCGTCATGACAGGAAAGTCAAAGGTTGAGGATGACATCGTGCAAAGAGCTACTGGAAAATGAAGTCAAAAGAGACTGGAGATGATCGGACTTGGATGCTGGAGGTCTGATCCGAGCGCCAGATGGTGGTGTTGAGATGAGATGCTATAAAGCTTCTCACGACAGCGACGACGAGCTGCTTATATCTCGTGGCCGGAATAAAAACCGGCCATGGCCGGAAACCTACCGTTGAAGAAGATAAGAAGTACGTAATGACTGGATCATTTGTCTCCATCAGCAGACTTTGACCCGATGAGATCCCCCAATGCTCGGCCTCGATCTTGAAGCTCCCCCAGGCGTCCGAGATGAGTTGGGGTGGTATGCTCATCGTTGCCAAGACTTGGGTACAGTAGAGGAAGAGGGCTCAGGCAGCGCAATATGGGTGGTATCTCTATCGATCGAGGCTTCAAAAGAGTCACCAGATTGAAGTGATGATACAAATGTCATGTTTTCCAGCTTTGAATGGAGCATGCGCCGTATCGTCTAATGGCTCTGTTCATGCAACCCACGATGGAAAGGTAGCGAAGTGGATCACAAGGATTCACGAAACATTGAATGTAATCACAGCAGTAATCTCATCTCCATACAGAGGCTGAATAATCATGAGAAGCGACTAGCAATTACAATATTGTTCCAAGTGTCAGTCTTTGAACCTGGCAACGACCATGCCGACTATGGCGGTGTCAGCCTCTTGTAAATCGGACCGAATTGCACGATCGTACAAAAACAATGGCCAGCACATGTACAATCATGGTAAATCGCCCCCGAAAGTAATCTGAGTGAAGCATCTCTCAGGACTTGTTTGATGATGCACGATGTGGTTTCGTGAAGGCGGTCATAGTTGATGACCATTACGAGTGGTAGCAACGGTTCGGTTGGGAACCAACCAGAATAAGACCGAAAGAAGGACCGCAGGGAGCCGCAAATCGGTGTTAGATGCGCACTCAATTCCGGCCTCATGATCAGGACCATCAACAAGTTGTTGCCTTTAGACATACACAACATCAAAAATGTTAAACAAAACTCATGGGAAATGACTCTGTATGCGTTCTAGATGCACTTTCGACCAAGATTAGACCTCCCTCGCCCTTCTGTAGCCGCAGCTAGGCATTGCAACACCAAGTGTCTTCAATTCCGGCCTCGTATCCCTACACGAAAGGAGCCTCACTAGGCTATCGTAAGTCTCCAGGGCTGATGCAGGCGATCAGAAGCTCACTGATAACGATTTCGCCTGTGCGCACGCTACACCGGAGTTGAGCCCGACAGTATGGGCAAAGTTTTCCATTGATGGGTTCGGCTCGTAGCTAGGAGGTCACCCCATAGGCAATTTAGAAAGCTCCAGACGTGTTGCAGTTTCAAAATGGCTCTGAACTGCCAGAGACAGGGCTGGAGAGCGCAGTACTGACAACTACGCCACGTATCGATAAGAGAATCGCGACATCGCAACTCCAGTGGCGAGACTCATCAAGCGACACCGCGAAGTAATTTATTCCGTAGACTCCTCTATGAACTCCATTCTCTCGCGTGCAGACTGTTCATAGAACGCTTCATGTTAATGTCTACCAGTCTTTAGGTGCAACGGTAGCGGATCACTGCGAAGTATCCTTACGTCTGTCGTGATCCTAGCGGAGCTGTGAGATACACGACGAGGTCATCTCTACCCACCATGGCAACGGCCGACCTTGACCAGTCAATGCTCTATCCCAAGATCACAACACATATCCCAGATATCGTCGAGCATCTGCACCGCTTGAACCGCGACCCTAGTTATCCCAATGTAAGCGTGGCCCTGGAGCCTGTACCCTTTATCGGTACAGTCAAGCTCCATGGTACGCATGCAGATATACTCGTATATCCTGATGATCGCATCGTCTTCCAGTCGCGAAACATCCCCGGTCTATCTGTTGCAAAAGATAACCAAGGTTTTGCAGCGACAATGTTGAGCAAAACCGATGCCATACTTCAATTGCGAAACTTGTACTTGGCACGATGGAGAGAACTCAATCCTAACGCAACGATTGAAGAAAGTTTGCCCGTGCTCATAGCCGGCGAGTGGATAGGCGAGAAGATACAAAAAGACGTCGCCATCGCCCAACTATCCCGCCGATTCGTCGTAGTGTCAGTTAACATCAATGGCCGATGGCAGCAAGACCAGGATTACCCTGATATCAATTTGTCGGACCATGATATCTACAACTCGTCAAGATGTGGACAGTTTCACACAACACTCTACCCAGAAGACATTGAGCGCACAGTATCCGAAGTGGAACGCATGACCGAAGAAGTCGCTGCGCACTGTCCGTTTGCAGCAACTTTCGATATATCTGGTCCGGGCGAAGGCATTGTCTGGAAACCTGTTCCGCCTCATTATAATGCCACCCCCGCTTTATGGTTCAAGAGCAAAGGCGGAAAATTCAAACCCACATTCTTCCGCCTTCCAAAACAAACCGACACTACGGACACAGTCAAAGAGAGGCGCAAAGTAGCCGCAGATTCGGCAGTCGCGTGGTGCTCGCAACAGCGATTAGAACAAGGCTGGGATGTGCTGCGAGAGAAGGGTGTGGAACGAAATGTAAGAGCACTGGGAGACTTTTTGAAGTGGATACAACTGGATATACTGGAAGAAGAGAAGACGTACATCAAAAGCTTTGGTGTTGATGAGGCAAGCTTGAAGATTGAAATTGCCAAGATTGCGAAACCATGGTATAGGGCGAAGCTGAGGCAACAAGACGAGTTGTGATGTTTAAAAGATCAAATGTGGGTCACAAAGAGGCGACATACTGGGCACCTACAGTGAGCCATGACTATGGTTTGATATGGCTTTTTCGTGTGTGACGAAAGCTGCCGGCTTTCGAAACGACATGCAAACTGGAAGCCACCCTTACATCGATCACTCTATACCTTTGTTTTCATGAATCGATTACATGTCGTTGATAGCTACTCGGCTTCTGTTCGATGTTTGCTTTCCTTTTGCTAATCTGTGCCACTTGTGTGCTTGCTATAGCTAGTCTCGTTGGTGAGTTTAAGATGCCGTCATGCGCGCGACCAAGATCATCGAACAGACTCCTACAGAAGATTGTGAAACGCTGCCTCTTCATTACTCGGAAACTTGACAATGCTTTCATGGTTTCTCGAATATCCAACCCCAGCTCAGCTGCCGAATCCCGTCGCTCTCTCGAGTAGTCTCCTTCATATACCCGCTCTTCTTACCACCTTCAATCAAGAACTGGCCTACACGTATAATCTCGACCCTCAAAATATCGAAGTAGTGGTCTTCTAGGCATCTGGCATGTGTTGCACTGTTAACTCTCCAATGTGCAGATAGCATCACATCATCATCCATATCACAAAGGATATGGACTTCAAATCTATTCAGGTTTTCATGTTTTTTGAGGGACTCGAGGTGTTGAAGATCGAACTTGAAGTCTGCCTTGGTCCTGGCAAGTTCGGGCTCCTGAAACGGACGTCTCACGTGTATCTGGAATGATTTTACTGGAGATGTAGAGCCTGCCCATCCTATGTTTCGGTTGATCTGTGTGCGTACAGCAGAGTTCATCCGGTAACTCCGCTGCTCACCATCGAAGATGAATGGTTCGCGCTGGAGGTAAATCGCGTATGAAGGTACCTCGAGTGATCTCAGTAATTGGGAGGCGTCGGGCCTGGATGAAATAGCATTGTCACCATCGTTCAAGTGACATGTGGACTTTCGATACAGCTGATGAATTCCTTCTGTCATCATCTGCTTGTTAGTTAACAGCCAATTCGTCCTGTTCGCGTCGGTGCCAACAGAGAAGTCAAGAGGGTCGTTACCACCATCATGTGCCATATCACACCCTATGCGTTGGGATCGCTGGCTAGTGGTGTCAGCATCTCCCCAGATCTTGCCATATATCATGTCGCGGATCTCCAGAGGAAGACGTGAAAAGAAGCCAGACTGTGATTTGACTGAAGCTTCATATCGTTCCGTCGACGTGACGGTATGATGGTTGGACATGATGACACGAGTGTTCTGGTCGGATAGTATTAGTGACCGCAAAAGATTGAAACGTGTATTTACTATGCCTTCTGTACCGGTGTTTCTGAGATACTGTGATTCAAAGCCAGGCTAACAGCTGTACTAGTATCATGCTTGTGTTTTGGGGCCATATCGGGACGTGATACCTCTCGAAGACCTGTACGCAGTCGTGATTCTAGCTCTAGATAGTGCGAATGTGTTAAGGCAGTGGTTGAGTTGATCAATCACGAGCCAAGTAATTATTCCTTTTAACAATAATAGAGGCACTCTAGGCCTACCGTCTGACGAGAGGAGCTAGCAACACAGTGTGAATTGATCGTGGTCGCTGACCGTGCACGCGGGTGTGGCGAAAACACTGAACGTATACAATGTCTCTGCTGGTAAGATTTACCAGCTATAGCACTAGCTTCGTTGTCGTCTCAATCACGAAGGTAATGGTTTTCAACAGCCCTCGGGGGGGTTGTATCCTTGGCCGCCGCAACATGTCCGGCACGCCGGTACCTGCATCGACGACTGTAATGGTTCAGGTTGAGAAAAGATTCAGCGCCATATCACTGTCCGACGACCCAGTGCCTCGGATGTACCGTTTTGATGATTGTCGAGTATGTAGAGGCTGGGACAAGGTACTCAAGCGCTCAAGACAACTTCAGTCTGTATGCAGAGGGGTTATCCATGATGGAGTAGATGAGAGGAAAGAGACCAAAATGCGACCATCGAACGCTTTTGAGATGCGGTAATGACGTCTTCGAAACGCACCAACCAGCTCGACCAAACGCGAACTTGTCGTGTCTTCATGTCGAGCAAGCCAACCCTGTATCTGCGTGAAAAAACGAGTAACATCGTAGTCAACCGAATCTGTACTATCAATGAAGTAGCGAAACTACACTCTGATACTGTATAAGATTTATGAAGTCTAAAATATTATAGTGATCTTTTTGATACTATTAATGCTCTAGGAAAGAGTTACGAATGACTATTTTTTTACCCAAAAGCCCTGGGCACCACGAACGCTATAGTACAAAGCAAAAAGTCCTTCCTCCATCTATCTATCACCCAGTATTTACAAATGAAAAGAAAAAAAACGCCGAGTGATGCTATGAATGATGAGAGATAAGGAAATCAGGAGTCGACGCTCCTGTTCTTGTCGACAAGGGAAATCTCTAATTCCCCCTACCGAGTAGCTTTTTCCCTAAAGCCTTCGCTTTCTTCGTCTTCGGACCGTCCGTGTCATCATCCATCACGCTGCCTTCTCTTCCGCTGACACCACTAATGCCAGTGGCTACGCTCGCGGCTCGCATGCTGGCTGCGCCACTACCAGCTCTGCTTCTCATGTGTCCAGCGAAGGGTGCGCTGACCCCAGCAATATGTTTACTCAAACTATGAATAAGATTCGCGTGGACAGGCTCTGTGTTGTCTACTCTTGACAGCTCATCAGCAAATGCGCGCCCATCTTCGACGTCGTCGACGCCCAGGCCGCTGCTGTTATGACTGTAGCCACCCATGATAGAGCCGTGCGTGGAACGTGCTTGGTTGGTTGAAGCCGGCTTTGAAGAGTGCAAGGATGACCCTTCTTCCGAGACAGTGCTAATAAGACTACCTTGGCGTCCTGATGCGAAAGAACGGCGGGGCATGCGATCTTCGGCTGAGAGGTCGGATCCACCGGGTGAGTGATCACGCATGGAATTCGAATCGGTGCCGGACAGATCTGGAGACGTGTTGAGCATTGCGCTGCTGTTGGCAATTTGACGAAGACGAGACTGTGCTTTGGCTGACGGACGGTGATGCGAGATCTTGTTACCAACGATTGTACCGGCATGAGACAGAAGCGCCCTCAAGACATCTTTCTTGAGTTGTGTGACGAGATCCAAATTGGACCACGTCTTGTTGCGGTACTCTATCGTAGGCATCCTGAAAACCAGATCGTGGACATCTTCAAAGTTACGTGTGCTCTTGCCCTTGTAGGAGAGACACAAGACCATGGAGGGGATCTTGAAGTAAGCAACAGTCATGAACTCGCTTGCGCGACTCATCATCTTTGTCAAATCATCGCTCCTGACTTCTTTCTTGTTCGTGCGCTTCTCAGTCAAATTGGTACCAGTACGATAGAGCGCGAATCGTTTCGCGGTTCGTTCGGACTCATTTACAGTCTGGCTTGAATTGGTTGTGGCTGACCGAACGGAGCTTGGTCTAGAAGAGTTGTTGGAAGTGCTACCCAACGTAGGAACGATCAATGCAGAGCTCGGATGAAGAGTGCGACGGAGCTCAGTTCCACTACGCGACGCGTTGTTATCTTTGAAGAAACGGAAATAGTGAGCGCTCGGCCGCTTCACCATGCCTTTCCGCTTTGCATCAGACTTTTGTACCGGATCAGGCAGCTGAAGTGTGGGCGTAAGTCGTTGCTTGAGAGCTTCTACTGCGCCGTCATCCGTCGAGAGCGAAGCGTTCATGCTTGCTGTCCCAGAAATAACGCTGTTGGCTTCATCCTCCTCATCCTGGGTTGGTAGAGTGTGTTTGAGCAAGAATGGCGATGAATTTGCGGTCTTGCTGTCGCCATACGTAGGGAAAACATATTGTAACAGTTTCTTGCCGATCTGGTATTCCAGCTGCACCTTCAGTGGATATAGCTCAACCTCGAAATGCTCCACCACAGGAATACCTGCGATCGACTCTAGTGCCACGAAGTAGACCTTGAGGCATCTGGCGTTCTCCGGCAGAGTCTGGTCCTGCTCTAGGAAAGGCGATATCATTTCAGGGTATAGCGCGTTGGGTAGTAGGTTCAGACCTCGCACCTGTTCAATCTCTAGAGAGTTGGAATTAGATCCGTCGTTGTTGTCAGTACGATCGAACGCTACATTCTTGAGTTGGAACTCTGCTAGCGATTCTGCACCTTCGCGGAGCAGATGCCAAACAATGTCAGACGCAGAGACGTACATTCGCAAGAGCCCGGTCGACTGTTTTGCTTGCGCACGGTCATCTTGCTTGCGCTGTGCGGTCGTGATCGCTTTCATGACGAAGAATAGTTCATCCTCGTAGACAGCCAAGTCTTTCTCGACTTCTATACGATCTTCCCACCCTTGCTTGTCCAGATACCTCTCGTTGATCTGGAAGACAGTCTTGATCTCCTCGAGCTGCTGAATACGTTCTTGGAGACCCATGACTAGATTTGGAGCTCCGGCAAGGTCGGTGAAGTCAGAGGCAAGCATGATTTTCTCAAGTCGCTCATTACGCGTCTTTTCCAATGGCTCGTGGTACAAGAGTAGATCTAGTACGATGACATACATCGCGTAGTATTGTCTAGAGTCACACAGGGCTCGCACGTGTGGGAAGTCCACCCAGAGGTGATCAATTCGGCTCTCCATGTTGTCGGTAGAGGAAGAAGAGTCGCCAGCCGAGACATCATCGTTATACTTCAGACGCAGCGCGTTGTGCTTATCATATCGCATACTGGCTGAAGTTCTTTGTACCACGCGCTGGAACCCGAACGGATTGCTATGAAATTCAAACATGACCTCGAAAGGTACCCATGGTGGCCATGCCGAGCCAGCCGGGGTTCCGTACATGCTGCCGGAGTACATGTGAATATCCTCTGGACTACTGAAAGTCTTTGAATTCGTGACGAAGATCTGTAGACTATCCATAGCCGCGATGAACCTTCGTTGAACTAGGCCTGACACCTCGTCCATGACTCTGTCCTTGTCCATGATTTGTAGAACCTTGAGCTGCAT